AAGAGGGAAAACGGACTTCAACGAAAAATTTCATTGAACCCCGTGCCCCGAACCAAATAAACGTACACACTGAATCAGTGCATACGTCAGAGCAGTTCTCCGTGAAATGGAAGCTCGTTCTGTGACTAGATGATGAAAAGATTGTGAAATACATTTTCGAAATGTGATACGAATACCGAAAATGTATTCAATTCAAATTGAGCGCTAAACTGCTACGATTCGTAGCAGGCGTGTGAATAAATTGATAAGATGAGCGCTAGAAACCCATTTGAGGGCATCCAAATTGATTGGAGAGCACGGAGAAGTAGAGATCCAAACCCAGTGATTTACATTAAAAGGAGATATAGTCTTGTCGAATCAATCTAATAACAGATTGGGTATCCTTTCCCGATACAAAACTACGAATGACCGAGGACGGTCAAATTCTTTAGTTTGGGGGGGATGACACGCCTAAATTTTGGCTAGACATCTATGCTGTGAATTGTGACATTTTCACGTATAGATTTGTATCGAGAGGACTGTAATTGAGACCCAGATTGACAGTCAAAGTCAATACTGAATCAGTCTAATAAGTTGAAGGGACCATATACCCATACTACCACAAGTTGGTTAGTTTACCCATCCCCGATACTACCTACGGATAGCAGTCTACCTGTTTGTCAAGCAGGATTATACCAGACTCGGACTACATCCGAAGGATGACCATTCACGTATGACATACCAAGGGTATTCTTATTGGACCTTACACTGGCAGGAGTTTGGAAGAACTTACTCAAGTGACCATGAACCGAGGATTGACTCGAAATGACTTTCTAGAACTCAGGAATTATCAAATACTCCTTCTAGAACAAGATCATGCATTAATCTAAAGGACTGCGATTTAGTCTAATAGACCAATCAAGTTGCATGGTTGAGGAAAATGACTAGAAGAACGATCGAAGTACTGCGAGGCTCCGAAGACATATCAAATGAATGTCAAAGAGTCCTGACGTAGAAAATATTGAAGAATGCAATTAAATGAATACTATGTGTAACTCCCTTGATTGAGTATAGGCACAATGGGTGTCTATTGAAAGAGAGAAGCAATTAGTTTAATCCAGATGAATCAGATTGATAGGATTAGAATCGAGGAGAGCTGATTTGCCTCCGGACGAGATGACAAACGATCGAAGTAAGTGTTGAACCGCAATGACAGTTGAACACCATTCGAGTCATTCTCTAAAAACAATTAAATTAAATGAATATTGAAGTACCTACCTATGTTTGGAGGTATACTAGAATCTTGGAACCAATATGGACCAAATAAGGACATGTAGATTCAAATTAAATGGTATCTGACTGAGTGTAGAAGTTTCCTTGCGGTTCCGAACGTTTATTGTATTAAATTAATTGTACTATGCGACTCTATATTCTGTATGTATAAATAGCGATCCGATGTATCTGGAATACAAGTGATTTTGGGACGACGTTGCAGTGCTAATCCGTAAAAAGGAAAGACACACTCCCGCCAGACTGAAACCTCTTCGCTAGCAGCCATTCGGGCCCGGCACTTGTGAGTATAGGAACGTCGTGTTCTGCTCCTTGTGACTGCGAGAAGTCTATCCAGTTGTTGGGTATTCTTCGAACTTAGGATCAGTCGTTGGTCTTAAGGGCAAATCACGCTGTGTGGTTGTGCCAGCACATAGTTCTAGCCCTCTGTAGGGGTCTGTGTGTTTCGGTTTTAATTTACTTTGATTCAAACCCCCAATTCTTGATATACCCAAATCAATACAAACCAAAGCACAAATTGTGCTGAATCTACCTTGATCAAAGGAATATATCGAATCCTTAGAACGATTCAAATTGATTGATCAAAGCTTCGTACTTAGCTCTCAAAGCTTTGCGGAACCTTTGCCAACGCTACCCCTTGCTATTAAATAAATTTGATAGCAGTGAACTCGCATATTGTGTATTAGATTGGTTGGTTGGAGTGCCCATTAGATTCCTTCCTTTCTCTTTCACACAAAAACGAGGCAAGCTCGTTACCGAATTGAGATTCATTGAATACAACCTGGTCAGAGAAATGTTCCTTCCCATTAGTATCGCGAACCCGCCATCCAATACGATTGTCCTCATAGCCTACGAATATACCTTCTAACATTTTGTCACCAAATTTTAGTCGAATATCTTCAGAAACCTGGATCCAGCATTGACACCCCCATACGCGAAGATGTGATAGGTTCGGTGGGCGTCCGTGGACCATTTCGTATGGCGTTTTGTTGTCAGGAAGGGTTTTAGTTGGTAATCGGAAACGAACATATATTGCAGTCCGAACTGAGTCTTCCCAAAATTGCAAGGGCAAACCTGAGTGAACTAACATCGTCATTGCATCATTTTCAATGATACGAACCCAACGTTCTGCTTTCCCGTTTTGTTGGTGAGAATATGCGGCTGTTTGTTGTACCAGTATGCCTTTGTCTTCGAAGTATGTCGTAGCTTCGTTACCATGGAATTCCTTCGCCGTATGTTTTTGACTTTATGAGGTGCCATAACATTCTCCCAGGTCGAAACTGTTGATTTGATTATACGTAGGGCTTGGTTTTTCTTCGCGAAACAACCACCTGATAACGCGCTCGTGTAGTCATCAAGAATGATATTGAAGTGTGAGTTCTGGTGATTCGAAAGTGTGCCGATAGGTCCACAAGTATCCGTGTGAATCAGTTCGAGTGGTTTGGATGCACGATTGCCATGATACGGATATGGGAAACGAGGGTGTTTACCTTTTAGACAAGAATCACAAATACCCCGCATTTTCGTCCCATTCCATTCTTCGAGTCCCTCTGCAGAAGATCCTGTTAGGAGTTCGTTCGTGAGGTCGATACCAGGATGCCCAAAACGCTCATGAAACAGTGCACCATTCGGAGTCCGTGGAAGGAATACGGGCATTGCGATATGTATAAAGTCAGAGATTCCGTCTTTGGGTAGTAAGAATTTGCCTCGTAGAACGCATAGCCTTCGAATGACATCGGCAATTGTAAATCGATCTGGATCCGGATGGATTTGTACCATTTGTGGAGTTATAGTGAAAGTAAAGCCATGTTCGAGCATCGCGCCCACGGATAGAAGGTTCACCGGAGCGTCAGGAGCATACAGGCAGTCATGCATTTCCAATATCAATTGGTCGTTTGTTCCCTCAACTTGCATCTCAAAGTAGCAGGTTCCCGAAGCTTTGGTAGATAAGATACCTGAGTTGGCTGTTTGGACAGCGAGAGCTCCATCTTCATCGAAAGTGAAGAAGAATCTTCGGTCGTTGATGATGTGGTTCGTGCATGCTGAATCTAATAGCGTTTGAGTTTTCTGGGGAATGGATGAGAATGCGATTGGGTTGTTGTCCTCCAAACAGCGTATTGGTAGTGGGGAACTAGGAAAGGAGGAAAGTAAGGCCGCAAATGGTTTAAGTCGTCGCGCAGGGTACGTGGAACGAACAGTTGTATTAGCGGTCGAGGTAATACTAGGTACAGAAGTTACAGTATCCACAGATTCAATCTTGGAAGTAGTGTTCGGAGAGGAAGAAGTAGTGGTCGTAACATAGGCAGTCGGTTTGGTATTGGGCTTAGACATATTTGGTGAGTCCTTCGGTTTCTGTTGATCTGGCGGTTTATCTGATGTTCCTCCAGTCCCGTTACGTTGAAAACGACAGTTGTATGTACCACCCCCAGAATCGGCAAGGTCAAGGAGTTCCCTGTTACGTGTGTTCTCCAAGCGAATAGCAAACTTATCAAATAGGTCCCTATTCGGTATAACTCCCGGCTGATCAAAATCCTCTTCAAGCGTTTGTTTAAGGTAAACGTATCGAGGACCTGACGGCAATTTCGAGATGTATTTCGAGATTAAAGTGTCCCAGGGGATGTCATATCCGTAGTTTCGTAAGGTGGTGAGAGTCGAACTCCATTTTAGATTGAATTTTTCGATGTCCATGCCATGGATTTGAGAATTGAGAAGTTCATCTTGGATGCGTAAACAAGCTTTCCTATCGGGGGCAGCTTGGTATGCCGCCTTTAGACGAAGGTAGATCTGTCTTGCAGTACGGCGTTCTCCTCGGTCATCGATCATAGGTGGGAGGTGATTGCGTGCCTCGTCCGACAAACGTGCTGTCAAGATGGAAGAAACCCATCCATCGTTCTTGTCCCATTTGAGACGAGCCTCGATTTCCTTTCGGGTAGGTTGAGAAGGGACGGTAGGGCGGATTAAGGGTGTGTTCCATTCCGTCCAAGGAGTCCCGTGAGGAGGTTCATCACAAATATGTCCTAGAGCAAAACCATCGCCGACGGCCTGCCATACACCCTCGTTCCATTTTACCCAAGATTTACGATCTTTCAGGGAGTCAGCATCTTTAATCGTGGCGAGAAAGGTCGCATGGATAGAAGAGTACTCGATTTTAAATTTCGGAGTCGTTGAACGTGGTGATTCAAGTCGTGGCTGAGGGTTCTGGTAAATCGGATATGGAGCGTAGTACATGGGATACGGGTAATCGGCAGGTGCGTGGGGTGGCGGTGGTACCCAATGTGGTGGTATGGTAGGATGGTGATGAAACGGATGGTGAGTCTCCTGTGGGAATTCCGACAAGATCGCCGGTGCACTCTGAGTTTCTGGAATAAGTTGAGCGGAAGTAGAGATATGATCGAGGTCCACGATGCGGTGAGGCCTTGGTTGGTGCATGGTACGTGATGGTGTTCGTTCGACTATATGATTGTGATCCATGCGTGAGCCAACGCGGGATGGAAGATGAACAGAGGCCGGTGGGACCGAGACAGGAGATCGTACAAAGTTAATAGGTGAAAAGTTGGGAGAGTTAAGAGGAGTATAGGATTCAGGAATAAAGGTATTCGAAGGAGGTACAGGGGCAGAAGGCAAAGGGCGATAATGAAACATATTCTGAGTCGTGAAGTTGTGAGAAAGATTGTGAAAAGTGGGAACAATACGATTATGCCAAGTTTCTGAAATGGATTGAGGAATTGTCGGTACAGAAGGAAAAGACGGAAGCGATGGAACAGTACTGGTATGGATTGGAGAATTTCTGGGATGAGAAGAAGAGTGAAGTGAATGAGAAGGAGAAAAATTATGGATCAATTGTCTCGGTCCCGTATCCATCGGTGACGTGGCATGAGAATTTGCATGCATATATGCTGGTGTATGTTGGGTGGGACGAAATGGGACAGAAACCGGCGTTTGGTATGGAATCGACTGGGTCCGAGGTGGATCGCGATGGACCGGAACTGTAAGATCCATTCTGGATCCCTGATCGTCAGTATTCATCCGCGGCAGCGATTATTGAGTCCGGAGATTAATCTCGTTAAGCGAGGAAAAACGCGTCAGTTAAGAAATGAAATGTTGAGCTGTTGGCGGTAGAATGCCGCAAAAGTGGTTCGAACTCGTTCGATGTATGAAAGACCTAGGGAAAACCCATAACCTCTTGGAGGTCAAATCTATACAAGGAACAGAATGAGCCTCAGTGTAGTCCGACAAGGATCTAAACAGCTGCTATTGTACCTATACAAGGAACAGAATGAGCTAAGAGTAGCTAATGAGTATCTGGTAACATAGGTATAATGAGTGAATCTGGCTTACCCTCAGTGTAGTCCGACAAGGATCTAAACAGCTGAGGGAAAGTGTCGTGCGAAAAACGAGCTATGTAGTGTGAGTCACGTGGACATGGAAAGAATCGGCCAAAAGAGGAAGAGGTCTTCCAACATCCTCGCTACTCCTAGAGCAGCATCATTATAAAAAAACGAAAGTCGTATGTAGGTAGCCATGGTATTCGTAATTGAGAAAAAGACAGAACAGAACAGAACTGGGGACTGGGGATCTACATAGTAACTATATGTATGTAGTCCAAATTAACCCCTCGATAGCCAGAGATGATGCCACAGAGGCATGATCAGATACACCCCCAGCGGCACAAGCAGCACGCCCTGATATCTGGCGCGACTATCTCTCCAGGTCCAGTTCCAGTTCCAGTTCCAATTCCAGATTCAGTTCCAGATTCCAGTTCCAGATTCAGATTCAGAGTCTTTAGTTGAAGGTACCATCCTGGGTTCAGTATGGGTACTATGTTCAGTATAAGTATATTTGGTACCATATCCTTCCTTCCTTCCTTTGTTGTCCAGTCCACCCGCAGCACAGGGTCCATGCACCGGTACACGACATCTTCCCCCCCCTCCCCCCCCTCCTCCCCCCCCTCTTCCCCTCCTCCCCTTCCTTGTCAATAAAGTTCAACAAACTCAAACTCGTCAATCCAGCTTCGACTGCAGGTCCCAACTTTGTCGTCATTATCGCCCCCACTGTCGCAGTCATCACAGTCATTGTTGTCGTTGCAGTCGTTGTTGTTGCAGTTGCAGTCCTAACTCCCTCCTCCCCCCGTCCCACTCCACCTCCCTGCTGCATGACCTGCATGACCTGGGTACTCCCCACACTCCTCTCACTTCCCATACTCTCCACACTCATCCTCTTCACGAACACCCACACGATCCCCGCCGCTGCATAATTGAGCTGGCCCAATCCCAAGCCCAAGCCCAACCCAAGCCCAACCCACACCCAAGGTCAGTCCCAACCCCAAGCCCGAGCCCGAGCCTGAGCCCGACCCAAGCCTGTTGAACATGGCTATGCTGTTCACATGCCACTAATATGATCATGTGTTATGATATGTCATATGTAGTCATATGTAGTCATTTACTATATGCGGATTCCTCAGTACTTCCTTATGTAATACTGTTATACAGTTATGTATATAAACAGGCCATATCCTGTACTGGAATCCAACTCGCTTCTCTCTTACTTTTATTGCCTCACTGAGACACTGTAGATGACAGCTTGCTAGACATATGTCGCAGCTTGTCACTACTGGCAATAACATTCATGCCATTTTGTTTCCATCTGTTGTCTTGAGCGTTTATGAATTGCATGCTGACACCTTCTGTTGATTTTATCCAGATTACAATGTCCTCTGCACTGTTCACCGCTGTTACCACCACTCTTAAAGGTGATAACTACGACACCTGGGCCTCCGAAATGGAAGCCTTCCTTCAGGCTACAGGGCTTGAATCAGCAATTACTACTGACCAACCCAGTGAACCATCTCCACTTGTTGCGGCAAATGCCGCCAGTGTTGAAGCCTGGAAGATCTATGAGGTTGCTTTCAAAGCCTGGAAAGAGATTGACACCAAGGCTATTGGCAATATTCGCCTCCGTATCTCTCCCTCCATCCGCATCCTTTCCAAGGATAACAGTGACACAGCTAAGAAGCTTTGGAAATATCTAGCCAAGACTTACAATGTCAAGAGTCTGGGCGCAGTCTTTAATGACTTTGCTGCCGCCATGGCTATCAAAATTCCATACAAGCAAAATCCGCTGTCCTCTATGATGGAGATTGGCATGCACTTCACGCGTATGGAGGAAGCTGACATTGGCATGCACTTCACGCGTATGGAGGAAGCTGACATTGGTCTTGCTGACCACCTCGAAGCTCTGATTTTTCTATCTAAGCTTCCATCACGTTACTCTGTCGTTGTCCAAACCATGTCTCAGCTTGAAACTGCAGAGCTCAAGAAATTGACCTTTGCTAAAGTTCGTATTGCAGTTATGAACGCTTTCAGTGGAGACACCATTGGCAACTCCCAACCACAGAACGCGAACAAGTTTTCGAATGTTCATCGCAAGGGAAACGATCCCAAGTTCTCCCAACAGCAGCATGGTAACAATAGTCACCAGCAGCAGAAGGGACAGAATGGGAATGATGACAACAAGAAGAAGCGTAAGCGTGGCAGTGGAAAGAACAAGAAGGCTAAGAAGAATGCAAACGCTGCCCAAGCTGATGCAGACTCTATGATCTTCAGTCCGATTGGCAGTACTGTTGACTTTGGTCCGGTACGTACTGATCTTACTCCTTCTGTTCAAGATGTGCGCAAGCACTCCATCCATCCTCCTTCTAATGCTACATCCCTTCGTCTTCATAAGAAGACAAGGGTGGCCATTCAACGTGCTTGTGATATTGGCGTCCGTGCGACTGCCGAAGTCATTCGCACCCTTGAACCGACTGGGCATATTTCAGAGTTGGACAGTGATGATGAGCAAGGTTCTTCTGATCCTCCAACGAAGCGCACCCGTGTGTTGCCTTCTGAGGATGATGTTGAGGATGGCAACAAGGCTCCTACGCCGCCTCCTCCATCTCCTCCTATGGACTTTGAGGTCCCAGGAACTGCCTCTTTCAACCCTGATGAGTTGATGAACTTCGACTTGGATCATGAGATTTTGGCAATCACTGGATTCATGGACACCATGGGGTCAGTATCCTCCTCTAATCTTGATCATACAAAATGTACTAACGCACCTTCATCGGTTGCAGTGACAAAGACATGCAAGTCGGCCTTTGAGCCTGATCTCTTGTCCCGCTTGTATAATTATCGTATCGATGTCAAGTATATATCCAATGAATAATTTTGTGTACATGACGTTTCATACTCTGTGTGCAAGAAGTGTAAGGGTAAAGAGAGGAACCAACCCAAATGGTGGATGAATGACTCCGGTTGTTCTGAACACACTACCTTTGACTTAAGTGACTTCATTGAGTATGAAGACCTTGAGGAAAAAGTTCTTATAGCAACTGCAACCACAACTGCCTACATTACTGGCGTTGGGACTGTCTTGATAAATTTCAAGGATGTTAGAGGTCGCATGCATTCGGCACGAATCACTCCAGTATTCTATATGAAGGAGTTGAGTCATTGCCTTATAGCACAAGGTCGCTTCTTACAAGATGGCAAAACTGTTCGCGGCAACGCAGACAAAGTTGACTTCTGGGACAACGACAGTTTATTCCTGTCATTTGAACCACAAACTCACAGCAATACAATCTACATTCTCAAAGATTATTCGCCACAGCCTATGGCTGTGAATTTAGTGATCCACTCAGTGGACTACACTACCATGCATCGCCATATGGGTCATCCATCGCGCGAAGCACTGACTCAACTGAGGAAACATGCAGAAGGTGTTCCCACCTTTAGCATTCCCCATGAGGAAGATCTCTGTGAAGGTTGTGCCAAGGGAAAGATGACTTTACGTCCATTTCCGCCAACTAATCGTCGGGCATCACGTCCCTTCAAAATTATTCACTCAGACCTCAAAGAATGGCCTACTATTGCATACCACAAGTACAAGTATACGATCTTCTTCATAGATGACTATACTTCGCATGGGTTCTACTGCCACTTAAAAAAGAAGAGCGGATCTCTTCCGGTGATAAAGCAATTTATTGCCACAGTCAAAAATCTATACAAGACTAATGTCAAGGAATGGATGTCTGATGGCGGCGGAGAATTTAGATCTTGTATCTAATGTAGGAATTTCCACCGATCTCATGTTTCCCAAATATCGATATTGAATGCGGTAGTCGTTGTCTCCGCACTGAGTACTGAGTAATATATCAAAGCGAAAGAAACTAGTGGGTGACTTCCCGCTGCAATTATTATTCTGCAGTTAACCTGCAGTTAACTATTAACGGTATTTGATGCGACGTACGGACTGTTGATGGGACCCTCACTTACACCAAAAACCAGTTTACAGTTAGTTTTGATGCAGTTTTTGAGAAGCCGCTCTCCGGCCATCTTCGCTTAGGTTTGCTTATATTGGTGGCACAAATTAATTGTCTGGTGTCCTGCAAATAATTCCTATGGGAAGTCATCCAGTACCACTATCGTCAGGAATTACTCTACTCTACTCAAATGTGTACAATTAAGTGCCCAATGTAAGTAACCAGAGCAGCAGCATTATTAAAAAAACAAAAGTCGTATATAAGTTCCAGATTCAGACTCTGGTTCAGATTCAGTTCCAGTTCCAGATTCAAATTCAAATTCTCTAGTTGAAGGTACCATCCCAAGTTCGGTATCGGTATCAGTATTGGTATGAGTACTATGTTTGGTGTGGGTATGTTCAGTATGGGTACTATGTTCAGTATGAGTATGTTCGGTATCATATCCTTCCTTCCTTCCTTCATTGTCCAGTCCACCCGCGGCACGGGGTCCATGCACCAGTACATGTACACATACACATTCTCTTCCTCTTCCCCCCCCCTCCCCCCTCTCCTCCTCGTCCTCATCCTCATCCACTTCCACAAAGTTTATAAAAGTCGACGAACTCGAACTCGTCGATCCAGCTTCGATCGATGGCAGGTCCCAAATTCATCATTGTTATTGCCCCCACCGTCACCGTCATTGCCATCGCCGTCGCAGTCGCAGTCCGATCTCCCTCCTCCCTCCTCTCCCCATCCCACTCCTCCCCACCTCCCTTCTGCACAACCTGCATGGCCTGGGTACTCCCCATACTCCCCACACTCCGCTCACTCCTCTCACTCCCCGCACTCTTCTCACTCCTCCCACTCCTCTCACTCCTCACACTTCTCTCACTCCCCACACTCCCCATACTCCCCACACTCCCCATACTCCCCACACTCCCCATACTCCCCACACTCCCCATACTCCCCTTACTCATCCTCTTCACGAACACCCACGACATGCAGTGCTGCATAATTGAGCTGGCCCAAGCCCAAGCCCAAACCCAACCCACACCTGAGGTCAGTCCCAAGCCCAAGCCTGATCCAAGCCTGACCCACACCCAAGCCCAAGGTCAGTCCCAGGTTGAACGACGTCGATGACAGATGGGGTGGGGGTGCTGGGGGTGCTGTGGGGATGCTGTGGGGGATATTTGAGATGAAGAAGGAGAATGAGAAGAAGAGGTGGTAGGTCCTTTTGCTACTGCTGCTGAATGCATTGTCGTGGATAAAGGGGAGGAACCTGGCAGTGAAGCTGTATTCGACTCCCCCACATCCCTCACACAATGACAATGACGAGGTACCAGTACCGGTGCTTCATGCGATGAACCAAATAACAACACTTTGGTAAATGGGTAAAAGTATGAGTGAGTATGAGTACAAGTAAGTATTATGAGTATGAGTGAGTATGAGAGTATGAGTAAACAACAGACTATGTACACAGTGTGCTAGGTTTGTTAGGTTACTGCTACGGCTAGTGATGTGCCGGCTGGGGCCCAGCTCAAAAGCCCCGGCCAAAGCTCATAAAATTTTTGAGCCGGGCCCTACATGAAAGCCAGGGCCCGGCTGGGTTCCGGCTCAAGCCTGGGCCCCAGCTGTGGTAGGCGGAAACTGTGTCCAAGATGTGTTAGTCTAAAAACACTGCCACAATGGTCTGAAAACACTGCTTAATTGTTTCTTAATGCTCCAGCTTTGTGAGAGGGGTGTAACATTAAGAATAATAGTCTACATCAATCAAACAGTAGAATTCCAGTACACTGGATTTATCAAAGTAACAAGCACCAAAATCATTACCTGTTGTTTCAACTATTGTCAATTTCAAATAGGATCAAAGTGGTTCTTTCCTTGAGACTTGTTAACTAAGATTAAGATGCTGCCACATCATGTTATAGTGAAATTTACAATATAACATCTTCCCAATCTGTCATATGCATGCAATTCACCCCATACACTTCCCGGCCCGGCCCGGAGCGGCCGGACTTCGGAATAATAACCTTGTGACCATCATTGTATTTATTTATTGTTCCGAGCTTTCATCGAGGTCTTCTGACTGTATCTGGGATGTATATAAGCTAGAATACTTTGTACATTGTAGTCAAGCTTGAAATCAAGTGTACCATCTTATCCCAGTCTTTAATATCTTCTTTACCCTTTGCTTCCGGACTCCCGGATCATCAGGAACCCCATTTAGGCTGCTCATACCAATCTTGCACTCTTGCCATTATATTCCCGGGGACACCAACAGTGTGTGAAGGGTGTTGCTAATAGCTTCACCGACATCCCACTCCCAGTGTGTACTACAGGCCAGTACTCGAGCTCCGGACCTCGGAGTTATCCCGGGCCATTTCCGGCCCATATCGGACCTCAGACCCGCTATAGTTATTGACCTGTAGGCACGGTCTTGTCAGTATTTCAAGCTTACACTTCATTACACTGTTCCTTCACCAAAATACCCTTCATTATGTCTTTTGGCTCTGATCCTGAATCCTTCCTCGAGTATGCCTTATCGTTACCTGATCCGGTCGGCCCGGACCCGGAAACCTCGGATTCGTCGGACCAATCTAGCTCATCTGAACAGCATTCTGAACAAGATTCAGTTCAGTCTGGTACTAATTCCGATCCTGACCAGTCAAGTTATGACTCGGAATTTCCTGGCCCATTTGACTATGATTATCTTCATGAATCCTCTGACTTCGACTCTGATCACCCCGGCCCTTATGATCTCCGTTACCTACATTCCTATCCTTCATCCTCAGCCTCAGACTCGGTTGAGTCTTTCCACTCGGTTGCCTCTGATAACTCCGAAGCGCCGGAACTCCGGCCCGGTGATGATGGATCTGGTCATCCTCACCTCGGACCCGATGGCAGGCTTTTGGACTCCGAGAGGAAAAGGCGCAGGGTGCTCGGGTTGTGCTTTTATTGTGGAGGAGAACATATGAAGGTAGATTGTCTCAAACTGCAGGCCTGTACAGGACAGAACTATGATGCAGATAACTCTGAATCGGATGTTCCGGGCTCCGATGATGGTTCCGAGTAATTCCTAATTTTTTCTACATTTTAATTCTGAATTTTCTGACCATTTCCGAGTCTTAGACCGAGTTTTCCTTTCCTTTCATGATTGTCACTTATTTGACCTTACAAATTCCTTTCTTTCCGAATTTCGGCCCGTTTTTATGCCCTTCAATGATTATTCAGTATTTGACATTATCATTGATATTATTTCCGAGCTTCGGCCCGCATTTTTGCGATTTTTCCAAGGTTTGAACCAATGTTTCCTTTTCTTTCATGATTTCACTTGTTGACCTTGCAAATTCCCATTCCTTCCGAACTTCGGCCCGATTTTTAGGCCTTTTTATGACGATTCATTGTTTGACATGATATATACTTCATTTCCGAGTTTCGGCCCAAGTTTTGGCTCCCTTGTTATTATTCTCAATGTCTGGGGCTCATTTCCGCTTTTTCCGAATGTCGGCCCGATTTTTATATCTTTACATAATCAATTTTTGTTGACACTATGATTCACTTCACTTCCAAGCTTCGGACCGCATTTTTTCCATCCATTCCACTTCTGTTTCGAGTTTTTGAATATTCAGGTAATGTTTCATTGTAATGACTATTATTGCTTCATTCCGGTCCGATTATGCCGATGTTTTTGCTTATTATTGATTACTAATTATTCCATTCCATGTTTCCGACCTTGCTCCGATTTTTCCGTCATTTTATTGGCATTATCTCAAGCTTGCTCATTAGCACTTCCACTCACTTACCTGTTATCATTTCTATTTATGTTGATTCCTTTGCTTCACCCACAAGCTGCTCCTCTTTTTAGTAGGATTTCATTGATTATTTGTTAGGATACAGTTTCTACTCCCACTTAGATCCGTTGATCTGCCGGGTAGACCGAAACACTCTTTTCCAACTCATTTTTTATGATTATCCTTATAGCGCTTTCCGGCTTTGCTTCCCTTGGAACTTCCGGTCTCGGGATGGTTCTACCATCATTCTGGACACTTTGTGTCAATTTCGGCCTTTTTAAGGCATCACTCTTGTGTGGATATCAGCTTAGGTTATCATCTCTGGCAGCACTTTGTGTTGATTGGTATGCCGGACTTTTCCGCAGTTTCCGATGATTTTTCCGGCCCAATCCCGCCCCTCGGTTCGGATTTTATTCCGAAATTTTCCCTACTCCATTACCCAATCCTCCTACATCACCATTTACTCCAACTTCGGCTCTTGATTCATGGCTTTCGAGGGCTCAAGCGTACTTGGGGGATACTGCTGTATTCCAGTTCTGTAGTCCGAATTTCGGAACTTGTTTTAGTCTTTTGAGACTTCAGAACACTTTCCGGCCGGCCCGGACTTCGGAAGTTACGTGGTCATCCATTCTTTTGTTGATTATTTTGTTACAAGTTTACTTTGTTTCAATCTGGTTTTTGTTTGCTTTATTATGTTCCTTTGACCCCCTACATCGGCAGGCCGATCCTTTCCAATTTCTCCAAGACTTCCACTTTTAATTTATTCTTCACTACTGGATCTAATCCAATCCCTTTGCTTTACTATACTTTACTATTTCACTGCACACATATTCACAGAGGCCTTCGTGGGCTCAGGCCTAACGGGGGGATACTGTCATATGCATGCAATTCACCCCATACACTTCCCGGCCCGGCCCGGAGCGGCCGGACTTCGGAATAATAACCTTGTGACCATCATTGTATTTATTTATTGTTCCGAGCTTTCATCGAGGTCTTCTGACTGTATCTGGGATGTATATAAGCTAGAATACTTTGTACATTGTAGTCAAGCTTGAAATCAAGTGTACCATCTTATCCCAGTCTTTAATATCTTCTTTACCCTTTGCTTCCGGACTCCCGGATCATCAGGAACCCCATTTAGGCTGCTCATACCAATCTTGCACTCTTGCCATTATATTCCCGGGGACACCAACAGTGTGTGAAGGGTGTTGCTAATAGCTTCACCGACGTCCCACTCCCAGTGTGTACTACAGGCCAGTACTCGAGCTCCGGACCTCGGAGTTATCCCGGGCCATTTCCGGCCCATATCGGACCTCAGACCCGCTATAGTTATTGACCTGTAGGCACGGTCTTGTCACAATCCTCATTAAGAAGAATTCACTGTGAATACACTGATCTGATTCAACCTCCAACCTATCTGCAATGACAAAAGTCTCAGAATTGTATACTTCAACAATATTACCTTTAGGTTTATGGCATTTACTAATTATTCTTGCAGCTGAGAATGGTGCTAGTGATGCCCACATAGGTAAATATTGAGCCATCCAGGTGAGAATTTCAGCACAAAATTCGGGTACTCAGCCCCGGCTCAGAACCCGGCTTGGGGCCTTTGAAAATTCTGAGCCGGGCCCTCAGCTTTCCACAGCCCTAGAGACGGCTCCGGCCCGGCCAGGCTCAATCCGGCCAGGCTCATAGGGCCCAAGGGCTCGGAGCCGGAGCCGGCACATCACTAGCTACGGCATAGGAACGTGGTTAGGGCATGACAGCAACCCTTGGCACAGGCTACAGAGCCAATGGGTACAAAACATCATTATGAACGCAGACCCATGTATATGCTACAAACAGATGGGAGGAAAATACACCATCACTCATCTAGTACATATGGGGCGATGTGTGGCAGGGGCTCAACCAGCAAAAGGGGGAAGGAACAGGGCAAAGGGGGAAGGAACAGGGCAAAGCAAAAGGGGGAAGGGACAGGGCAAAGGGGGAAGGAACAGGGCAAAGGTGGAAAGGGACAGGGCAGTTGCAGAACTCAGGAAGCACTGGAAAGTGCTGGGAAAGCGAACAAAGTGATGACCCCTCAGAGGTACTGCTCAGGATGACCATCATGCAGCATCTGACCCACCAAAAGCTGTCACCATAATCACAGACAGTATACTTCCAGCACATGCTGGCTGTAAGACCTCAGTCAGAATTGGTCTTGGGGGTGGGTTTGGTATGGATGGTTTATGTTGTAGCGTGCTAGGAGCAAGCTGGAGCTTGAAGGGAGCTATGGGAACTGCGACTGAGGACAGGAATGACCTAGTAGTAGCTCTGATTGCAAGATGTGACCCTTGAAGGGGTTCCTAGAAGGTCCAGGAAGGTCCCTAGGACAATAACTGGTGAAGATGGATGTAACCGGGAGTTAGGAAATGTAGGAGGATTGTGTAGTACGAATTGTAATAGTTAGAACGTCAACGTAGGATCGTTATAACTAGTAGATGATGTGAGCTTCAGACATGAGAGCTCCCAATGTTTCGGCTCTTCTCCTTGTTGCTCTCCCATGTACCCTGTCCTTCGTTAGAAGGTCTCGGAGCAGCCTTCCTATGCCATCCTTGCCTGGGATCATAATACCAGGGTTGGTCAGGGTTGTAGCAAGTTGGAGGTACTTCAGGAGCCCATTTCTCATTTGGGAAAGATTAGCTATTTGAGGCTGATATAGGAGAAACATATTGTTATGTTAAATGGCTTTGTTAGCCAAAAATTTCCCGCTCGGGAAATTCTGCGGCGGCCCCAGTGAATACTTGAATGTGTACAATCAAATGTTCGATGTAAGTAATCTGAATGATGAAAAGTACAGACAAAATATAAGGATGAAAGATGTCGTGTAGTGTAAGATATGTGTATGTAGATGCAACGAAAAGAAGGGAAAGAAAGGCCGTAATTCACTACTCCCAGAGCAGCATCATTATAAAAAAACGAAAGTCGTAGCGTCGTAATTGAAAAAATGTGATTAGAAAACCAAGACAGAACAGAACGCAGGAACTGGGATCTAGTGACTAGTTCCAAATCAATCCCGAGATAATGCAGAGAGGAATGATCAGATACACCCCCAGCGGCACGCCCTGATATCAGGCGTAACCATCTCTCCAGATTCAGATTCGGATTCTTTAGTTGACCGCAGCATCCCGGGTTCATGTCCTTCGTTGTCCAGTTGACCCGCGGCACGGGGTCCATGCACCGGTATAGGTACAGGTGCACGTCCTCTCTCCTCCTCCTCCTCGTCCACAAAGTTCAATGAACTCGCCGATCCGGCTTCAACAACAGGTACCAAATTCGTCGTCATCGCCCCCGTCGCAGTCCTATCTCCCTCCTCCCCACCTCCCTTCTGCACAACCTGGGTACTCCTCGCACTCCCCATACTCCTCGAACTCCCCGCACTCATCCTCTTCACGAATACCCTCGACACGCGGCGCGCGATCCCCGCCGCTGCATAATCGAACTGGCCCAAGTTCAGTCCCAGGCTGAACGATGACGGACGGGGTGGGGATGCCGTGGGGGATCCTCGAGAAGAAGGAGGAGAAGAAGAAGAGGGATTACGAGAAGAGGTGGTATGTCCGTTTGCTGCTTCTGAACGCGTTGTCGTCGTCGTCGTGGACGAGGGGGAGGAAGCTGGTAGAGATGCTGTAGTTGATTCCGCTGGATGCCTCGCACGGTGACGGGGTACGGGTGCTCCGGATGATGAACCGAATAACGACACTTCAATAACATAGAACAAAGAAAGGATTTAATGCGTAAATGACGACTACACAGTTGCTGAATCCAACGTACTGCATGCTACGAAACCTGCTAATATCATTTTCTTCATCTTCGGTCTGACTGGCTGCATTGTCGGTTGGTCGGGGAGTTGTGGCGGGAGTGACTGATTGGTATGCGGGTGCGTGGGTGGGTGGATGTTGAGAGAGAAATGGGTGATACGAGTCTCAGGCGCTGCCTAGGTGTAAAGGGAGGAGAACTGTAACGAGGGGGGAGGAGGTGCGATTGATTGACCGACGTCCAATGAAAGAGAATTAACAAAAACAACTCCTGTCGAGCGCGGTTAAGTGGCAACAACCGGGTGAAATGACAAGTGGAGAGAGAGGTGTTGATAAGTGATTCACTAATCAACTAAAACCTAGCACCAGAGATACCTAGCCAAGGCTCAGAGAGTGGGTTGAGTTGAGTGAACGGGGAGAATATCGAGATTCAAGAGGTCGGGGGCCTTTATACTTCAGACACAAAAAAGAACAAACAACCCAAATGAAGCCAAAGGCGTAGGTTTGTCCATCTGGCCTCGTGTACTCATGATCATTAATTGCTGGGCCTTGGGCCACGAAGAATAGCCGAACAAAGGGATAACTACTATATTTGGCCGCCTATGTAGTAGAAACGATCCGCCCTTGATCGTGATCGATGGATTGGATGGATGGATGGTTAGAAAATAAGGGAAAAGAAGTCGTCCTTGGAGGATGTTGTGAGCAGCGAAGCTTAGAGAGGACGTAAAACATGGAGTTGGGGGTAGACACACTTCTCATATATAAGTTTCTGAGGTTCTGTATTGACAAGCGACCGACTCGACAAAGACAAGTTTGTTTAGGCAGATTCAGAGGCATCGCCTTGTGACGTCCTGGCAACGTGGCTTTCGTGTTCTTCAGTATCATGCACACGACAGCGGGTATTGAGGAATCACAATCGTCTCTATAGAAGGACAACGATACACCGGGGGGATGAACAAGTGCAGCGATACCAGCATAACTCGAAAAAGCCGGCTCACAGTTATGGGATGAAACAGTAAAACAAAGCGAATAGATCTATGAAATTCCATCATATGGTCTTCGGAAGTGTTTCGATGCACTCCCGGATAACCCGTAGCGTCTCGCCCTTGTCGTACAAAGCTCTTGAACACCCCGCTTGCGCGCACTTCGCCTGCCAACACGCCAAAGCTTCAGGCCACTCAGATAAACCGTGTTCTAAAATAGTGTCGCCCGCCGGCCGCACGTCCATCTCCAATATAATCTTGTACTTGAGTTCGCGCCACGTATGATAGTCAATCACCGCATTGCAGTTATTGCATGTCGCGAGACCCCCGCTGACGAATGGCGGGTCGTTCAAACGCTGCCGCAACCTGATGAAAACAAAGAACGAGCCCCCAGTCAAACAAACATGTACAGTTGACCGGTGAACACAAAGATTCGAGGCAAAAAAAATGTATAACGCACCCTTCCCTGCGGGTGCGGTGCAGGTCGAACAGACGGAGTAAAGCATTCGACGAGAGTCTGCTCAAATACGGGCGCACGTCCTTATTATACAGATCGAATGTCAGAGTCTGAGTAGAAGCATGCCTTGCTTCCGTGTCCCAACCAAACCTACACGCGATCGCATACAGGCGAAACGGCTGCCCCAAAAGCAACGGAGTCATCACGAGCAGCCGAACGATAGACAGCGGGCCCGGCGTATCATATTTCTCAATACTATCCAGCAAAGGATCAATCTGGTCATAAGAGTCGATCTGTGGGATAGGCAACCCCGAAATCATCCGGAAGAGGAGTTCTAACGTAGACGCATCTTCTTCCAAGTAGAAAACACCACCGTTTTCGAGTTGGGAATTCTGCGGGAGCATGAACATTTCACGGAAAAAGCCCGATGCGGTCTTCAGGTTATGAGAATGTAGCCTGAAGAACACTGATGCCTTCGTGACAGAGTCGTTCTTCGCGGCTAATACTACCTCGGCGTCAGGAGACGAGAATAACGGATGGTATTCTCTCTCTTCTTGACTCGGATGGGGATGGGTTTCGACTAAAGCAGTCGAGTGCGAACCGTCTAGTTCCATCATTGAATTCGTGTTGTCCAGGTTGCCACTAGACGGATGATATAAGGGTTAATTGCATGTACAAGCTGAAGTGTCTGACCCTATAAAGACGATTGTGAAGTTTGGGATTATACGAAGAGGATATACCTTTCTATCGACGATAAAACAAAAGGTCCAAGGTTAAGGTCGAGTGGCAACGGAGAGATCACATGATTCAGATGACCCCACTATTACCCGGCCCGAATTCCAGCGACGAACGGCGGCAACCTCGCCCGTGCATCAGTCTCTCGAAATTGACCTGGACTATAAAAACCCACGAAACTCAAAGCATCTCTCGAAGGTACTAGTCAGTACTCCAGTTGCCGTCAACAAGCAAGTGACTTATGTACCAGCGTAATCATCGAACGAGTTTTTGACCCTCATCTAATAGGTGCATACATCCAAACCCTTCATACTATCGAAGAGCCAAACATCTCGATTCTCAGAGCCTGACAGCAATCCCCAGAATCACTCCAAGAATTTTTTTGCAGCTGTAGTAGTAATCGAGGAGTACGCTGAGAGAGGTGAAGTCCAACTTGCTAGAAAACTTGCTCCTTGACCTACTTATGTACACTTACATTCTCACTCCTCAAACTCAGGCCCGGGCACCTACGCTGAGATATGAGAGCGTGAATCTGGAGAGAAGTTTTTTTTGAAGGTGAATTAAAGCTAGTTACACCAACCATCATAGATAGACCGCGACCTGCACAGAAGAGGGATCACATGGAATGTTTGCACATGGTCGAACAGTCGGGGGCTGATGCACCTCTATAAATGGGACACATTCTGTTTACCGTATGTACATGGGCGTCGTCATCCTTGCTCTCGGAAAAAAACACGGCCGAGCTTCGCTTTGGATACTATCACGCCAAACGATACCCGCAAAACGATCTCGAAGGAGTGGTCTTCTCCCATCTTGTTTCAATCGTCAATCCATGATATATGTATGTATGTATGCTCCATCTGTCAAAAAGGCCAAATACATCAACGATAAAATCCACCAACCAAAATCTGGTTGATGAATCTGATATGTACGACGCCTGATGTGCACAAAATAGACCCGCTCACTTGGGGAAGATGGCGAAACCAGAAGAAGCCATATTGGGCCCGGTGCAGACGCACCAAAGTTACTAATCATCTTGATGCCACGGGATTCACTCTCATCTCAATCAAACACTCTATCAAAATCAGTCAGGGATCAGTCTCCTTACCTCCCTCACAGTATATAATAAGCCCACGCTTCTTCCTCTCTTTCCCCAATCATCAGGAACCCCCGTATAACCATAACCATGTCCAACTCCCCCCGTCCCAAATTCTTCGTCTACGCTCCAGACCATACCGAAGAAGGCACTTTCGCAAAGCGGTTATCCATTCGGAATGAACATCTCGCTCGCATGAAGACGATCCTCGCAGCAGGGACCATTCGTACGCCGTTTCCTTACTATCCATCTGCTGGCATTCGGAATCTCATTTGAATACTGCACTGGTACTGGGTAGGTGTCGGTGGTGTACTTCTCTCCCCTGAATCGCTGTCTGCGCCTCCAGAAGGCCAGAAGATGATCGGCTCCACTTTCATATGCGAAGCGGAATCTCTGGACGAGTGCGTATTTAAATTCGCGTTTGTCACAAAGATTTACAATTAGTCTATAGAGTGAAGAAAATGGTTGAAGAAGATATCTACTACAAAGAGGGTGTGGTACGTCCCTAGGTGCTTCTTCTTCATCCGTTCAATACTTATTGAGGTTTTCTCGTTTAGTGGGACAAGGAAAAGATCGTTGTACTCCCAATGATGGCTGCTACCCCCATTCCTTGAACACATTGTGTAACATACAACTGTACAACCACTTAGTGAAAGCAATCTCATTGCCAGATCAGTCCGACCTGCGAGTCAGCAGCACTTATCTTCAGTTTTCTTATCACTTAGGGTCGATCTATGATCCAAGCTCAGCGCTCATTTGGATCCGAAATCATCGTAACATTCGAGAGGACAGCAGAGGACAGCAAAGGACAACAAGGTGAATGGCAGGTACAGCGAGACAGTAACGACAATTGTGAAAGGGGAGAGGAATTGAGTAGGGTATGATAATCAAGACGCAGGAGGAAATAAGGCTGAGTACAGGTAGTATGTATATGTAGTGGATGACAAAGTAAGTACTGATAAATCAAGGGAATATATAAAGTATAAAACGGGCTTGTATAGACAAGAACTTGGACGTAGAATGATACAGATGATGCGGAACGGTTGCAGATGCGTATAAACAAGAATGATGAGTAAGTACAGCGTGAAGGGTCGTGAAATGAACAGTTCGATAGAGGACTAGCCTCGGGTACAGCAAATTCGGCTCATGCGTGGCTTAAGATATTCTGCCTGTTCCAGCGGGGGCTGGTCGGTGTGAGTGAGGGAGGTGATGCTGCGCGTTGGAAAAGTTCGATGGCATTGTTCAATCTCGGCGAGCCTAAACTCAATGCATTCAAAGGTGGAGAGGATACTATGATAGATCTGATTAGCAGGATATCTTGAACTGTAAAAACTGGTGAAACATACCTCTCTTCGCAGAAAGCGAGGGCGAGCAATTCGAAATAGACATCACACTGAACGCAGACCTCAGCTCGAAGTGGTCATGTGCAGAGACGGTAGCTCGTTTCAAATCCTCTGGATGGCATGGTGATGGTGGTGTTGGCGGGACCTCTGGTGCCATGGCATGAGGTATAGAGCGTCTGGGACAGCTTGGGCCGAGTCGGCGCCTTGATACGACATCAACTGACTCGAGGGCAAAGAACGCCACATCTATACAGCACTAGGTGTAAGCGATGTGCACAGCAAAAAAAGGGCGAGGAACGTACCTTCCAGATCCCTAACGGGGTTCGGGTCCCACAAGGAGCTGCTAGATGCTGGCTCCTCGAAGGTAGAGAGCATCGGAAACTCGTTGTCCAATGGACTCAAGAGAGCTGAATTCGATGGTGTTGGATGATATCCGTCGCCGAAAGGATCGAACTTCGATGTATTGTATAGCATTGTGCAAATGTTTGGTCGCTGGTCAAAATGTTAAGGACGGAGGAGAAGTATTCGCAGTGGTGAAGATACTGGTAGGAGGGGGGAAATTGATGGGGATAGATTGCAAGGCAGACAAGGGCTTATATATTCAACCAGCGTCGGCCAAAGCGCAGGCGCTAAACCTGACCATCAATCATGCGAACAAAAAGAACAAGCGCGTTCCAGCCTTCCACAACGGTAACAGAAGTTACTTCTTAGCGCTTGTATACTTGTATTCAATATAGATTGTACCTTTGATGGGAGGATCCGGTGCAGTAGGGCTGAGGGAAAGTTTGCCGGATTAGTTGCGCAACACGTCGCCGTGCACGTCTTCGCAGCTTGTTTTGATGGAAAAATCCGTTAGAAGCATCAGGAAGCATCATGTTTCTTGTCTCTTGTACTGCGCTGTCGTACGAATTCCATGATGCTACATCTAATCGATGATTTTGAGCCAACGGACACTTTGGAGTCCGCTGGACATAAGCGCCCGAATGCCTCGAGGTGTCGAGGAGAACAAAGCAACTTGTAACTCGAAGTTAGCTTCAAAGTCGGAAAGAAATTTGACTGAAGGTAACCTAGTTACGTTTAAGGGAACAATAGTATTCTCTGCCTCGGTTTCTCCACTGGTGCCCGCGAAGCATCTGTATCAGTATACATAAGGGAAAGAAAAAACGAGACATTGATAAGTATGGAAGGACGGGTTCTTCGAGATAGACAGTGTTTAATTTCCCCTGTAATGCTCTCGAAATCCTCCAGTAATGGGACTCGTGAACATTCCTGCTTTGGATTCCATTATGTTTACTTAGTTGAACGCGCATGCCACACTAAACAATGCGTCCTAATTTCCACATTTGATTTCATAGAAGATGGGACTTGAGGACAAGCGAGCCAGGCGACTTCATCTTCGTAAAAGATGACCAGGACAAATGACTCTAGTGGCCGATGCATTCGCTACCAATCGTCACCTCTATCTCCGTATCAGATACATAGACACCCTGTTTTTGGATCATCTCAGAACGAGAAACTTTGCCGCGAACATACGCGTCCTGATGGTCTTTTTGACTCAGTACCCGAGGGTATTGATCAAAGATAGATAAACTTCATCTGTGGACCCACCGATTTGCAACAACAATCCATCCGTCCATATCCCACGTCCAAGCCTCAACGCCTCGAGGCTTGTAACGTGTTCACGCAAATACCCAGTCCTGATGGTACTATAGCAGTGGTAAGTTTTCCGTGAAAGTTCACCTCCGGTATAGCCTCGGGCCGGGTGTTATACCACCTTTCCCCTTGAATGTCATCTCTGCGAGTCTCCAAAGCTTTGCTGAATAACCACTCACGATTAATGTCCTCAATGCCAAGTACCAAATTGCACAAATTCGTCCTATTCGCTCCAGACGCCAAAGATTCCCTTCGGTCCACCGTCCAAAAACAACACCGTGAAGCGATCGCGCCTTTCGTTCAGTCTGGCGTCGTCAGTAAGAAAAAAGGCGTTCTGCTTTTCAAGTTGCGGAACTAATCGCAGAGCACATTATGATTGTAGAGGTCGCTGGAATGACGGTGACACCAGAATCAGTCGAATCTGAAAACGCGACTGTGAAGCCATTTGGGTCGTGTATTATATACGAGGCTGCAAACATAGATGTAGTAAGAAAGATGGTGGAATCTGATATCTACTATACCTCTGGTGTGGTGAATATCCTCAATACCTGGTCTCTTTCGAGTTGTTGGTAACTGATGTCGGCTTTTTGTACAGTGGGACCGGGAAAAGCTAGTTCTCGTACCCTTTCTCCCTGTCACGTCGTTCCCGTAGAATGAGTTATCCGACTAGGGCGTTGATTTAAGCGGAGAATCACGAATAAGACTCAATCTGCAGCACATAGTGTATGTAGGCTTGGATAGAGCTTGTGTGAATAGGAATAGGAATTATTTGGGAATTATGCTCAATGACGAGAGAAAGGCCTTCGGCAATTGCTCATCCGTCAACCGCGTTTATAACCGGTTCCTCAAACCCCTCCCTCAAACAAACCGTTCCATGTTTTCTCGTGCCTTTCAAATAAAGACCACTGCATTCAGGACTTCCTCCTGCAAACTCCTCACTCCTGGAACCATACGGCTAATGTCAACGCAATACGAACATATCCTAACATCTCGACCAAACCCATCTGTCGCTCTTATCACTCTCAACAGGCCAAAAGCTTTGAACGCTTTGAGCACACCGTTATTCCTTGAATTAAACAAAGCACTCTTTGAAGCCGATGCTGACCAGGCTATTGGTGCTATTGTCTTGACCGGCTCCGAGAAGGCTTTCGCAGGTGAGTCCGCTGGTAACTCTGATCATCCATATGTTCATACTCGTGAATTAGCTGGGGCCGATATCAAGGAAATGAAAGACAAGGAGTGTAAGCCTATGGTTGCTAGCTCACTCACATTATAAAGGACGAAATCAACAGTTTCCGACGTATACAAGAACAACTTCCTAGCAAATTGGGGCGAACTATCTAGGCTGAGGAAACCTGTGATAGCAGCAGTGAGCGGATACGCAGTGCGTTTGCTATAATGAAGCCCTTCTATATATTGATACATTTACATTGCATTTACACAGCTCGGAGGAGGTTGCGAACTCGCTCTCATGTGTGACATTATTCTCGCGTCTCCTACCGCCAAGTTTGGGCAGCCGGAGATTAACCTTGGTGTGATTCCCGGTGGGGGAGGTTCCCAGCGTTTAGTCCGTGCTATCGGGAAGTCTCGCGCGATGGAACTCGTTCTCACTGGCCGAATGGTGTCTGCTCAAGAAGCTGACCAATGGGGAATGATCAGTCGCGTTACCGACAACGTCGTCGAAGAAGCTGTTAAGATGGCCACAGAGATCTCAAGTAAAGGTCAAATAGCGATACAGGCTGGAAAGGAAGTTGTCAATGCCGGTGCGTCTTAGTTTGCGACGGGCGGTACAGGCATCACTTGCTTACTCTTCTCTAGCGTATGAATTAACGTTGGCAGAGGGCCTGAGATTTGAGAGGCGCACTTTCCACGGGCTCTTTGCCACCAAGGATCAGGAAGAAGGTAGAGTTATCTGCACACTCTCGAATAAAGACATGGATTCTAATGTTAGCGGACAGGAATGACTGCCTTTGTAGAGAAGCGAAAGGCCAATTTCACCCATCTCTGAACATGGACGAAAAGGATGAGCTGTGTATAATGAGTTGGGATGTGTACGATAATTGCTTGTCGGTCAATGTAAGTTAAACAAATCTTCGAAAAAGTTGACAAGTTTGCGGAATGCGATGGAAACTGCGAACACACACCTATATGCATTTCATTACTTGTACCATCTAAAAACACTTGCTATCAACATGCCTGAATACTATTAGGCACTTGTTCTTTGAAGAAATACATGGAACACTCACCTACTCCGACACCTGCCATTACTCTCTTTTGCATTGGCGTCCCGGGAGAAACAGCTCGGGACTGCCAAAGCGCGTAGCCGCCTACAGTCGCGAATGTACCTGTGCCCACAATTCTGCAGCTGATACAGTCTCCAGGTTTCGCTTTGGGATCTTCCATACGAACGTTGATTGAGAGTGCAAGATTTCGGCTAATGTTATTAGAGACGCGTCAAGTATTGCCGAGTGGCACCAGTCAGCCGATGTGGCAAACTCCGTGAGCAAATTCCACACCCACGCCTTGTTCTGAGCTTTGACATCCAATCTAGAGAACAATAACCTACAATAATATGGAAACTATAAAGCAAGATTCCGACCCCTTGACGACGCGTAACACCATACCAGCTCTCTATGGCTGCAGCTTCTACCAGCCTCAAGCGCACTCGCAGCGCCAGTCGATCCAGATTCAGCGAGCCCTCGTTCAAACGAGCTCGGAACGAGGGAGCAACGCCAGGTCCTGCAAAGTTTGACGATTCATATGTTATCGACTCAGGGTTCTCGAACTTGAAGGGAGACATATATCTCAAAGTTGGAAACACCTTGTTTCCCGCGTCACTCGAAAAACTCCAAAACGTTGAAGGGCTCTTTGCGGATTTATTTTCTATTCAGCAGCCTGAACACGCCGATCGCATTCACGGTTTGCCCTATTGCGACATGTTCAACTGTTCAGAGTCAGAGCTTCGCGTATTAATGAAGCTCATCCATGGATCGAAGTAGTAAGTGTGCGTTTTTATTAACCTTTTCTTCAATAGCTCAGTGAACGTCTTAGTGTCTTTCAGCGAAAGGCTGCATCTGGCGTAACCGAATTCAATATAGAGGACATTCTTGATGCTCTACTCGTTTCATCGAGACTTGACCTTCCAGGAATTCGAACACAAGCCAAAGAGGCCATACACGACTTCTTTCGGACGATGTGGAGTCATATCATTTATTGTGAACCCCCACCCGAATACCCTGTCGTCGCCCTCACGGGTTATACCATGGGCAAAGATAATGCTCTCCGCGTACTGTGCTTCCGCATGATCAAAGTCTTCCGAGAATGCGAATTGGGATACTGCATGCCGATGGCGTATTATTTCGCTGCGCAGCAAACTCATAATGATATCTTGGACGGTATCAAGCTTCCGGATGGCTCTTTGTTAGAGCTTGATCATGATGACAAGAAGAAGGTGTTGAAGGGTAGAGAGATGTTGCGAAGTCTACGACGCAACGTTACGTTCATGTGGCTCATCGAACATGCTGGTTATCCAAAGGATTACGTTCTGCTCCATGGATGCACCTCGAGGGAGTTCCCAAAGCGAAAGGGCTGCTATGACTTCATCTTCGACCTCTATAACTTGTTCTTTTCTCCTAGTTCAAGGTTGTTGGAGGACAGATGCGATGCTCTAGAGTCGATTTCTTTCGAAGCCGTAGAAACCATGAAGAGTCATCTTTGTCCCGAATGTCAGGTCTATTTTACAGATCGAATCATGTATTGTCTCTTGGCTAGTTGGGGCCAAATACCCAGAATCTTCACCGGACACACTTGGGACAAGTTGCGGGAAAAGCAGATACAAATCGAAGCCAACTGGCGTGAAAGACTGTCGTAAAGATAGCTGGGGGTTTCTTACTTGGAGCAGTGCCGTTCTCCGACATAGGAGTCACTTATTTATGTTCCTTCGTACCTACTCATCTGTTCTACTCTAGTATCTGCCCGTGAACGCGCTGGAACGTGTTTGTACTAGAGCGGGGTAGTTTTTCCCCGAAATTCAGTTTTGTCACATGAATCGATTTGCTCTGCTTCTATCATTAAACTTTCATCCCGCCTTATAAAGCAAACCAACCCAAAATGACGTCCTGCCTTTGTTCTTATTCTTCTAGTACAGCATGGAAATTGAGCGCCTACTTTTCGAAAACGCAACGGTAGTATCATTCACAATTTCAACTTGTGGGGGCTGATTGTAGCTGGTGTAGAGAGCCTCGCTTTTCGGTGTAATCGCCCTCGCCTATTTCCTGTACCGAGGATACACTCGCATATCCGTATCCCATATTCCTGGTCCTGAACCAGAATCATTTATACTGGGTGCGCTGCAGTACATCCCTTCAAACTAACTACTGTTCAATGATCTTGCGCATAGGTAATCTACCGGAGCTATTCCAAAGCCAGGTTGGTGTACCAGATTTCAAATGGAAGCAGCAATTTGGGGATATCGTTCGAATCAAAGGCCCGTTTGGGGAAGATCGCCTCTTCATCTCGGATCCTAAAGGTATCGTTTCTGGACAAAGGAGATGGACGAACTCATACCCACTTATGCTGTATACACCCAGCCATGCAATACATATTTCATACAGCAGGTTTGTCTGCCGACAGGTTATTCATACTAAGTATGCTATTGGTTCCTTAATGCTTATCTAGGTTATGGATTTCTCAAATGGCCAGAACGCACTGAAATTAGTCGGGTTCTCATGGGGAGAGGTTTATTATGGGCTGACGGTATGGACTGCGTATACCTCTTCCCACAGGCACTTATATACCGACTTAAATTCATCATACGATCATACAGATGCTATTCACAGACGACAAAGGAAGGTGATGCTTCCCGGATTTGGAGGTAAGTGCTCATAGCTTTTATCTATAATACAATCTCTATTTTGAATAACCTATTTTCCTACAGCTCCCGAATGCAAGGCTTTTGTTCCTATTTTCCTAAAAGCTGCATCTGCTGTGCGTATGAGTCACTACTATTGCTAGGTCTTCCTGTGCAAATCCGAAATCATAGCTCGTGGAGCAATGGAATGATCTTCTCGCAAGCTCTATTGACCAATCGGTCGAGCTCAATGTCGCGTCGTGGCTTTCTAGGGCAACCATGGATTCACTTGGGGAAGGTATAAATCTAGATAACTGAAATAATCACTTCCTTTCTGAAGTAATACAGCGGCATTTGATTATCACTTTGGAGCATTGGAAAACAAGGAGAACGAGTTGATGAAAGCGTATTTTGGCCTAATGTTCGTCAATCTTGATCGTACATCTCCGTTTGCATGTTAAAGACGCTTCAGGTCGGACACCCTTGGCCAGCCGTCGCGTCAAGCAATCTTCACTCAGACTGTAATGCCGGTCTGGTATCTCCGATTCATGTCAAGATATTCTAATACAAGACGAATGGTACACGCTCGACACACAGCTGAATTAGCGAATGACATTGCTCAGTCGTTGATTAACATGAAATCTGAAGCCCTTCTATATGGGAAGGAGAACAAGGACATCCTAAGCCTGTTGGGTAAGACAGTTCTCGTTCATAGAGATTGTTCAGGAGTAACTCACCCTCATCAAACAGTCAAGGCCAACGCCTCAGAAAACCCCGCAAGCCGCCTCACAGACGAGGAGATGTTAGCACAGATGCGCACACTCTTATTGGCAGGTCATTAACGCCGCACACCGTTTTGAAGTTTCGAACACCCAACTCATCGCGCATTTCAGGCCATGAAACTAGTTCAACTTCCCTTGTTTGGTGTATTCTAGAACTGAGCCGCCATCCCGAGGTACAAAGCAAACTTCGGGAAGAGATTCGAGCGACCGAGCGGAGGCTCAACGGTAAACAATTCACAGCGACTGATTTTGACAACATGCCTTACTTGGCAGCTGTTTTGAAGGTATGGTCGTTCACCTTACGCTACATTCGCTTATATAAATGCTTCGTCTATCAGGAGTCAATGCGTTTTCAACCTGCGGTGTATCAGAATTATCGCATGGCGGCGCATGATACTGTTCTACCTCTCTCCAAACCTATCACGACAACCACTGGCGAAACCATTAGTAGTCTCCCTATTGGCAAAGGGACGAAACTTGTGCTATCTATTGCAGCATACAATAGGTATTTTTCCCATCTTCTATAATTCTATCTGAGAAACTTTATTGGCGCTGAATACAGAAATAAGGAAGTGTTCGGTGAAGACGCTGACGTCTATAATCCAGACAGATGGTTTAGAACCTCTGCAAAGAAAGGGCCCACAGTGGGTGTATATGGGAATCTGTAAGCTAAGTGCTGCGTTTTCGGCAGGATACTAACCTTCTCCAAGGCTGACTTTTGCCGGAGGGGTGCGCACTTGTGTCGGTTGGAGGTTTGCCTTGTATGAAATGCAATCCCTACTGGTGGAAATCATCAACAACTTTGAGTTGGGACCTACGAAAGAACTGGAACGATTGAGGCGAGAAGCTTGTTTGGTGATGCTGCCGACTTTGGAAGGCGAGGAAATTAAAGGCGAGAACTTACCACTCCGTGTCAGCATAGCTGCGCGAGATTAACTTGAAGCACTATATGGATCGTTGGGTATTGCTTCTTTGTTATTTCCACTGTCTTTTGCCATATCTTTTTGTCGATTTTGAACAACATGTATCATATCGAAATATCGTGTACTCGAGTTCGTAAATCAATTTCGAAGCGGTACATATTGACGCGGTTCGGGAAGTTCTTGCCTGTTCTTGCGTCGACGTGACAAGGGTGACAGTTAACGTAATCGGTTAAAACGCGTATCATCTGATTCTTCGTGAACTACAACTTCGGCCAGCCTACAGTACTCATAATAGCTATACTCTTCCTAGAAGAGAGTACTGAGCTTGTAAAATGGCAGTCCCTGCGTTCAGGCTCACCGCGCGCGCTCGCGAAGCAAGTGCCTCTCCCTCTGTATCTCTGGAAAAAGGAAGACATCGTATGCGTGCTCCGCGCACTCCTATCACATTGGAAGCACCTATCCTTACTTCTCGTCGTCCTCAGCCTACTAGCACAGACCGAAATAACCTGTATATCGCCGTCCTCGTTTCACTTCTCGCCTTCGCCTGTTTCGCTTGCTTTGGTACCGCTTATTATCTCTACAAATTCAGGTGGAGTCACTTTCTTGAAGTTGGTCCTCGTCGAGCTGATGAAGTCTCCAAAGTCATCGAAATTGATCCCCGCATCGAAGCTTGCCCACAATTGAACTTGCGAGAAGAGAAATACTTGTCCTACTTGCCCCATAGCGGCTTCCACAATCAACGCATCGCTCTCGAGAACGCTCTCGCATTATCTCATATCCTCAATCGCACTCTTCTTGTACCACCCATTCGTCTGGGATCTAAACCTTTACGATATGTCAATTACGATTCGCTATATTCATTCGTCGCATTGTCGGGAAAAGAAAATTTTACACATTGTTCCCGAACAGCTCTAAACGTTCCTCTTCCATCCGAATGCCTTGATTACTTTGACTATACTCTCCTGTCTTGGGAATGGTTGATCGACTTTTCAGCGATACGCGCCCGTCAGCCAATCATACTTCGATGGAATCTCACCGATGTCTGGATACTTGACTGTCTGAACATATCTTTTGCGAACACCCACACTCTCAAAGACTCTGGTCGTTATCAGTTCAGATTCGTCGATAATACTTCGTTGTCGCCGAACGCGAAATTCTCTGAAGACCTGCAAATTGACACATTAGCCTCCGTCAAGGAACCCTTACTACAAATCGGCACGCTATTTGGCTCCTCCAGACTTCATCTCTCGGTACCAGAAAACCGTCGTGTTCGCTCGCAAATTCGTGAGAGTATGGTGCTCACCAACCCCTATCTCTTACATGCTGCCGAATCAGTGGCCAAGACACTAGGGCAGTCATATGTAGCTGTTCATGTGCGTTTAGGAGATGGTCAATTCCAGGCTAATGGTGGAAGCAAGGCACGATCGGTGTGGTGGTCGCTGATACGAGATGAGCTTGGGATCCCTGTTGCCGATATCGTCGCCCTCGAACAAAACATCGGGAAACCGATCACAGATTCATCAATTTTCTCTGATCAGAAGATGAACGATTTCCAAGAAGGGCTTAGCATTTCCGATTCTAACCTTCGATGTCGGAAAGGTCATCACACACAATCGCATCTCAGTCCTCTGAATGTTCCACTCTATATAGCGACAGATGTTACGGACCCCGCTACAGACCCTGACCTCGCTTTATTTTTTCACGCTTTTCCTTGTACCTTCCATCTGGGTGATTTTCTGGGCCATATTGACACCTTGGATCATCTTGAAAATCTCTATGACGGCCTTAAATTGAAGCCATTCCTCATTCCATTTCTAGATGCTATCATCGTAGGAATGGCTAGTCGCGCTATGGGTACCCCAGGAAGCACATTCTCCACATACATTACGGATGTGCTCTGGCCAAAGTACCATAACTTGGCAATTTCGGAACGAGGTTAGTCCCTACCTGCACCTTGGCAGGGGACCGGCCTAATCAGGATAAATTGAAACAATTCTTGTTCATCATTGAAAGTTGTTGCGTGTTGTTTGGGAGGACTGGAGGAGCCTAGAGGTGGATGTGCGAGCATAGCATCTCATAGCATTCATTGTATATTCATTGTATTGAAGCATAGCCAACAGTGTAACAAAATAAAAGAACTCCGAAGGAGTGACTTCCGCTTAAATGGCGTTGCGATGATGGTTTGATGGTTTCACCATCATTTGATCTTTTTCACGGATCTCCACCGCGCGTATAAAAGTCCAATCATTTTTCGGCGCGCGTTCTCTTTCACAACCCGCCTCTCTGACCATCTGGCATAAGGTCTTTCTTCTTTCCTCTCATTTTCTCTCTTCTTTTCCCGCACCCCAATTTGTGTAGATATCGATATGTTGAGCACCCAGCCTTCCAATTCGACGAAGAAGTTCCCGGCCGAACTTCAACCCTCTTCCCTTCACCCGTCGACTGCTGGTAATTCTCTCTTTGAACCTCGACCCAACGCCTCTGGGTTTGCTGTCCCCCCTTCACCCCGGGTCGCTGGAGCGAATGGTGTGTGCTGCCGTTAGATCTTCTTTCTTACCGAAGATTAACACTTCGATTGGCAGGTGAAATCATTGACCAGTGGTTCCAAGACCTTCAGAAGTATGAAGCCACTCTTGTTAGTTTTCAGGTTTTCAGGTGGTATCAGAGTGATATTAATTTTGTTGTCTAGGGTGCTATGGCTGTGGCATCAGAAGACATCAAATTCAGAGAGGAATTAGGCACCATCGAGCAATGTACGTTGGATCGAATTGTCCACAATAGAGGACTTCTTGACATCCGTCCTAGGGTTCAAATTGCTTTCTGAGTCGGAGCAGACAGCTTCGCTCTACACTCTTTTGCAACACGCTAAACCTGCCCAGGTCAAGTTTCTGTCCGCAGTCTTGCAACAGATGTCCGACGGTGCCCCCGCGGTCGCCGCTGCCGGTGATACATCTCCCCTGATAATCTATTGAAAGGAAGCTAATGCATCATTCTGTTCTAGACAATTCAGCAAACAAAGCTGGCCGCGGTGTGCGGCCTCCTAGCCTGAACCTCCCTGGTACTCCTATCGCTTCGCAGTTCGAGTCCCCTGCTGTTGAGAACGACGCTCCTGGCGCCAAAGTAAAGGGCCCACAAACCGAACAAACCCAAGAGGTCGTCGTCAAGCCTAGCGAAGAAACCAGTTGGGCTAGCATGGTGGCAACTCCACAGGACCTTATGTTCAAGAAGGGCGGCGATGTGCCGCCGAACTCTGCTGCTGCTGCTGCTCCTTCCGACCCTGCTGCTCCTACGAGTGTGCCTACCGCTCCCAGTGGACTTGTTGGCCCTGCCGCGGGGATGGCTGCTGGACTGGCGGCTGGTATGATGAACCCTTTCAACATGGCTATGCTCAACAACATTGGATTCTCTACTGAGGCGCAGATCCTTGCCGTTCAACTGGTGATGAGCGGGCTAGTACAGCCTTCAGGAATTCAAAAACCCATTCAGCCCAAGCCTCACTCGAGAGCTGCGAATGCTTCCAATAACTGGCGTTCCCCCGCCAGCGCTCGTTACCCCGGAAGTGCATTGAGGAGCAGTGGACTTCGCAGTAGTGCGCTTCGGAGTGCTTTGAAAGCCCAGACGCCTAAAAGCGCAGTGTCCACGAATACTCTTGGGAGTGCTACTACGCCGAAAATTGAGGATATTGACCCGGAACTTCTCAAAGATGTCCCGGTATGGCTGAAGAGCCTGAGGCTGCACAAGTACACGGATTGCTTCACAGGCATGACGTGGGAGGATATGATTGACCTCAATGAGGATCAGCTCGAAAAGAGAGGTGTGGTCGCTCTGGGAGCACGCAGGAGGATGATCAAGACGTTCGAGAACGTGAAGAGAAAGATGGGTATTGAGTTCACCCCAACAATCCCTGTCACAGCTGGTGTTGAGCCCAGCAGCTCTCTACCAAATATGGGTGAAGTGTCGGTTCCTCGCAGCGCAGCCCCGAATCTATAGAGATTGCAGCTCCAAGTTAGCTCTCTTTCTCATCTCCATAACTATTCTGCATCATCTTCATCTATCTATTCTTTGGCTTCAATTAAATCTATCTGATTCATCCGGAAATTCCCTCCTAACCCTTTACATTTCATGATAGCACTCCAAACAAAACATCCGGTCATTTTGTATTTGTAGCAGCAGCATCACAGTATCAGTATCAGTTCCTCCTCACATACTATACGTTCATCAGTACTAATATTCTCTTGCTTGCCTCTCTACTGACAATGTTCTACTAGGTGAACTTGGCTTCACCTTGGAACTGAGGCGCAAGATTGGTGCTGGTCGCTTCTGCATGGAATGGGTTATTTAATCGCTCGCTCATATATCTATAATAAAAACAATTCCTTGGTTTTTCTCTTCATTTGGATTATGTAAGTAGGTCGAAGATTCGGCGACAGCGGTGGGTAATATTACATGGTTTCATCTCCGAGGATGCTGAGCAAATCTGGGTTCATTCGTCTTCTTGTTTTACATATACATAGTAGATCTCCCGTCCTTTCAGCTTGTGTTAGCTGGTTGATATATGACTCTGCATGGCAGCACTTGATTCATGAAGTGGTACTTATGTAATTATTAGTTCGGTCTAGTGGGAATCTACTCACAGATGCTCTCACTTTCACCTGTGACTGATATATTATCATGGCTACGATCGCTGTCATTGCGGCCGGAGCCATGGGCTCTGCAGTTGGTCGACGACTTGTACAGGGAGGCTGCACAGTTTTGACAAATCTGGATGGACGATCTGAAGCGACGAGAAAAAGGGCAGCTGAGTGTGGAATGGAAGAGAAGTCGTTATCGGAAATTGCCAACCGAGCCAGCTACGTGTTGAGCATTCTGCCACCGAGCAATGCATTCTCCTTTGCCGAGAAATTTCTTCAAGAATCGAAATCAGCTGAACGAATCGCGAATGCAGATCCTTTGGTTTTCATCGACTGCAATGCAGTCAGTCCTGCGACAGTAAAACGTATTTCTAACTTGTTCAGCCAATCTTCATCTGCAATTGGATTTATCGACAGCGGCATTATTGGAGGACCTCCTCAAGACGCATATAATCCGACATTTTACGCATCGGCAGATGATAAGGACATCCTTCTCAAGTTTGGAAAATTGTCCAACTTTGGTTTGAAGATATCGTTGCTCGAAGAAGGTGCAGGAATAGGAGACGCAAGTGCACTGAAGATGTCTTACGCGGTAATTATAATCCCTTTGATAATATTTGCACTTACCAGTGGAGAAATCAGGGCATGACGAAGGGAACCACGGCGCTTTTCACTACGATGATTCTGGCCGCACATGCCAGCTCTCCAGCCACTGCTGAAGCACTTTTGCATGAGCTTAGTGACTCCCAGCCAGAGTTTCTTCGCCGAATCACTCGTACAATCCCACCTATGCTTCCCAAAGCTTATCGATGGGTCGGCGAAATGGAAGAAATTGGCAGTTTCGTAGGTGGTGGGGAAGGGGCGATCTATGAAGGCATAGCAAAGTTGTATCAGAGGGTCGAACAGTCTTTAAGCAGCGACCAGAAGGACGTAGAGGTATTGAAAAAGTTCGTTGAAGAGGCAAAGAAGAAAATGTAAGATAGATAAGATTACACTCAAGATCCTTATCATTATATATCGTAACACGCCTTTCCTTCCACCCATGATATTCTTTCGTCCTGATTAATCACCAAAATAATTCCCTCTATTTCCCTTGGTGGCGTTTCCTGTCCATCAGATGTCTGCCGTCGCTACTGAAGGCCAATCGTTGACTTTATCTCCTTCGAAATTATCATCTTCTCAGAATCTGTCCCGTCAGCCGTCTGGTTCATCAATCAACGGCAAGCCTTCAGACCAGAGTTCCAATTCTCTTGCACCCTCTCCGCACAAATCTAGTCTTCGATATCGTGCATCCAAGGGCCCAACTACAGGCTTAGACGATGACCAAAATGCTCGAGGCGAGAACGTCTGGGGTGCCCAATTTTGGATCACTATAATTGATCCTGAGGTGCGTTTGGCTGTATTTTAGCTTTGTAACTTAGGTCAACCGTAAGTTTTCTAGACACAGAACTCGTTCTATGCTTGCCCAGGGACTGGAGAGGTCAGTTGGGATCCACCCACAGGAAACTTTGTGTGAGTAGTCCAGCTTCTTTTCACGCACGATCTATCTCTGAAGAAACCGCAGACTGCCTCCCAGCGACGAAGGAGAGTGGTGGGAGCTTTGTGATGAATCTCGAGGCGGGATACCCTACTATTATCAAACCAAAACTGGGGAGACAGTCTGGGAGCGCCCGACAGGATTTGTTATACCTTTGGGTATCCTTCAAGTCCGTCTTCCTGTTCATTTAACCTTAGTCCTACGTCTAATGCTATCATACAGAATAATGCGTTAGGCCGACGTCTATCAAATCGATTTTCGCAGTCGATCATTGATGAAGCAAGCTCTAAATTAGCTCAGATACCCGAGAGGCCTTCTTTTCGACGCTCTCAGACTTTGCCCGGTAGCCAAGACGTAACACAGACCGCTCATCTCTCTCCGAATGGCAAACATGCTTCGCCTAGCGCGAGAAAACAAAGTTCTAGCGTCCGGCGATCTTTCTCTAACGAGCTTGGCCGTAACAGTACAAATCGACTACCGCCGATCCCTGCTTCGCCTTACTCGACTGACGCATCTGTCCCTCCCTCACCCGCTGTTTCTCAACATTCCCTCTCAAAACTTACAACGATTCCACGTTCTAAAACTCCCTCCGGCCCCAGCCCGAATGGATATATGTCCCACAACGGCTCAAATTCACCGACCCGAGCGCGCTCAAAATCATCTTCCTATGTATCTCGTAAACCAGCGCAACCGCAGAGCCTCAATGCCGCTTTGGAACTTCTGAACACGTCTCAGTCCGAGAATAGTAATCAGGGTAGCTCAGCAAAATCCAGTCCCACCTCACCATCTTCTCGTTCCAGCACAAGGGAGACACCCCCAACACCGCCTTCCCCTCAACGAACGCGGATCCCATCGTTGCCAAATACGACTGGTAAACATACTGGCCGTAACGTTTCCGGTATCACTGTGGCTGGAAAGGAAATTAGTGCGCCGATCCTCAATCATGGTTCGTTCCTACCGCTTTGCGTATATACGTTATATTATCTCTTTACTGATAAAGCGCTGCTCTACATAGCCGCAACGATGGATATGAGTCCAGTGAAAAACCGCGCTGCGGGAAAACCTATACCTGTTTCACCCGTAGTCCCACTTCATCCTACGCCTTCGACTACTCTGAGTACTGGGTTAGAGATTCAATGTTTCTCCTCTCTGGCCTGTCATCGGCTTACACGTCCAATACCAGAATATATCCTGCTCTCCCGCACGACCTCGCTTCTGACATTCTGCAGTTCTCGGAATCAGACTACGCAAAACAATATTTCTCTACACATCGTTCTGGATTCATATTCAAACGACGAATCCCTGTCGCTCAGTTGGTGACATGGCAAAAGGCAAGCATTTCACGATCTCGATCTATGAGTGGCAGCACTTTTTAACAAACAATGGATATAGGCTCCTCTGAGTTCCCCGCTTTTGACACTGAAAGGTAATCTCAACCGAGATGCTGTCAAGATATTCAAGGTCGTTCAACACATAATGGGAGATCGGGAGAAGGAGAGGGGTTTGGGTGTTCGTGCTCCTTCTGACTACGTTTCGACGGTCTCTCCTATCAACTCGTCGACCACCTCACTTGGACATTCTTCTTCTTCATCTCATAATCATGTTTTGGAAGAAGAACGATGGTTGCTGGGGGAGGGGTTGACCCACGGTGAACTGCGAGATGAAATATATTGTCAAGTGATGAAACAGCTCTCCAAAAATCCAAATCCGTAAGTGCGCCCCCATTCGACTGCGGTGTATCCCTACTCTGATTGGGTTTCTTGTGTTTTCGTCTTGTAGCGAGAGTGTATTCAAGGGCTGGCAGTTGCTATGTGTCCTTCTCATCACCTTTCCTCCATCGAAGGATTTTGAGATGTATTTGCGATCCTTCATTCAGACTCACCTGTCACATCATGAAGGTCGGATAGACATTATGGCCAAGTTCAGCTTGCGACGCCTCGACGTAATATCCAAAAAGGGTCCACGAGGGAAACCACCTACGATTTCGGAACTAGAGACGGCTTCAGTGCGTTTAGACCTTTTCGAGATAGTGGCAACTGACTAAATGTTTGAAAAATTTTATGTAGGATGCCGCCTTCAACCCTTCAACCTTTGGTGAATCCCTTGACGCTATCATTCGTCTCCAAGAACGGAACTATCCTCAACAAAAGGTTCCCATCATCCTGCCCTTCCTTGCTGATGGGATTCTCGCCCTGGGTGGTACGAAATCCGAAGGCATATTCCGTGTGCCCGGGGATGGTGACTCGGTATCTGAGCTCAAGTTAAGGATCGACCGCGGGTATTATAACTTGGAAGGAGCTGACGACCCGAACGTCCTTGCGTCGCTCATGAAACTTTGGTTGCGAGAGTTGTGTGAGCCTTTGGTGCCGGAGGAGATGTACAACGAATGCGTCACAAGTTCGAAGGATCCCGAGGCGTGTGTGCATATCGTGAAGCGTCTCCCGACGATCAGCAGGAGGGTGGTGCTTTTTGTGATCAGCTTCCTCCAACTCTTCCTGGACGAAAAAGTCCAAAGTGTGACGAAAATGACACCTGCTAACCTCGCCCTGGTGATGGCACCCAATATACTGCGGTGTAATTCAGATTCGATGTCAGTGGTTTTCACTAATGCGCAGTGAGTTCAGCTCTTTTGATCCTTCTTTCGGACTTGTAATCTTACATCATGCTCCAGATACGAGCAGATATTTGTTTATAATCTACTCTTGCACCTCAAATGTGCAGACATCGACACTAACTATGTGCCGGTTCATGGACTTGGGGCTGTTCAACCGTCACCAGCCCCACGGAAGTCTAAATCTAGAGTAAAGCCTCTTCAACACTGACACTCCTTTTTCTTCTCCTTCTTGGGCTCTGGTACAATGTTGTATCATGCTTTTTTCTACTTAACACTCTTCCTTGAATATACCCATTACTGATAATCAAAAAGTTAATTAGAATTCTCGCATTTTCCTAATCTTCATTCTGCGTTCTTGCTTCCATCAATTCTTGTCTTGGCTGCTGCATGCATGGATCACTCATTATTAGTTCCTTTTCGACGTATCTCAAAGAATGACTTTTGACTCTAATCCTACAATCAAATGCTCGTATGTAAGATTATGCCGACGGTGATGTAAGGACGATATGTGTAAGTTTAATATCTCTTGGATGTGGAATCTGAGGCTGTATCCCATTGATTGAAAGCCCAATCTTTATCGGCTTTAGTAGATGTTTTCCAGTCATTCCACCTCTTTGATCTATCACTGTCTGCTTCTGGTTTTCGTACAAGTGACTCAATCGATTTGAGTACATCCCAGAGTTCCCCTTCGCCAAAGTAATCATCCTCAATCCAAAGATTCCGTTCGCCAACTTGTCTTCGCACTCCATCGACTATCTTCCGCGTGTTATCGTTAACGTCGACGCCGTTGATAACCATTTCTTGCAGGGCGTCGTGTACACCTTTCAAGTCGTGGAAATGTGTCCATTTCGTTTCAATGAGCTCGTTATAAGCAGGAGTGGTGCACCCGAACACGTATGATGGAATGGAAAGATTTCGAGCATGGTCAAATATTGATAATGCAAGATGGGGATCGTGATACTTGTCCCGGAAAGTACGCATGAGATGAGCAATAATATGAGGATATATGGGTGATTGTAGGATGGGTAAATTCTCTGCGGCAGATGTCTTGTTTGGGCTGGAAGTAACTTTCTGCAGTGCTTCTCTCGATGCAGCTTCGAATTTCTGCGACTCGTCAAACACCTCTCGAATTGCCCATTCTAGAAGTTCCTGGTCTGTGTCACACAAATCCATAGCCTCCTTCTTGCGATCCAATAGCTCCTCCTCTTCGGTTGTCCATCTCATCCTCTTCGAATGTTTCCGTAACTTTCCAAAGAGGTCATTCAGTCCTCCCGGATCGGAGGTCTTTCCCTGAGTGCCAGAAGAGCGCATTTCCGAAGATTTTTGCTCAGAAACGGCATCGAAGATCATGGTAAACATGTCGTCAAATGCGCTTAATTCCGTAGCTGACATTGCTTGTCTGCGAACCCGCCGAGGAGTCTGACTTGCAGGATTTCGAAGCGCAGATGAAGTGAGAGGAGGCATGTTTTTTATGCCTTTGAAGACATGGTCCCAGGTGTCTCCCTCCATTTTAAAGATGGAAGTAGGCTTATCTGCATTTCTGAGTTATAATGAGTCCATTCTGATATCAGCTGTGAGCTCAGTTCACGCACGTATTCTTCGCATTGTCTGTTGAGTATCTTTGTATCCTCACGTACCGTGGAACAGGGACAAAAGAGCGGCATGAATCAACCTGTGGTACCAAAGCATTGTGCGAATGAAATGCTGGAGAGTGAATGAGTTCATGACTACGATGAGAAAAAGATGCTCACGTTTAATTTTCTGCCGCTGGAGGGTTTTGGAAAATCTGCAGTAGCTGAGCATCATTCAAGGTTCTGGTCAAAGAACTCGCGGCCCGGATTCCGTTTACGCGTCTTTAATCCCACTTCTCATGTTGCAAGGATCGACCAACTTTCTCAAATCTGCACGAACACTCAGAAGGAGCTTACAAACGAAGCATGTAAAGCGCCCACCACTCGGGTTTGCGTTCGATATAGTGAGTATAATCTTCTACTCAGTGCTCTGACTTCTTTAGTTGCTAGGACGGCGTACTTATGGGTGGTCCTGAACCTTTGCCTAAAGCTCGCAATGCTCTCAGGATATTGAATGGAGATAACCCCTTGAACGCGTATGTTTGTTTGCCCATTCCTCAAAATGTGTGCTGAATGGCTGCTCTGGATATAGAAAGATACCGTACATCCTGGTAAGTCACTAGTCACCAATCACCCTTTTTGGGGGCTCCTTCGACTGATTCTTCAAGATTTCATAGCTCACAAATGGGGGAGGTCATACAGAGTACGAGCGTGCGCAAAAGTTATCTTCTTGTTTAGATATCCAGGTTACTCCGATCTCCTTCGGGTTTCATTTATTCTGACGCTATCTTAGATATCGCCTTCCCAAATCATACAAGCGCATACCATCCTGAAAGACTATGTCGATCAATATGCTGACAAGGCTGTCCTATGTTTGGGAGGCATTGGCGATACAATGCGTAAAGTAGCAGAAAGGTTTGCATTGTTTTGTTCGGTGATTCTGAATAATGACTCCGTTTTCCCCTGGTCTTCCCTAGCTACGGTTATCGGAAAGCGTACACTACGACCGACGTGTTGGCATGGAACACATCGTAAGTCCGAGTATGCTTTCCTTTCTTCCTGGCTTACGATCCTGAGAAGAATATGGCCCTTTATACACGTCTCAGAGTCAGATCTCGCTTCCGCGAAAGTGTGTTCTGATTTCTGTTACTTGCTCTCTTTGATTACTGACGAATGGTCTCGTACGCACTCGTTGATCAGCCCGTGGATTTTTCGCGTACTCCAATTTCCGCCATATTTGTCTTCCATGATCCGAGGAACTGGGGCGTCGACGGTAAGAGATTAATGCGTCGATTCCTAGAGAATTATCTGCACAATTCTCCTACCCTCCATAGTGCAAATTATGTGTGACGTTTTGCAGTCTGGAGGACTGTTGGAAGGCCCTTATGTAGACATATCGACACAACAATCTAACCCTATCCAAGTGGTATTTTGCAATCCAGATCTTCTATGGAAGTCCGATTTTCCTCGACCAAGGCTTGGGCAAGGCGCATTCAAAGCATCATTCGAAGCGGTCTACAAGGTGAGCCCTGGAAATTCATCCAACCCAACGTGATGAAAGAATTTGTGACCAAATGCGATATGTCAAGATGATAACAGGTTCAGAATATCCGTATGTTCAATTCGGAAAACCTACCAGACCTACGTATGATTACGCACGTCGTGTTCTTCAAAACCTCTTGGAAGAATCATACGGCCCCGGTGAACTTCCTCATATGTCAGTTGCATTTTGTCTCTGCATAAATATTCAGAACTTGCTTCATTGCTGAGTTTCAAACATCTAAATGTAGGTATATGATTGGAGGTATGTGAACGACATTCTGAATGTTTGCGTGTAAGTTTGACTCAAACTTCCCGCTCTCACCTCAAACTCGTGTTTAGATAACCCTGAATCTGGTATGTGCGTTTAGTCGTTCACGTTTCCGTCGCCTATCTAATCCGCGAATTTAGATATTGCCGGAGCGAATGCAGCTGGCTGGTCCTCAATTCTGGTGCACACAGGAGTTTATGACCCTACTACTGGCCCCCCCACCCATATACCAAGTCGGGAAGCTCGAGACGTCGAAGAAGCAGTGATTTGGGCTCTAGACAGGACTCTCAGGTCGAGGCCGTGAAGTTCTTGCACATTTTCAAATAAAGAACGACATCTAGCATTCTGAGAAACGTTGCGGATACTATGTGTCCTCCTGTCTCCAATAGATGTGATATGTACGTACGCCTATAGACATAAGGAAATATTATACTTGCAAACCGAATAGGAATAGTAAGCAGATTGTAATCAGTGGTAATCCCCTATATTTATTAATACTTTGTCCAACAACAACTTACTTTCATACTGCCAGGTCGAAGTACATTTTTCCGATGGCAGACACTAGCTCTTCAAAACCTCATTCCCCCAAACAGCCTTCGGAATTTAGAAAGAAGGATGGAACATATTCTAAGATGCGTTCCCATGCAGGCAACATCCCAGTACTACCGCAAACGAAGCTCTGTCCGTTTTGTCCTGCAAAGTTCACTCGCACGACACACCTGAACAGACATCTGCGTAATCGTCGGTGATAATTTCTTTTTGTGTGATCTGGTACTTATTGTCCTTGACTTCAGATACAAACGAAAGAGTTCACAAATGCGACGTAAGCATGGCTTCCTACGGCCAAGGAAAATAAATTGAAGAAAAAATCGCTCCGTAGCTATGCGAGGCCCAATTCACGCGTAGCGACCTGCTTTCGAGACACAGAAAAGGCTGTAATCAGTAGGTGAGATCTATCCTTGCTAGGCCCTCAATGCTCATATGTATCAGAACTTCTAACGTCCGACGCAAATCTTGTGTTTCGTGTGCCGAATCTAAAGTCAAGTGCGATCGTGAACTTCCTTGCTCGAAATGCTCTTCGAGAGGAATAGAATGCGTTTATGCTGCGGTAACCAAGAAGGTTCATCGAATCCACCAATTAGCTACGACCGATTTTCCGGAAGCAACACACTCGAAATTTTCACTATCCCCGGTTTTCGGTAACACCTCCTCTACCATTCCTAACGATCCTTCGGATTTTAGTCTGGCTCCGACTACAACAGATATTACCAAATCTTCCCGTGATTCCACCTCCGTAACATCGACCGAGACATCATCTCATATTCCAATCAACAGTCATTTGGTGTCTTTGTATAATTGCGACGTGTTTGAGCCTTTTTTTAGCGATGTATTTTCTACTACTGTCGATAACTCGCTACAAACCCCCATCGGCCGGGGCAATAAGGAATACGTTTGGATAAATTTCGATCCTGGACAAAACAATGTGTCACAAAAGGATACTCCTACAACTACAACTTCCTCTGCATCTCTACGTTCCGCTATCAGCGACGCGACTACAGAAACAGCAATGGGATCGTTGCTTGAGCAAGAAGATAACGAAAAACGCCATTATTGTGAGCGGTGTTCTTCATCTGAAATCTGGACTTCATTCTTACCTGTACGCAAGTGCATCTCTTTTACAGTGGTTTTGTGGAGCAGGTACCTGTAGTGCACGCTCCCTCATTCAGCCCAGAAGGCAAACCACCATTCTTAATCAATGCCATGCAAGCATGTGGTGCAATCTTCGTGAAGTCGAAAACAGCCGCAGCATTCATTGCAACGACGTTGAAATCTTCGCGGAAAGTCTTATCTGAAGAACTGGTAAGATAACAGTCTCAGTTTGCTCGGTTGGATTTTACCAATTTTTCCAGTCTAGAGATCTGTTGACGATCGAGGAACAGCTCAATCTGATCTTAACAGTGGTTTTGCTACACACGTTGGGCATGTATCACGAAGACGCTGAGGAGCGTGCTGCTTCTAGCTTATACCACGGTAAGTGGGAATTCAAAAAAACATTTCGCGGGCTCTGAATTTCGACAGGCATGTTGATTACCGTCAGTGTCGAATACCGTCGAACACGCAATCCTATTTCTTTCCTAATTAATAAGGTGTCTATAGATGATCAGAGGTGCTGACTTCATCTCTCATGTTGCTACTTGGTCTGCCGATGAAGACAATCACTTATCGCTGGAAGAACATTGGCGGCATTGGGCATGGCATGAGATGTCAAAACGGTATGCGGTCCAAAGTGTTAAGGGGTTTCGAGTCTAAAACACTGTTTTTATTTTGGTTAGCACCCTCCTGCTGTCCTATCTTCAAGATGCCTCTCAGTCCATATATTTTACTGTGCCGTCTTCGTATCACATTGCAGAATTAAATTTCAACCTCCCTTGCGATGACAAGCTTTGGCGCGCTCAATCGGCGTCTGAATGGTGGTCAGAACTACATCGAGGGTCTCCATACGGAGATGCTCATGACCGGCTGAATTGTCCAACCCTACCAAGTTTGTTACAGTTAGTATTCGAACCTCGAACGACTCAAGTAAAAGCTATATCCCATTTCGCACATTGGGCAGGTTGGTCTCTCTATGAATGGTACTAGCTATGAGTCTGACTTTCACCCGTCTTGACAGTGATACATGGCATCATTAGCTGCCTCTTCACTCTGTGTACTAAAGGTCACCTTCCTGTGCAAAGATCTTTCGGGGCCAACGGAGATCCCTTGAATCAAGAGCTTTATAGAATTCAGTTTGCGATGCACAATTGGTTAGATTGGTGGATGAAACGTCCCGAAGTCATCGAAAATACTCGAGAAGAGGCAGAACTACCTTTTATGCAGAATCGTACGTGAGAAATACCGAAAGGCGTATACAGATCTGAAATTCTGGCAGCTCTCCCTTTCTACTGGCTTGGTCAAGTGGCTCTTATGGCTTACCAGGAAAATCTACCACCATTCAATGATCAAGCAAATTTGTCCATGAATTTGAGGATGGATGTTAGATTCTGGCAGGTCAAAAAGTGGATACGCCACATTCGTTCTTTCCTAGCAGGAGCCCGTGGACATACACCGACCATACTTTGGGATGAGCTAATGAATATCCGCCTGCAGTCGTGGCAAGTTAGTTTAGAACATCCTGCTAAAGACGATCCCCTCGGGCTACTAGGTTTCTTTGTACAGTAGGCAGAGGTATGCAATCGCTTTGACGCCAAAATGTCCGGCATCTGATATCTGAGTCTCAGACTATTCGTTATGGCCAGGTACCAGTTATGGCAGAGACAGGGGCTTCTAACAATACAATATAACATTACGTTCTTTGTTTCGTCGTCGTTCTACGTGCAACACTCAACAACTTCCAACCATGCTACCTTTACCAGTCTCCCAGCCTCAACAAAGATCTTTTCATAACAAGATAGTGGCTCGGGACGGAAGTATCCTACCCGGTTTGCAGTCCCGAGCACGGATCACCAACCTTAGCCTCATTTTACTTTCCTCCCTCGCTTTCTTCTCGGTTGTTCTCAATATGAATGTCTGGATAAGCAGATTACCTGGACCGCCCAACAGCATACTTTCTACACTCAACAGCGATAGAAACTTCGATAATTTTGATCACCTTATCATAGTACCAGGGCATGCAATCTGGAATGGTGCTTCTGCTAAACACAGGCTAGATGAGAATCTTTGGACACTGGAGCCCTATCAGAAGAACAGCGGCAGAGTAGAGGCGTTCTACCAGCACATTTCTTACGCGTAATACTCGCCTTCTCTGCGCTTATTCCGATAACGTGCTGAGAAAACTTTCAGTGCACAACTGGCCCTTCAAGATAAGCGTGCCGTTGTGGTTTTCAGCGGGTTCGTTCACATCAAGCCTAAATTTTTCCACTTAACGATTTCCCGTATATTTACAGGGGTCAGACCCGTCAACAAACCACCACAACGGAAGCAGAATCTTATCACAGGTTGGCAATGCAAGCCAACCTTCTACCGCCCGATTTCATGCGCGCAACAACGGAGAATTACGCTCTTGATTCCTACCAAAACCTGCTATTTTCCATTGCCCGCTTCCACGAATACACTGGAGTGTATCCCGCAAAGATCACTGTCATTGGCTATGAGATGAAAAGGAAGAGGTTTATTGACCTACACCGTGAAGCAGTCCGTTGGTCAAATCATCGGTTTGAGTACATTGGGATAGACAACAGTAATCATCAGGAAAACGTTATCGCTCAAGAAGGAGAGGTGAGCAGTCTATCGGACGAAATCAAAAACTGTACTCAACAGGAACACTTAGATGAGAACATATACTGAAACTTCAAATGATATGTATCACTGTCATTCCAAGTTGCTCCAAAAGCGGATGACAAGAAATCATCATCGTCGATACCATCCATATCATACATCGTCTCCGGAACTCAGTGAACTGTTGGAATGGTGTCCTGCAGGAAGTACACTGTATAATGGGATGCTACCTTGGACAAAGTAGACTCTAGTAGACTGCCTAGAACCATTGTATATATACAATGAAGAACGACTCATCGATGAGACGGATGATGACCAGAACCAAGATTAACGTCATTAAAATCTCCGGAGTACACGTCAGGTTGTCCACCAGAGTACATGTTATAGACATCATCGAGCTCGCGGTTAGGAATGATCACCGAAGGAGGTCGAGGATGTCGGACCGATTTTCGTATTTGGAGGGGTGCCACAGTCTGTTCGTAAGGGTCAGAAACACGAGTGGAACCCTCGCCCATCGGAACAGAAGAGCTGTCGGACATGGATCCTTTCTCGATATCAACATCATGCCCCTTGTCGAATCCATAGCCCACAACTGTGGTAGTGATGGAAGCTGCATAATACGGGTCAGATTCAGGTGAGACTGCAATTGAGGTTGCCTCGACACGTTGGATAGGCTTGGGTTTGGAGATCGACCTCTTCAAGAGAACGAGTGACTTCGGAGGAAGAATCTGCCGACATGTGCAAAATAGTGTGACATTGACACATCCCGACAAGAGGAAAACGGTTTCACTGAACAATATGAGCACTAGAAAGAGCGAAGAGCAAGAGCAAGTAGAGTGTGCAACGCACCAAAAGACAGTCTCCTCAAAAGAAACTATGTGCCCGTTCCAAGCAGCGAAGCGAGAAACGGCAATAGGTAGAATGATTATGCAATATGCAATCTGTTAAACCAAATTCAACTAGAGACCTTCACACCAATTCAATGGGGCTCACTGGAAACCTGAGGGAAGCATTAGTGAAGCAGGCCCTAGGAATAGTAGACTACTTACAGCAGCATTTGTCTTGCTATCGACATTCCCTTGTCATCGAAATTACGGCCTGTTGGACGTTCTTGTGGTTGTCTGTAAAATGTCATACGCCATCCTTTCATGGACATATTCCCTCGTAGACGCAGATGGATGAGTCCATGGAGGACGAAACACGAAAATGCCGCCACAAACATCTTATATCGCACATTCAATATCCAAAATTAACCAGCACTAGTTAAACTCACGATCAGGTAGTCCAACCTACATAGCGAGCGTATTTTAGTTGAAGAATGAGACCAAAGGTAGTGACGAGGGCTCACGTTATCCTAGGAACCTCATATCCGTCGGATATCCAGCACCAGTACCCAGATATTCCGACTTGTGAAATATTAGTACGGCAGTTTAGACGGGAAAATTAATCCAGAAGCTCACAGAAAGGACCACGGTCTACTGTATCAAGTACAGCGGGCCCAGAAATTACGATCGCAAATATCCCAGACCAACCAGCTATCAGAGTCGTATACAAAGTGAACTGATTTGGTTTGCGTTCGAGAACTAGGAGATAGAACGTGTGCACAGCGATGATCTGAGAAACGATTTCTGGTCATTTGATCGTGTAAATATCGAGTTGAGTATCAAGCTCACGATAGTCCACAACGCAGTTCCGACATCTGCGATTTGCTTGAAAACACCTAATAAATTGTATAGCCTGAGTCCCAAATCCGAATCCTCAAGTACAAACCTTGAGCAGTGCAGTATTTATCAAGCAATACTGCGCCAGAGTTGACCCATCGGCTATTGTAGAGTGACCCAATCGCTTGTTCAATGTTATCAAAATATCTAGTGCCCGACATCATTTAGGTACACACCTTGGATAAGATCACAACACAGGAGCGATATGAAGTAGGCAGCGACATGCGTCCGTACAAAGAGGTGCTCGTCATTCTTGTATGTCCGTGTATTGAAAGCCGAGAGCTGTTGAAAGATGAGATGTAGGTAGTTGAAAGTAAAAAACAGTAAAACACACTGAGATCACTGACAATAGCCCAACAACGGCTACCAGAGACAGTGCAGACACAACAAGAAGAAACTGAGTGAAGAATTTGTCAATTCGTGCGGTGAATATCAGCTACGAAAATGAGTCTCACTGTCACACCAGAATGCTCTTTGGCTGTATACGCGACCCGGGTAAGCAGCCATTCACCATTCGGAAGCTTGATCGAGGTAGTGTTAGACATTTGGAGGAAGGAAGATTATTGAAGACACAAGGGAACTGAGACCAGCTCGTCCGGAAAAGTGTTATCTTCACGGTCAACGTTGAAGAGGATGAGAGTAGAAACGCAACTCTGAGCCAGCTCGATTGTTCACAGAGCTTTCGCACGGGGTTGTCATGTTTCAGATCAGACGGTTCGGCGTCCGCCGTCCGGTTGTTTGTCCCCTGTCCATTGTCCAGCCAGTGTCCCTCATCTTTTATCCACCAACGTCCAGTGGATTACCGGTGAATTTCGGATTCGCTACAACCACGCTGACCGGAAACCGGGATTCATCATGATCAGTAATTGGTGATTTTCCACTGATCGAAATGGACTCCGTTAATATTTTTTTGTAAATTTGTACCGGCTAAGCTGTAAGTACTTACAGTCGCCAGTGGATTTCAGTGAAGTTGTAGAACTTTAGTAAATATACATATGAATTACTTTGTCATCATAAGGGCTCCGGAACTACTATACATGGGTAAGTAACACTGACATGCCTCCCTCTACCATACCATGCTAGGCATCGTTGAGTCTGCATTTCGAGACGATTGTTTCCCTATATCTCCGTATGGCTATGTCTATAGATGTTTCGATATTTTCGTCGTCGTCCTTCGTCGTCACATTCAGTTGAAGTTCGGACTAGAACGCTGAAGTGGACTACTTCATTCTTGCTATGCAAAGGCCCTGCCATCGACATGGCTGATTAATTACTACTATACATCCAATTTCATTCACAACTCGAAATTAGTTATTATGAGTTGATATAGAGAGAGGGAGATTTATTTGAACCGCCGCTGGCCACCATTTCAGAGCCAAGAGTCTGGCAAGAGCGGGGGATGTGTCATAAAGTACGCAGCCCCTATCATTTTCCTTTTCTCACCGTCTCGACGCCTTTACTTGTACGATACATCATCCCATCACTGTCAAACCCCCATCACTGTCAAACCCCCATCGATTACTGATCCATCGATTACTGATCCACCTGACCCATCTTCTCCTTCTATTGGCTTCCGCCACCTTCCTTGTTCCTAAACTGTACAGTATTACATCGTTGTTTCTCGCAGACCGGATTATGTATATATAGCCAACCCTCCACAGCCTGGTCCCTTATCTTGACCTCTCTGTCATTATCTGGGACCAGGTATGTGCTTACTTATTATTACCTATGACTACGATACTCAATATATCTCTGTCATTATCTGGGACCAGCCTGCCGCCGTTCTGCTTAGTCGCTCCGCCTTGTTGCCTTGTCCAGTTGCTCCGCCTCACCGTTCTGCTTAGTCGCTCCGCTTTCCCGCTCCGTTAGTCACTCCGCCTCTGCCGCTTCGTGACATTAGGTCAAGATCCATTACTGCACTGACAGCCTACCGATAAGGTTGTCCTTGCAGGGTCTATAGACACCACGTCTTCCCCAGTTCCGCCCGACTCTGAAACACCTGTTGCCAGTATAGACTGCTCCGCACTCCCGCACGCACTTGACCCCAGAGACCAAGCTCACGCCCATAACAACGACGATACCTGGCGCGATTGCCAGTCTCAACCTTGCCCCAACGCCCTTTCGAACTCAATCCGAGAGCCACTCACTGTGAGCAATATAACCTTCCTGCCGATTCCCCAGCCCCGATTGCCTACTCCCATCATGTCGACTCCTATCCCGCCTGCCCCAAACACCTCTGCGGAGGATCTCATGGCTCAGCTCATCAGACAAGTAGCTAACCTTGCTACAGCTATGGAGGAACGCTCATCCTCCAAGTCAAGCATGAATAAACCCGAGGTTTTCAAGGGTAAAGATGGCGCTGAAGCCCGTCGCTTCATGGCTCAGTTCCAGAATTGGGCGTCAGAACAACCGGATCTCGCCAAAAGCCAAGTAAAACTCATCAAGTCCGCCTTGGGCTTCTTCACAGAAAGTGCCGGAGATTGGGCAACTCCCCATCTGCTACATTTCAATGCGGAAAATCCCCCTTTCGGAGGAAATTGGGAGGCGTTTCTGAAGGAATTTAGCCAACGGTTTGAACCAATGGACCCAGGTATGGAAGCCCGTAGCGAGATCAAGAATCTCAGGCAAAGTAAAGGACAGACAGTTGCGGAATTCGCTCAGAAGTTCAAGGATATCGGAGATCGGACTGAAATGTCTGATATTGACTTGCGGGAACGTTTCTTCACTGCATTACTCCCAGAGATCCGACAACACCTCATCACCGTAAACATTGCCCAAGGAATTGCTCCGACTCTGAAGGAGGCAATCAAACGGGCCATATCGGTGGATGTCTACCTGCACGATCCCACCATGACTGGCCGGAACTCTGGATACCCTCCCACGCATACTGCTCATACTACCCCTGCTGACCCCCACGCTATGGACATTGATGCAACCCACACCAGTAATGGGAATACTAGGGAAGCATTCCTAGCTCGCATGCGAGGACGATGCTTCGGCTGCGGTGCCCAAGGTCATGTCAAGCAAAACTGCCCACACCGAGAAACCACCTGCCGCTACTGTGGACGTCGAGGACATCTGGAAGCAGTCTGCCAAGACAAATTCATGGGACTCGGACGAGACCGAGGCCGACGCCAGCAACCTCGACGCCAACAGATATCCGCTACGGGACCCGCGCCATTCTCCCTATTCCCAAACGAATCCGTCCAAATCGCATCCTCGACCCCAACATCTGCTTCTGCACCCGTAGCTGCTACTCCGAGCCCCCCTAACCAGGACTTTTCCAATCAGATTGGTCAAATAAGGGAATTACTTGATCGTGCTAACGCTATGTCCTCCTCGTCCTCTGGCTTTCAACAGGGTTTTTAAAGAGGGTACCCGCTTCGGCTGCACCGAGAGTACCCCGTAATCAGTTTGTTATGTTCGCTACTTCCTCGTATGACTCGCACCCATCATGTACAATATCGTCGATCCGGGAATTAAACTCTACTTCCCCACATTTCCGAATTCATGCGAGACTAAGAGGAAGGAATCACAGTATAACAACTGCAGCCATGGTAGACTGTGGAGCTACCGCCCTGTTTTTAAACCAAGACTTTGTCACCCGGAACCATGTAAGATGTGCACCCCTCCATAAACCAATCGACGTTTTTAATATCGATGGAACACCTAACCGAGCTGGACGGATAACCCATTTTGCACGTCTAGCACTCACAGTGGATAATCAAGAGCGATGGATGGACTTTCTGATCACCAACCTAGGAGGTGAAGACATCATCCTTGGACTCCCCTGGCTACGGAAGGTAAATCCGGAGATTGATTGGGAGAAAGGACGACTTTCAGTAAAGCCTCCTCGAGTAACGATAGAAGAAGTCCCAGACGAGGAGATCTTGTACTCTCATCTAGCCGCCACTCACACAGAAACCCCGATCCTCGAACTCCCGGAACTGGAACCTCCCGCAGAAAACCCCCACATTGAGGTGCCACTAGAAGCGACCCTTGAACCGAGTGAATCAGCAGCGGTGGAAGAACCACCAATACACCGAATTCGAGCCAATCATAAAACTCGCCGGGCATGGGTAAAAGCAGGAATTCTAGAGGAACAGACGGAGGAAGTCTGGTGCGCCGCAGGATTCACTTACTCCCAGCAGCTAGCAGAGGAAGCCAACCGAGACAAACCCGTTAAAACCTTCGAAGAAATGGTCCCTGAGCAGTATCGTGATTTCAAGAAGGTTTTCTCAGAATCCGCCTCCGAACGATTACCTGCCCACCAACCTTGGGACCATGCGATTGATCTCGTACCTGGAGCACCGGCAACCATGCGTACCAAGATTTATCCCATGTCCCTAAACGAGCAGGAGGAGTTGGATCGTTTCCTAGAAGAAAACCTACGGAAAGGCTATATCGTCCCCTCAAAATCACCAATCTCATCACCGGTCTTCTTCGTAAAGAAGAAGGATGGGAAACTCCGTTTCGTACAAGACTACCGGAAACTGAACGAGTACACTGTGAAGAACCGATACCCTCTCCCATTAGTTGCTGACATCATTAGTTGACTTCAGGGAGCCAGATACTTCACGAAGTTTGATGTCCGCTGGGGTTACAATAACATACGGATTAAGAAGGGACATGAATGGAAAGGCGCGTTCGCAACAACCCGTGGCTTGTTCGAGCCTAAGGTCATGTTCTTTGGTCTCACAAATTCCCCTGCCACGTTCCAAGCACTTATGAATGCTATATTTGCTGATCTCATTGCAGCCGGCAAGGTGGCAGTCTACCTAGATGACATCCTTATCTTCAGTAACGATCTCGAGGAACACCGACGAATGGTACGGGAAGTATTAACTCGGTTAGAAAAGCACGACCTCTACCTACGACCCGAAAAATGCGAATTTGAACAACAACAGATTGAATACCTCGGACTCATCATCTCAGAAGGGGAGGTGAGAATGGATCCGGTAAAAGTAGCGGCTGTTCGCGACTGGCCAGTCCCTAATAATCTTCGGGAACTACGAGGGTTCTTGGGATTTGCAAACTTCTACCGACGCTTTATCCGGAATTTTGCCAAAATAGCACGACCTCTGAACGATCTGACGAAGAAAGACACCAGCTTTACCTGGACCGACACTCGACAGAAAGCATTTGATACCCTTCGAGAAGCCTTCATCTCCGCACCGATCCTTGCTCTATGGACACCAGACAGGCCTACTCGAATCGAGGTAGACGCATCAGGCTTTGCCACAGGAGGCGCCCTTATGCAGAAGCAAGACGATGGCCAATGGCATCCGGTAGCCTTCAGATCGGCATCCATGCAGCCAGCGGAACGGAACTACGAAATCTACGATCGAGAAATGCTTGCTATCATTGAAGCACTGAAGGATTGGAGGAACTTTCTAGAAGGACTCCCTCAACCATTCGACATCATTACGGACCATTCGAACCTCGAATTCTGGCGCACTGCACAAGACCTCACCCGCCGACAAGCCCGATGGGCCCTCTATCTGTCACGGTTTGACTTTCATATGATCCACCGCCCTGGTAGAGTAAACACCCAAGCTGATGCTCTCTCCCGCATGGCAGTTCATCATGTATCGGACAGCGATGACAACCGACAACAGACAGTCCTTAAACCTGGCCACTTTGTAAAAATTGCAGCTTCGATCCTACAGAACCCCTTAGAGGATCGTATCCGGAAAGCCTCAGAATGGGAGGCACAGGTATTGGAGGGTCTCAAAACAGTCAAAGAGCACGGACTACAGCGCTTGGCCAATGGGATAGCCGAATGGGAAGAAGACAATGGGTTGGTCTACTACCGAGGTCGAGTATACGTACCAGCAAACGACGACCTACGCACTGAGGTACTCCGTCAATGCCATGACCATCCAACTGCAGGACACCCCGGACTACATGGGACACTCGACTTGGTCAGTACCCATTTCTGGTGGCCTACGTTGCGCTCTTTTGTGGAAAAATACGTTGAGGGATGCGAGGTTTGTGCCCGTAAGAAGATCCAGCGACACCCACGGGCCGTAACTCAACCATTAGATGTACCATCCGGTCTATGGGAAGAGGTAGGGGTTGACCTGATAACACAGCTACCTAACTCCCAAGGCTACGATGCTGTCTTGGTTTGCACAGACCTGTATGGAAAACAAATTCATGCCATTCCTTGCACCAGCTCCATCACAGCCGAAGGCGTTGCCGATATTTACTACCGAGAGATCTTCCGTCTCCATGGTCTTCCTCTTCACTTTAAATCCGACCGCGGACCCCAGTTTGCAGCTAAACTCATGCGATCCCTTCTCGCTAGGCTAGGAATTAAATCAGATCTAACCTCCGGATACCGTCCTCAGTCTAATGGCCAAACCGAACGAGCAAATCAGGAAGTAGAGAAATACATCCGCCTCTATGTAGGACGACGACAAGACGACTGGGCAGAGCACCTTCCCATGGCGGAGTTTGTGATTAACTCACGGACTCATTCTGCGCTAGGCATGTCCCCGTTCGAGCTAACCTACGGCTATCTTCCCCTGTTCAATATCCCAGTGGGCCAACGCAGCGGTATTCCAGCTGTGGATGACCGTATACGGATTCTCCGAGAAGCGCGACAAGATGCTGGAGCTGCCTTACACCTAGGAAAGAAACAACAGAAGGAGGGATACGAACGCGGGAAGCGGAAAGCTCATCAATTTAAAGTTGGAGACCTAGTCTGGCTCAGTGCAGAGGACATTAACCTTCAACTTTCCAGTGAAAAGTTAGGAGATCGACAGCTTGGCCCTTATCGCATTCTGGAGAAAATTGGCCCTTTAGACTACCGCCTTGACCTTCCCCTATCCCTAGATCGCCTTCATCCCGTCTTCCATGTCGATAAACTATACCCCTGGAAAGGTAACTCCATTAATGGCGAAATACCAACACCACCAGAGCCGGTATACTTAGAGGATGAAGACGAACCGGAATACGAAGTAGAGGAGATCTTAGACAGCCGGGTTCGATGGAAGAAGTTGGAATATTTGGTTAAGTGGAAAGGTTACGACGCAGGGCACAACTCTTGGGAACCTGCTGTCATAAAGTACGCAGCCCCTATCATTTTCCTTTTCTCACCGTCTCGACGCCTTTACTTGTACGATACATCATCCCATCACTGTCAAACCCCCATCGATTACTGATCCATCGATTACTGATCCACCTGACCCACCTTCTCCTTCTACTGGCTTCCGCCACCTTCCTTGTTCCTAAACTGTACAGTATTACATCGTTGTTTCTCGCAGACCGGATTATGTATATATAGCCAACCCTCCACAGCCTGGTCCCTTATCTTGACCTCTCTGTCATTATCTGGGACCAGGTATGTGCTTACTTATTATTACCTATGACTACGATACTCAATATATCTCTGTCATTATCTGGGACCAGCTTGCCGCCGTTCTGCTTAGTCGCTCCGCCTTGTTGCCTTGTCCAGTTGCTCCGCCTCACCGTTCTGCTTAGTCGCTCCGCTTTCCCGCTCCGTTAGTCACTCCGCCTCTGCCGCTTCGTGACACCTGCAGCCAACCTCAGTCGAGCACCAAAAATTGTTCGGGCCTTTCATAAAAAACACCCAACAGCGGCAAAGCCTTGACCATCGAGGGCAATGGTCATAAGGAGGGGGGTAATGTCATAAAGTACGCAGCCCCTATCATTTTCCTTTTCTCACCGTCTCGACGCCTTTACTTGTACGATACATCATCCCATCACTGTCAAACCCCCATCACTGTCAAACCCCCATCGATTACTGATCCATCGATTACTGATCCACCTGACCCATCTTCTCCTTCTATTGGCTTCCGCCACCTTCCTTGTTCCTAAACTGTACAGTATTACATCGTTGTTTCTCGCAGACCGGATTATGTATATATAGCCAACCCTCCACAGCCTGGTCCCTTATCTTGACCTCTCTGTCATTATCTGGGACCAGGTATGTGCTTACTTATTATTACCTATGACTACGATACTCAATATATCTCTGTCATTATCTGGGACCAGCCTGCCGCCGTTCTGCTTAGTCGCTCCGCCTTGTTGCCTTGTCCAGTTGCTCCGCCTCACCGTTCTGCTTAGTCGCTCCGCTTTCCCGCTCCGTTAGTCACTCCGCCTCTGCCGCTTCGTGACAGGATGCCCTGTACCGGGTACAAGTAACATCAAAATATTGGTAGTAGCCAGGGGAGGTAAGCAAGAAGTGACATGGACAGATGAATATAGGTTATAACTTATGCAGAACTGTGAGCAATATCAGAGTAATAGGGGGCCTAGTGAATAAGGTTTCTCGTTTTTACCCGACCACTTCATAGAGCTGCTTTGGGAATACTAGGATTAGATAGCACAGCAAACATCCATCCTATCAAGGTATTCGGGCCAATTATGATTGTTTGCAGATTTCCAGTCCGTCCGCGTCCCACCTTTGAATTCCGCCGATCACCGGAATTTCACTGGAGATTCGTGTTACCTTCAATGCATCTACGGTGCTTCGGTAGACAATCATTGATTACTCTACTCTCAAGGTCAACGCGTTCGCGGTAGAGCAAAAAATCTCAAGACCAAAAAATCCCAAAACCTGTCATCGAGGACGCGATAATGAAGGGCCAGGACTAATACTATCATCTCCCAATTCATAAACCATCCTAGATCGTCGCTCGACCTGCACAGTCTTTTCCACCCTCACATGCGCACTCCCATCTTCAGCCCAATCGGTCCCTAGTTCCACATCCTCCAGATCGAAGTCTGGAATAGTCAAATCGAGACTAACCGTCGATGCTTTTGGCTTGAACTGTGTCCGAACTACATGACTCACGCTGTACACCGAGCTGATACTTTGTGAGGTTGAACTCGATGCAGCGTCAGCAGCAGTATCGATTCTTCTCTTCATGGATATTTCTGAAAGGCTACCGGTTAGCATTGAAAAAAACAGGCTATTTATTACGTACCATGTAAATGGATGATGAGGCGTTTGGACATGATCCACGTCATACAGTATCCGAGAGAGGCACTTCATAGTAGATCCACTGTAAGTGGCAGATCAATGAACGTTCTGGGTAACTCACGCTGCAGTCTTAAAATATGCAGTTCAGCCACATCCACATATGAGATGGATCAGAACATACTTGTATGTCTTGAGACGCCCGATATATAACAAGATTGAGGATGTTGACGCAGGTGAGGGCTGTGAAATATCCAATTCCGTCATAAAACATCCTGTCGGAAAAGAGCTATCAATACGGGGTTTAATCAAGATAATAAATGTAATAAGCAAAATTCTGCAAGTGGTTGAGACCGTCCTCGCTATGCCATCATTGCATTCGTTGTCCTGACTCTGACACTCACATTCTTGTCACTTTGGCAAAGCTAGCTCAATTAGTACAACCATTGATGAAAGGTGCATAGAAACGTACAATGAATTCGAAGCCGTCTTATACTTATTCAGGTAGACCATGCAGATTGTTGAGGTTGTCAAGTCGTATATTATGGCAACGACGTAGTAGATCCATGCTCCTAGATGCATAATCTGGAACACACCTCGGCAGCTGTTATTTTGGTGAGGGTTCAGATCCTCAAACGAAAATTCTCGCCTTACTTTCCCTGAAGAACGATTCTTGAGGTCAAATTCACAGAAAAAGATGGTACAGTGTTGAGGGACTCACAAACTGAGGATCAAGAACCGCTGCAAAAAATATAATCAATACCAACTCAAAGTAGTTCAGTTTACCTCAATACTCGCCAGTTCGATGGTAGAGGTTAGTCAAGCCTTCCAACTGCTTCCGAAGGTGAATGTGAGTTATAGAAGGGATGGAAAATGCGCACAGCGGTAGCGGCTATCAATAAAACTAGAAGTGAGCCTCCAACTAATCGAGATCTCCGTGAAAGGTTGAAGGCACTTCTCTGTACATTAGCAAGATTTCCAAGGAAGGAGATTGACAAAAAACCGGAAACATACCGGAGACCAAGGATGATTTGAGATACCGTGGATTGTATGACTAGAGAGAAGTTATTGGTGTAAGTTCTGCATGTTTTAGATTTATATACCTTTGAAAATTGAGGGTATTAAATAGTAGTGAGAGCAAGAGCGCTCAGTGAAATGGGAATAGAAGTATCCGACATTCGAAAGAGCGAGGGTCGCTATGCTTGTGAATCTTGAAAGATACAGGGCCGTAAACAACTTGCTTGGAGAGTGAGGAAAATCGCAAGACGCAACTGAATAAGGAGAAAAAGACTGAACGAGGCACTGAAGAGGTGGTAAGACGAAATAACATCAGGCGAAGGATAAGCGCACGTCATGTGAGGAGCATTCCACTGTTCTCGAATATACCTACAGGTACTCGGGGCAGTTTCGAGGAAGCTAAACAATATCTGAGTGCTTGTCACTGGTTTGAGGTCGATCACCCGTTGAACCTACTCGTAGAGTGCGATCGATACAGATGCAATCCGAAGGTATGTTGTCAACTGGTATGAGCTTGGACTGATGTAGTCGCCATCCATGCCGGAAGGTGAAGAGGCGATTGCAGTTATCTGTCGGTCGACGAAGAGGGAAAGAAGATGGGGGTCAAGTTCAATGTTGACATCCTCGTGGCGCATCTGGAGTCCAGCCATGACAGGTGTGCGAATCTGAACGTAAGTTGACAAAGGAGGTACTTACATCTGGACACATACGGAGAACAGAATGAGCATGTGCTTATATCGTTTCCCATAAAGCAATTGTTCTTGAATTGATTGGACCGTGGCAGGGTCTACCGTTGTAAGTTATAGAGTAAGTTATGGTGTGCTACAAAGAGTAATCGAAAGCTTAAAGCCTAAGTATTCACAGATGGAAGCTCCCATGGGAAAAGAACACTTCGAGAAGCGTGGTTGCAACAGATTACAGCCCGACAAAGGGCGCGAGACGACACTACATATGGTTTTGTGGCGGGCGGAAATGGAATGATCCCGAACCTTCCCAAACTCAAACTCATGCCGTATTGACCACTCCACCATCCAATCTATGAGATCCCACAGAAAATTGTCAATGCGACGATTGAAGATTCCTCAGACACTTGAATATGTAAAATTGAATAGTAATCGCGAAGATTAAAAATAATATTCACCTGGTCTGTTCATAACAATTCTATTCGACAGTTGACCAGGAAGAGAGTGGTTGCCGCCAAGTACAGTACCAATTTATGAATACCGATTCTCATCTGAAGATGGCGATGAAGGTGCAACGCGCAGGTCCAACATATAGAAGTGTCTGCCCAGCTATGTACATACTGCGCATATATTAGTCGAAGGTATATTAGGTCGCTATTAACAAAGCTATTAACAGAGCCATTAAAGTAAGCAAATACAGATAGCCAGAATTATACAAATCCTGTATTGGATGTGGGCATTTGTGCGTTTGAAATTTCTATCAGTTAACTGTAACACATGCGTCAGCTAGGGCTGCCACAGGAACAAGTATTGAACTCACATTATTAATGATATTGCGAGGCGACTAGTTGCAGATGATACAGGGCCTTCATTGTTTGTGTTCGACGTTCACCCTCATGGCCACTGCTGGCGGTGGCATAGCCGAGCTGGGTGGACATACGCGTACTTAATTGGGCGTAATCTCGAAATGCTGCAAAGCAACGCTGAGAGGAGCACGTAGTATAAACAAAACAGACTTACAGTTGATCCTGTTTGCTTTGTATTCATACCATGCCATCAACATCAAAGCATGTAGAGTGTCTACACTAGGAATGTGGGAGACGGCATTAACAGCTGTCTGTACCAATATGCGATGTCTTAGCGGGATGGGCAGTGCAAGGTGGCAGCGTGAAGTACCTTGGCGTTATTCGCGTACGTTTCCGCGACATTATGCAGTCCGCGTACTGTTAGATCAGGATTCGTTGAGAACCTACGCGTTTCAGATCAAATATACATTCAATGAAGTTGGAAAAACAAAACCACTACTCACCTCACAGCGAAGGCCGCAATGCAATTAGCCAAAGATGGCGACATTCTACGTTGATTGTAATCTCTGTAAACGTCGTCGTAGGCAACAAAGGAGTATTCTTGATGTAAATTATTGAAGAACAATAGAATGAATTCTGTCATTAGACTATAGGACGGGTGCTGTGGTGAAGTAGAATCGAAGAGAGGGACTTGACGCGAATTAGGATTGGACTGTGATCGGGAGTGGTACATCATCGGTGAATTTGAAGGACTCGGCGACATTGACTGATAGCTAAGAGGGCTTTGACGAGCAGAACTGTTGTAGGACATAGAAGAGGAATGACTACGCCAAAACCACTCGAATTCAGCGCCGAGGAACACGTATATTCATACAAAACGCACCGGTGTGAATATTCTACCGACCGTCGGGGATCTGGGGCATAGGGAGAGTATCGAACACTGCCATTGTCATCCGCGCCGACAACGCCGTTAGCCTTGGGTGAATGAGACACCGAACGAGGAATAGAATAAGATGAAAGCGCAGGACTGGAAGAACTAGAGGCTACCGGAAACCCATCTGCAGCACTGTCGGATCTAAGAGAAAGCAACGTTACGTCGATGTACGCGTTATACTCAAAGAAAGTTGACCTTTGTTCACTAGAAGAGGCTCCAGGCCCAGCAATAGAGCGACTTCGCTCAGCAAAGTATCGTTCTCTATCTCGGAATCGACATTGGATCTTTGCCGCTCTACAAGCTTCACATTTCCCCTCAGGAGTAGGTTGTAAGCATTTGATCTTTTTCAGACGGCTGATAGATGTTGAGTGAATGGAGAAGAAGCCTCGGTACGCCACTCACCAATTATCACAAGACGTGACGAGACGAGGACGCTTCTTATGACCTTGTGTGTTTTGAGGAGATTCAATGATAAACTGGAAAGAGTCGTCCATCGGAAAAGCCAACAGTGACTAGCACACAGTGATGGCTTTTAAGTATGGAGCGACTCGACCTCAAGGCTTATTTGGCGTCAGTCACACGTAACACTTAGATATCATAAATATCCCGGAAACGGGAAAATAGATAAAAGTCGAGTTGTTTCGTTGGCAAGGGCGTCGTTTGTGCCCGGCCTTGTCGTTCCGAATCGGATCTCTGAAAGGGAAGTGCAGAATTTGAGCTGACCGCCCAAAATTTGGTTGCGCCCCGTGGGTTTCCTGTAGGTCCGTTTTGCGAAGGGCTGGTTGTTGTTAAATGAATATAATGAGAACAAAGAATAGAAACTTGAAAGAAGTACTTCAAATAGTGCTTACATCACTCTATCAATCGCTAAAATCCACATGCGAAGAGTGACTTCGGACTCATCATCCATCAATCCGCAGGATGCGATTTACCTGCAAACCAGGTCCGTTCGGTTCGTTTTCCAGGTACCAGATCTTACGTACGGCAAGGAATGACTCTGTTTCGTCTCTATTATTATTCTACAAGTACGCGCTCCTGGACCTCAAAGGTATCAAGATTTTTCAAATAGATTATAAATAAGCAATGGCAAAGATATATCCGTTGCTAGTCCGTCGGGACATTCTTCGACCGTTCTAGACGGGTCGCACCCGGCGGTGGCACCGGAGTCAACGGAATCCTTGAGAAAGCCCTTTTCCTCTTTCTCCTCCTCTTACTCGGTGGAGAACAACATATTTCTTGCCTCATCCTATAGATAAAGTGAAGTAAGAGCATCAGGAAATTGGGATTGAGTTTCTGTCTTTGAGATCATCAAGTACGCAAAATGTCATTACTCACGACTTGGTGTATTTCAAGATTATCCGCACTATTTGAAGTCAACCGCGACGTTTCATCGAGTTCAGTAGAGTCATCTCTAGGATGAAGAGCGATCTCTTCCTCGGGAAGGATAGGATTACCATGCCCGTCCAGTGGTATCGTCGATTGTATTGATTTCAAGTATTTGTGGTAGGTAAAAAGACAGATGCCTGCGAACAATTTCAGACGACGGACTTAGTCAGATTCCCACTCGACGTACCACATATTGTGATAGCAACACCAGTTATGTTCAGTGGAGTGAGCTCGTCACCAAAAAACCATGCTGATACACTGATGGTAGCGACCTCTTTTGCAATTCCTGCAATTGACATCGGTACCATCCCAGCACGCTGGATGATGCTTCAAAGTGGGGATGAGAAATCTTCACGGGAGCATGTAAGAATGACTGACTAGAATTCACTAAGCACCATACAAAACGCAAGTACTCCGGGTGCAAGAAGGAGTAGGATTGTCTTTATTGTTCGAGTGATACCGGAAGTGAAAAACTCGCTCTTCAATAGAGAAGACCAGCTTTCGATGAAAAAGCTCAAGATAATGAGCGTCACCGCCATTATAGGACTCAGAAGAAATATCGTAGACGCAGGATTGCTGAAGCCCATTTTCTTGTTTTGGAACAATAGCTGCGTCAAAGCCCATCGAAGACCGCCCAAGGCACTTGCACTAATTACCAGTACGAAGCCACCGAGAATGAAATGCGTCTCCGTCGCTACCATAAGTAGGACCCCGCTACAGATAAGCATGATGACCCCTACAAGGCGCCAGGAAAAACGCTCCAAGTGGAAGAGGAAGGCGAAAAGCAGCACGAATATTAGAGAAGATGATTTGACCATAGCTTTGTATATTATCAGTACAGGAGCACGATAGGAAGACAAAAAGCGCACTATAGAACGACAAGGATACAGTTTTAAGTGAAAGGTTTGAAAGCCCTATATCGAGACTTGTGGTAGCGCCTGTGGGGACCGCATTCTTCCTGCAAAGATCGCGTCAGTGAGAGCCGCAAATCCTGAGAAACGCGTAAAATCTCCATGCATGCTCCCTGGCCCTGATATAAGTTCGCAGTGACAATGGCATGGTTCGGGACGCAATCACTCGATTGAATTTGAAAAACTAACCCATACTCCTCAGTCGTGGGGTATCGATCTGGCCTGAATTTATGAGGCCATATGCTGATCACTAGGCCAGCCAAGATAAATTGGACGACCATATGTAGCGACGTGACGAACAGAGGATAGGGGAAATTGAAATGAGAGTCGGAAAACATCCATTTGTTATACATTGAAAGAAGAATTGCGAAGAAGAACCTGGATCAAACAAGGGTTCGATACTTGACTCAGCGCACTGAACTAACTTGAAAAAGAAAACTCTATAACTCACCAAGAACCGATAAACATTGTGTTTACGGTCGCATTTTGAATCCACAATCTTCTCTTTTCTTCCACCGAAGGAACATGCGCATAGAATGAAGGGCGCAAATCTTGCTGCTCGTAATCATCTTCTTGCGATGAACTTTGTCCCAAAGAGTCGTCCAGCGAGCGGTCATCTTGGCGTAGTAGAGCCATGCACGAGAATTGTCAATTGAGAACACGTCAAAGACGTTTCCTGGGAATACTTACCGAATTTGGAAATGCGTTCCGCTTGTACCTGCCCACAACCTCTCAACGAAAAGCTTTAATCAGTGCAAATGCACCCGTACAGGTGACAATCTGATCTTCTTTCAAAAAAAAGTGCTATTATGATACAATGTTGTACACAAGGTCGGAATGCCGAGACATGATAATAATAATCTGCACTGTCAGTTGGCAGCCAGTTGTTACATGCAGATGGAACATAATGGACAAATTTTTGCCAACATGCATGATCATTCTTGCTGTTTCTGCATGTCCTCCAATTCGGAATTTGCATTCAACTTAGCAGGGTCCTTCCTGTAGATGTAGTACAGCAATCTGACGGCTGAGCGGAAATACGACCAAGTGGACTGACCACGTTCTCCAGTGTTCAAATTGTTGTTGATTTAGATATTCACGAAACATCTCGTCCTTCTTCATAGCAGTCCTAAATTGAGCATGCTGAAGCAACTCCAGATGATGAAGCGCGTGGGGATAACTTAAGATCATAAGTTCGGAAATGAGTATGTATCTTACAGCGGACCCTATTCACTTACTGTATAAAGCGAGCACAATCTTTCTCCTTGAAGTATAAAAGGTACTTGAGAAAGTTGATAAACGTAGGTTGCTCCAAAATGTTCTGCTGCGCTAACGAATGGAGGTAAAAGGGATTGGCAAGAGCTTGAACGAATTCCAACTCAAGCTCAAATCGGGCTCGATTGGCTGCTTCTGGGTCAGCACTGGGAGTTGCCGGTGCTGGGGTTGTCATGACTCCCTTTGTACCAAACGATGCAGACGATGGGAGCGCGAACGGAAGTGGCACAACCAGGGCCAACTTCTTCTTCAAGTTCGGCCCGCAGTTTCAGCCCACGTGATTCTGCGACGCGTCATCCACTTGACGCGTTCAGTTGAACTCTTCATTTATTTTTTCGTTGCAACTCCTCTTCTCGTATCATCTCAACTTCAACAATGTCCGGAGACGATGACTCAAATGGCTGGCAGCTTACAGAGTCAGACCCTGGTGTCTTTTCGTATGTTCTTCCGATCTGGGACCCCTACAAACTCTCATGCCGAATTCAGAGAGTTGTTAAAAACTCTAGGGGTTCCACTAATCGTGGATGATCTCTACTCTTTAGACTCAGAATCTCTTGCCTCGCTGCAACCTCTGCATGCCTTGATATTTCTATTCAAATGGGTTTCAACCTCATCTGACAGCATGAGTGGAAACTACGATCCTGAATTTCCAGGCTTCTTCGCACATCAAGTTGTGAACAATGCGTGCGCTACTCTAGCGGTTCTTAACGCGCTTGGGAATATTCCGGCTCTCAAAAGTGGATCGCAATTGACTCAATTATTGGAGTTTACGAACGGCATGGACCCTCAGACTCGCGGCCTTGTCATCACCAGCTCCGACTGGTTAAGAGAAGCTCATAATTCTCTGTCGCCACCTAGTGCAATCTCTCTGGATGGACTGGGGCTTCCGAAGCAGACGGAGGATGCTTACCACTTTGTGGTTTATCTTCCGTTCATGGGATTTCTATACGAACTGGATGGCCTGAAGCCTCACGCCGTCAGTCACGGGTCCTATAATGAAACAGGCGAAGGCTGGCTTTCTCGCGCACGGTCAGTCGTTTCACGTTTTCCAAGATGATGAGATTTCAATAGTTCAGAAAGTGAGGTTATTGAAAATCGAATAGCGACGTACCCACCTGGAGCCGTAAGTCTTGATCTTCATTAAACCAAGTTCATATGTGAATAGTGATGAAATCTAGCTCGATTTCAGTCTCTTAGCCTTAAGAGAAGACCCACTTCCCTTAATACAAGCCGAACTAGCAGAACTTCAAGCAGCCGGAAAGCAAGCTGAAGCCGCCGATTTAGTCGTCAAGCTGGAGAGCGAGACATCTAAACGAAATAGATGGAATGTGAGTAAAGGGTCGCTTTATATTCTCGGGTTGCATACATGGCTGATGTACAATGTGAATGAATCATAGTTCGAAAACAGTTTGCGAAGGCACAATCACGTTGGGCTTGTGCACTCCCTTCTGGTCGCACTTGCCAAGGCTGGAAAGCTGGAGTCGGCGAAGGAAAGAGCAAAAGGTATTATGAAGGAGCGTGTATCTAAGGCAAAGTCGAAAGGAGAGGCAATGGATGAAAGTTAAATTCTCGTGTAAATGGCTATCAATTTTGATCTGCACCCACATTTGAGTTGGATCGTCAGAAAGAAGGTAAAATAAAATAATAGCACGGCATACACACTGCAGTCCAAGAATTGAACACAGCAATCCAGACGGGATCCAGAAGAAGATGAAAAAGGTATGAGTGATCAGGAAGTTTGCAAATCAGCAGATCTTTTCTCTAATGCGACCGTGAATAATGATTAATGATCTCCGCTTCTCTTGGAAAACATCACTTAGAAGATTGAGGGTATCTTTCACCACGATGTTTTACCTCCACTACCGTGAGTACAGTCACATAAGAAATTGAGCTAATCATCGGCGGTTCACCGTCGGCGCAGGGACTCCAGATGGCCGATTTTACATGCACAGATATAGTACTTAGAGTTAATGAACAATATTGTACGGCGAACCTCGTTAAAACGCACATACAACGCTCTACGTTAGCCTCGTCGGACATTGATGATCCAGCACGGTACTTGACCTATCAAGACCTATCACGCATTACACGTTATCCAAGCATAATTATTGCTGTCTTTCGCACTTCAGATTCGCGGACTTTCTCTCTCTTGGTCATCTGTCATGAGTCAAATCTCGGATTGGAGCATTCGCTGTTCAATGGCTGCAATTAACTAGGAGTCTTGAGTTAGACCGTTCAGCAGATCAGAGCACAGCACCTGGACTGTGATAATATCTTCTCAGAAGCGGTAATCGGATAAATCCTGGTGAAATAAACCTTCATAGTAGTAAGTACCTGGTATTAGAAGGAAAGAGAAGATACGTTCTGGATCCTGATTGCGGAAATAGGTTCCCGAATTTCTAAGTACATATGTCCTTCAATTTGATATCAACAAATTCGACGGTTTGCTCAGGACTGCCCCTGCTCAATCATCTCCTTGAAAGAAATTGAATGTCGAACACAATACTGCAAAGACTACGGATGAATGAAACCTGAGTTAAACCATGCATTTACTCCGGGGTTAAAGTTCTTAGCAGTAACTGCTTCCACGCAGTCGGACTCGGGAGTGGGGAAGCTTTATCAGTCTTTCTAACTCCTTGTCCAGAGGATTTTCAAAGTCGGCATCTAAATAGTAAATTGTTTCCGACAGAACGTTTTTGAGATGATTTTCATGCATAATCAATACATATTACCTTTTTTTAATGCTGGATGCTACGGTCTGGTCCTTTTGCAAACTTTCTGGATTCCATACAGCCATATCTGAGTTCGGTCAAAGAACGAACTTCTTCAAACAGAAAATACACTATGCAGTAAGACAGCATACTTACATGCCATTACATTATGACCTCTATGACCATCTGAATGGCTCAGTGGGGTATATCTGTTCTTTTTTTGTATAGATCATACACCGGCTGCACACCTGTGGCTTTCAGTTCTCTCGAAACCCGTTCTGCTCCTTCGAAAACCCTGAGAAGATTGCCTCCAGTCAAACCTGCTAATTCAAGTTTCGTCCAGCCACGGCTATAAAGCTCAGCGATCTACATGAGGGATATGTAAATGTTGTAATCACACGGAAATGGGGGTAATCACGCACTAGTGCTGGATACTTTGATACATCTTCCAGACCAGCTGGAACAATTTCTATACCGTCGAAATCACTGCCTATACCCACATGTTCCTTACCAGCAATATTTGCAATATGCTCGACATGGTTGGCTACAGTCTTCACTGTTGCCAGACCTTCGGGTGCCACAAAATACGGCGCAAAGTTGACCTTGAAGATCGGCAGAATCAGCATGTTATTTGATTAGAAGCCAGTTCGAGTACCATGACCACCGCATCTTTCTGTCCGCTACCAGTACCAATAAGTCCTAGAACATCATCTGGAACGTTACGGGGTACGTTATGGACAGCTCGGGCGGATGAGTGCGACCAGATCACAGGGGCCTTGGAGTATTTGAGAGCCTGAATTGCAGTGGCGTCGGAAGTGTGACTCAAGTCTACTAAGACGCCGAGTCGGTTCATTTCATCAATCAGTGAGAACCCAAGGGCACTGAGTGCAACATATGTAAGTATTCAGCACATGGAAAGTAATAAAAAACAGCAGGGGCGGCAAGTTCGGACGTCGGGGTGAAACGCGGAAACGCGGGGAGGAAAGGCAAAAGTGACGCAGTATATTACGGCGTACTATTTTTGTGACTCGAAAGGGAGAATCCTCTGTAGATACCCAAGCTCACCATACTCAGAAGAGCGGACCCGGATGGAAAAAGAAAACTTGAAAAAATCGGCTCACCTCAAACCGCCATGTAAAGGTTCTTTTCCCGGGGCCAGACCACATGAATCTGCAAACGCGTTGTGGCAAGTGTGGGTGAGGGTAACGTATGAAACTCCCAGTGCTTGGTACTGCCTCAGTACAGAGATAGAATTACCAAGTTGGTGAGCACTATATAAGGCGAAGATGAGCCAGGAGATCTCAACAGTTCAGACGAAGAACAGGAACGATCGAGGAGCAAAAACCGGTCAGCTCGATTCCCGACCAGGCCTCGTAGCACCCAGACTACTGAATCTGGACGTTCATTGTGCGCTACTGAGTATGTCCCTCGGTCTCAAGAATATTCAGAGACAACCATCGAACCTGGGTTCGATGTGGAGAGCATATTGCACGGGACTTGGGAGCATACTGAAGCAGGTCAACGACAACGCACCCTTCAACGCCAAGAAGACTGGCTATCTTTCCGCTAGCGATAGAAGATCTTATCCCTTCTGCATTCCGCGCAAATCGAAAGGTCTGACAATCACCTGTTGGTTAATTTTGTCCATGGCCAGGGAAACACGAACATACTTCCGGGTACTTTTCAATGAGCAGCTTAGCAACATCGATTTGTTCCAGTGTATCCCTAATATGTAGATATTAAGGTTGTGCACGGGTCCTATCAGCTTCATGAAGCAGACCTGACTCTCCAAGTTGATTTCAAAAAATCGGCTCCCTCAGCCTCGGGGTCCGCACAGCCTACATATACTGACCTTAAGTAGATATCAGGTTATTCATTGTGAGCATCATGAAAGCTGACAAAGGCATACCAGAAGAAGCCACCAACTTTTCCCTTTCTAAGTCGAGGAATATCTACGTGGGCAGGCATTTCGGAGTTGAGGTCAACGGCTGATACATTGTTGGCGTAACCACCGTAACGAATGAGTATTGGAAGATCGATATGCCCGTCCTAACAAAGGAAGATAGCTATGTAACATCTGTATACAGAGATATATGGGACTCACAATAATTGGAGCCTTTTCTAGTATGCCCAGTGCCGCAACCATGGGATCCTTCAGCTCTCCGCCGATCCAAGGAAGTTCCTTGATGTTATCGGGAAGGGAGTCGGAGAAGAACAGAAAAACCACAAGAGCTGCTGTTGTTGTTGCAGTCAGTATTCCCCATACTATAAAGCGCACTGTGAAATTAAATGTAGGAAGTGATTTATGTGCGCCACGGCTATTATTGTTCGCATCCGAAGTGGATGGGAGAAGGGCAGTATGCTCAGACATGAATAGACCTTCAAGCTTCAAACTTCAGGACTCTGTTGACAGTGACACTTGAGAACAACGGATAAAGAAACGCGCCTTGCACAAGGCTGAGAGCGCGACTGACATAGCTGACTCAGGATATATGCCATTTGATTGCCGAAAGATAAGATTATGCTTATAATGAGCGCTGATAAGCGTTGATAATCTCCGGAGTCCGGATCCTCTACACTTCACGACATTCGCAATTTTACTGGCTGGGATATCCCTTATACTCCGCTTCTCTTTCCAAGTTCTGGATGGGCTCCCTAGAAAGCAACGACTCAGTCCAGCATAAAACCCGAGTAATTCTCGTAGGAATCGGGTACGCTCTGAATATTTCTTCTCCTTTCATTCAAATACTCTTCCCTGAAACTTGTTAATTTTCACAGAGGTGCAACTTGCTCTGGCAAAACAACCCTCGCAAAGCACCTAGCACGAATACTGCCAAACAGTGTCATCATTCATCAGGACGTATGTACGTTCGATGTCCGTCGATGTATATGCTTCGTCCTAAACGATGACTCATCCTTCAGGATTTTGCTCCAGTAAGGTCATTTGAGTATTGTCTTTCAAGCTCATCAATATGTTTTCTTAGCCTCAAGAACAAGTTCCTGTGCATCCTGTGTATAATGTACAAGACTGGGATGCTCCAACTGGAGCCATTCAATGGCCTCGCATGGTCGAGTCCTTAAAAGAAGTTAAGAAGACCGGAGTAATTCCCCCAGAACATATAAGTCACGACCATTTGAACGAACAAAAGGATGTACCTTTGAACGATGGCTTAATGCTCAAGTGGTCTCGCGTTTTCGACGAGATGCAACAAAACGCAGAGCGGGGTGGGGTTAAGATAATATGGGGTCTGGTGGATGGGTTCTTATTGTATTGGCACCCGGTCAGTGGATGTAATGTGAGAAGCTATTTTGAGGATCTCTGACCAAATGGTTTGGTAGGGCGTTTACGAGCAATTGGATGCACGGATATTTCTCCGTGTCCCGGAAGCCATACTTAAACATAGACGATATGAAAGACACGGATATCATACTGCAGGTATGTTTCTTGTGCCAATTCGCCTCGTTTGGTTTTCGGCCTTCCTTTCTCTATTCTGCATGTATATTGACGGGGTCTATTCACTTCCTTTCCCGCGGTCCACTTCTCTAACTCCACCTGTTTGGCCCCGACGCTGTATAACCTACCTGTCGCTGACCAACAGTCCAATTTGACCCAGAGGGATCACTCTGGCGCGATCCCCCGAATTATTGGGAGCAGATTGTCTGGCCCGCGTACTTGGAGGCTAATAGAGATATATTCGCCGATGGAGATGTAGAGCATGGCGGCCCTAGTGGAAAAGTTCCACAGTTGGTCCTTATAGATGCGATTGAAGCGAGCATGGAGGAGTTGGTTCAGAGATGTTGTGAGGTGTTGAAGGAGACGCTATAGAATTCCGATGTCTTTTTGGGACAATTTCCCTACATAGAGCTTGGAGAGGAAGAAATAGTTCAGCACGAAAGACCATCATTGGCTTATCCCCTCGCGCTTGAATCAGATCAACCTGAGGAATAACTACACGCATAGTGATAACAGCCGCAATGCGTCCTCTCCTCAGCCATACTATATCGACGAAAGGGACTGAACTACTTGACACCATGTATGTTAATACCCACATTCTAGACTCGTATAGACCTGGTATACATAGACGATTCCTTACCTTGGTCCACAGCGAAAAGTTTAGACCACCGGCTGTAAGAGCTTGAGTGTAGACCTCCAACGATTTATTCTTTGAGAAAGCTCATGAAAGCTGCCCGGCAAGTTAAGTGATCAACCGGTGGTCAAGCTCTGTTGGCTGGTGTTTGAAATGTTTGGGGGGCAGTTTGAAATGCGGGTATTTCGGATCGCATTACCGGATAAATCACATGCAAGTACAAAGGAATAGGTGTCTTGTGATTGGCCCATCTCCGGGGTAAGCTCAAGTTCTAACTTCTATATAAGACACGGCTCACCTGGGGTCCGTTTCAAGACCTTCTATTTCACCACCTCCTCATCTTTTCAACACCATGTCTACCATCGTCGTTGGCGGCGGTCTCGCCGGTCTCTCTGCTGCCCACACACTACTCGAACGTGGGGCTAATGTACTTCTCCTCGACAAGCAAGGGTCCGCGCACCATACTACTCCTAAATCATCTTCTGCCAATTTAACGATAATCGTTGTTTAATATAGGTTCATGGGGGGAAATTCAACCAAGGCAACGTCTGGAATCAACGGCGCTGGTACACAGACCCAGCAGGAGCTGAACATTCCCGACAACGCAAAGATCTTCTTTGAGGATACTAAGAAATCCGTGCGTGCTGAATTTGTTCCTCGCTTCTTTTATACTTATATACTCTGCTATATCGTTCAGGCCCGAGAACTTGCAAGAGACGATCTCATCCGAGTTCTTACTGGCCGCTCAGGTGATGCCGTCAATTGGCTCCAGGATAAGTTTGGGTTGGACTTGTCAAAGGTCGCTCGTCTCGGTGGTCACACTCATCCTCGTACACATCGTGGTGGTGCTCAGTTCCCGGGAATGGTAAGAATCTTGCAACTCAATGTTATCAGTGACGTTCTAATTCGATTCGTTTACGTCCCAGGTCATTACCTATGCTCAGATGGAACGTTTAGAGGATCTTGCTGTGTCTCAACCAGAGCGTGTTAAGATTATCAAAAAGGCCCGAGTAACCAAGCTTATCAAGGACGAGAATGCTCAAGTTATTGGTGTCGAATACACTTTCAATGGCAAAACGGAGACCGCCTACGGACCGGTTATTCTTGCAACCGGTGGATATGCTGCTGACTTTACGTCTGACTCGCTGCTGAAAAAACATCGACCGGAGTACTACAACCTTCCTACAACAAACGGAGATCATTGTACTGGTGATGGGCACAAGATGGCCATGACTGCTGGCGCAAAGGGAATTGACATGGAGAAGGTCCAGGTTCATCCCACCGGCTTAGTGGACCCCAACGACCCCGAAGCTAAGGTGAAGTTCTTGGCTGCAGAAGCTTTGAGAGGTGTCGGTGGACTGTTGTTGGATAACACCGGTGCACGATTCGTTGATGAGCTACAACATCGGGATTATGTTACCGGCAAGATGTGGAAGAACGGCAAGGTATGAAATATTCAACGAAAGCTCAATTCTTTTTGTTTGACCCGGGTATCTACCAGTTCCCTATTCGTCTCGTTCTCAACGGACCCGCGTCGAAAGATATCGAATGGCATTGCAAGCACTATGTCGGCCGTGGTTTGATGAAGCGTTTCGATTCTGGAGATGCTCTTGCCAAGGAATTCGGTGTATCTCCCTCAACCCTCAAGAAAACATTTGAAGACTACAATCAAGTTGTCCGCTCGAAAAAGGATCCTTTCGGCAAGAAGGTTTGTGGGTATATCCCTACATTGGACTTTGCGCTGATGTCTCGTTAGTTCTTCTCTGGTGAATGGACCTACGACGATACTTTCCATGTGTCTATGATGACTCCCGTTTTGCACTACACCATGGGTGGTCTTGAAATTGACGACGCTTCTCGTGTCATTGATACCAACGGCAAACCCATACCTGGTCTTTTCGCTTGCGGAGAAGTTGCTGGAGGCGTCCACGGTGCCAACCGTCTCGGTGGAAGCTCTTTGCTTGGTTGTGTTGTATTTGGACGGGTCGCCGGAGACTCTGCGGCTGCTTACACGCTTCAAGCAACCAGTGCTGCTATAGCAAAGGCAGGTGGCCGTCTTGGTGCTATTGCTGGGCAAGTGTCTGGTGCTCCGTCAGCGTCGTCATCATCATCGAGTGCCCCAGCACCAGAGGCTAAGGGAGAACAGTCGAGCACAGGTGGAAAAGTGTATACGATGGACGAGGTCGCGAAACACAAGGATAAGAAGGACGTCTGGGTCGTCGTGAATGGCGAGGTGCTCGATGTTACCGAGGTACGTCTTGTTATTTTATTCGACCGGTTCCCTGCTAATATTAATGTCGGTAGTTCCTTCCTGACCATCCCGGAGGTGAGAAAGCGATCATGCTTTATGCTGGGCGAGATGCTACGGAAGAGTTCAACATGCTACACGATCCCAAGGTATTAGTTTTCTCTATGTGTTTTATGAACTTGCATGAACGATTACTTGTAGGTTATTCCTCGATACGCAGCAAACGCCGTGATAGGCAAGATCAAGCAATAGAGAACGCTATGTACAAAATATGTATCCGTGTTACCTGTGCTGACGATGTATTTTTTGAATTTTATTTCTCAATAACATCATGGACTTTCTGGAGACTGGAGCATTTGACTTTTCACGAAAAAAGACGCGCGCCACGGTGAGAGGGCGTCACTGGGCTCACTACGTCACTGACGTCATGCGAATCCTCACCCAGATCGCGTGTGTTATAAAAGCTGGTATCTAGTTTATCTTCGCTTTAAAACCACCGTACGTTCTACAATGTTCCGTTCTCAAGCTATTCGCGTTGCAAAGCCTTCGTTTACTCGTGCTCCTGCCCTGACAAAGGTAGATTTCAGCCAAATTGGTCACACTGCAAATGCTAATGATAACATCAGGCGAAGCAAATCCGAACATATACTACTGAAGTACCAAAATCCAAATCCAACAATGGACTGCTAATCGCTACTGTTGTCGCTGCTGTCGGAGCCGGCGGGTACTGGTACTACTCCAACAATCCCGACGAAGCAGCTAGGTTGGAGGCAAAAGCAAAGAAAGACGAGGAGGTAGCCGTTCAGAAGGCTCGGGAAGCTGGTGCTGCAGGTAAAGCACGCGTTGATGATGCATATAAGCTGGGTCAGCTGAAAATCGGCGAAGCGAAAGCCTCTGCAGACAAAACCGTTGGTCAGGCGGAGACAAGAGCGAAGCAGGCAGCCAATGATGCTCAAGCGAAATTCGATGAATACAAATCAAGTGCTTCGAGGAGCCTGTCGAACGCCAAAGACTCAACAGAGAATTTGTATAATGAAGCTAGGGCGTCTGTGGATCAGAAGTATGGCGATGCAAAGGGTAGTGTCGAAGAGAAGAAGGAACAAGCTAAAGCTGGATGGTTTAGTTGGCTTGGATGGGGGAAAAGCACTGCAGAGGATATTAAGAAGGCAGGTGCCGAGAAAGTCTCAGATGCAGCAGGAGATGTACAGGCGAAGGCAAGCAAGCGTACATGATTAATGATTACGGGATTGGAAATTTCTTTCTAGTGTATATTATTTCGGAGAACTTTGTTGTTTCGTTCAAGATGTACTGTTCATTCAATACCATCTTCACAGATCTTCACCTGCTCGGCGCCGTGGTGGATGACTCTTTATTTAAATGTCCTCGCGCCTTCCCTGTTGATTCATTGAGGGTGTCACTTGGAAACGCGCGGCACGTTCCTATGGTGTTCAGTGTCGGCACCTTCAACTTGTGACTATTAAAACGGCAGAGATCCATCCGCACTCACAGTCAAACCGAACTGAAGCGCACCGGTCTCCCAACCTTTGCGAGCCAGCCCAAAATACAAACATGCAATACACAAATGGTACCTCTGTAACTGCCGTAGCGCCAATCGCGCGATGATCTACAAACTTTTACAGATCAGCATTGTACTCCCTATCTCTGACGCTAGCCCTGCACTAGCCTGTATAGGTCTTCACAGGTCAAACAACTCATTACGAAAGCTAACACAAATTCATGATAAATATTGAGAGATTGTCACAGTAAGTATATGTGATCGCTATCTTTTTTTCCACATCGGCGAAAAGCCGCGTCATGGAGGCGCTGCTATGTAGTGGTTTTGTACTGAAGACCACTGTATAGGTATGCGGGAATGCGGGAACGCTAATATTGGATCATATGGGTTCACTTCTCTGCATAATAATTCAGAATCATATTCGTACGTCCGCAGTACCCAGAACGACGATGAATGTGTGCTTTACCTGGTACCAGCCTGGTACCCGATGTTTAGTGCCCTAGTTGACCGAGAGCGATGCTCTGACTTGGATAATGTTTGAATATCGCCGTTATGATTATAATTCCAAGAAATCGACCATGTAATTGTCCCGAAAGACTTCCAGGGTTCGTCGGGGCAGAACAGTGCACGCCCTGAAACACCTGCGCCCATCTTGACCTATCTTGACCTGAGTGAAGATTCACTCAGTATTCACTGACACTCGACCCACAGGCTTTCCACCTCCATAGTGCCATAAACGAGAACACGACAATCTGTATTGTTCCAGGATCCAGATCGATCCTCCTTCCGTTCGGAAGATTTCCGCTGGGCAGTGCTCCAGGTTGAGCCACGGTTCCTGCTGGGACTCACAGACGCTCGCTCACACAATATCCGCAACAACCTCCGAGTCCGAAACAGTCAATCTTTGGCTGAGATCAGGAGTCTCTTTTGAACCTACACTGGCTCAATAACTGAGTACATAGGCACTGTCAATGAGAATTGTGGGGATACAGTACATACATACCCGCGGCCGGACTCCTAAATTCCAGGAAGTAACCAGGAAGTTTAACCACTTTGTTTTCCCGAGCGCAACCAAGGATGACGAACTCATAATGTACTGTAGGAGGGAACGGGTTTTCCTCTAGGGGATCCTAACCGGTGAAACTATGGACTCGATATGCTCCGTCAGTGTGACAAAGTTTTTCAGCCTAAGAGGAATAGGTGCCGGTCATGCAATGGAGCGGGAGATGTCAACTGATGATAAGGAAATGGATGCAAGGCTTAGGATACACCAGTACAAGCCGCCTTTCCAAACGTGGGTGAATCCAGAATATTATGAAGTCCTTTGAAGATATTTTCATGCTGACTATGTTGAGCTTTTTTTTCTTTGTTCAGCAATTTGAAAAAAAAATGGTCCTGGGCAACCGGTATGAGGAAATAGTTAGGATGAAGCGATGCAACCCCTAATTTAGAACTTACTACTTCAACCATTATCTTCAACCCTTCACCATCAATAGCAATGGGAGCTCCACCAAAAAAGAAAGCTCGCCTGGAAGAAGACTCGGCAGAATCCGACGAAGAAGTCTTCCAAGTTGGTAAATCTTGTCCCTTACTCGAATTTTGACCCAACGCGACTGGTTTAAACACGACATGATATAGAATATTTCAAGGCAGCCAAAGTCGATGAAGATGGGGAATGGGTGCGACTTTCTTGCTCCTCGCTTTCTTCTGTGTCATTCTACTAATCTGGAAAACGCCATAGCTGTATCTTGTCAAGGTATAACCAACACAAAAGATTATTTGATCGCAGATTTGCATTACTGAATCGCCTGCTTTCCTAGTGGCATGGCTACGATAATCCAAAGGACGATACGTAGGCGATCATTTCGTGCGCATCTTCAAAAATATGTATCTCACAGCTGCAAACTCCTACTAGATGGGAACCTCAAGAATATATCGCAAACTGTCAACGTCTGCTAGCTTCATTCTGGAAGGAAATAGGCGGGGATGACGAAGACTATTATCCTGGATACAATTGTACACCTTCTGAAGCATGGATCAGTCTGTACCACCTCCTAAACTTCGCTTCAAATTGGATCTAATTCTGGCGCCACTTAGACAAGGAAAAGATTCGATTTGCTCGCAAGAATCCGGACGCGATGCGAAGGGTTGCGGCGCAGAAAGCTAAGGCAGCTGAGCGAGATCGAAAAAAGGAACAGAGAAGACAGAAGCAGGTCAGTGTCACTCACACTTCCTATACGACTATCGTGCTTACCTCTTTCTGAATATACACAGAAACCAGTTATTGCTAAAGCGGCTACTCAGGAAACTACGAAAGCGCCTACCTCCATGCAGGAATCAAAAAGACCATCTTCAATGGGAGTGAATGTCCGAGTCAAAGAGGTATGAAAATCAGGTCTGGCGACGTTTGGTATATTTTGAGCAGTGACATTCCATACAGGAATACGACCGCAGGGTCACCGTCCCTAAAACTATTTCGAAATCAATGCCAAAGCCGGCCATACAACCTGAAGCATCATCAGATTCAGAACCAGATGTTCCTATAATTAAAATGGTGAAACAAGTTCGGAGGGTGGAACAAGAATCATCAAGTTCCTCAGATTCATCGGAAGCAAAGGTAGCCATATTTCTTGAGTCAATCGTAATTCGCGATGGTAATAGTGTAACCATTGCAGCCTCCGTCGGTTAAAGGAAAAAGGAAACGTCCCAATGTCAAAGCTGTTGGTCTAACCTGCTTTGTAGTCATTCTGCGTGCTTACATTCAAGTTGAACAGAGATCAACGGCTGAAGAAACTGAACCACCGAGGTACATGAATCCAGGGCCTTCCAATCTTTCTCTTCAGACAGAGACGAAGCTCGTGAATAAAAACAAGCCATCTTTGCCGCGTTTACGAACAGCCCGTCCAGCTTCCGGACCCTCTAATACGACCCATTCCACGTCCTTACCAACCCTTGCTAAACTTCAAACACCTACACCATCTCTACCAAAACCGACAACGGAGGGTTCCGCGTCTGCAGGTGGCAGCGCCTCCAAGAAAACCTCGACACAAGGAGCTCTGAAGATGGATGCGTTACCGGAGAAAGATATTGGAGGATCGCGGCCCCATCTCCCTCGGAAATCGACATCGACTCTGAACGGCATAAGCTTCAAGAAGAACCGCGGAGGTCCTATGAAGGAGTCTCAAACGATAATAGCTGATCGCGCTTCTCCAAAGAATGTACCGACATATTCTCATCGAGCGGAACCTTCGTCTCCCGCCGTTGTCAGTGCAACCCCAACACCGCGACATTTTTCGAGACCGAAAATGGCATCTGAAGATCAAGTTCCCTCGTCTCAAAAGACGCTCAATAATCCTACTAACCCGCAAGTAGAACCATTCGTACCACTTGCTTCAACCTCAGAGGCTCAACCATCTGATGATTGGGGGATGGATCCTTCTGCCGCTGACCTGAACCATTCGCCGCCAATATCTTCCAGGTATTATTCCATCCTTGCATGTATAGCCTTATATTCCTAAATCATGGTTATATTCAGGAGAAGCTCCATGCTGAATGACGAAGCTGAAAGTTTCCTAAGTTCGGTGATGCCAATGACAAAGTACGTGTCCTCCAAAATATACCTGTCATTTCATGAACACGATGAATTTTCAGGACTGCTGGTGTGGAATATGTCCTGCCAAAATCCGAGTCACGGTGAGTTCACATTTAATTTTGGACGGTTGCTGAGGCCATATTCAATGTTCTTCCAGCATCTCTTCCAAGACGAATGCGATATGGGCGGGTAAACTTATCCTTGAAATAGACGAAATTGATGAAGCTCAGACAATGTCTATGGAAAGCCTGCTTCTTGCGTCCGACCCTTCAGCTGGTCAAATCTCGCTCACGCAAGGTGTGATCCCGTTGAAGGTTTCCATGTCATACAACGACTCCAAGTTGGTTATGAAGTCAAGATCTTTCTATAGATTTGAAGACTTGAATGCAATTCTAGCTGCCTGTAGTCCGGTCAAGGAGTGGGGGTGGCTCTGTGCGGCAAAAGAAGAAGAGGCGAGAAAGTTTAGGCAGATTGCGGATCTTTTGTCTCACAAAAAATGGGTAATGATACTCCTGTTACCTTAGTTTGAACATCGTGATTGATAAAATTCTCCTTTACAGGTTGCGTTCATACCTGTCGCAGTCGAAGAGAAAGTTGTTGCAATAAACTTGATATATCCTTCTACCCTTTCACATCATTACCTTCCTCCTGTCAAGTCATTCGTTCCAAACGAAACCGCACTCATCGTATCGCTGCATAACTGGGTCATCAATGCGGAGGACTGTCTTCTGGATGATGTGCTGAAACATTTTGTTCAGCGACTGGATAATGCATACGACAGGAGAGATTTCAAGTTACCGCGGGGCGTGTATGAAGCTTACGGCGAGCCCGGTATCAAACCACTGGAGGGCCTTTTAGTCCCCAAGCTGACAACCAAGCACGCCGTAAGGATGCTGGAACTCCCCGAACTGCTACATTCATACTTAGTGTCTGGCGGTGAGCGGCCTTTTGCGTTATGGCCCCCAGTCGATTCAGAAGTTTTTGGTTTGTCACCCGTTTCTGAGATTGAAAGGGAAATGCTATCAACGCTGTTGAACGAATATCCCGCCACGGTCAATCAAGGCACTGTGGGTACGGAATGGGATTCATCTCTGAGAGTGATTTTTGCCCATGTCAATTCGCTGGTTCCCAGTTCAGGTTGGAGAGACATTAGAGACATACCTGGTCTTTCAGAATACCGAATGATGAACGATGTGAGGTTCTTTGTTTATGGTTCCAGTGACATCGTGAATCCTCGGTTTTCTGATATCATCGAGGAGATTTGGCATATAGGTACGATCTAGATCTCAGTGTCAATTGCAACGATTAACGCTGAAGGTTTAGGTGGACTTGTGACGTTTACTCCCAATGCTTTGCTTTCCGACCCCCTGGGAGTGCATGAAAGGATCCTTCAGATCGAGGAACACGATTTTTGGGCGTGTTACATTTTGCCTGCTGTCATTGGTATGGCTGTCTCTATTGCGTATCGCGATAGGGAGCATGTTATTCAGAAACGAATAGCATGTAAAGCAAACAAACATGTGCCGCATTGTACTGGTTCTCAAAGTATTGATGTGGACATCGATATTGGTATCGATGAGCCAATATCATGCACATGTGATGGGCTCGGGTACGAATGGCTTTTGGATGCGATAGACGAGGAGTTAATTTCAATTGTGGGGGCTCCACCTTTGCAGACGCATCTTGGTGGCCAAGGTGCCGTAACTCGTCGGGGTGCGTCTAGGGACAATCGACTTCGCAATACAGAGGATTGGAATTTACTTTCAGAGAATCATTCAACATCCTCGTCCTTTCTTACTTACTTGGATACTCCGTCAAGCTCTCTACCCTTGAGTTTTATTGCGCAAGACCAACTCGGGTGCCCTCCATCCTCCATTCCGGTTCAATATGATGACTCCTTCGTACCCTGGATTTTCCAGCTCTTTGATAGCGATGTCCGTGATCGCTCTGAAACGCTAGCATTTTGCGTGAGGGAGTTTATGCAGCTTTGTGGTAATCTGCCACAAGAAGAATGGGAGGATGCGATCAAACGAGAAATCATAGAGCATCTTGGACGTTTGCAAATTAGTCGGGGGTTCAGGGAGGAACTCAGACGATTTGTTATTGTCACAGGTAGCGAGGACAAGGGTCTGCAGACTGATCAGAGTGGTGTGAGTATTGAGTAAACATAGCCTGGCTTATTTTCACTGATGAAAATATTCTGTGTAGATTGAATGGGCTACAGTAGAATCATTCAGATTTCAGGATGTCACTGACGTCCAGGACATTTTCGACCTATTTTAATTCTTTCTATTTTCTTGTAACTTATTATTTTATTTACAGACTATATACTATATATATGTATCTATCACAAAAGTCATTCTAAATTTTCGGAGAAGTGTAGTATTTCTCCAGATATCTATTCAGTCACTGCAACGATTCGTGTTACAGTGTATTCAAAAATTGATGTACGCGCAGGGTACGCGAGTGATTTCCCGAGCCCTGAACAAGTTGCCAATGCACTTCTAAACATCGCATTCTCTGCCTGGTCTCTGCATACTAAGTAGTCTTGCCCATCATGATTAGTAAACCAAAGACATCCTTGTCCAAGTTCAGATGCCACCATTTAGGCAGCAGATTTTAAGGTAGTTTAAGGCAAGGTGTTCTAGAGCCAATGTTGCAGAATGTTGCCTCGCTAGAGCTTGCTAGTGACGGCAGAACGCTCGGTAAATTGCTCGGGTTATGGACATTGTTTTTGAGTACGCTGTAGTCAAAGCACTAGATAGGTACAACGCTGAATTCGAAGTTGAAGCTTGAACTCTTGATTTAGCCAGAATTCTTACTCTGAGTAACCAGGACTCCAGGAGTCACCCTGAGTCATCCTCTGTGTGGAATTCCCATGAAAAACTGATTGACGTTCTTCGGACCAAACAATATCATTTGGAGGCCAGTCCCTTTCGGCTGAGACTGGTTCGCACAACTTGGCGGCATAGGACAGTATCCATTACTCCATTCCCCATACTTAATCCATTGTACGACAGGAGACGGCAGGCCACGGCAGGTCTCCTTCAGGCTTGGTGTTACAAAGTTTGCAAGCCGCCGTTGCTATCCTATCCCTGACATCGACAGACAACTCTAGACAACCGCGGTCGCCGGTAAGTATAAGATTGATGTAGACCGGTCTATGAGGGACACCTCGATATTGCTACGCAAAATTTGATCATTGGTCTTTCCTCCTATGGAGGGCTTGGTCACCAAGCTATACATAGACTGTAGTCTACGGCCCTGTATTCTGTAGCAACAAAAATTTATAAAAGCCAAGGCCCAACGGGTTGCACGTATATAACGATTTGTATGCACAGAATAATCATATGTATAGATTAGCACACCTTGTTATATAGTCTCATACATAGTACGGACGCCGCGCGAGCAGGGTCATTGTGTCAGTGTCTGCCAGCCTTGCATGTTGCCACCATGTTTCACGGTTTACCGCAAGTGTCGTCTCTGCCTGTCAGACTAGAAAAGCCTAGAAACAGCTTGAAACGAGGATAAGCAGGGATCAGTATACAGATGCTCGACAGAAAATTCCCGCAAGTGAAACTTGGGTTCGGCGATCGCAAGGGATGCAATCCAAGCACTCTTGCAGCATATATGCATCTAGAACAGTGTTCATAGGCCTGACTGTCCCGCCGGCACCAAAGGGAAACTTTCTTCTGATTTATTCCCGCATGGCATTGGCTAGCGTTCTCGACTGTCCTCGCACGGTTCTGACCTGATACTCACCCTAACAACTCCGCTCCCGGCAACAGTGTAACTTCCATGTCATGTCGTTTGCGATAATATTGCGATCTTTGAAGACTGTGTTTCAGTCAAGGAAATGTCAGTCAGAAATAACTGAAGCTTTATGAACATTCACGGACGGTTCAAATTAATGGTCATCGTGATAAGGCTGTCTGTAGGAGTGGCCAGCTTCGCACGGAATGTAGGTAATCGTCGTCCCGCTCATTCTGTGGATTCTGATCAAGTTTTCCCGGTTGAAAATGTTCGTGCGTGACACTTGTGCCGAACAATCATTATGAAGTGATTTAAATGATATTGCGTTTTCGAATGATAGGATAGGATAGAAGTAAAGTTGACCACCAAGACCTTGGAATCGAGGGAAAAGAAAGTGGATTCTGAGTCTCCTGGACTAGCAGCTAGCTTTGATTGCTGTGTCTCGAGGTCGTGAAAAGAAGCATAGGGAATCAGTTCACACATATCAATATGCCTGGTGGCACTGGAGCTAGAGCTACACTGGTAGATATTATTTGAGGTTTTTATAACCATCTTAACTCCCGAGTTTTATTCGAGACGTCAATCACGGAAGCCGGATCGAAGGCCCATCGAAGAGGATGTCGGACACGGGTACAAGTGTTTCCAGAGCGCAGAAGACAGCTCCAAGAGTGGTGTGAAAACGAAGTAGCATGGGTGAACTTCAACGAAGGAAGCCAAGTGAAGCCCTCGGCGGTAAAAAAAATGATCCTGCATGAGACAACTATACAAGTGGACATCCATCAAAATAGCACTAGCTTATTACGACACGCTTCTTTTCGCTTATGCCGATGAGAGGGCCGTTTTAAAGGCAATTCAACTTGCTGTTATTTTACCCCATGCCTCTGCCCTGACGTTGTTTTTTCTGTTGACCAACACCATGACCCGCCGTAGCGTTACTTCCGAAGATGAAGACCCTCTGACTCTCGCCATTGCACCTCCACCGAATGAGACCCCTACGCAACGAGACCAAAGGCTTGCCGAAGAGAAAAAAGCGAAGGAAATATCAGATAGCATTGACGAGGAGATAAATGTACAACGTTTGGCCGAGAAGAAGGAAAATCCTGTCAAAGTCTTGCTCCTAGGCATGTTGTCGGATGTTATTTCATGTTTGTCTGGACTATGCTGATCTTATACCAGGTCAAAGCGAATCAGGTATCTTTTTTGAATCCCCTTCATATTCTTCTATGGAACTCAACGTTCAACGTCCTAGGGAAGACAACAACCTTGAAGAGCAAGTGACGTCTGCCGATTATCACAGATCCTGTATTAACCCAGAAATCAGATTTCCAACTGATTAATTCTCCGAAAGCGTTTAAAGCCGAACGAGCGTCATGGCGCGCTGTTATTCAATTAAACGTTGCCCGCTCAATCCGTATCATCATCGACGCCATGACCAGGGCACAACAAGCTTCCTCGCCAAATTCACCACTTGCACCTGACTCATTGGACGATATATCTATATTGGATTCTGAAAATGAATTACCGACACTGACGGCAGAACATCTCAAACTGAAGATGCGACTATCTCCACTCTTGCAGGTCGAGGAATCGTTATGGCGAAGATTATCACCATCTAGTGCTTTTGAATCCGAAACTTCCCATCTTGCATCTATCACCAATGTTCCTCACTCCACACGGCCAAAGGAGGTTTATGTTCAGTCTTCCATGGCCTGGAAATCCACATTTTCGCGATTACTTTCAACATCGACAAGAAGCAGTGTCGATAGCGATCCAGGTATCGATTTCGACGACCCTAAGGACCCTGGGGTTATTTTGAACAACTGCGCGGAGGACATGATCAAGCTATGGCATGATCCTACTATCAGAAATCTCCTGAATGTTCTCAGAATTCGCCTTGAAGACACACCTGGATTGTGAGTTTCATCAATGAACCTTCTGGTATCTTTAATTTCACCCGTTTTTCCGACAGCTTTTTAGATGACCTTGAACGAATCACCGAGTTAAGATATGTCCCTTCCGATGGTAGCTCTTTTTCCACTGCGTTCTGGCGATTCTCTCAGCTGTTTCTATCCAGATGATATTCTCAAAGCGCGATTGAAGACCATGGGTAAGTGCCAGTTGTTCCGCAGATAAATACACATACTAAACTCTATTTTGAATGGCCCATTCAGGCGTCTCGGAGCATCGTTTTGTCTTGAAAACAGGTGAGCAGATCATGCATCAAAAACTACTTTTGTCTTGATATCCGCTGCTGAAGGAAATATGGTAAGCCGGGATTGGAGAGTATTCGACGTTGGAGGGGCTCGATCCTTAGTGAGGCTTCTACTAATACAGAAGAGATACCAAATTTACTGACTTACTCACTTTCATTGTTTCCAGCGAGGTATGCGGACTCAATCATAGACCAGAATAAATGCATACAATATTTTTTTTGCTAGCCGCGTGGGCCCCTTTCTTCGAATTCATAGGTGAACTTTATAGTCACACGTGCATCTTGATCACCAACTGAGAAACTCGGTAGATGCCATTATCTTTCTCGCGCCTCTTTCCTGTTTCGACCAATCTTTAGTTGAAGATCCTTCTGTGAACCGACTGGTAGGCCTATTCTTCCTTGTTTCGTTGTACTTCCCTGTCTAACCTGATATGCAGGAGGATTCTATCCTTCTTTGGAGATCCATTGTCTCGAACCAACTACTTCAAAAGACCGAGTTGATCCTATTTCTCAACAAGTGTGATATTTTGGAAGCCAAGCTCGAGTCAGGCATTCAGTTTTCAAAATGGGTTATCTCATATGGCGATCGACCAAATACGTTCGAAGGAACCTCGAAATGTGAGATCACTTACAATTTTGCTGTAGGCTTCTCATTGACTCCGCTTCTTACTCTTCCCGCGATACATAGATATGAAAAAGAAGTTTGGCACAATACACAAACACAACTCGCCCACCCCCAGAACGTTTTACTGCCACTTCACATCTGTTACGGTCAGTCAGCAACCGTCTATACCTCTTCTTCACTGAGTGCTTCGATGCAGGACATAAAATCCACCTTTCAGATACTCGAAAATGGTATTAACGCACTGAACCCTACGAATATTTCCACTGATGCTTTTTTCTTCCATTCAGTGAAAGATCTCATTGTCAGGAAAAGCCTTACCGACAGCCATATGCTTTAACAGGATCTAACTCGCCATTTACACCAACGCTCAGCACGGACGCCAAGTCCTGATTCTTTCACGATATTTCGAGATCTATCTTTCATCTTGATTGTTTCCCGTTGTACTCATGATATATGTTCACTATGTATATGTCCGCATACATTAGCATATTCTTCACTTGAGTAATTTCATGAGTGGATTTGTATCACCCTCATATAATTGTCTTGCTACTGGCTGCTACTGGCTAGCACTTTTGTAGGGTAAATATCTCCTTTAATCCAGAATCGATATTCGAGATTCACAGCCATGTACAGACGGACCGGGAGGGCATCGTTATCCATAATACTTATTGTTGAGGAATGTGTCGGGATAGACATCGGTATCATATGGATGGCACAAACGCCAAGATACACACTGGAAAGAGAAAAAATTCCGCTCAACGGAATCGTAACAATTCAGCGTAACTGATATATCATGTGACTGCGGATAAACTATATCGGGTATATCGCCGGTCACATGATATATCAGTTGCACTGAATTTTGGTAATTCCGTCGAGCGGAATTTTTTCTCCTTCTGGTGTGATACTGCGATCAGTTCCACTTATTTCATTTTCATCGAAGCATCATAAATTCCTTATCGTTACAAATATCACCCTCATCCGTTCTCTCATAGTGAACGTCTGAGGGTGAGCATCTTGACTCTACTTATGTATTAATAATTAGCCTGTAGTACTTATCGTAATCAGTCGTCTACAAGTATCTAATAGATCCGTTCTCTCATAGTGAATGTCTGAGGTACTTATCGTAATCGGTCGTCTACACTTATTGCTTTTGGATCTTCGTAGGCCTTGTTTGGATTTGATCATGATGGTCTTGCACTTTCCGAAGCGTCAACAGAAGAAAACAACAATTCGCGAGATCATCTCCATTCTAGCATAGACTGCATTGAGTCCTCGACGTAGTACAATGTGAGCTCGAGTTGCGATACCTAGGTGGTAATTCTACAAAATGAGCTGTGAACCGAGATTAATATTACAGTCTATCATACCCAACGCAATGGCCGCCGTCCTACTGATCCTGCTTAGTGTAGGGTGCTGCCTCAGCTGTTCACCCCCCAGTCGCAAAAGTGTTAATGTTTGAGTAGCAGTTCTTCGGCACATCCGACACAATTCTACCGATATTGCTCAACTTAACGGAGTCACATTCTTGGGAGGAAATTGGAGTGGTCCCGGAAGCTTTGTGACCGAAGTTTCAAAGAAGGAAATCCGCCACTTTAAGAAGTCGTAGCGGGAGACTAGGCCTAAAACAGGTCCTCTGGATCATTATTAAGTATCATAAACGAACCTCGTCACTGCCGCCTGAGGGGTCAGTCACCAGACTAGTCGGAAAAGGGAAAATATTTGGTCCCCGTCAATGTTAGACTGGTATTCGGCCAGCTAAACGACGTATTGTATGATAAAAAGTGCCCTTCTTCCGTTGAGCTCGGTTAATCCATTTATCCAATGCTTGCAGATGATCCATGAGTTGCAACGGTAAATGAGAATCCTGGACAAGACTAACGATCAATGCACAAAACAGAATTTCGGAAGGTTTTCACTTCACTTTAAGGCAGTAAATTGCGAGCTTCTTTCGATCCTCTCCCGTGCCAGCTTGTAGTTTTGGGATGTTCCTGAAATCAATGTCTTCTTTCCTCTGTTTCAAAAATCGGAATGAGGATGCTTCCAGGCCTAAGAGCTTCCTCCTGATGCCGACCGCCCGTAACTCAGCCTTTTCTTTGGCAGAAGGATGTCCATGCTCCAGAAAAACAAAATCGTAAAGGTCAACTTGCAGGCGACCCGGAATAACCGGCGCAGAACTGAAAGCACCTGGTCCCGGTCGAAAGATCGGATTCGAGATTTCGAAGTCTAACAATCGAGTCAAAATTGGCTTGTTTTGCGAGCAGAAAACGTCTAGGAGCCGGTCCTACCGTTTATTCTACTGATTCCGCAAGGAATACTGAGGCGCTTTGCACGAAGAAGGATATATGGGATGTCAAATCCACAGGAGTTGTATCCAACGATGATGTCCGGGTCTGCGTCGTGTATAAACTTCAACCATCTCTTGATTAAGTCTGATTCTTCTTCAAAAGATTCAACATCCGTCCCTTCGATTGCGTTGCATGATTTTAAAGTCAGTACGTTCCTGTAGAAAGGTTCACTGTCCCCTGTGAACTTCATTTAGTACGATAGGCTAAATTGACAATAATATAATACTAAGTCATACTTTGGTACTTGAGCATGCCAGAAATTTGAATGATAGATTGTGCGTTCGGTGTGGGGAATTCATCCTTTCCTGAAGGATCGATGTAGACATCCGTTTCTATATCAAAACTTAAGATGCGCAGAGGAGCTTCGCGAGCACAGTTGATAGGTTCCTCTTTCGCTGAACAATTGAAGTTTTCATATCTGTCATCTATAGTATGAGCTCACAAAACAACGGGAAAGCGAGTGTACAAACGTCAAACGGAGCTCGTATTGGCATGCAGAGAGTCTATCAGTGGCCTTCACTAGGTCGTATACCCTTGGAGACAGGGATATCCATCGCATCCCATACCATTCTTCCTCAATTTTTTGTCCTTGTGGGATATCGACAATATGGAGACAAATAGTGACTCCCGCCTAAATTAAGTTATGAGACCAAGTAAATGAAGCTTAGATAGCTAGTTCGGGATGTACCTCAGTTATACCGAAGAGGAAAACCGATGACAGAAATTTTGGATCTCGGCAGTCTTGTATATCCAGTTGTTGGAACACTGACGGGGTGCATCAGACTCATAGGAAAACGTATCCCCATTTATGACATACCAAGTGTTTTACCCAAGTCAATGGGGACGCCAGGCCTGGTCACCTTATCTGTCCACACCGACGTCGTAGCAATGGATAAGGGGTTCTTGTCGCTACGCCAACGCCAGGGGGGTATATCGTTACTAACCTCTGTCCATTGCCTTCATAGTCTGTAAGGCATCTGCAAATGATCCATGAGGAGCGAGTTTCTGCCTTTTAGCTTCGTTTGCTACAATGGAGGCATTTTCTCTATCTAGAAGGGTTCTGCATAGTGGACGGTCGATGATTCGAAACGTAGGTCAAAATAAGCACGGCGCACTCGCAACGTCGCTTGCTGGTATTATCTTGTTGCATTGATTTCGATAGTTGTCAGATAAAAGAAAAATGCACTCCAAGAAAGAGATCAATCAGTGGCCCTAATTGTGGTGGCGGTTGAACGGCCCGGAGCATCGTGGGTGCGCGACCAATGTCTTCTCCTCTCGCTCACTTCCTGGATGATGTGATTCAAGTGATATACCACCTGAATCGTCAATTGTTTCTTCTATCCAAGGTTCAAAATGACGAATGGGTGCTTCATATCGGTCTTCTAGGTTCAGACAGTCGATGGTGGCGCGGTAAATGGGATGAGGAAGATGTTTTGGCTGTCGCTGTTCGTACGCGTGTTTGTGGTTCATGTTGAATCAGGCTTATATGATATAATGACAGGGCTCTAAATCATCCTCAGATGACCTTCTGGAAATGTCGGAGAAGCTGTTGGAATATATCGTTCAAGGAGAGTTATTTCTAAGCGGATGGAGTAAAGAATCTACCAGTTTCAAAGCACGTCCTTTTACCTCCTTTGACGGTTTCGACTATATTTTGCTTTCAGTTAATATTGGGCCCTTCGTCAGAGAAACCTTCGCATTTTCAATTGAATGAGATTTCAGCTGAGGATGCTGCTTGTTATGCCGCCGAAGTCTTCTGTAGCGTATGCATCGCTCTAACCTCAAACCCATGGCCTTGACGCGCATTCTAGATCGCGCGAGATGCTCAAACGCGTAAGTGTCAACTTTATGGCTCCTCCTTTGCGGTTGCCGCGGACGTCTCTACAACACACCTAAACAGTAAGTGAATTGGTTACAGAATGGTACATAACTTCAGCAGTGTTGCCCTTCCGTTCGTAGAAACTGTTGTACCGAGCTCATCGGAAAGCTTCGCAAACAGCGGGCTCGGAACGTCAATCAAGAAACGCGAGGAACCGAAATCGAAAAGGGTAGCAGAACAGCCTGCACCGTCTAAGAGGAGGAAAGAACAGAAGGAGGAGACTCAGTCTCCAGATCCAGAAGCCAGTGTGTTCCATTGATCATTCATGCTTTTGCAATCTCACTTCGTTCCTTAGAACCCAAGGCCAAGGGCGCTCCAAAACCCATCAAAGGCGCTTCTCTGGCGAATCCAACCAAAAAAGCCAGAAAATACCAAGCAGTGCAGTTTGATAGTGACGAGGATTAATTTCGGTTTCGAGCAAGACACTAGACGTTGTTTGTAAGTGGGGAAATCTCACCGCCCCACATCGCAGATCTGATGTGGACCGTAGTGTTCATAGTCCGTGAGTTGAACGCTGGTTGAATGCATGTTGGAAAGTGTGTAACGGAGGTATTTCCCCGTCCCAGAGAAAAAAACAACTTGGATCAGCTGCACGAGTTGCCAGACATACTGCACTCCGGTGGTCCGCTCAGAGTCCCTATTATCGCCTGGAACTTGCTAGACGGTACATACTTTATAATGACAGGACATATGCTATGTGGTACGTACGTGCTCATATGTGTGGAACTTCTCCCTACTTCCAGACCTAAGAGCTAGATTATATCTGTTGCGGCAGTTTGAGTTACGCGAAGGTCGGTTGAGGATTGGCTGCGTGTATACACTTTCAGTAATCTTAATCGTCGTAATTCGCTGTTGAAATCAAATTGAGAACATGTGTACTTTGCTGTGTCTGTCTGAAGGGAGGACAACTACTTATTCCCGCTACCTTTAGGTAGTGGGTATTGTAGCACTTCAATTCAGGAACAGCAATTTCTTGCACGATCATCCCAGGATCATTCGCTGATGACTACTTTAGGACTGCTGACCGATCATCTGTTAATTTCCACTTTGGGTTCTTTCATGATTATATAATTACTTTGCCTCTTTGCTGAAGATTTTCTTTTGTGGTCTGTTTAAGTTGCTCACAACTGGCCAACCTTGCCTTGCAGTTCAAGCTATCACTATCTGTTGTATCAAGATCCTTTATTTGTGCTGATAATCTCAGCAACTGGCACTGTGATTTTGTCATTGCCACTGTTAACTTCAGTCTCAGCAATTTTGGTTTCACATTGCTTCAGTGATCTAGCAGTTTACAGTGTAATATCTGGTGTCAAATTCCAACAACAATGTCAATCTTCTGATTGTGTTTGGATATTCAACAATTTCCCTCTTGTGCAGTTATGGCTGGAAGGTTATCTATCACCCCCAATTTTACCTCCTCTCACTATTCAATATTGTGTGTATAGATTTCATTCTAACTGACATCCTGTTTGTAGCTGTGAATACTCAATCTAGTAGGTTAATTCGTAATGGTCTTTATCATTGCCGCTTACATGTTTTATAGTTGGATCCACAAATTGGTGCACCTGTGTGTTAATGATATCTGTTTTGTTTGATATCATTTCATTGAATTTCAGCTTCTGATACTTCACAGTTGTACTTGACCTTGTCTTCCTGTAATCCTCCAATGAATAGCCCAGCCAATGCGATTACAGCCAGTTCTTTCAGCTGATTGTCCATTTCTCATGCTGCCTGTTATAATGTTTTGCCTACTATTAATCAAATTCATAAACTGCAGTGCAAGATGTAACACTGTTGTATCCAGGACCATTTCATCCTTCATTTTGACAAATTGGTTCTGTTGTTAATGCACTTGAGCTGTCTTCACCTGCCACCTTGACTTTCTCAAATTTTCAAAGTGAGATTTCCTTTATCCAATGCATTTACATTGCTTATTTATTCTTTTGTCATTGGTACTCTCCCATAACACTGAGCAATTACAAGGTGAACTGTGTGTGGGTGGTTCAATGGTTTCGGAAGGATTAATTGCCAAAAAATTTGGCCAGCCCAAATGGGCATCCCCCTTGTTGTGGGTTTAATAATCTGATTACTTGTGAAAATGCTCTCGCACCCTCTACTTCCGAATGCCACTCTGTCCATCTAGCAACTCCAACTTGCAATGTTGTACTAAATGCTTGCTTATTTGTTAACTGTAAAACTGGTATATGATGTTCCATGTTTGTTCCTGGTGAGAATGATGACTGGCCACAAAGCGCCCCCTGTTCTTTGTGAACAGGTGAATAAAACTTTGTCCCTACCTCAAAAAGCACCAGTCAGTTTACATGTGAGCACAAGTGCATATCTACGAGTTTACAGTAGTCCAAAAATTTATTTTAGCTAATAGATTGACCAAAAGAAAGGAATAGCAAGCATGGGTCTTGTCATGCAAAATGCAAGATGAAATGAGTTGATTGTCAGTGTATGTCTCATTCTTGTTGCACTGCACAACTGTCTGGTCCTCAGGAATTAGCATTGTATTCTCAAGTAACACTACTAATGCAGAGGAATGATCTACAATGACATTGATCAATGTTACGATCACTTCTTTTTCATCTTATCTTTCTCCTTATCCCTTGTCTTATCTTTTATCTTTTGTCTTATCTTCTATCTCCCTTATCCTATATCTTGTCTTATCTTGTCACCTGACCTATTATTTATGCTTACTGATACAACATGCGCTTTTCATTTACTTATATTAAACACAGCAGTCTCACAACACGTATACAGCATGGCGATCGAGCTTTCATTACTTACACACTACTTTACTTATGTTCTACTCATGTTTACCACTAACCCAGGGCGTTGGGCATTACTAGGGCAGAGGGTTGTTCACTAGTATATAGGCTGTAGCTACTTGCTGTATTTCCTTAGCTTTGATCTCGTCTATTCTACCTGGTTTAGCCCAGAACTCTGCTTGCTTCTTTTATCGCTCCGCCCTCTAAGGTTTTCTTGAGTGTGACGCCTGGTGACACCTGTTACTAGAACCAGTCGCAGACAGAAGATCAAAGCTATTCTTACCACCTGTCACACGCTACGCAATCATATCCCTATCACAATTATCCCCGCTCACATTTTTACCAACCCTTCACAGACTTCTACTCTCTATTCGAGCAGTGTCGCCTATAGTACAAAGGTGTAACGTTGAGTCCGACACCGTACTGGCAGACGAAAGCGTCGACTGATCACTAATCTTCGGAGAAGGGTCTTCGCGTGCACAACGAGCTCCATTCCTAGACAGGGAGGGTGCATCTGTTCATCAAGCGAGAGTGGAAGGCTGCTTCCCACATCATCGTACTCTATTTTCGAAATCTCTCCCACATTACTCTCAACTTCTACAAATCCAATCATACATTTTCCCATCATCACCACCGGGTTGCATTAGTAACTCGTCTTCCTTACAACGGATTTTACTTCAAGACTAGGACGACCTAGACTTTCGGTACAAACCGATCGTTACCGTACCCCCGATTCATCTGCTCCATCCACTTCATCCTCTATCGAACGAAATATTACCTCATTCATACCCGCCTACATACCACCCAACTTCAGCATGTCTAACCCTACTCCCGCTCCCACCACCACTACCTCCAATATTCATGGCAAGTCATTGCTCAGAGAGCCTAGCATCTTTGATGGCGACAAAGCCCAGTTCAAAGAGTGGCGCCGTACCCTCTTTGCCTACATTCGTGATCCAAGGAATAGGATCGTCACAGACAGTGAAAGAATCGACATTGCGGTCTCGTATATGCGAGGTCCCAAAGTCAGTAGCTGGGTCCAGAATTATACAGACGATAATTTCAATGACGACGAGGAGGAATGGAAAGTCACCTGGAAAGGATTCAAGGATGCATTGAATGCCTCCTTCCTAGACAAAGGACTCACAGAGAATGCTCAGGAGAAGCTAGAACATCTCCGTCAGGGCCCCAGTGAGAGGGCAGAGGATTTCTTCAAGGAATTTGAAGTCATCATGCGAGACGCCGGATATGCTAAGGACGCCCCCTACGTCATCAGGCTAATTGAAATGAACGTAAAGCCGAAGCTGATCGACCAAGTATATGGCACCAGCAATGAGCGAATCGAGAAATTCGATGAACTCAAACAGAAGATTATCAGTATCGATGACATGTGGTGGCGTCGTGAGGAAATGCGACGGAATTGGTCAAACAGATACCAGCGGAATGCTGGGCAAGGACCTAGTAGCCAGAGATGGCAACCACAAACGACACAGGCTCCCATAACTAAGGCTCCAACCCCTGCGGTACCCACCCAGGATAGGAAAGACGGTACTGGAACAACTTTCAAAGGTGCAGGCAGACCAATGGACATCGACGCTGCGCGTCGCAACAAGGAATGTTTCCATTGTGGCAAGCAAGGCCACATTGCGAAGTTCTGTCCAGAGAAAGCACCGAAGCCGCAGTTCGTCAGAGGCATGTGGAGCCGGATGACACAGGAGGATCAGGAGGCTATGGCCAAAGAATTGGGTTTTGTCCTGCCCCAGCAGTAGACGCAGGTCTGCCGGGGCCAATCTCAGAATCAGCATCGGACTTTTTGTCATCGTCATATGTAGACAGTCAATTTAGTTTTGAATTTGGTAGTACTGGTACACCCAATAAAAATAACTTATCTACAATGACGACCCGAGCTGAGAAAAAACCTGTGAGATATGAACCAAACACACCTGAATGGGTGGCGCAGCGGTTACAAATGGACAAACTCCCTATGGCTATAGGAATCCTTAGAGCCTGGATGCCTGAAAGTCGTATCAGAGAAGCATCGGAAGAAACAGTATTGGCTATACGAAATCTGAGTCATGCAACCGCAACTGAAGCAGTTACCAATCTCAAAAGTCGTAAGAGATTCGTCCGAGGTACCCGAGGACGTGAGCTAAAGTTGTGAACCACTATTGAGAATATCGACAATGGTGTACAGATTGAAACGGAAGCCCTCCTAGACAGCGGAGCCACAGGGTCCTGTATCAATAAGGATTTTGTAGAACAGCACCAGCTCACTGTTAAGGAGTTAACAGTCAAAATGCCGGTCTATAACGCCGATGGCACTCTGAACAAAAATGGTTCCATAGAAGGCTATGTACAAGTCCGAATGGTGATAGGAGATCATGCCGAACGGATAGATATGGCAGTTACCAATCTAGGCAAGACAGATATCTTTCTAGGCATAGACTGGCTACGTTACCATAATCCCAGCATTGATTGGAAGGAATCTACGTTAACGTTCGAACGTTGTCCTGACAAATGCGGGTATTTGCCACACTATGAATCACCTGAGGATGATGGTACAGAGGAAAAACTTGTCGATGGTGAAAGGATCTTCTGGTTCGATTGGGATGGGTATCTTTCTGACCAAGGCCATATCAAAGTACAAACTGCCACTACAGATGCCGCTACTCCGTACCTTGCCGAGTATGCTGATGTATTTAGTAAAAAAGACTTTGACCAAATGCCAGAAAGACATCCATGGGATCATGCCATAGAGTTAACGCCAGGCTCCAAACCAGTTGACTGTAAAGTCTATCCCCTCAGTCCACCGGAACAGAAGGCTTTAGATGAATTCCTAGAGGAAAACCTTAGATCGGGACGAATACGACCATCACGCTCACCCATGGCTTCACCTTTCTTCTTTGTCAAAAAGAAAGATGGAACACTACGGCCTGTACAGGATTATCGAAAGCTAAATGACATGACTGTCAAGAATCGATATCCACTCCCGTTAATCCAGGAACTCATTGATAAACTGAAGAATTCCAAGATCTTTACCAAAATGGATGTCCGATGGGGATTTAATAACATCCGGATCAAAGAAGGAGATGAATGGAAGGCAGCATTCCGAACAAACAGAGGCTTGTTCGAGCCCACAGTTATGTTTTTCGGACTTACAAACTCACCCGCCACGTTCCAAGCATTCATGAATCACATCCTTCGAGAGCTCATTGATCAAGGACACGTCATTGTCTATATGGATGATATCCTTATCTTCACGGACAACATTGAGGAACATCGGATCATCGTCAGAAAGGTTCTTGACATCCTAAAAGCCAACAAACTGTACTTGAAACCTGAAAAGTGCACCTTTGAGGCTAGGGAAGTTGAATATCTTGGAATCATTGTAGGCAATGGACAAATCCGGATGGACCCAAAAAAGGTTGAAGCAGTTCGAACCTGGCAGCCACCACAGAAAAAGCACGAACTACAATCGTTCTTAGGGTTTTGCAACTTCTTCCGCCGGTTCATCCGAGATTTCAGTAAAATTGCCAAACCCCTAACACGGCTCACAGGGAATGCGACTTGGGAATGGACATCTCTTGAACAAGATACGTTCAATCAACTGAAAGACCGGATCATTGAAGACGTCACTCTCATTATCCCAAGAGAGACTGGAAAGTTCCGGATTGAAGCTGATTCTTCCGATTACGCAAATGGCGCTGTCTTATCGCAAAATGTCGATGGAAAGTGGAGACCAGTAGCCTTCAGGTCCAGGTCACTTAACGAAGTTGAACGGAATTATGAAATTTACGACAAGGAGATGATGGCCATCATGGATTCTCTATCAGACTGGAGACAGTATTTGCTGGGCGCAAAAGAACCTGTTGAAGTCTTTACCGATCACCAGAATCTCCAGTATTTCCAGAAACCTCAGAAGTTGAATCGACGACAAGCCAGATGGGTAGTTGAAATTGCTGAATACCATATTGAGCTCTTCCATAAGCCTGGGAAATCAATGGGAAAAGCCGATGCTCTGTCAAGGATGTCAGGCCTTGAGAAAGGGGAGAATGACAATACCGACGTCACACTGCTAAAACCAGAATTTTTCATTTCTCAAGTAACGGATCAGACATCTGCCCCCGAAGACGATCTGCTTAATCTCATCCGAAGAAAGAAAAACCAGCGAGACAAGTTAGTACAGGTTGCCCTCGAGTCTAAAGACAAGGAATGGCTTGAAACTGAGGATGGACTAGCAGTTTGGCAAGGACGCATCTATGTCCCCAAGGACAAAGAGCTCAGAGGACGAATCATACAGGCACATCATGACGCCCAGACAGCAGGACACCCTGGCCGCTATAAAACTATTGAGTTAATTACACGCAACTACTGGTGGCCAGGAATCAGTCGAGACGTCAGGATCTACGTGGAAGGCTGTGAAAAATGTCAGGCCACAAAGACACATCGTACAAAACCCGTAGGACCATTACATCCACATGACGTACCATCTGAGCCTTGGGAAATCATAGGAACAGATATGATTGGCGAATTACCGGAGTCTGGAGGGTATAATGCCATCAGCGTGTTTGTTGATCACTTCACGAAGAGGTTACGGCTCTTTGCCACACATACTACGATAACATCTGAAGGAATGGCACGTGTCTATCGTGACAAAGTATTCCCGATCCATGGAATGCCCCGGAAGATTGTCCACGATCGCGGCCCTCAGTACCATGCCCGCTTCATGAAGGAACTGTACAAGTTGCTAGGAATCGAAAGCAACTATACAACTGCATACCATCCTCAGACTAATGGCCAGACGGAACGGATAAATCAAGAAATTGAACATTACATCCGTCTTTTTGTGAATCATCATCAGAGTGATTGGCACGAATGGCTTCCTATGATGGAGTTTGCATATAACGATCGAGTACACTCAGCTACGAAGGTTTCGCCCTTCTACGCAGACAATGGTAGACACCCATACAAAGGAACCACACCGAAGATGACGTCACAAAACCCAACAGCACAGGAGTTTGCCGATAGTATGAAACGGATCAGGGAAGAAGTAGGATCGGCGCTGAAAAAAGCCGCTGAGGACATGAAGCGCCAATATGACAAACACCGGAATGAAGCGATAGAGTATAAGGCTGGTGATAAAGTCTGGCTTGAAGGAACCAACATAACGACAGATCGCCCAATGAAGAAACTTGGGGATAAACGATTTGGACCGTTTAAAGTTCTTGAAAAGATCGGATCCAGCTCATACAAACTCGACATCCCTCGCACGTGGAAAAGAGTCCATAATGTCTTCAACGAAACACACCTATCCCCGTACCATGAACCCCAATTCCCGACACAACCCCGAAATACCGAGCCACCTCCAGAAGTAGTTGGAGAAGAAGAAGAGTACGAAGTAGAAGAGGTTGTGGATGCACGCAAGTATCGGAATGGCATCCAGTACAAGGTAAAATGGAGAGGTTACGGACCACATGAAATGACGTGGGAACCTGCAGCTAATATGACGAATGCCAAAGAAGCTGTTCAGGACTTCCACAAGAAGTATCCTAACAAGCCCAGGCCTCAAACCCTTAAACGGATCGAGATTCCGATTGCTCAATTTCCCACTGAATTGTTCCGACAAATACCTACACCAAACATAGAACCAGTCCCAAGTACCATGCCATCTGAAGCACTTGTCAACCGACTTGCGCGTCATGGAATTCGCGCCTTAAAGGGGGGGTAATGTTACGATCACTTCTTTTTCATCTTATCTTTCTCCTTATCCCTTGTCTTATCTTTTATCTTTTGTCTTATCTTCTATCTCCCTTATCCTATATCTTGTCTTATCTTGTCACCTGACCTATTATTTATGCTTACTGATACAACATGCGCTTTTCATTTACTTATATTAAACACAGCAGTCTCACAACACGTATACAGCATGGCGATCGAGCTTTCATTACTTACACACTACTTTACTTATGTTCTACTCATGTTTACCACTAACCCAGGGCGTTGGGCATTACTAGGGCAGAGGGTTGTTCACTAGTATAGGCTGTAGCTACTTGCTGTATTTCCTTAGCTTTGATCTCGTCTATTCTACCTGGTTTAGCCCAGAACTCTGCTTGCTTCTTTTATCGCTCCGCCCTCTAAGGTTTTCTTGAGTGTGACGCCTGGTGACACCTGTTACTAGAACCAGTCGCTGACAATCAAGAGATTACAAAGGGCAAAGTCAGGTATTTCTTCTTCATGTCCAGGCATTTCATTGGTGAATGTTGTGAAATATGGTTTTTGACATTGTTAAATAGTAATATGTGTGTAGTGGTCATTGCTTGTATATTATAGTGGTTTACATATGGGCGATGTAGCGGGCACTGCCGCTTGCCGGCGCTACCTCGGTTATTAATTTATGTTTAGCAAGTAAGGGATGGATCAATTTACCTATTAACGTACCCCGTTGGGGACACACACCTTGCTTGCGTCTGTTCACTGCTACGGTGAGGGAATTTGGTGTGAAACAGCAAGCAGAAAAGCTTAGGGATGATGCATTATGGTGAGCCAGGTGAGGAAATTTGTTGTGAGCTGGTAAAGTGCAGGGGTGGAGTCGGAGTCTGTTAGATGAAGGGAAAGTAAAAGGGCTGCATCCGGATCCCTTTTGCCCTATAAGGCGTAGATGTAACCCTGTTCCGCCGTCGGATCGGACAACGACAACTTTAAAAGGAAATTTTGCACGGGCGCTCGAGGTTATGGATGTTCAATGACCATTGCAAGCAAGGTGAAAAGTGCCGAGTGAATTTGGAAAATTGGAGTAAATAAAATCATAACAACAACATAACACTGACAGAACACCACCGTTCGTTCTTTGTCCACGTTCTTTCACAATTCACCACACCATGTCTGTGCCTCCACAATTGTCCTCACTGTCTGCTGGCCAGAGCAACAGTCAATTGAGCGTTGAACTTATGTTCCAAAGCATTATGGGCATGATGCAGCAATCTGTATGCCTTTTTCCGCTGTAAAAACTTTGGTGTGTTTCTCAATAACAATTCACAAGCAAATCGACATTGCCGACCTCAAGCACGAATGCTCAGAGCTCAAGCAGGCCAACGCCAATCTTGAGAGGCAACTACGAGACAACAACCAGGTATCGAGTCTTTCTACAGTCACCGCCAAAGCGAACAGAAGGCTGAATTCTAATCTATCTTAGGGTTACAATGGGTACTACCGCGCCAGCACGCCCGGGTTTATGACTCCTGCAGTACCCTCGAGTCCTCAAATGCGAGCAAAGTCACCTTTCCTCAGTCCTGCAATTCCTAATTCAATCCCGACACTCTCCGCTCCTGTACACCACCCATCTCCTTTGGGTGACAACGCGATCTCAAACTCGAGTTACTTTAGCGCTGCCCGCGACATTCCTGGGTTCTACGTCGTAATTCCCGCTGGTGGTGCAGGTACACGTTTGTGGCCCCTTTCCCGTGAAGGGCACCCGAAGTTCCTTCTCGATCTTACGCTCAAAGGACGGTCCCTTATCCAGGCGACATGGGATCGTCTTCTTCCTCTGACCTCTGCTAGTCGCACTACAATTGTAGCTGGACCCAGTCACGTATCTTCTATCCGCGAGCAACTTCCTGACTTGCTTTCTGAAAACCTTTTCTGTGAACCTACGGCCAAAGATTCGATGGCCGCCATCGGCCTCGCTGCGGCTATTTTGGCTCATCGAGATCCCGACGCTGTCATTGGCTCATTCGCTGCTGACCACATGATTTCTGGTGATGATGCCTTCCTGGCTGCTGTCGCTGAGGCCGTCGAGGTCGCGCGAAACGATTACCTCGTGACAATCGGAATTGCCCCTTCACATCCATCTACCGGCTTTGGGTACATCCGTCTAGGTGAACCCGTCAATATCAAGAATGCTCCAAACGCACGGCTCGTTTCCAGTTTCAAAGAAAAACCTGATGCCAGAACAGCTGCTTCATACATCGCCACCGGAAAATACCGCTGGAACGCGGGTATGTTCGTGATGAAAGCCACAACTCTTCTTAAATTCCTTGAGGAATACAAGCCTGAGATGAGTGAAGGGCTAAGGAAGATTGGTGCGGTTTGGGACGACGAAAAAGAGAGGAATATAATTTTGGAAAAAATTTGGCCAGAGTTGGAGAAGATTCCCATCGATAATGCGGTCGCTGAACCCGCCGCAGAAGTTGGAAGAGTTGCTGTTGTACCTGCAACCTTCGGTAAGTTTTACGAAATGCGCATATTTCCAAGACTGTTCTGAAGCTGTTTGGAATAGGTTGGGATGATGTCGGTGATTTTTCTTCTCTTTCCGACCTTTTGCCTGCAGAGGCGAATCAACCTCGTGTTTTGGGAGACCCCTCTCTTGGTGAGCTGAAATGATTGTATTCATTTAAATTTCATCTTAACATTTTCCTCTTCTCTTTTGCTAGTGCTTACCGATCAAGTTGCCGGAGGTATTGTCGTACCCGGTTCAGGTCGTTTGATATCTTGCCTCGGCGTTGACGATCTGGTCATCGTCGATATGCCAGATTGTCTATTGGTCACTACCCGCGCACGATCGCAAGAAGTCAAAAGAATTGTTAAAAAGGCCAGGGATCATGGGTGGAAGAAGCTCCTCTAACGTGTTACAAACAGAAATTAATACACACACCAAGTCTATTTCTCTCAACTCGGGTATTTTATGGGTCGTCTTAACTTTCCTCCATTACTACTCTTACTTTCCTTCCCGTCATCATTATTCTGGAAAGCAGAACAAATAAGTACCCTGTGCGAACTTAATACTGTTAAGGACATTGAAAATTTTATTCATTAAATTCACAATAACCTTTTCATTGCTGTCATTAAAATACAGATACTCCTAGATCAGCCTGCCTCAAGTAGTTTTGTCATCAAATTCTTTATATTCGACTTGATATCCCCCCAATCCTCGACCAAGCCACCTTCCTAACACGATGTTGGCGAGTCGACCGGTCCAAAGAGGGAAATCGACGAGAACTACGTCGGCGTGGTCCAGAAAAGTAAGCATTTGGAAGGGACTAGGAGTACGATTTTGCATCACACATGACGAAAGATACCTACATGATCGTTTTCCGTGGTCAGTTCAAATGGAGACATTGCTTGATGTACTCACCCATAAAAGTTATGAATGAACGTGTCATCGAAGCTAGAATCAACATTGAGTATACGAGAAGGACGATTTGGAGACGACAGGCTGAAATTTACCCAGCATTAGGTCCTCCGCTGACAGTGATGTGTACATCGAGATCGACACCTGATTCAGGATCTAGCCAAAACTTTGCGATGGAGGAAAATATCCTTAGTCTCGCTAGGCAACCAATGAACGCCAGATCGTAAACGCACAGTATGATAATGGTGGGGAGGGATTGTGACACTTTCTCCCCCGACTAACTTGCCCTCCTTTCCATCCAAGTCGTAGCATAGAACACCACTTTGCTACATAATAGATTAATGAATCGTTCGGCATTCCTGAGTATATTCATATTAGCCATGTAGCTTACCACGTCAAACCGCTCTGTCTGGTAGATATGCCAGTGGTAAGGAGCTAAGTACGAGCATAGACTCCTATGTCAGGTCTGCTGAGTTATGCAGATGATCCTAGCTCACGCGTAGCTGTTGACTTTCGACCTACCCCAGTATGGGGGTTCCCGTGTTTAAAGATCTGGCGAGAAGTGAAAGAATTCCCATCACTCTTTACTGCCCATGTCTTCAAAGCGCCATCGAAAAAGTTCCATGCCCCATCGGGATCCCGTTGAGGTGTTTGGAGAGGAAGCTGTAGGGCATGTCATTAGATAGTGGCTCTGGGCTAGTTGAAGTGAGCTGTACGATACAAACTTGCCTTTGGGAACAGGAAGGACATGATTGAGCGGTGAAGAGAGGATGACATTACTTCATTGCGAAAACTTCCCACGTCTTCCCATATATACGTGGTGAGAAATTTAAGTCATTCAGGTTATCGCATCTCAAAAGTAAATGATTCATCTTCTGACCAGTGATATGTGATGTTTTTCTTCGTTCACAAAAGTTGAGAGGACAGGAGAGGAGAGAGCAGGAACGCGCTCATGTGACGTCGTGGATGATTATGTACAAGGTCTGATCGTGATATCTTATAAAAATTCTAAACCAGTCTAAACCACCATGTCGGCTGCCTGGCCCTGGCCCCTCAGCTTCTCTCAAACGAACTCAGGCTCAGCTTTCTCCCCTCAAGGGCAATACTGCCAAAAAAGCACGCGTACCTACAGATTCGGACTCAAGCTCCGACGACAACCCCTCCGAAGAGCCAAGAAAGGATGCTTACTTGACACTTCCACCTCCAATATCCTCTTATGTTCAGCTCCGTATCCACCTTTGTCGCTTCAAAGGCGTCTGGAGACAAGTCCGTGTCCCTACCAACTACACCTTTGCTAATCTCCACACTCTCATGATTCATCCAATATCTCTTCGGATGGAGTGGAGGCTAGTGGAGGTCATCTGCACCAGACCAAGGTCTGGGGCGACGTGGAGATGTATAGCGGAAACTACAAAGCATATCATATCAAGAGTAAAGGTTGCATCACACCTTTTCCGGACTTTTTGGATCCTGACGACACTCATCACCTTGCGGAGCACTACTATTTTGTTAGAGACAGAACGCTCGCAGAGTACGATGTGAGCCGGTAGCAGCAGACGTAATTACAGTCAGGATTTTGGAGACTAGTTCTGATTGTAGAGGACGATCAGTTGACGATCGGTCAAGTGTAGAATCGACAATTGACGCATAACGCTTACCGAGGAAAGGAGATTGCGATTGAGTACGAGTACGATCTTAGAGGTAAGCCGATAGTGTACCTTTGATCTGTGTGGATTTCAGACAATGGTGGTGTTGATCACGTCACATAAGTAGGATGCGAAAAACAAGACTATATCCCCACTCCTCTCCGGCGCAGAAAATTTCCAGCTCAGAAAATTTCCATCTATACTGTGACGAAAAGTTCCAGACACGTACGGGCAAAGAAGAACTCGAGTCTCAGCTCTGTGGTATGAGCGAAGAGGATATTTCGGCTCTGGTGGAACAGATTGGGCAGAGAAAGGTTGAAAAGTTAGCACGTATTGAAAAGTTCAAGAATATATATCGTAGGAGGCCTGCAGAGGAAGAGGAGGATTCAGATGAGGATACGGATAAGGAAGACGAGCTTAAGAGATGCACAGTAATGTGATGAAGGACGGACTTTGAAGACTTTGCTTGAAAGTGGAATAAATAGTTTTTCGAAGCGTGAATCGCGTGATAAGACGTGACACCCGACCAGCATGTCCGCCGCGTTGATTACTTATATTTCAATGGTGGATTTCGTTCTTACCTTGACTGTCCACCAAGAGGGCTATGTCTCAAGAAAGCAATAGAAAATCTGGTCCAGATTCTGCAGGTTATGGCGCTACAGTTTCGGGCGACACCTCGCGTGAGATGGAAGATGGCGCGACAGCTCTGAATATTAACAACGAACATGGACGACTTCACAGGGGGCTTTCAGCTAGACAAGTCCAAATGATTGCTATTGCGGGTACTATCGGGACGGGGCTGTTTCTTGGTATCTTTGTTTTCGCAGATAACCGACCGTCGTACTCAATCTGGTTTGTATTGTGCAGGCACTGGGAAATCCCTTGCAGAAGGCGGACCGGCCAGTATCCTCATCTGCTACGCCATCGTTGGGTTCATTGTCTATGTAACCCTGCTGCTATTAGGCGAAATGGCTACCCAGTACCCAGTGGCAGGCTCCTTCAACGCATACACTACCAGATTCTTTTCTCCATCTTACGGCTTTGCGTTGTCCTGGAACTATTGGTTCAACGATGCGGTTTCAGTTGCATCTGATCTTACCGCTGCACAATTGGTCCTTCAGTTCTGGACCGTCCAGCATTCGTGGATTGTTAGTTTGGTGTTTTGGGTCTTCTTGGTTAGTATCAATGCTGTTCATGTACGGGCATATGGGGAACTTGGTACGAAAACTTCTCAAGAAATTACTTCTGTATCTCTCACACAAATGAACTTCACTAGAATATTGGTTGTCTTCACTCAAAGTCATCACGATAATCATCTTTATCATCCTCGGCATCCTCGTCAACGTCGGCGTGAATCAACAACATGAATACATTGGAGCTCGGTACTGGTATATCCCAGGCGCGCCGTTTGTAGGAGGATTTGGAGGATTTGCTCAAGTTTTTGTCACTGCTAGCTTTGCTTGTCTGTGGATATTTTATCGTACTTCAAAATCGCTGCTCATCAAGTTTTTTAGACGGCGGAACGGAAAGTCTCGGTATTACAGCGGGAGAAACGAAGAATCCCTCAAGGAATATGCCACGAGTGGTCAAATTCGTTTTCTGGCGGTACGCATACAGTATATTTCCAAAGATTAGTTTGCTCATATCTTGCTAGGATCTTGTTATTCTACCTTTTGAGTATACTGCTCATAGGATTGAACGGTACGCTTCTGATTCTACTGCGTCTGCTGCTGTCTGCTGTACGTTTCCGATATTTACATTACATACACATAGCTCCTTGGGACTATCCCAACCTGTCCAACAAAACGACGACTACGTCCCCGTTCACACTTGTGTTCCAACAAGCAGGTTCAAGTAAGCTATCGTAAATTTCGCCTGATGGAACTTTGTCAATTATCGTTCAATCAGCTGTTGCTGCTTCTTTCATGAACACTGTCATCCTCACCTCTGTTCTGTCGGCTGGGAACCACGCACTTTTTGCTGGCACCCGTGTTCTATACGGTCAGTGTATTCACAAAATAATTCATCGTTTGAAATTTTACAAATCAATTTCACACAGGTTTGTCTGTGACTTCACCCCGCCAAGCACCGGCCATCTTTTCCTGGACGTCAACAAATGGTGTTCCGATTCCATCCTTAATGCTCACCAGTAGTGTCAGTGCTTTGTGCTTTGGTAGTAGTTTTATCGGCAGTGGTGCACTATGGGGATGGTTGCAGAATATTGTGGGTGTATCTAATCAGGTTTGTCTCTCTGCTCTTAATACGAGGATACCGAGTATGAACGGAATCGAAAATTTTGCAGATTGCTTGGTTATCCATTGGACTTGCAAGCTGGCGGTTTCGCAAAGCATGGTTGGTACAGGGCCGTTCGTTAGATGAGCTCAAATTTCGTTCGAGATGGACTTGGCCTTGGGGACCGCTATTCGTGGTATGTTAGTTTTATTGAAAGGCCGCTGCTTGAATGATGCATTTTTGGCTTGTTCAGGTCATTACAGTGGGTGCGATTATCATCAGTGCGTCCTGTCTTCTTTTCTTGGTTACCAATGACTCAGTGGCAGCCATTCTCCTCTCCAGTTCAAGGATGGTCTTCGGTCATTCCCAAGTTTACGCCCGTTTATTTCGTGTCGTACTATATCGAACTTCCAATTATGTTGATCATGTACCTTGCATGGATGCTCATCCAACGTCCCGGGCGACCTTCACGTATAAATGAGCCCGTCAATGGAATCACCAGCGGTCCGTCTACTGGATCTCGGAATCCTCGGTCCCCTTCACAGACTCCGCTTTTTGAAGGGAATGGAAGACGTTCTTCCTCGAAGGGGAGGCGGCGAGAACGAGGTGGACGGTGGTGGTATAATGATATAGTCGATGTGAACACAGTAGATTTATATCGGGATGAGCATGACGAAGAGGAAGAGGATCGAGTAGACGATGTCGAAAGGGAAAGACGGCTGAAGGGGTCGAATTTTGTACAAAGGACATTATGGAGGTTGTTTTATTTAATCGTATAGTGGTATCTAGGATGTATGGAAAACTAATTGCCGAAATGCAGCAACCTGTACGACAGAAACTTGGGGAAGTACAGTATTGAAATTAGGTCTCTGAAGAATGTTTTGCAAGAGAAAATATCAATTTAGCTCCAACAACCTGGAGGAATTCATCCACACAGCATTCGTGAGTGGCACCGTTTGTGTTACCAGCAAGATCAAATAAATCTGAATAAAATCTTGTAGACCAAATCAGACCGGCAAATTTGTCATGGAACGAAAAGGGCCTCTATGCCCTGAAACTTTATACCTCGATGAAGATGATACAAGAAACATTTGTCGCTTGATTTCATCGATAAGTATTTCGATGGTCTATGACTGAACTCCACCTCAAATACTCGCCGCAGAGAGGCCACGGGACGCTATCATTAACTCCGTTCCAACTCCCACTTAGTACCCATGATGGGGTCACCTTTCAACTTCGACATCTTATCCTTAACACCATGGGGGTTTTATCTGTAGCAAGAACCCAGGCTAAATTTATGTCTTTTCTTTTTACCATCCCTATCATCTTTTCCTTTACAATTGGACCAACAAAAGAACGGAAAACAAGCGCAAAAGGTGACGGAGCCCATGTTACTGAGAAAACAAAGCCATCCCAGTCTAAACCGTCAGGTGAATCGCTAGGTTTGAAAACTCCAACGGTGATAGTGCACCACGGTAGTAGCCATGAATGCACAGAACAGAATACGTGCGCCTTATTTACCATTTAATTTTTTTGTTTATCCTAACTTCGACGTTGTAGAGGACTGATTGTAGCCTGTCCATCCGATCTCACCGCTGCTGCCATAGCCGGAATAGTTATTGGATCTAGTCGGTTCACTTTTGGTATACTTCCACTATCGTTATCTGACGAATTTCTTGGAATAGTTATCGCTTCCCTCATTCTTGCATTTGTTTTTTGGAAGCTTTTTTCCTTTTATCGAAAACGTCGTGAGCGGAAACGTGCCGCTCGTGCAAACCCATCAACGTACCAACAACTAGAAGGGCACGTTCATCCAGAAGGCATGCAGGATTCAGGGTATGCTGCTTCTATATCAGATTCCGGTACATTGGTTGGACACGATGAGAAGATGTCTGTATCGGACTCTGTTAAAGGGTATTCGAATGTCTGAAGTATCTGAAGCGTTTGATTCATAGTGACTGTATCTGTATAGTATGAACTCTTTCGACACCACCTTGTTCAATTGTGAGGATGCGACCAAACACGAGCTAATTCTGTAGGCCACCTGTGTGCGGCGCTGCTTAAGACATTACTGTCTTCAAGAACAGTTCCGTTTACCAATGAGCATTAGACGACATTCTTTCTCACATCATGGCCAGGATTACGAGCGAGCGGTGAAATCCTTGACAGTACGCGGTTTTTCGCTGAAGTAACATCGCTATAACGTCAACCCAGGTATGGTGAAGAAGTCTTCACTATATTTACATCTTTTCTTTTGTCTTCTATACACATGTGAACGTTGCGTTCGTCTAAAAAAATTGCAAAGACGCCTGCGTCTGCATATATCTAATCCCCCTCTCTCCGTGTCCTACGATTGCGAGTTCGTCCATGTCCCAGACCCAGATACAGGCATTGAGATCGAACGTCCAATCTTCATCAACGGTGTAGGGAGGGTAGGTGTCAAAGTGCTCATACTAGATAACCCAACATCGCTTTCCTCATCTACAACCGCTGCAACCGAACTCGAAGATCCTGGACCTCCTAGTGACGGTGCATACTGCAATGCCTTGCGAGAAAATAATCCTGTCCCTAATGCAAGAGTTTTTCGTCTAAGAAGTGAGGTTGGTGGTTGGTGTTGATGATGCTGATAATGCTGGTCAGGTTGTTGTTGTGATGAAAGCTCTGGCAAGGATGGTAACGGGGACCAGGAGGGGAAGGTGACCAGCGAGGGAATGGTGAACACAGGGGAAGGTGGGACTTTTGCATGAGTATGAGGGTTGGGGTTGAGAAAACTGAGAGGGCGCGAAGGCGCTGGTGAATTGAGTTTCGTTGTCGTCGTGGTCGAACCAATATCTGAATCCGATTCCTTCGACTTCGCGGAACGCAGAGCGACCGGCTCGTCCGGAAAGAATGTATTAAGAAGAGAGACAGGAGTTGTAACACCAGGTTCAACACTCTTGACGAAACTAAGGTCACCGAAAACATCTTTCCGAGAATTTTCTTGCGGAATTGGGATTGGGTTCGATTTCGAACGGGAAATATGTGCAGGAGGCGGTGGATCCATCGTAGAAAGTGTAGTAGGTTTAGTTGTGCTACTGGCTTCGGTTATCCGTGTATGTGAAACCCCCATACCCGGACGAGACTGAGCGACATGTATTGTCTTTGACCGTTTAACGTATGACTTTTCTCCAAACTCCTTCCCAGGCTGTACCATAGGTTTCCATCGTACACTGGGAACTTCATCGTCCCACAGGGACTTGTCTCTACTCAAGCTCAAGCTCCTCGCCCGAGCCTCGAAAAGTTTCCGGGCGCCGTCTGCAGTGAACGTCCCACTTACCATCGCTTGGGTGAGGGGGAGGAGGGATTCGTAAACTGGATGTATGTCATTTACTACTGCCTCGAGCCATTTTCCGCAAGATTGAACGTCTTTGGTAAATGGGGAAGAAGGAGACGGGGCGGGAGTGGAAATCACAGGAGGAGAGATTTGACGTGCTCTACGAAAGTTGGTAAAATAATATTTGACTGGATATCGGGAGCGGTCGAAATTCCATTCTGTACCAGGGCTAGAAGTGAACACTCCAGGGTCAGAAGAGATATCCATCATGAACATCTCAGGCTCATTTACTCCGCCCGAGTCCAGACCTGGTGGACGGGAAGGAGCTGCGGTGGAGCACGGACGCGGTTCAATCGCATCAAACCCACCCCACACAACTCCGTTTTCGTGCAAGAAAGCTAGACCTTCAAGTACCTGCCTGAAAAAGTCTAACCATTGCGCCAAAGTACCGTTTTCTTGTTTGTCTAAGTTGAGCTGAGACTGCTGCGTAAGAGAGACTAGGGGCGGGTGAAACAGATACACTGTAGATCCAGCGCCTTCTTTAGAAGATACATCTCCACAAACTCGTTCAACGGCTCTCAGGATCCTGGGAACGGGATTCCACGGGTCTGAGCGGAGTTCCGGAGTGTTGAGAGCGAGAAGGAGTAAAAGGATTAAACTGTCGTCTCTATCCTCAAAGGGAGAGGTTTCTAACGGATTCGGATTCGCAGAAAGTCTTAGTGTATGCAGTGTAATGGGCGCAGAGAGAGCAGGGTACGACGAGGGGTGTAATTGGACCTAGAATCAAATCGGTTAGAAGGAATACGGGACGAGATATGAAACGGCGCTATGCACGTAAACTTCTCCAACGTCGCGTGTATACCGTTCGGAAAGAGAATCTACGAGTTGTTCGAAATCCCTGCTTAGGATGTTAGATAGAGTGGTACAGACAGGGGTTAACAACGTACACATCGTCCCAGCCGATACTAGAAGTACCACTCGAGTCGCTCCTGCCATCGTCAGCGTTCTGATTGGTCTCTAGCCGAGCAGCCATACAAGCATTGTACAACGCAGTGAGCTCGTCATCGTCTTCATATTCACTTTCATTTTCTTCGTCCTCTCTCCGACTGTTTCCAGACGGCAATGTACTATACTGAGCCATACGCTGTAGTGGGAATCCAATAAGGCCGACGCCGACGTCGTCGTCAAGGTCGCTTATATCGATAGTGTCGTCGCTGTCGTCGCTGTACAGGCTTCCTGTCGATGGATTCCGTCGATGACCAAGAACCATGCGGTCGGGAGAAAGAGTAATCTGACAGCCGAGAATAGAATTGGAGGACACGTCAAGGCCTGGTGGCGCGGATGTTGGGAACATCGTAATTGAAAGATAGTAATGTGGATTGGGGGTGTACACTCGAATGCCCCTATATATCAACAACTCGAATACGAAATTTCATGCGTGTTTTTGGCTTGGACAGCAACCACGAGTTCTTCTTCCGCTCCACTCGTCGTGACGCTAGCGCAAACTTGCATTGGGAACGAGGCCAACAGGGAGGTAAGGAATGAACAAGATGTTTTTATAGCACTGTGAGCATAATTGCGAACATTCAACGTTCAAACTTCAAAATAAGTCGGTGGGATTTTATCTTATCTCATCTTATCGTAAAGTGACCCCTAACCTCGTTCATCTCCACGATAAGTTCTGTTGCCTTATAGACCACGCGACGTTGAGATACTTCACTGTTGCTCTAATTTTTTTCAGCGTTATTGCTCCGATGCTTAGAATGTAATTTTTTCTGGAGAGCAACGTTTCTCGTAACGCGGGGAAAATCCTGGATAAGCATCGACCTTGCTCCAATTACCATAAAGCTCTTACTACTACCGCATCTTCTATGATGGATCATCGACTACCTCTGATCTTTTGTACCCAGGTCATCTGTCCCACAAGCTATTTTCGGGATAAACAAACGGTGAACTGGTTATCACTGACATTTCTTCAAATTTTTGCCTATTCACTTTCCCCCTCCTCTTCTTCCTCTTTTCTTTTCCCCCTTCTTGACTTCTTACCTCCGCGAGAAGCAGACGCATTCGTTGCCTTCTTCCTTCTCCCGGTAGTCTCCGCAGTTGTGATCGCGTCCTTAATACTTTGAGCCAATGAATCCAATTTCAATTTATGTGCGCCGTTTGTGCCACCCCGTGGGTTTTCTGCATTTTCTATACTGTTTGTGGTGTCATGGCGAGAAGGAAGAGCATCCGAGGCCGCATTCGTGTTAGGAATTGAACTCGTGCTAAGGAGATTCAGGACTTCAATCTCCTTAGCCCAGACGTCCCAATTCTTGCTCGATTCTTCGTGACTTGGAGTCTCAAGGATCAAAGGTATATCTTGCACTCGAGGATCGGCAAGGATATGAGCGAATGTTCGTATTGAAAGGTGTCCACTAAATAATCAATCAACAGATCAGTTCAGGGAAGGAAGGGCGCAGAGAAACTCGAGACAGAGAACAAAAAATGTCGAGTACGAACACTCCAATATTATCATGTCTATCCTTTTTCGAGCCACATTCCGTTTTGGAATCGTTCAAGTGCATACCCCGAAGGTATTTGAGGCCGACTTGAGCGTTAAACAATTCCACTGCATGCCAAATCTTAGCTTGGTTGCAACCGGCGAGCTTGCAGTTATTCACCTGTAGAACTGAAAGAAACTTTCGCATAAAAAAAGAGCGGGCATATATCCGAGATTAACATTCAACGTACTTCCATCCTTGTTCCGTACGGATATCATATCCCTACACCAGAAACGAATAAGCATACAAAACTGACAAAAGTCACAAAACTGACCGCAGCGAACATATGACCTGCGGGAACGTCAGGACGGTCGTTTTTACAGACCGAGAACCGAAAGGAACGCACAAGTATCCAGACAAACACCCACACGAGTCTTGTCATTGACCTGGCTTATAATTTCTCCCAACTGCACAAAATCTGAACCGATTATGTTTCCTGAACCTGCCTTCCTCCACCAAATGAGGCGAGTACGCAAACGATTGAACACACGAGTTGTAAACGGCGAGCGATATAAGCCGCACCATGTTTTCTAACACAACTACCACTTTTGATCCCGATGTGTCCCCATGCGATCGGTTGATGCAGTCCGCGATGTGGGCCATAGATACTGAGGGTTCGACAATTCCGAGACTGGATCCTGGGCTAGGAAAGATAGTTATTGCTCATGAGAATGTATGAACATCGTTCATGCCTACTGAAAATTATACAATTCCAGTCCAAGCGCATCACATCTCTTCAAATCATCCAAAAAACATTCGTAGGATTTTTCCCTCTTCTCACTAGAGTTGTCAAACCATACATTGGGAACTTCTCGATAGCATATGTAGGAGAAAAGGCTCACTCATCTGGATTCCCTAAATTTATCAGATAACTTCCATGCGGGAGGATATGTTTCGGATTATACGAAAGCTCTTTCATACGCGACTTGAACAATGATATGCTCGATTCTGTTAACGGTGGTGAAATCCATTTCCTTTGGGATTTTAAGAAAAGGGCGAATGCATTAGCGCTGCACGGAGAGAAAAAGAGGTGTATTAGGAGAAAGTCCAGGGAAATCAAGGCTTTCAGAATATTCTACTTCAAGATGTTGAGTAAAGTACCCGATTTTGGCTGCATTCAGCACAGTATTCTCGATGCCACCAGCAGCAGATACGTGGGCTCCTACTTTCCAATTGCTTGATACGCGTTGCGGAAGGCTCGAAAGGTCAATAATATCTCGAGGGGAAGCTTTGACTTTTTCTTTCTTCTTTGACGACTCTGTGAATTCACCTATGTCGACTTGAGCACATATTGTAGGCACAAGAGATTCGGAACATACTATTCACCTGAACCGCCTTTATTTCTACCTCTTCACTTGCGGGGTCCTCAAAGACAATCACTTTTGCCTTCTTTGTAGCCCTTGCTGACCTGCGCGGAATGGCTCCTTCTTCTCCAACGATATCGATTTTACGCTTTACCATAGAAGCACTGAATGAACTGAAGTCTCTGGTTTCGGATAATCTTGAAGTTGTAGCGGGACGAATATGAGAGCTCAACGTCAACGTCAATCGGAGCATTGATTATCGCGGGCGCCTAAATCAGGTGCCTTTATTCATTCTGCGCAGTGGCCCCAAATGAATGTTCTATGGTCCGAGCTATATAGCCAAGCTCAATAACAGCGAGTCAAGGTCAAGTCAAGGTTAACAAACTCCGTCATTAAAACAGGCGAACGGGCATGATAGCCTCTAGGCGGTCTAACTTTGCCGTCGTAGAACTCAGAACGAGGGTGTTCAGATGACTGACAAGAATATACTCTACAGCACCATTTATACCAGCGATCGTGTTTTCCCGTGATGAAATTCACGCTCTGGATTGTCTTCATCTCGAAGTTTTCCGTGAAGGTCGCGGTTGGGTTGAACGTCTACGGTCTGTTTGTGCCTCAATATGAATGGTTACATCAGTGCACTCCTACTCCGTGAGTAGATGCCTGTTTGCCTTAGGAGCGCTTCTTGTTACTCAAGTTTGAAATGCATTGCATTTCTACTGAAAAATCAGGTCATTGCTATTAAGAACGTTCGAGGAACATTCTCTTTTTACGAATCCTTGACTCAGAGATGACCCAATTCAACTTCTTCAAGTTCATCCATTTTGTCCCAATGAATCAAAACCCAGGTCCCCGGTCTTTTGTCTTACGCGAAAATTCCTGCCAGAATTGCTTGAAAACGTATAAAAGCCCTCGTTGAGCTTCCAGTCTCTCCAGAGCACTCGTGGTTCTCTTCCTGTTCCAGTTCTTCGTTCTTTTCTAGAATCTCTTGCAGTATGTTCGCTCGTCTCTCTCTGTTCGCCATGGTCGCTGCTCTTGGGGCCATTGGTGAGGCATCTTTGTTCTACAGATGTCGCCTATACATATAATTTACGTCCTGCTTGCTTAGGTGCCAGTGGTCGTGCTCTTCCGGGCAGTCAGATTTTTTCTCGGGCTACCTGCGAGGCCACCTACACGGTCGTGGCCGGGGATACCTGTAATGAGATCGCCACCAAGAACGACGTTACAGTTTCCGCCTTGGAGGCCGCTAATCCAGTAAGTTAACTGCAGCTCCATAGTTCAAAGAGCTACTTAACTCATGCACTAACTTCCTAAATAGTCTATTGATGCGAATTGCGACAATCTGTTCATCGGAGAACAGCTTTGCATCCCTGGCACCACACCACCTCCCCCTTGCGCTGAAAACTATACAGTCAAGGCTGGTGATGTGTGCATCAATATTGCAAACCAGTTTAACATCACCGTTGCTCAATTGGAAGCTGCTAATACCGAGATTGATCCCTTATGCGACAATCTGCAAATTGGCGAGGTAGATCAATCTCGTTATTCTACGAATCGAGACTTTGCTAATGACTCGCATTTAGGTTCTATGCATTCCCTAGGTCTGAGTATCGATGTTACGTGGAACTTTCCGGAATGTACACCATGTTGACACTCTAGTGTTGCTTAAACTAAGTTTAAAAGTCGCCCCTGTCGTGTTTCGATGTGAGGTCTTCCAGGATGCCTAAATATAATGCAGAATTCTTTCAGACGTTAACATTGCGAATGAGAATTCCCAGATTAGATTGCTCCCCATAGGGGTTTTTACAAGTACTCATCGCAACTCGTTAGGTGAAATTGAAGAACATTTGATTGAACATATACATACTCTGTAAGACTGCTGTTTTTTAGTAATCGTAGCTTCCGGGTCTTTATTTCGGACTCGTCTTTGGTTTTTGTCTATGAGATGTTTGTGCTTGGCTTGGATTATGTACATACATAGAGCTTTATCTCAACAATTTGAATTCTTGGTAAAGTCGTAGTTTCGTAAGGTTCGGTCAAAGCTGTAAATATAAGACCTTTTTGGGAATTTGTATATCATTACAATATCTTTGTATATACACATGCCTGTAACGAGAATTGCAGTCGCAATGTTCCTCGGGCATATGCAAAGGTTTTTTTTTTTTTTTTTGAATCCTGTTTATACATCGCTGTGCGGGAGCATATGGTAGTGTACATACTATTCTAATTGTAGGTATTTTGTGTTTTCTTTCGTATCGGTTCCCAGGGGAAGCCAAGACGGGGATCCGTCAGGAGCACAATGTATCTGTAGAAAGTCCATGTACTGTGGATTTTGTTGTGCGGGGTTTTCCCCCTTCTTTTCCCATGTAATCGTGTCTTAGTGAGCTTCTGAATGTATCGTGAGGAGTCGAGAGAAAGTAATACTATATTTTGGGATATTAAGGCTTTTGCATTTGGGCAGTCGGTGGGCTATCGCTGTCGCTGGGGTCGATCTTCATCATCTTCGCAGAGTTCCGGGAGTTCTCCAACGATATGGTGGAATCGTTTGGTGCTGTTGATATAGCGAAATAGTGGTGGAAGTGCCTGTTTCGTAGAGAGCAGGGGACCTAGGGACCAGAGTTGGTTAGGTAGCTTTCGTTGTAGTCGACCTCGGGCTCTTCGATGTGCGGGACAGTCGAATAGGAAATGTGTGACGGTCTCGGTGGCTCTTTTGCAACATGGGCACGTTGGGGAATCTGCTTTTCCAATGCGATGAAGGTGCTTTTGCAGGGGAATGTGCCCTGTGCGTAGTTGTGTCAGCAGACTGAGGAGCTTTCGTGGGAGCCACCGAGATATGCAAAGGTAGTTAGTATTTGCAGCTACTTTGTTGTGCTCACAGCTATACTAATGGCATGAGAGCCGATATTCACGTCTGAAGAGCATCCAACACGGCACACTCGGTTGCTGGTTCTCAAATTTCAATGCTACAATTGTTTCGTACCTCGGTATCGATGAATCAAAGAACGACATACGCCATAAGTAAGTTTACCATTCAAATATTCAAATTTATGCACGGCCCATGCACGAAGTCTAACGTCTCTGCCTCTCTGTATCTCTGGAACGATCCTGATGGCGATCGCGGTCTCGATCTATTCGCTCCCGTCGACTACTTTCTTTGTCTGTATCTCGATCCCGAAACTTATCCCTCCTATTATTCCTTTCATCCTCGTCCTTCCTAGAGTACTCCCTGCGACGGTCATCGTAAGACCGTCTTTCTGAGGAAGAACGCCTCGAAGAAACCCTTGATTCACGTTGGGGAGATCTGGAACGATCACGACGCCTCTCCCTCTCTGAATCCCTCCTCCGAGCCTCGCCCTCTGAGACTATATTCCCATCCTTGTCCTTCTTTACTACCGGTATATAACGCTTCTCCGGGCGTCGATTTCCGCCGCGTTTTTTGGAACCGTCGTCGAAGACTTCCATCTCCTTGGCTCCAATACCCAATAACGCAGGTCGTGATTCTGGTATGTAGGGTTGTACGATGCCGTTGCCTTTTCTGGAAGCCGCGGTACCTTCCTTCCATCCCATGCCTCGTAGCATGGCAGCGCCAAACTGCGATACTGGTACTCGTTCGTAATCGGCAAGTGAAGCGCTTTCAGGAAGCTCTTCAACGTCCTGTTTGTAAGCATCCTTCTCAGATATAGGCGTAGGAATGATGTCTATTCGAGGGCCAGAGTCTTCACCATCCGCACCAGCGAGTAAAGCCCGTAGAGCTGCTTTGTCTTCTGAATCCTCTTCTTCTTCTGCTTTCGGGATATCTTCCCCAGCAACTTCAACCATCACGACATCCTGCTCACGCTTCTCACTGTCCATTTCCTTCTTCGTATATTGAAGCCCTGAGACAACGGGCCCACTGTTTATGGAATCCCTGGTACCAAGTCCACCGACACTGCCGTCACTTCCCACAGTCTGAGCGCGAGCAGACTCCGGGACATATTGGTTGAGAGTTCGCCTTCTACGAGCAGCTTCACGCCAGTCGCGGTTTTTGAGCGCAGGGATAACAAGTGGACCTTGGGGTTTCTTCCGCTCGTGCAATCTACGATGATTTTGGCGCAGGACCTTTGTGAGTTGAGATGACTGTATGCATGAGGCTTGACGAAAGACACACCGTTGTACCCCAAATTTATCGAAGCCAGTAACGAGCTCGTCCTGCACTTCATCATCCTGATCACTATCGGAGTCATCATAGTATGGCGAAGAAGTGCCACTTCTGGCGAGAGGGCTCCCAGGAACACTAGAATCATTTGTTAGGTGACGGGGTAATGCAGGGACTTTGAAGGATGATCCGCTGTCGGATTCTGGTCCTGAGGAAGCAGCTCGCGAGGTTGGACTAGGCCTGCGAATAGTAAACGAAACCTTTTGGGCAGACATGGTGGTCAGAGACGAAGTTTGCTTCCAAGCGGTGCCGAGCTGAATTGATTTCGAGTTTACCTAAGCAAAAAAATCGGGCCGGTCCGGGTCTGTCGAATCTTTCTCTCTTCTACACCACAATGGCCTCCAAGATTACTCCCCGAATCTTCAGACATGTATCTCGGTCTTTAACCAGAGATTTTCCCCGCACTAGAACCAACTTTTACCTCTCAACTACACGCGTTTGTGCTTATTCAGCCTCCGCACCTCGGAAAACAACTACTGTTACCCAACATCTTCCTTCTTCCCCAACTGTCCTTCTTTCTTTACCCTCTACTGAGTATCTTGAGCAAGAAGAAATTGACGTTAAGCTTCTACCTCCTGAAGATGCCAAGGTAATAATCACCGATAGAGCTGCGGAGGTGTGTATTCCAAGTGGCAACCAGAATCGTGACTGTTATCTTAGGGTGTCCTTGTAGCAATTACGAAAGATGTCTGAACGAGAGCAAGATCCAGATGCTGCTCTGAGGGTGGCGGTAGAATCTGGGGGATGTCATGGCTACCAGTACAAAATGGAGTTAGCGAAGAGTCGGTCTTTGGATGATTAGTAAGTTCTTGAACCCAAATACGGTCAAGGTCCCTTTGATATATTTCATTCATTCAAGTCATTTCTCGCACCCTACAATCAAACCTTCAAATATCCTTGTCGATGCCGTCTCACTTACTTTACTGAATGGGGCCACGATAGATTTCGCGACTGAACTTATTGGGAGTAGTTTCCGAATATCCGAAAACCCGCATTCGAAAGGTAGTGGGTGTGGATGTGGAGTCAGTTGGGAACTCAAAACATAGGAAAAGAAACAAAGATTTGTTAGAACTAATTATAATAATGTATACTATCGGTACGTCTCATGCTCTAGATTGCATCGCGGAAATCTCTACTCAGATTGTCCGGGGTCGGGAACTCAGAGCGCTTGTAACCCAGACTCCATTGACAAAACCTTCTCAGAGACTCGGAGCCGAAAAGTCAAGACACAACGCAAAAAATGAATCGGCCATCCGAACCGATTCAACATCCATGTACATCCTAAACCTCGAGACAGCCCCGCCCAAGCCCGCCCATCCCTCTGATGAGATTATGAGCCAGCTCGAGCAGGTGTTCGAACCATGGGACAATAGGAACCTGTGACACAAAATATCAGCCTAAACCATGGAAGGGAAATCTGTCATGAGCCTGTATTCAGTGATAAACATTGCGCATTGCGCGGGAAGTAGCAATGTCGGAAATTCCGTTCATCCTTTCTGGATAATTAAAACTCAGATTTAACCTGCGTTTGGCAACGGTGACCTTCTCAACCTCCCCTCGGAAGCTCGGAACTGCGCTCTCAACCAGCGTTCGCAAATTTCAATGGTTGATCTCATTCTCCATTTCACCGTCCCAATTATGATGGAGCTAGGTTGCAAGCATATTCGTAAACCTTCTTGTACATCAGGTCGCTGGTTTACCTACTTGCTCATGACCAGTTCGTTGCTGAAAGAAACCATGCGAAACTTGTAACGGGTCGCAGACTTCTCGGATTTCTATAGTTTAAGCTGATTTGTTAGTCGGAAATCTCAGCGCCGGGGCGTAACTTCCTCCATTCCATTTCTTCCTCTTCAATGGTTTCTCAGCTGATTTTCAACGTACCCTAGGTTCGGGTTGCATGCCGTCCCCAAAAAGTCCTGCAATTTTTTTCCTGGGAAGTTGGGCGTTCGGGTGGAGAAATAACTGTCCATCGCACAATCCCGTTAGCATGTAAGCTGAAGGGAGGTTTAGAATGGAAAGTTATGCCTGCTCGTTGCTGTCGCCGAAGAATATTCTGATAATGGCACAGAAGGTGTGAGGTTCAAGGCCTGATTCGGGATGGCCCAAGGGGAGAATGGGTCGCCGCACTAGGCGGCGATAGGCGGCGATCCAGCGAAAAGCCAGTTATATCTTCTTCATCTCTATCGCCCTAAAAAATCAACACCAGCTGATAACAGCCTGAACAAGGTGTTGGACTGGTGTTGGACGTTATTTGATGCAGCGGGAGGCACGTATTAATTAATCGTACGCATCCAAAGTCGTTTGAATTTTAAATTATTTTGAAGCCCAGCGATACAGTCATTGTGCCCATTGGGAATCACGTTGACCAAAGCAAGAGGAAAAGCTACCTCTACCATCGAAGATCTTGGAAACTACTTTTGCTAAAATTTCATGACCTAACTTGTTATTTTCTTTTAGGTGAACTAAAATTATCTCCATCACCAAGAAGTTTGGTATGTCCAAGGCGACGCTACTGTGAGCATGCCCAATGTATTTTCTACATTTAATATTGTACATACCAATAATCAAAAAACCTCAACAACTTACCAGCGGTGAAATCTCCACAATCTTGCTCTCGGCCAAAAACCCGCGCTTCCATAGACCAAGCAGCTCCAATCTTAGTTCATCCAACGTTTTCTAGTCCTCATCGTCCTCATTGACCTTGATAATAACCGCATTGGCCCCATACTCTGACAGGTAATCGTCACATTGACTGCCATTGCCCATAGTTTCAAAAGGGATACTTCCCCCCTCTCCCCACTCATCAATCGGGTCCATTGTATGTTGGCGCTTCCTAGGCTTCCGCTCATGATGTTTCGCAAATGGGTTGCCGGAGGCCAGGGGCAGTCGACTGGGGTCTACTTTGCCCACCCTGTCGACAAGCCCTTTGTTGTACTCTCTCAGGTGGCAGAGAAAACAGTAGAAGATGATAAATCCAAAGCTTTCTGATGTATCAAATGCTTGCGGTAGTTTTTGATAATAGTAGACATAACCTTGTGCCAAGAGTCCAAGAATGCATCAAACCGAGTAAATGGAGTACTCACTGTGCCATTTTTCATGTAGGTGCTCAATACAAGATCTACTTTGCCAGACTCGCGATGAATGCTAACAGAGACATTTATCATTTGCTCCAACTCCAGCAGACGGTTCACAGTTTATAAATGCCCGACGGACAAGATCGTTTGTCGGATTTCACCATTTTACTCCTGTTTGTATTCGACAGGGCTGGCCAAGTACGACCTCTGAAGATATTGCAGGATCGGCGAGGATGGAACACGTCGTTCCAGCGCAACGAATGCAGCATCGTCAATTTTGGCCGGAGAGTTTGGAAACGTGTCAAGGCCGGTAGGGTCGAACGAGGCCAAATCAACCTGAACCTCCATTCTTGTACAAAATGTGTCAGACGGGGAGCTATAGATAAATGCTTTACCGATGTTTGTCATATCATGCTGAACTTCCATCCTGCGAAAATACCATTCTCAAAACGTCATCGAAAGGTAGTTCTACTACTGTTTTACTTCGCTTCGATGGTCTGCTTTTCTGGCCGCTTGGAGAGTATCGAAGTCTTGACACAGATAGGGGTATAAGTTTTCGACATGGAATTTCAATTTGTCAGTCGCTAGCCATAAGTTCCACATCGCTTGTGTTGACGACGAGGGAGTGACGACAGCGTAGCGGATTATCTCTTACATATTTCTTGTGGGCTTTTTCAGTCAATTTCTCAATATTCTGCGGTACCTCTGCCTTGAACAGCCAACAGCAGCCGACCGCCCAGGCCAACGCTAAGATTCAGTTCGAAGGAACTTCCTGAATTTTGGATAGACGCAGGAGTGTATGACTCCCTCGGCAGAACCTCAGTGACCCAGGTAGGCATTATAGTTGAAATGTACCTACGAGGATGAAATAATCTATTTACTCGACGTATCTGACATGGTGGCTAAAGCTGAGTCAAGACGATTCCGGAGGTCATGGGCACGTGACCAAGTCAGCGCTGCCTACCTTTGAATTCCTTCCAGCTCCAAGGACCAAAGAGTTGAGTCAGGACAGCCCAGCCAGAGTCTGACATGTAAAGATTGTGAAATTCACTTGTTGTATTCAACTTGAAAACAAGATGTCCCATTGGAGCAAATGTGGATACCGAGCGTGTCAATAAAATCCATGCTGATCGTCGCTTCAACATTCTTGCATGGGGCTCGTCGGTAACCGTGAGAATGAGAATGAAAAGATTAGAGTCTATGGACAGAATATACTGGTAAGATCAACGAAGAAAAGGTAAAGCAAGAAACGAAAGGACATGAATAAGAAACAACGGTAAGTTCAGTGAAATCGAGGAGGAGTCAGAGAGAAAAAGCCACGACGTTAAAAGGGATCATAGTTAGGCCGTTGACAACGTGAGCGAAGGAGTAGGAAAGACAACAAGGAGCGAAATCGATGAAGCAGTCGAATCCAGTCCTTCTAGTTTCCACACAGATTGGGAAAACAATTTAGCACACAACGCAGCACTTCCACCCGTTTCCAGTATCCTCCTGCAGGGCACTCTTCGTACTACTTTTCCGTCGATGGTGACGACCGTCCGTGTTAGAGTTTGACTGCGCGCCGTCACGCATTAGCATGCTGGCACGAGTGGCGGTCTCGAAAACATCGTCAACACCTTCGATCTTCAAAGCGGAACACTCTTTGTAGGCACGAGCACCTATCACTTGAGCAACGCGCTCTCCCATCTCGCGAGTGACGTAGGGAGCGGGATTGTCAGGCGTGTTGGGATGTGTAGGACTTGGCCGAAGATCGGCTTTACAACCGACGAGAATGACAGGGATTGTAGGACCACAGATCGAACGGACCTCTTCTATCCACTGTGGGAGTATGTTACGCACGCGGTAGGATTGAAGCTATTGACAACGTACCTTGGTTTCTACATTCTCCAAAGAATCAGGGGTGTCAAGGGCAAATGCGATGAGAATGACATGGGACTTTGAATATGACATGGGTCGTAAGCGCTGAAGAAGGCCGTTTTAGTACCGTTGAGTTCTATAAACGAAGGACAGACGACTTGCTTCATATTCCTCCTGGCCACTGTGAAATTCGATTCATTTGTAAAATTTGTAGATCAATGTCAAAGTCAATAACAATAACTCACGCAGTATCCCATAGTGCTAATTGGACAGGCTTCTCATCAAGTCTTATTTCAGCGACATAGTTATCGAAGACAGCTGAGAGGGAAAAAGAAAGTCAGTGGGACAGGCGGCGAATGACTTGGTTGACTGCGCACTGGGTTGCTATAAGATAAATTGATGAGGTCCGGGACATCAGACAAAGAGAGCCCAACACGTACATATTCTTTAGGAAACTCTCCTAGCGCAAAGGAACACAGCAAAGACGTCTTTCCACAAGCACCTGGTAGAAAAAGACAAATGGTCAGCGGATAGGTCGAAATGTACGGGTGACTATTGCGTGCCATCGCCTACTATAACCAGTTTTCGTCGGATCTATTAATGCATCAGAAGGTGGGTCAGCGATTAAAACCTTGAACGCCTGGAGCGGGAGAGAAACATACAGGATTTTGAGAGGTCATTATGAGTTAGCTGGGGAAAGAGGCCGCTCCAGAGGCGAAGAAAGCAAGACAGAAGTGTAAGGATGCGCTATAAGAATAGAAAGAATATAGAGAAGAAAATAATACGATTAAGGACGGTATAGAAACACCTTAACCAGAGGATATGGAGTTGAGAAAGAGAGCACCGGAAACTCTCATTTCACTGCTTACTAGCTTACGGCAGGCACAGTCACAACTTCAAGATTTTACTATCCTATGTACATATGTACATAGATTTATTCCAGTGCTCATTATCTCAAAGATTCAATATTCAATGCTGCGGTAGATATATAAACACCGTATATGCAAGTTTGCAGAGCAGTCCGTTACCAAGTATAAAGATCCCTCTCGGACGCTGTCGACCACCGACACGATAATCGGGGTTTCTTCGCCGCAGCACAAGCCTAACTTCTCAGTTATAGCCGTCGTGCAGTAAGGCCGATAATTCAGATTCAAGCCTCTTCAAGTCCTGCAGGCCCTGCCTTCAAAGTTCATATTCGTATGTACATCTATGTACATACTCGTATGTCGGGACAAAGTAGATATGAAACACCGAGTGTCCACGACGACGAGAACAAGATTCAGGATACAGATATAAGTAGAGTGATCCTGGAGTGATCCAGTCGGCTTCCCATGAAAGAGGAACCAATCTTTAAGCGGTGATTTCATTGAACTCTTTCGCAAGCATCTCCCGTCCTCTCGTCGTTCATTTAACCGACGCCGATGGCGTAACAAGGATGAGAAGCCAGTTTATCAAAGTTGACATGATCAGAATCGGATAGATAGATGACCACGAGTAGCCACAAGTGAGAAGGGATGTTCTTGGGATTGATTGACTTCAGTTGGCTTCATTCCACCTAGTACGGATGAGAGTTGTAAGGAGTTCCAGTTCGACAGTCAGGAGCTGTAGGTACGTAGCAATGTCACGAGAGAGAAAAGTTAGACCAGAATCTGAGCTTCTGTAGAAGGAAGGATGTTGAAGAAGTAGCGCTATGAACCAAAGTGGTCTCAAAGAGTAAACGAGGTATCCACAGGACCAGAGCACCTGCGCTAGCTTAACTACCGCTGTCAAAGAGGGAAGTGTAGACCCGTAAGAAAAGAAAGGAAAGGAAAGGAAAAATGAAAAAATAACCATGCATAGGTCCAAATTATCAGTCGGGCCGCGTTCCGGAGTCGCGAACCATCTCTTCCTTTCGATTCAACCACCACTCACATATGTTTATCAATTTTTCCTCCCCATTATCGACATTATACCCTCCCCCTCCCTTTTCATAATCGACACAACGCCACACAGTCTAAAGCCGATCATCGAACTAGTACTTATACTACACGCAAGTTTTCTTCTACGAGTTACCATTCCTTTTCTTACTTTTAGGCTCCTTCAGCTCATCTAGCAAAGCTCAGAATGCACGAAATGCCTCTGTGGTTGCCGAAATCATACCAGGATTTGAACGATCTGCCTTCAGAGAATATCGTCTATCAGCCTAAATTAGGAGGCAGTAAAGTCGTTCGCACCGCGCCAGGCGTAGTGATCAAATACAGAGGGGACTTAGCAGAGGAAGTGAACTGTTTGAATTTTGCTAGGGATCATCTCTCTATTCGGGTCCCGCGAGTGCTGCATCACCCAGGTGACGTTCGTCAGTCAACGCTTTGGGATCCGCGTACAGAGGAGTTACCGCAAGTATGGTATATTTGTATGGAGGAGATCCAAGGCGTTCAGCTAAAGGAGGTGATCGACAGCTTTACTCCTCTTCAGCTCGAGCACGTCGCCTCCCAGATAAAGGCTATACTCGCTGATATGCATTCTGTACCTGCACCCCATATTGGATCTGTTTCGGGAGGCCCTTTCCAAAACTCATACTTCTTCCCCTACGCCGTCAAACCTCAGAATGCTTGGACCAAGGTCTCTGACTTCATCGACCATTATCACCAATTGTTGATGACGTTTGGTACCGAGGAATATGCAAAGGAATTACTTGCCAATTTTCCTCAGGACTGCCCCGTCAACTTTACTCACGGCGACCTGGTACCCCGTAACATACTCGTTGAAGGCTCTACTATTACTGGGATCGTCGATTGGTCCATGGCAGGGTTCTATCCGGAATTTTGGGAATATAGTCGGATGTACGATGACAGCGAACAGTCCAAGGGCTGGAGTCAGGTCCTGAGCATGATCTTTCCTGGCCCTCGACTTGATAATCAAATTGCTACTTTTCATCGTCTAATGGGAACGCTGCTGTACAACCTTTGAGGACCCATGGCGGTGAAGGTTTTCTTGACGTGCCGGATTCCCATTTTACCGAACGAATATCAGTAATGCATGTCCCACATGCTACAAGAGCGCTGCAAGGTCTCTTAGACGGTGTTGCTCGGCTGTGGATAGGATCACAACTCTAAGTGCGTGCTATCATCAACCACGCCCGAAAATCATCGAAACCGTTATCGCTGCTACCCATCTGCTGTATCTACAGTACCTGTTGTCTACATCTACAGGCTTTCTAGTTTTTGCTTTACGCAATTGGTTCTCTTCTATATTCCAAACTGCCTTTTTCACGCAGCACCTTCTACTGCTTCGTCTGTTAGTCGCTTTATCAAGTAGCTACTGTTTGTAGAAAACCGGATATGACCGAATGATTTTCGATGATGTCAGCATTTCTTGAAACATCTTTGTTTTCTTGGTCTTCTTCTGTCTTCATATTTTCGAGATACGCCGATAGTCTGGCCTTTTTTCTATAGCAGTTCTTGATCTATGCCTGCTACGTACATATTTCGCTCACGATTGCTTCTGAAATACTGAAAACGGTTAGGCACATCCATCGTATCTGTTTCTGAAAATTTCCGCTGACAGTAAATTTCTAGGGCGATCTACCTCTATATGTCGCGACAAGTGAGTAGAAATTACTACGCATTCACCCCCGACGACAATACAGAGAAGGACGTCTACTTGCAAGGTGGCCATAAGTCGTCGAATCGTGAATCAAGTTTGACCCTTTCTTCATAGCTCACGGCCACAATTTCGACGGCCGAGAGAGGCACGTTGTGATCCACTGGGTAGTATATGCTTTTCCGATTTCGGGGAGTTTGCTGAAGTAGTATACTTCAACGAAATAGGTTAACGGAACGCTCGCCGATAATCCAGTAACCCAAATCGTCCAACTCAGCGGCATTCGAGGAAAATTCGTCTTTGATTCGCTCGTCGCCAAGCTTCGTAATCCCGCCACTCTCGAATCGCATACACAGTATTACCTGGGTAGCTTCACTCGTGCTGAGCGGCAGCTTTTGTTGCGCCTTGCAAATGAAATTGAATTCGATAAAACATCGGTGATCAATGGATGTCGAGTTTGGATGAGAGAATTGCTTCTGAAGATGGTGAGAGAGAAGTTAATTTCGGAGGAGACGTTTGAGGTTATCGAAGAGGATGTACCGCTTCCGAAACGTATGCCTGAGCCTGATGAAGCTATCGAAGGTGCGTGGTGTATACGATTAATTTCAATTGCGTTTAACCAACCCGAATCTCCAAGACTCACAAAGATTACAACTGCATTAAAACGAAGTTATCGATATAAACATACAAGGACTTCCCAATGACGCCTGCTTCCACGGTATTGCTCACGAACATTAATACACGAGTGACAACGCATACATAGACACTTGTAACATATGATATTTAGTAGGCAGGAATTCATACTCTTTATATGTTGTATCAAAAACAGGACCCCCCCGGTGCGCCAAAGCCTGCTCAGAACTCAAGGTGGCTGACCCTGGCCATTGCTTTCCCAATGTCTCCCAATGTACATTTACATACAACCAATATTTTCAGGAACTGCCCAGGTCTAGATACTTTCAGAGTTGAAGCAGCACATTCGACAGCTTATGTGTTACCAATATTGATGCATGCCTTTTTGAACTTTGGGAAATCGTAGAAGGCTGTTCCACACAGTTGCCTTCAGCTATGGTGATAGTAAAAAAAACATGAGGTGAAAGGTGACTCTATCATCTTGATTATAATGCTCTGTATTGCATATGATATAGTACTAAATGTGCAGTGCCTAGGACAGTATAGGAGTAAGAATGCACATACATCGCTACTCGAAGCGGAAGGACAACTCACATGACACATGTTACCCTACGGTGCTTGGTTTACTGGCAACAGAATCTCTGTCGATGGAGAGGAAAGTTTCGCGTGAGTTGTCATATTCATTGACCAAAACTAGAATCTCGGATGGTCCTTTGCCAACTGGCGGTTCCGGCCCATAGGTATGGTGGTATTCGTTGAGAAATCGCATCTTGCTTGGATGAACTGAGAGGTATTTGTTGAGCGCAGTTGTCACTCGCGTCTCAATCGCTCCGTTGTTAAGTTGAGAACTTGGCAAGTCAAAATCAACTCCTCCACATAGACCGGTCAATCTAATGTACACGAGACCAGTATTCTGGGTGCGTCTTCTGATACCGAGGCCGGAACTGCTGCTACCACTAGCGGCCTACACCAAAAGAGAAAGGAATTTAGTATTATGTATAGAAATCAAGTCAGCCAATGACCCACAGTCAAAGGTGCGGCATGCACATTGGCAGCAGATGTTAAGAGAGCTGCAACAATATATGCGAAATCAAGGCGCATAATTGCACAATGGAGAGGAGGTGTTATTTGGAGAAATAGGGCGATAAGAATTAAGACAAGAGTAGGAAAAGCGGGTAACACGAAGGGAAACTGACCAGCAGCTGCTAGGGAAAATCTGCCTCTGTGTATGCCTTTTATATGTGCACAGTGATTCACCATGATTCGGAATCTGTCGGGCATTGCTGCAGTCATTGATAGTTTCGGATATCCCTTGAAAAGTCGATTCAGTGATTATCGAAATCCCTCACTTCAACTGAATAGGTCTTAGATATAATCCTGCACCCCCCTCATCGCCCCCCGTGGCCTCCCTATGGCCTCCTCTACAGCGGTTACTTATGTGAAGCTTGTATACCAGGAAACCCATGGAAATACAATCTGATACAATTTGCGCACCCTTGAGCTCAAACAAAAAGTCAATCTTGCTCAATGTCTGACAAAATTGCAGCAGATATCCCGCACGAACATGCAACAAATGAAATTCAGGGCAGCTGTTAACTGTTGTTGACCTTTGTTAATTGATTTGCATACTGGGTTAGTTTGGTAAACTTGAACAGGCTTGAACAAGCTTGAACATCACTCATGAGCATTTTACGGAGATCATAATGAGCCTCCACTTCCGCCCAATGATCGTGACGCTGGGATGACACCTGGGAACACCATCAGGCGAGTAGTGTTTCCGGAAAGTGAGGTACTTACCTTCCAACTTGCCAAGGACCCGGCACTTCGCATATGGCGAGTTGTTTCAGGGTGGAACGTTTCCCAATCCAAGCAAAGGCTATGTAGTCAAGGGCCAGCAAGGACCTCAAGGAAGCCTCAGACAGGCTGTAATTCATGACCTGCTCGAACAGATGTGTGTATGAATGAGGAGTGCATTGGGCCGGTTAAAAGGATAATATGTATGTGGTTGCATAAGGCAATGGGCCGATAATATCCTTTCGTACGCGTATAGAGGGAAAGGTCAAATGTATTCTGTAATAACCCGATGTCAGTCAATGATATCGTGTAGTTGCGGGGGAAACGACGTCCCGCAAAGCAGGGCTAAGACAGATAATGGTTTGGAAAGGAAATCCAAAACCAATACGTAGCAGGCCATCGACGTCGAATCCAGTACGCAAGGAGTGCAAGGGTGTGAAGGAGAGATATCACATGAACCCAAACATACCAAGCGTGAGCTAAATAAATAGGGGAATGGTGGGTGGGGCCAAAAAACGAATGCTTAGTGATAAGAGAAAGAACGAGTGAATTCTTGTGTACTGAGATGGATGCGACGAGCAAGAGACTAATTGACGCGCACACAAGTTTGGTAATTACTTGTCGCTGCCGGGCCGTCTGAACTAGAGTTTCTACCCAACTTTAAAACCTACTCCCATTGCCTTATCTAACACTTACGCTAGCCGGAGCAAGCTCTCGTAGCTTCAGCTAACATCAAGCTGCCGCTCAAGGACAATGGATGTTCTCTGATTCAGTAACCACTTTTGGTGGTACGGGAGGTTTTGCTGGTTTGCGCCGAGCAAACGGGACATTGGCAAAGTTGTTTGACACCTCTGGGGGTCCATCATTGCATATTTCAACGGAATGTCGCCTCATATTTTATAACGATGGTTCAGGTAGGCTGTTCTGTGGCAGAATGGCTGATTTTCGATTGGATGCTACACATGTATCAAGTCCCATATAAAGATGTTAGAAGAAATGCTACGGCGTGATGTGAGGAAAGCAGGGATTTCCGAAGATACAATGTGAAATAGGATAAAGTGACTAGAATAACGTACAACAGAAGCAAAATTCAAACAATAACACCCAGAAAACGTTTTCCACTTTGCCAAACTGCGAAACTCACCGCAGTCATTGGAATGACTTTCAGATAACCTATGCTGAGTCCGACATAAAATCCTCTCCAGCCGGATGAAGCCCATATAGCGTGTACAGTCTCTCCCCATTGTAGCCATCTGTTGGGCTGCGTTATTCCTCCAACTTGCATTCTCCTTCTTATGACTTCAAAAGGGTAAGACGCGGTCTGTGCCATTGCACCTGACGCAGCACCTATTGTCAGATCAGCAACAGGCGTTGATTTTATCTTGCCTTCCTTGGGCGGAGGGAGAAAACGCGCGCGTAAGTACCCCCAACTCAAGAAGGATACCCCGGCGTACGGTATCATTCCAATGAGTGTAGCTGAAAATCCGCGATAGAATTTCAGGATAGGGTATTGTTTGAAGTAATAGTTCGTGTTGGGCGTCAGTCCAGATGCTGGACGGCTATCAGTAGCTTGTTCGTGATAAATTTGTTTAAAGGAACGAAGGAGGGAATTGTTGGACTGTTCCGGGAATTTCGTGTGGAAAGCTAGTCGAACACGAAAAACTTCCAAAGGATAAGTGAATAATACTGATATCAGTCCTAAGATCCGGTTGTAAGCGCCCCAATATGCTAGTTAGAGTCGACATCACATACCGGATATTGAGCCAGCGGAAAATCTACGAAAATTGGTTTCCTTATCTCGAGTTGGCATTAAATACTTAGTAGAAAGAGAGTTCAGTTCTGATTGAAAAAATATTGGGGGAAAATTTATACCAACGTGATGGACTTGGTCATAGGCCATATACTTGATGGCAGCATAGGGAAATATGCGAAGTAAGGTCACTGAGTGACCTTGGAACAGTCCGCGCGCTCCGGAGGACTTGTAGATATCAGAGCCAGCCCGAAAGGCACCACTCCAGGTCCCTTCAGAAGATCAATATTATTCTACGAAATGACAGTATCTGGCGCACCCGCATACTTCTGAAAATCAGGATTTGAAGCCTGAAATAGAATCTTTACTCGGTCTAATGGTGCAACTACAGTCTTCGCCTGACAGTCACATCATCAGTGCTATATTCGACAGAAGATAACTAGCGGACGTACAAGACAACCAGCAACTCCTCCTGCTAGACCCGACCGAACGATATAGTGTAAACTCCGTTTATCTTGTGTAGCGGAGACATCTGAACTCATTTGCAAGGCAACCGCTGGGTCTCATACGACTTCCAAAATTGACCAGGTTCTCGTCGGCTCTACAGTCGTCGTCAGTGTAAGAAGAGAAAAGGCGTCCGTGCACGAATTCGGTGCTCCGCGCGCTGAGTAAAGATGCCATGTGATTAAACGGAACATTTTTGACGCGTTCAAATTCCACTTCTAGCATTTTGCTCACAGCTCAAATTGACGATGGCGAGCAAACAGAAATCCGAGGTGAAGGTCCTTAAGGGTCAAGAAGGTTAGTCTGAATACTATTTTTAATCATCATCTTTTCACTTAGATACTCTAAGCCGAAAACAAAGTATTGGAATATGTTAGACGAGTTCAGTTGCATTTTGCTGCATTTATTTTTGTAATAACGCATTGATACGCGTCTTCGTACAAGATGAATCGTCCATACGGCGCTGTGGACGTGGCTGCAAATCTCAAAGGCGCGGTTCCTAAAGCCGCGACACAGAAAATACTAGTAGCGCTTGCAGAGAAGGGAGAGCTGGTTCAAAAGAACTACGGTGCGTCCTCGTCGCGTTTTACCCAGAATAAGGCCGGATACAACAACTATTTCAACTATTTCAGGGAAAACGACATTCTTTGTTGCCAATCAAGCGAAAATTGATACGTTGTCGCCTGAGAAGATATCTGCCCTCGAGGAAGAATGTAAGAGACTAGACGAGGAAAACAAAGCAATCGCGTTGCAAATCAAAGCAGCCACCACTGGTATATCTACTCTCAAACATGTACATCTCCTGAAGTCATTAACATCCTGATAGAACTCACCAAAATCAAGAACCTGCCCTCTGATTCCGAGTTAGACGAGCAACTTGCGTCTCTCAAGGATGCGGTAAGGTCCTAAGTCGAAGCTATGTTCGGCTGTTTTTTGAGTGTTGATCCTCAGATCGCTAAACGGACCGTCTTGCTTCAACCGTTACGCTCCGGCGCGCCGCCTATATCTGCCGAGGAAATCGCTCAGATCGATGCTGACTGGCTGAAGTGGAGAGAGGAATGGATACGACGGAAGAAGACATTCAATTCGTCAGTCATTACTGCATGGATCGCTTTGATTCTTCAGATCTTACTCATATATCATCAGGTTCTGGCAACTCGCAACCGATTCCTTACCTCCTCAGGACGCTACGATCCTTTCAGAAGACCTTGGAATTGAATTCGATACTCCTGAACACGCTACCCTGGAGAAAAGTCACCTCTGCGTCGATACGAAGAAAAATCTCCTCAAGAGGAAACGGTAGATGTTGTCTGAACATGCAGTTCTATGCTATGTATTGATATGTTTATGGCTCCGGATTCTCGACTTCTGCAACTGCTATGTTTTGTTCGCTTTCTACACTGCGTATATCCGCGCATCCCGATTTGAGAACGAGATACGGTCAACAAACCTGGTTGTGGTGTCTAAGAAAAATGTATATCATACTATATGCTCAATCCCGGATATCTGTCAACTATAGAGCTGGGGGACACAAAACTGAACGCAATTCTCAAAGTCGTTGAAGGGCCCAAGAGTAGGGAAGGAAGGAAGGTATATTAAACGGCTTGGTCCAAGATCTGAACACCGCACAGTCCGGGGAGTATCTTGGTGTGGAACCTCACCACAGTCCCCGGGACGTGAGGGGAAGGACTTCGACGAGCTCGCACCTGGCTCAGGAGCCGTTGCTGTAGATCTACATCCCACCCCAGACGTCAGTCTATCAGGGAAGAATTGATTGCAATGTACGTACTCGCAAGTATTTCTTGGTATTTTACGGCTGTCATGTCTATGGATATACCAGATTGTACCGGGTATACAAAGGTGTACAATGTGCATGATAGGCAGAATGTCGTGTTCGTTGGGTGCTAATATGCACTTGCCCAGCTGGGCCCCCATAAAATGATGTAACATCCTAGGACTTAATTCTAATAATTTCCCTTGGAAAGTGCGCATATAGTAGAGCATTCTCCGACAAAATGAGACCTATTTATGAGTCGTAGGTCATTTTGCGCTATGATCCCGAGTGCTACGTGAAGCAACCTGTGGGCTGTAGTGTCCATGACACGATTAGCAGCAGACCATTAGGCCTCATGTATCAACGCTGAATCACAACTCCTCCTCGTACAGCTTACACCAAGACCGTTTTACCGCCAAGTCGTCATGGAACAATCAAACCATCTCATCGAGGATGCGAGCAGTGAGCATCATGATCACTCAATCAATGTGGCGTACTTAAGCTTGTCGTGTACAGAATATGACTTTACCTGCATAACGTGAATTGTACACGGAGACTCGGCGTTGACCAAAATACGTTGACTAAAATCTGTTCAAGCTGCTTGGGTTGAGGCCAGCGTAATGGTACGAACCGTACGATGCTCTTTATACTTCAATGATTTTGACACTTCGCGATAAAGAATCAATTATGTACCATGTTTACTGCACCTTTGTTAATTAACATATTCATTGTGTTTGAAATCTCCCCTCATTGACACCGGGATCGTCGTGTCATACCACACAGGTGAGACTAGCAAGCTCCAAGTAAAGTTCAGTCGGTCAAAATCCATACATGTATCTGATTGCACCTTCCACCTCCGCCGACAAATATGCATTGAGGCCAAGTTGAACAGCTGACTGCGATTCAGCTTATCTCTGAATAGCATTTTAGAATCCTAGTGGTGAAGGTGCTGGTCGACAACGAACAGTCCGAAGATGAGAAAATTCGCGGGTCGACATTTCGGAATCTGTACGCCCTCTACAGTTTGCTCCGTCCTCCATATCCAATACGCTGCTCAGCGAGGAAAGGATGCGGCACGATATGGTTCATCGGCTCCTCTTCGAGATATTGAAGGAGAAGATCTCATGCTAGTGAGAAAAGGGTGGACAAAGTGCGGTAGGCCAAGCTAATGCTTCCGACGAGATTGTACTGGAGTGTGCAGAGCGCCTGCATTTCGGATATGTTAAAAATCAAAGAAAACCGTCCACGGGTATGTAACCTTATATCGGAATGGAGTTGCACTGGAGTTGCATGAGATACAAGATTATCTTGTAGGAATTTGAATACATCATTGAAGCTAGTGCGGAAATAGTAGAGTATATCTAGGTGAATCTTCAGCAAGAATGATAAGATTGTAGTAGGAATGTTCTAGCGCCAAGTACACGCTCATCCTTGGAGTTGACCGCGGAAAGCAGAACGCCGCAGAACGATTCAAGGGGTTGGATGATCATTGATTGATTGAAAGATCGAGAGGAAAAATCAGAAAGATGTGAACCAGTTGAGAAAGAACTTCGTGACAGTATGTTGTTCGAGTATATGTTAACCACATATTCTACATATTATATCAAGAAGCCTGATCCAGTAAAGCGAAGATTTACGAACGACGAACAAACGGATTCGCATTTCGGTAACAAGATGAAGAGATTTTCTAGATGGTCGCACTTTGTATCAGATGTTCTAGGATTGGATTCGTAAAGATTTGCACTGGTGAGGAGAGACGACCTATATTTAGTTTACGGATGGACCATGCACATAACCCGGTGAATTTTTTTTCCAAGCAACGTCCTTGTCTATGTTGACGCGAGCGCGCTGCACCATAAATAGCTATTCTTTTGTTTTAGTTTGATGAGCCCAATCACAGTCAAGCCTGCGACGCAACGACGGGAAGCTTCAGACAATTATTATTTGTATCCATGTTTATATTCTTCTCCGATTTTCACGATCATCCGAATTCAGCAGGTCAGTGACTGCTGCTCGAGGAGAAAGAATTTTATACGATTGTTGATAGGAACTGTTGGCAGATGAAGCATGAAGGATCCTGGAAGTGGAATAGAACCGTGACTTTGGGTCTGGAAAGAATGAATGAAAGAAAGAAAAGCGGTGTTAACATAGTGGCAGTGAGGTCCGATGCCATATCACATGCCGGATCTGTGCCGAATTCGAGACGGGCTCATCGGAATCTTAGGATACATCTCTTCTTTCTCTCCTGTCATATCTTGGTCATATCTTCCCATCTCTTTCTCGTCGATTATCTTTGTCGACGATTCCCTTTGTCTCCAAGTCTCCCTGTCCTCTGGTCTTGTTTTGGTATCAAGTCTCACCTGGTCAATATACCTCTCATTGTATCTATTGGCTCTCTCTTGTACTAAAATTTACACCATCTCTCTTGGCCAAAATACCGACAGAATGCCCGTCCCTTTGCGGGCCAATGCTAATCTTCGAGCTGAAGCCAAGTACAACGTTGTCACCGAATGTAAGTGCATTAACTTGAGCTAATCCCGTTCTAACTGTTTGTAACTTAAACTATTGTTTCCCTTTGACTTGTCTGTACCCAGTCCCCAACTACGATTTGCATTCAGCTGCAGCTTCAGGAAATCAAGGTCTTGCCGAATATGCACTGGCCCGCGGTCAACCAGTAAATTCAGTGGTAGATGGTGTACTTCCTTTACATGCTGCCTGCGCCGGAGGCCACGAACAGGTAGTCAAATTGTTGCTTGACCATGGGGCAGACGTGAACGCGGCCAGGTGAGCTTGCTGTTAGATGTATCAGTCGCTCCTTCATTTGCCTAACTCCTTACGAACCTGTAAGATTGCCACGACGTTACTCCAATGAGAAGAATCGGGATTCCTCTGCGCCTATTGTAGGCACAACTGGTTCTACACCTCTACATTTTGCGGCAGCCAACGGCAACAAGAATGTCATAATCACCTTGTTAATGCGAGGCGCGCACGCAGATCGTCGCGATAAACACGGAATCACTCCCGCTATGCTGGCCGAGCAGTATGGTTGGCTCGAGTGCGCTGATGTTCTTAACAATTGGGTCAAGGACAAGGACCGTGATCTAAGAGAACGTGTACAGCCAGATGAGGGTATTTCCATGGCTCTGTCTGTAGCGCAGGCTCCTTCTGGTAGCGAGGACGATATCAAGCCGAACACGAGGAAGCATATACAGGTCAAACGGTCAATTGACACTGCTCTCAATATACTCAAGGCTGGTTCAACTTCCACACCCTCTTCCAAGCTTGCATTGAGTTCTACGTCATCTTTTACAAACAACGCTCGCACTACCTCACCTATTTCTCCAACCATCGCTCGTCGTGACTTCTCACCTTCTCCATCAGAAGATGGACGCTTTAGCCCAAGCCCGAGCCCTATCAACCAAGAGTCTCGAAGACCATCACTTCCTCACATATTTCAAACGCCTTCCAGCTCCTCACAGCGGTCGCAGAAACCTGCGACGCTCACTAAACCTAGGAATTCACGTAGACCCCGTTCTGCTGGTACTGACGCTGAGCAGGATCCTGATCCTGATGGAAGTGGCACTGGGTTCGGCCGAGGAAGTACCGGAAAAAAACTAGGGACCAAATATTCCTTGTTGAATCTTTTCAAGAAAGGCAACGAATCAGGAGGCGTTCCGCTAGAGAGGACTGCCTCGTATCAGAGCTCTGCGTCTATTCCATCGCCTAGCCCAAATTCGTCCAAGTTCACAGCTATTCTTTCAAGTTCCCCACAACTGAATGCATCTCCGCTGAACGAAAATGGCCCTCTTCCTGCTGTTGGATTTCGGTTTGGTGGGTCAAGTTCTTCACACACGCGGACGTCTCCATCGACATCATCATTATTCCATCAGCAGACGTACACTCCTCCTCGTCCTTCGGTCCCACTTGCTGCTGATTTGCATCACGGCATCACCGCTCAACATCATCGTTATTCTAATCGAGACCGATCGGGTTCTTCGGGGAGCGCTGCGCGCTATGAACCTCCAACGGGCCTAGGAATTTCCTTTGACGAGGCCGATGGCGAGACTGCCGCCAGTTTCAATAAGCTTTCGACTAGACGCTTTCGACCTTCTGATATTGAACAACATCGGGATAGGTCAGGCTCAAATGCGAGCAATCGTAATGGCACTATATTTGACGACGAAATCATAATTTCTACTGGTCCGAACAACGGCAGCTCCGGAAACATATCTACAACCGAAAGCATCATTGGAGGAACCAGCAAGAATAATTCTCGACCCAGTATACTGCGGGGTCATAACCGGACTTCTTCGTCAAGTCAACCACGTGCACTGAGGTTCGATTCATCTACTTCTGGGAGCGGTGTGGTCCCACGAAGAGAAAGCGACGCGCAACCTCCGAGGACTGTCAATATACCTCTTCGAGGATGCATCAGTGCCGGATCTCTGAACCGATTTCAGAATGAACGAAATGGTTCACCTAGACTACAACCTATGGCTTTAGAAAAGGAAAAGGAGCAGCCATGGAAAGCTCGTGTTCCAGATTCCGCCCCCGCCAACATCGGTGATTTCGACTTTACGGTCACTGAGGAAAACGAATATGGACATCCCATCCAGCCGTCTATTGCAGCGCGCCTCGGGATTCAGACTCGCAACCGGGGTTCGTCATTCACCTCTTCCGAGTCATCCCTGTCGCCTGCACTTTCAGCAGGAGATGAGCCCACATCAACAGTTGCATTGCATGCCGACTTTCCGTTTAGCCTTGACGCGCCTCCGCCAATCGATGAAGTGGACGGTGTGGCGCCTCCCCAGGTGCAATTATCACCTCCACCTGTTGATTCTCGAATGAGAGGTGACAGTGTCAGTAGCACGAGTACGGCTGATAGTGGATTAAACCCGAGCTTGAGTGCGAGTGCCACCACTAGTGGAAGTGGGAGAAGCGGCACAATACCAACTCCTATGGTTTCGCCAGAAGGCGGTTCATATTTGAATTTATCGAGTGCAGATTCTAGACCAAGGAGCAATAACGAAAAAATCAATGTGCCCGAAGTTTCTTACGATGATTATCTGGAAGCGGGTCCCGCACAAGGTGTGGCGGTTATTGGCATAAATGAACGTCGCGGGAATACGGCATTAGAGAACATCGACGTCAATATCGTTTCTTCGCATGCCCAAGCTGAGGCACTGGTACAACGTACACAACAGGATATTCTTTCTGCCCATGCAGATGGACACAGTTCAAGCACTGATTCAATGCCTTTAAGTGCTAGATTAGCTGCACTTGGTGAAAGTCTCGAGTTAGAGAGAAGATTGAGGGAGAAGAAGCAGGCAGAAGAGGTCAAGGCACAGGTTACAGCTGAGTTGTTGGAAGACAGTACTAGTTCGACAGCACGAACGGAAATTCTTCGTCAGTGTAGCCTTGATCAATTGTCGGGATCAGTCTCGTCTTCTCAACAAATTCGACGGCCTCACGCAAATAGTGAGGCCTCGCGAATTGCAACGGTCAATGGTAGGTTATGTTTTCTTCCAATGGGCAAAGCAAAAATGATGCTCAATTTCCTCCTCCTAGATATTGATAGTGCACGAATAGACCGAACTAAACTCACACATCATCCTTCACTCTCGGCATCTGTCGTTGAGGCTTCCGTTTCGTCACCAACGTTTGATTCCGATGTCGATAGTCCCTCGATTCAGTCCAAATTCTTTGATCGTAGGGCAAATCATTCTCGGACACCCGATCTCGAAAACGACCTGAGCCGCATAAGCTCTTTGGAAGGATTCGATGTGGATACTGAGCTGGGACCCTCTTTGTTCCGCGTGTCCACAGCGCCCAACTCGAGCTTTTCGACTCGCGACAAACGGGAGCGGGAGTTGGCTAGTAACACTAAATTAACTCGCATGGGATTTTCACCCAGTGAGAATGCGCGCGCACCGTCGAAACGGTTCGGGGGACTCAAGTCTTTGATGCAGTCGCTCAAGGGTAGCAAGTAATGCTGAATATTTTCTTCTTGTGTGCATTGTTGTACCTCTCTCTTTTCTCTTGCATTAAAGTTTACTTTCCTCTGCTCTGAACTGCATTGTCGTCGTCGCTTTCATTATTCTTATTTTGCTTCTTTGTTGTTCATTTGTATACTACACGCACTTCTTTGCACTATATCATCTTGTCTTGTTGTTTCTGCACTTCGTGTATGTATGTACATGTACTCCAAACAAGAGGCTTTCTTGTCGAATTCTATGTATACCTTTTCGGTCGTCAATATTCATTATTGTATGACATGTTTTTTACACGTGTTCGTTCACACGGCGTGTGTACCGGATGTTCAGTTGCTAGCGGTTATTTGTTGAACAACAAGCTAAATGAGATACTCTCTTCTCGGATTCCCTTCCTCATAATAACCGCGCCGCCACTTTCTGTCGAACAGAATGAAACGCTCACAGTCCAGAGCCCCGTCGCCGACGCCCACTGCCTTTTCGGGCATTTCCAACTATCGCACGGATTCGTATAGACCAATCAGCAAAAATGCTCCTCCTGTACCCCAGATCGACTATCGCTCCATATCCAAGATCCATTTCGATGAACTAAGCCAGTATCTTGCGGCGTATCTTGCCCGAGGTTCGTCTATCACTCCCTGCAGTTTCATAATAGTTAACTATCTTCGTTTAGCTCTTCCTAATTCCCGCTCAACAGCAAGACAAAAGCTCACCCGACTTACTATTCAACAATTCCACGAACTATCCACCGACGTCTATGATGAACTTATCCGCAGAAAGAGCGACAAAGAAGGCACGTTGATTTCCTTGCTCTCCATTAAGTCTGTTTCTCACCTTTTTTTACGTCTTCAGTGCCTTTCCTTCCGGTCAGAGAAGAATTTCATCCGAAACGTAACCAGGCTCGACAGAAGCTGGCCACGCTTCCGACTTCCAGATTTGAGGATCTTTCCAGCGATGTTTACTTTGAGCTCGCAAGGAGATATCCGGAATTCAAAGAAGATGTGCGTTCACTGTTTACTTGCAGTCAGAAACCATTATATAGTCTTTTTTTTCACAGCCAGCAGGAAGGACTTCAGTTGGATCTAATTATGATGATTATCCTGCCCCTGGCTTTCCTTCCACAACCACTCCTCGTGCTGCAAACACTTCTCGAACGTCTGGACGGGCTTCGGCTGATCGCCCGTCTGACAGTGGCTATGGCGGCAGCGTGTCTAGTCGGCGACCATCACAGGATCGTCGCCGTCCTAGCGAGGATCTCTATGGCGGAAGGATGAGCGATGACAATTATGCTTCAAGCATATCATCCCGGCGAAAGGCGTCCCAGGATACAACTACCCGGAGATCAGAGGATAGGGAACGAGAACGAGAATACAGTCGACGGCCTAGTGCTGCTGCCAGTATGAGCGCAAACAGTGACAGCACTGCTACTGCCGCCCAGAGTACTATGGCAACCAGTGGAATGATTATTCCCAACACGAGTACAATGGAAGAGGAGTATATAGAGGTTCCGTATGGACGCGATGCTCGCGAGAGTGGTAGTTCGACCAACGATGAGAGGGATAGAAGTCGTGACAGGGGCCAGACTCCCGGTTTTTCACCGGGGTTCACAGATGATGAACCTGATAGCGCGAGCAACTACGCTAGCCCGCTAAGTCCCAACAGTCCTGCAGTCGGTCTCAGTGGATTGAGTGCAAGGCTTAAGACTGATGATGAAGAAGATGGTCCATCCACCCGGAGCGGTGACGACTTTTACGACAAGCCATTATCTTATGGTCGAAATTCCGCCAACTCAGACAGATCCATCAATGCTTATTCTAATAGAATGGGTGGTCGCGCGAGTGTCGTCGAAGAGAACGAGAAGATGCGGCGGGATTATGAATTCAGGATAGCCACCATGCAAACGCAAATATCAAATTTACAGCGCGACCTTGGTGACTCTCAGCAGACTCAATTCAAACTATCAGAATCAGAAATGAGGGTCCGGCAATTGGAAGAGGAGTTAGCCAGTGTTTTGCGAGTATGTGCATCCTTGGGCTACGATCTTGAAATGGCTCACTGATTTCTTTCTAGAGAGTAGAAGAACAAACTTCGGCCATGCGTGCCTTGCAGAAGGAGCTTGATGATCTTCGAGAGACACGACAGAGAGAAAAGGAGCGAGAGTCTCGGCGAGCTCGAGAAGATGAAGAAGAACTTCAAATTTTGCGAGATAGATTGGAGAGCCTCGAAGAAGAAAGAGCTAACGGACGAGGCGGAGCGGTATGTCACCACCTTGAATATCTATGCTGTGATTCTCAACATTTTCTAGGCCGACGCGGAGGTAGTCGAGCAACTGCGTTCTGACATGCAAGGCCTCCTCGTCGAAGTCAGCGATCTATCTCGACGCAACGATGAGTTAATGACTGCCAAAGACTCGGATCTGGTGGTCATACGAGATCTGGACAATCAGCTGAAAGAGTACAAGCGGAAGTACGAACAGGCTAAGACTGAGTTGCGGAGTGTTAAAGGTATGAACCCATATAATGTTATTACTCCGCGCTCGACTGACAGTCGCTCTCAATAGCCACATCTCAGCTGTTCTTGCAAGCACCGAAGATAGACAAACTTGAAGACCAACTCCCTGTCAGTGCTGACGGTGGTATTCTCGACATACATGTCACTGCTTTCTTATCCGCCGTCGACGGGCTGTTGACTGCAGGCCGCTCAAACGCTCCCACAAGGGTCCTCTCTCCCATGAAATACGTTGTCAACGCTGTCACGAATATCATCGATGATGTTCGGGCGTATGAGAGAAGGCCATCTCGGGCGGACGTTGACGTAGACACCCTCCATATGCTACGCGAACGAGCTGATGCTACTCTCAGCAACCTCGTCACTGCTTCTAAAACTCACGCCACTAGCTCGGGAATGTCACCAGTTAGTTTATTGGATGCTGCAGCTAGTCATGTAGCCGCCACCATTACAGATATTGGGAAACTGATCTACATCCGTAAGGCAACCAAAGCCGAGCAAGAACAGTTTGCCTCATCAACGTATTCCCCTGGTCCATCAGCTACGAACGGATTTACACCAAGCCTCCGATCCGTCAATGAGAAGGATCATCAACGGAAGGGCAGTTCTGCATCGTCTGCGTTTGGCAGTAGTTCGCGGTATGACAATCCGTCGATGTATCCATCAGGTCGTTCCTCTGATGAACACGCTCGCCGAACTCCATCTGATAATTCCAGCTCTGAAAAGACAAACTCCCCACCTCCGATATTTGATCATCCTCCGAATACTGCGAGCACAGCTAGCGATGGGGATGGGACAGAGGATAATTGGGCCGAAGTAAAGGTAAACATTCCATCTATTGATCGATTTGGATAGCTGGTTAACGTGTACTCTTCCTGCAGCCATATTTAGAAACCCAAACCGAAACAATAGTCTACGCCATTCAGAGTGTCTTGTCTGGAGTGCGGAGTCCCACACCTTCTCCGACACTCAACGAGAATATTACGCAGATCATAACGATCGTGTTTAGTATTGTCGCTGTCTGCAAGGATAACTTCCCTCCTGCGTCTGCTCAGCAAGGGAACGAAATCTTACAAGAGCTCAGCGAACATGCGAACACGCTCAGTGAGATGCAGGCGCTGCCCGAGGTCACTAAGGAATCGCGCCAGGTCATGGCCAAGTCGAGTTTCGCTATCGCAAATGCGATGAAGGGGCTAATGAAACTTGAGTAGAAGATATTGTTATTGGTGTACATAACGCGCTTTCGACATTTCCCCGCTAGCTGGGTATTCCTTGTATGATCTTGATATATCCCCTATGCTCTTCCGTTACATTTTTATTCACATTCACCATGAGGCAGGAGCACCTCATAGGGTGCTTGATACCACCGCATTTTCGCATTTTCGTAGGTGTGCTTGTGTTCCATATGTTAGTAGGTAAAAACAATTAATTCTAATCCAACGAAATCGGAGGGACAATAGAATGCGATGCTATACTTTTAACCGAATAGATCATCAAGAAAGGTTGTGATTGTACGATGGGTAAATGTCTACAGAGCCTTGGCCTCCCTCTCCATCTTCTTCAAGGCGCGCCTCCGGATGTCCTTGTGTAGCCCATGAGTATATTTTATTAACAAGGTAGGCATATCTAGCACAGTCATTGCATAGTCAATGAGCGCATGAGACCAGTACGGTGTTGAAGTATTGGGTCGTCGGCTATAAGCTGCACCGCAAGGGAGGCCGATTTTTGACAATACCGAACGAACGTAGGGTCCTGGACGGGGAATCAAAGCTGAGGATTTGCGAATCTTGGATAATTTTGATACCTAATCGGCGTCAGAAGTCAGAACACCTTGAAAAACGCGAGGCTCGTATGTGGCGTACCACAAAGTAGGTGTTGATATGTTCCACGGTGATGCCATGTTGTCGGACTTCTTCTGCAAGAGCGCTGGTGAAAGTGGCAAGGAAAGCCTTGGTTCCCGAATAAGTGGCCAACATGGGAGAAGGGATGGCTCCTGCGAAAGAGCCTATGTTCAATATGAGTCCTCGCTTCCTGTGATGACGCGTAAGAAATCAATTCTACGACGGATAGTACGTTGATTACGCACCTCTGAATCATGCCAGGAAGAATGGAATACGTGACTCTCATTGTAGCGTTTACATTAATGGAGACAATGTCAGCCATCTCTTCTTTGGGTGTGTCAACGAGATATACAGGCATCGCGTGCGATTTCCCAACATTGTTGACTATTGCAGAATGTAAATTGTAGTGAACAGTTTCTGAACGCGAAAACGCTTGCCCAAGACACCAACATCAAGTCCCTGAAACTTCTGACTAAGAATTTCATAGGCAGCATCGTCAGCTTTCGCAAAGTCTATCGAAGCAGTTTGGGTTGACACGGAGTACTTGCTGGCTAATCCACACACACACAAGTCAGCTTTTGAGAACCTCCAATTTCAGGATCACGGCCACGTACCAATCTCAGCAGCAGCAGTATCCAATAACTCAAGGTTTCTAGCGACCAAAAAGACATTAAAGCCTGCTTTAGCCAGCTGGAACGCAAATTCTTTGCCAATTCCATCCGAGGCACCTGTAACAATTGCCCATGCTCCCTTCTTCGCACCGTATCGCTTGAGCTGTAGGAACATCAATACTTTGAACGAATCTGTAACGGGTTATCTCTCACACTTTGACCGGGAAGAACGAATATCTGCAGGAAAACTGAAAGGGTCCTATAACAGAACTTGGCTATAGTGATTGCTCCTAAACCCAGAAGCAAAGACGCCGCGAGCGGATACGCGTTTGCTGCATATATTGAGTCAGTTTCATGTACCGAAAAACGTCGGGATGACATTCACCAAGCTGGATGCCTGAATTCGCCAACGAGCGTGCGTAATAGGACATTGGTTGGAAATGAGGGTGTTGAGCTGAGCCGAGTAAAATTAGTCATCCTATCTCAGATACTGAAATTGAAATTGACAATGAACATCGATGGAAGGTCGTCTGCGTTTGCGGGCGGCGGTGTGATAATATATATGTCGATGTACAAATATGCAGGATAGGATATGAATTATACTGCAGGTATCGTCGCGGCGGCCTGTAAGGACAACTTTCATTTCGTCCTGCATCTGAACATTTCATTGAGCATCCAACCACGCTCAGCGCCACCCGAGTCCGCCAAAATTCGAACGATATGCCCTCTGAGGCTCAAGTTTACACGCTGGTGCACTACAGAGGGCGGTGCAACGCCACACTTGTCACCTTAAAACGGTAAATATTGGAAAATTGATCGATTGACCAATTTCCATCTCCTTACTACGAGTTTCTGGAGTAGTTCTGGATGACCTTGTGTAAGTAAAAGGTAGGTCAGGGCACTTAATTATTGGAAGGAAGTATGTCTGCGGGTCCATGAGGACTGGAAGTCCAGTAATTGAAATCAAGAATACCGCAAGCCGATACGAATTCGCTCGTTCACAGGCAATTTGGCTAGTCATATTTGTACACCGGGAGAGCACATACACAGGAGTCCAGTCATCGCTGAAATGAGAAATCCGGAAAGAACATTAGTCATCCTTTTCTGGGCAGCCGCGGCCTGCATTCAGCTTCCATCATCTCAAAAGTTATACTCAAATTTGCGGCTTAGTGTAAGATGAATATCGAACAGTGAGCCGCTCCATTTCCAGCCTGGTCGTATGATGGACTTCGATCTTCTACCAGGTTCAGAAAAGCAGGGTATTTATGTAGTATCTGTGGATCCACTATCATCGAGCTAATCACCGATTCAGTTACCAGGCAATAGATCGCATTTGTGACTATTACTATGCTTTGCAGGAATCCAAATTTCCCGTTCTCCCGGATGTTGAGCCTGGCTATCTACGTCCTTTGCTCCCTTGTGAGTCGGCACTACTCCCTGCGTTACAGTCTAATCATGCTGTATTTGGTCCAGCCAGTGCTCCTGAATCTGGGGAGGATTTCTCGCAGATTGCAGAGGATTATCAGAAATTGATTGTCAAAGGTCAAAATTCATATATCCACTGCGTGTTGATCGACCATTCTCAGTACTAACAGGATACACCCACTGGCAACACCCATCCTTCCTGGCTTATTTTCCTGCTGTGAGGTCGATCGTTCCTCGATATTTCTACTCACCGAGTTCAACTTGTTAGATAGGGCTTTAGCTTTGAAGGAATTTTGGGTGATCTTTACGCAAGTAGCGTCAGCAATCCTGGTTTCAATGTTCGTGGCCTCTAGGATCTCTACTTTATCTACTCTCTGATGGCAATCGTCAGTGGCTGTCAAGCCCATCTTGCACCGAACTAGAATCGATCGTCCTCGATTGGGCTTCCAAAATGCTGGGTTTAAGTTCTTCCTTCTTGAATGCATCAGGCGTAGGCGGTGGATGCTTCCAGGTGTGTTGCTTTTTGCTACCCCGGGCACCAAAAATGATCCGCCGACGATGTACAGAATACGGCTTCTGAGGCTGCGCTGGTCGCAATCATAGCTGCCCGCACGGCCTACAAGGCTGCACACCCTGATACAAAGTTAGAAGACATGAGGATTTACACCTCCACACAAACACACTCGCTCGGTTTAAAGGCTGGTGTGATCCTCGGACTTACTGTTCGCGCTTTGGAGGTTACCAAGGAAGACAATTTCTCGCTGAGAGGTCACACTCTGCGTAGTGCGCTGGAGGAAGACAAGAAAAAGGGCCTTCATCCCTTCATCTTGAGTTCAATGATTCACATGTTGCAACGAGAGCACTCCTCTTACCTTTCTTTGTTGCAGTTGCTACTATTGGAACAACATCTTCCGGTGCAGTAGACAATATCGCCGAAATTAGAACAGTGGGTACGTGACACTCGAGAAAAAAGTATACTAGACTCTTATAGGTAGCAAAAGTCACTGACTTTCCTGATATCAAAATTCATGTCGACGCGGCATGGGCTGGGATGGCCTTAGTCTGCCCTGAGTTTCGAGAAATGTGCTATCTGAAAGATATCAATGCAATCGCAGATTCTTTCTCTACAAACTTTCACAAAGTAAGTGTTCCTTGGGATTATGATCGAATAGTCTACTAAGCCTGGTCCTTTGCAGTGGGGGCTCACAAATTTTGATGCTTGTCCTTTGTGGGTACGAGATCGAAAGTATCTAATTGATGCTTTGGATATCACTCCTCCCTTTCTGCGCACAGCGCAAGGAGACGCTGGTGAGTAGAAATAAAACATCATTTAGGCTGCAGCTTAGTATTTTCTAGGAACCGTTATTGATTATCGAAATTGGCATCTGGGTTTGGGACGCCGTTATCGTTCTCTCAAATTATGGTTTGTTCTACGGGGATACGGAGTGGAAGGCTTTCAGAAACACATCCGCAAGGTAATACATCGTAGCTCGATATACTTGATCATCACCGTCCTGAATAATTCTTATCATGCAGGCAGTCGATCTCAACAAAGTTTTTGTCGAGCTTGTCTCGTCCTCGGATATGCTTTCACTTTGTGCTCCTCCTTCGTTGGCGCTTTCAGTCTTTCGCGTCAATCCCAAACCATCTACGCTCAATCAAGCAACCCTTCCAGAAGATGCGTTGAATGATCTCAATAAATTATTTTACGGAAGGATAAGTGTTCGGAAAGATATTTTCCTTACTCAGACTGTTTTGAACGGTCAGTTTTGCATCAGGCTTGCCATCGGGTCAGCTTTAACACAGGATGTCCATATACGAGAGGCCTTCGAGGTCATTACGCACGAAGGGAAGTTAACCTTGGAAGCTTGGGATCGGTTACTACCGCGTGGGCCGTAGATACACTATGACTTTTCAAAAATAAGAAGTTGCTGTATTCCCGTACTCCCAAAAAAATCAATATCACCTGTTATCATTTACATCTACATGAGTGTAGATCTATTTCCTACACCAGCATAATCTGAAGGCGCAGACGGTACATCGCCACGATCGAACATGAATGCACGATATCTTTATAATAATATCGGCTTATGAAAATCAAAACGAGGTTGAGAAAATGGCTCACATTTTATCCAAGCGTTGTCGCTCTTCTGTGGAAACAGAAGGCTTGGTCGTCTTGAGGACATGGCGGATGTGATCTTGCATGATCTGCTGCTGAAGGGCAGAGTTTGGCTAAAGGTTGTGTAGTAACAATCTCGACAACACACCTTGTGCGCTACAGCATCGACACGGTCATCAGCCCGTTCTTGTATCGGTTGGCTTGCAGCTTGTATTTGTTGAAGCTATTGAGATATGTAAACAGAATTTGTCGACGAGAAAAGATGCAACAGACTTTTCTTTGCAATGCTGATTCTTCGGCTTTGCTTCTAATAGTCTTCGAGTGTCCACCGATGGTGGTGTATCTTATTGCCCGCTTATTCAGTTGGGAGACAGTATCTTTTCCCGAAGGAGAGGACACAATCGCAGCATTGACGACCTCAAGATGTGCATTGTATATCAGAGCTTGCAAGTCAGCACCAGAAAATCCTTCGGTAGCTTGCGCAATTTCATCGAGGTCAACCGAGGCTGCAAGGGAAACCTTGCGACTGACAGCTTCTAAAATCTTTGTGACAGTTATCAGTATTATGAGAAACTTGTCTCACATAAACGTACGTCTTTGCGTTCACGGACGTCCGGCATGTTGCAGAGAAGAGATTTATCCAATCGACCTGGCCGAAGAAGGGCGGAATCTATGAGATCTGGTCGACTACTCTGTTGTTCTCAGCATCGCTGCACATTCAAGACGTCGTCATACGCACCTAGTGGCAGCGAGAACGTAAACACCATCGAGGCCTTCCGCGCCATCCATCTGCGTTAGCATCTGATTGACTACTCGGTCTGTTACACCAGTGCTATCGTGACCTCTCTTCGGAGCAATGGAATCAAACTCGTCGAAAAAGAGCACACAGGGTTTCGCGGAACTAGCACGTTCGAAGATGTCTCTCACCTGTAACGAGGCATCTAGTTAGATAACATGCCGGCATTGTATTAGTAGGAAGCTCACAGTCTGCTCACTAGCACCGATGTACTTGTTCAGAATTTCTGGACCTTTGATGCCAATGAAATTTAGACCGCATTCTTTCGCTACTGCTGAAGCAAGGAGAGTCTTGCCGCATCCAGGATACCCAAACAGAAGAAGCCTGTCCCCAAGATAAGTTTCGTGCGTGAATGCAATGAAGGCAAGGCAAACCCAGATCGAAGCCGCAGTGGCGATTGAGCGAATATAGGACCATATTTTGTTGGCCATTCTAAAGTTTCACGAAGTATTCGACGGGTTTCATGCAAACCTTGGGAAAAGAAATCAATCACTGGTCTTTCACACCTGGGCACGGGCAGGCCTCACCGCCGATATCTGCCCAGGACACGTCAGACTTTTCCAGTTTTATATCTCGCAAGGAGAGTGGGATAAAATCTGCGCGGGCAATTTCAAAATCTGCCATAGTAATGATAGGCTAGAATGGAATCTGAGGACGACAGCGCGTGTAGTGTACGTGGTCACTCACTGGTTTGTTCTCGCTCGCCAATCTCATGGTGACTTGGTGCACGGTTCTAGAAGCCAAGTCTTGCAAGTCTGTGGCGGAGTAACCTTCGGTTTGGGTAGCCAGGTATGTAAAATTAATTGGGGCTTCGGATGACTGAGCCAAATCATTTGCCGCAACCAAACGATCGTGTATAATCTTCGCAAGGATCTAAATTACGATTCAACAAAGTATTCAGGAGACAATGATGATGGATCTTACATCTCTACGTGCATCCTTATTTGGTGGAGTCACATTGACCACTTCCTCAAAGACATGAGCAGTACCAATCAATGGATGGAGAGCAGCAGAGGATGGTGCAGTAGCCAGTAGAATTATACCACGGTAGTTGACCGAGGCAGACCGTGCTGAGGAAGAGAACATTGACAGAAATAACTCAGTTACATGACGTGTTCGGAATGAATCACTTTGCTATAAAAAAGATTAGAGGGGCGTGTTATTTTGAGATGGGCAAGCAAACCTCGGATTCGATTCCTAACAGCTCATGAAGATTGTCCAACACTAGAATGGAGGGTTTATGCCAGATAGCTGTCTTTAGCCAATACCTGAAAAGCAGTTTAACGACAGAAATGGGTTTGTCGGCGTAGGGGGAAACATCGACATAATGAGTGTCTGGAAAGGGAATGAATTGAAATAGGACAAGCATGCTAAGGAACCAACATACAGGTATAAGTCTTGGGGTTCTGCTGTAAAGCCTTTGCCACAGTCTTGACGATAGATGTTTTGCCCACCCCAGCTCGTCCAGTTAAGAGAAGGGATGATACTACTTCGGGTTAACAACTTTCAACATCGGGCTCACTAAGACTACGTACCTCCTGGAACAGAGAGTTTGGTACTGTGGATAGCTATTTTCCTTACACAGAACTCGACACATCGCTTGAGAATATCGTCCACTCCAGCAAGGAATTCAGCCGTTCTACACGAGCAAATGAGTCTTTCTGATACTGGCATAGGGTACCAAACCTTACTCTGGATGCGGAGTTAAAGTTTCGGTGTTATTATCACCAGAAATCGTGAGGGTTCCAGCGGAACTATCCGCCACTATTCTAAGAAGTTCTTGAGTTTGAAAAAGAGGATATTCAACAATACGAGGCACAAACTTGATGAGATCCCAGTGCTCTATACCGGCGGGAAGACTAGGAAAGACAATATGTCCACCAATCAACTCAACTCTTCCGCATACGTAACTGCGCTCTGCATTGTCCGAGTTTTCCACGTTGTGTATCTTTTCGCTGGGATTCAATACTTTCGTTTCGGGGACTGTTTCTGGTGTTTGTAGCGTAGAAACAGGATTGATAGGAGGCTCAAGACGCTTAAGAGATACCTTATAGCATGTATGTTGCTTTGCCACATTTCGACTTGCTGGAAGTAATTGAGCTAAAGTGGAGGATGACACATATCCAATCACTTCGGATCCACTGTATGCGGTTAAGGGTTTTGACAGGACATGATTTGGAAGGACTCTGAGGATTTGGAAAGGCTGTGGTATAGACTTGGGAACAACAGCATCGGCGGTTCCATTAACCGCGGGTTCTTTCGCATGAACGCGTCTATTGGCATGCAATTTAGGTGAAATGGAGACTTCGGTGTTGGTACTTAGAAGAAGTGCGTCGTTTTTGGCTTGGGGAGCAAGAGATACTACGACGGTTATTAAATTTAGGGTAGGAACAAAAAAGGCACGATAAACGTGCCTATCTTGAGTCGGACGCGTGTCCTGCCCAGCACCCACACATTGATCTCCTGGCCTACTTTCGCTACGCGGACTTGAGAGAGAAGAGTAGATTCTACGTGAGATGCATGGATTTCCTGGGCAACAAATCAACCGAAATTCAACCGAAATCATAGACCGACATACAATAATCTCCCAATCGTCTGAGGTCAAAGGTTCGGTCGCCACAGACTTTGCAAAAGCCATGTCATGAAGTAAGCCGATTTCAACCTGATTCGCGTCAATTGCAACTCTAGTGAAATGGAGAGACGCGAACAATATCTCCTTGAGCAAATCCTAAGCTTTGTGAGTACTGTGGGTCAATCTCGATTGTTTCAAGACCTTTTTCCGTGGGTTCTGAGACGTTGAATTGGGCCAGAGACGACGCAGAAGCCATGCCAGTCCATCCTACATACGCCTCCTTCCTGATCGCAGTGGAATTGGGAGGCACAAGAGTCAAATGAACGGCAAGATTTTGGGGACGCTAGTAAAGAAAGACTACGCCTAAGTTGGGCCATACATCTTGCTGGAAGCGAAAACCATACGATGTTACGCTCAAGAAGCGGTCCATATATTGAGATGGGAAGGTTAACCAACGAAGAATGAAGAGAAACAAAGTGAATGCGGGCTTTTCGTGGCATTTTCTAGAGGTGAAAGGAGGAGTATTGATTTGCGCCGGGACCTCGGTATCGAGGTCAAGAAGGTGCCCATGATGCCTAAAGCATTCGCCCGGACTGAGTAATTCACTTGAATTTCACGCGCTAAATTGTTGTTTTGATCAACAACAGTTAACAAACTTTTATTCCAACACACTATGTACAGCGGGTACAGCACGATCTAGGTACAGATATATACAGACAGAGAGTTACAGGCGCCAGTTAAATATTACTTCGAAGATGGGTGGAAAACGTTAAAGATGACACGATGAACGCACAGCAGATTGAAATGGATGTTATTTACGTCTGGAGAAACACGTGCACGATTGAGATTATCACAAAGGAGCGGGTTATGAGGAACAGGCAAGAAAGGGCTCTAGTTCATTCCAGTTCATGCGAGGGTGAGGATATAGGCCGAGCCCACATCGATAATGTTGCAGATGGATCCGGAATGATGGGAGGAGTTGCATTTCAATCAAAATCAGTTGGTCCCAAGAAGCTTGTTGGCCGGTGATAGACGGCGATGCGATGCGAATGGGGAAAATGAAAAGAAACACCTAATAAGGGAAGATCCTAGCGTTTGAAACTTGAAGGTTTGAACGAAACCGGTAGTCCCCTTGAGTGCCACTGCATTCATAACGTAGTGCCCACGGACACGGCCAAATTGGTTAACAGCGTGCAACATTAATCAGATCTGGAAAAAAATCAAGATAGAATCGTCAGACAAGTGCCGGATAAATATAAAGCCTCATACAGCGTACAATTTCGTGGCCCTCTTTTGCCATTGCAAACCTCCAAAACTCAACCCATGGCAAATCCAAGAGGATACGCATTCTCAGGAGATCCTGGACTACCGAACCTCTCTCTCGCATGGTCAGGTAAGGGGTCATTATAGATAGAATTATTTCCGAAAGACCCCATCCCTCCAACGCCATGATCATGGTGCTCCCCGTTTGCGCTCGATGTCGGAAGTGAAGTAGAGGGCGGAGAAGAAGCAGGAAGGAACCACGAATCAGTTTCCACTACAGGAAAACCAATCATGCCTAAACCAACACCGACCCCCATCATGTCAAACCGGTTGATCCCCATGCCCATGCCGAAACCAACGCTGACCCCAACGTTGAGGTTCATTCCAATGCCCTGAATTCCCGAATCGGGAAAGCCTGCAGGATTCGTGTCTGCGAATGATCGATTGGGAACAGTTCCTGGAAGTGGGGTCTCGGAATTTGGCATTCCATGCCCGACGACGTCATTTGCATTGAGCGCGACCGTACCGCTATAGATGCCCATCCGACTGTTATGAAACCCAGAGCTAGGTCCGCTGGAGTCAAATCCGATACCCCCGTTGGAATGACCATCTGGTGGCAACCCGGAAAAAGAGTCCATACCCGCTGTCGAAGGGCTATACGAGCGGTTTTCGTGCACCCCTGTTGTCATTAGGTTTCCACCCGAGCTAGCAGGGTCGTTGGATGGAGAACTAGTAAATTCGGAAACAGATTGTACGACATCGGGATCAATATCACCCTCAGCATCTTCGTCTGAGAGGTTTTCATCCATGGCTATTTTAGGACTGAATCTTGAAGGTGCAACATTTGGCGCAGCACCTTGATTCAAATTGCCGTTCGTATTCGGTGTAGCACCATGATTTGCCGGAGAATACTGGTATTGGGCCTGATCAGTACCACAGCCGCGGCTTGATCCCTGTTGGAAATCAACATCTATTGAATGGGGTTAGCAAGATACCGGTTTCCTTCAAAAGGATGGACATACTTTGCATGATATCGGAAGATGATACCCCTTCATGAACAAAGTAAGCCTTTGCATCCATCCAGTTGTGATTTCTGAACGTTTCTAGATCACCAGGTTGAACGGTTAAAGGAGGCCAATTGGTTTCGAAAGACGGTTGCGCTTCCAGCTGTTGTTGCTGGGTTCCAGCCAAAAGCGCTTGTGGTGACGATGCAGTGGGGCCTGTCGACGTTATGAAAGCATCAGGCTTGACGGCAGTCGATTTGAGTACAGGTTGGGAGGAAAGCGTTGACGGAAAGCGCATAGCATACCACGCGGAAGAGCCTACTGGAGGCAGTCGCTCAGGGCCATGCTGCACGAACACTTTTTCTGATATGGCATGGGCATTGTTGACAACTTTCCGATCTTCAAGCCAAGCGATCAAATTCCTTCGTCGATTTGGGTCGATAGGAGTGCCATGCCCTATTGAACCTAACTTCCTAGAAGCATAATTCAAAAGCCTCGAATAGGGCGTACGAAGACGGATATCGGCTTGCCGCTGGATCTCAGCACGGAGTACAGCAGTAGACGCTGATGAAGAAAAAGCCGGTGGATCGTCATTTTGGGATAATTCTCGGACTTTATCTGCCTGATAATCTGGTAATATTTCTTGCTGGAAGGTCTCGCTCAGTTGATCAGCCTCATATAGTCTTGATTGTGCAGGGACAATAGTAGCTAAAGGAGGGGGAGGAATGGACAAAGGAGGAGGTGCAAAGGGTGTTTTTTCTTCAAAAGAAGGAGATCTAGTGATGAAAGGTGGCAGGTCTTGGGGAGTTTCCGGTTTCTTAGGTGGCAGAGGTACTGGTAGCGCAAAAACGCCTGTCGTAAAATTCTGCGGAGACTCGGATGGATCCAGAGGAGTCAATGCTTCTGCCAAAGATGAGGGTGTCGGCATGTACACAGGCAGGTTTAATTCCATTTCATTTTCACCATGCACAGAAGAAGGGTCTTCGCTTTCATCTGATTCATCACTTTCTGTGTCCTCATGTTCTTCTTCGACGTTCGCTCCGGTGCTAGGATCCGGATCACTGGGAGGGTCGGACAATGAAGGCTGTTCTGCGTGCTCTTCTTCTTCTTCATCGCTTTCAGCCAACTCAAATGGAAAGCAGTCCTCTGTTCTGAAGTCCAACTCCCGATCAGACACATCTTGATTGGCGTTGCGAGATTCGATTATGGAGGGAGGTAGCACGGAGGATGAAGTCAGAAGAGATACAGGATGCATGGCATGTATATGCCCATCCCATTCGCCAGCATCTTGCAAGCGATCCTCCCAGTGTAATGCGATGCTCCAGGTGGGAGACTGGGGCCGTGAAGGTGCAACTACTGAAGCGTCGGATGTGAATGAAGACACCCCACTAGAGTCGAATCTTGGGGAGGCAGAAACACGAGTGAAGAACTGGAACGCCTGGTCCGCCTCGTAGTCCTTAAGTTGTCCCATATAGTAATATCTTCTGTTGGCGATAGATTTCAATGACTAACGAATAATTAACAGGCAGAGCAAGAGGTTACCCACAAATAATCTACTCTCTCACGACAGGCAAGCGTGAAAAGTGTTTCGGAGGGCCTTTCAGTGACCCGGGCAACTTGACGAGGCTTTTGTCTAGGGCGTCTTGCTCGCGGGCTTCGAATAGCTTTGCGACCACGCTGGGCGTCATCTGGAGAGGAAGATGCTTCTGATTGTGCGGATGATAATGCGTCCTCCCAAGCAGAAGATTCGACTGGTACGACTGGTTGTGTTCCGGTAGGCCAATTCCAGCCTATGTCTTGACTGGCTTTTTTTGGACCTTCGATAGAAGGAACAGAACAATGATCGTACGGGATGGGGTCTGAGGTGGATACTGGAGGAGGTGAGTTTGGCGGGGTAGGGGGGGTCACACTTAATGTGGGAATCGGATTCGGAAGAGACATTGGATAGGGAAGAGTTGCAGCTATGGGGATCGTTGGTTCCGATGGAACGGTGGTCACGGCTTCCACATCCTCGGAAGGGGTTGACGCATCCGATTCTTCTTCGTCCAGGATATCACCCTCTATCTCAACGATCTTTGGCTTCTTCTTGCCTGTTGGCACTCCAGTACTTGAAGCTCTCTTTCGCTTCGTCAACGATGCTTTCGCTGTGGTCTGGGCTAGGCTGCGTAACCGACGAAGTGGTGAACGACTCTGTGATTTCATGACCGACTGTGTCGCTTCATCATCAGCGCTAACAAATACAGGGAGTTCTGCAGTTTTCTGTAGAGGCGAAGTAAGTTTGCTCCGCATGGGTTCCGGTAAGTCATCGTTAGCGACTTGATTGGATTTTCCCATACTGAAGCTGGGACAGGATGATGGAGAAGCATTGTCATAAGCAACGGAGGATGGACTGGGATCTCGTTCTTTGCCCTTCAGAGTGGGAGTCCGAGGTGTGTGGACGGGAGGAGATATATCCGCAGATCGTTTCACCGAGTCCCACGTCGGGCCCCGAGAACCCTAGTAAAAAATCAGCAATTCGAAGGACTTGAGGCATAGGAAATACGGACTGTGATAATTCTCTCTCCAAGGAAGTTTTCTTTCCTTCGAGTTCGCCGTTGCGTTGAGTCAATTGGGTTGTTGACGACAAGTGGTGGGAGATAGGATGTGGATGCGATGGCCTGTGAGTTCTCCGTCTCTGAAACTCCTCCGTTGAAGACGCTGGGGTGACGACGCTGATACCGTTGAGATCGTGCGGAAGCAGAAGATGTATTATTACGGTCTGCAGGAGGCGAATTATTAGCGGTTGGGGTATCAGCTTGAATGATATGTGAACGTTTGGAGGCCCTGCCCGTAGATCGTTCTTTAGATGTAGAGGAAGTGCGCTTCCGCTTGTTAGAAGCAGATAGAGGAAAATGAGATGGCGTTGTTCCTGCAGTGGCACTGTGAGAATATCTGGCGGGAAGTCGACCAACCCTTGCACTGCGACGCAAACTGCCACCTTCTGTATCCTTTGCTAGCAGCGTAGTAGAAGTTGAAGGTCGACGGTTGGACCGTCTAAGGGATTTGTCAATGTCTGGTGCAGCCATAATTACTGGCGCAGTGTTAATGTCTACAGTTAAAGTTCCTAAGCATATAAGGAAGTAGTGTAGTAGTTGGAAGTATCCTGATTTCCGTCCGTTGGTTGTTGTCTGTATTCAGAGCGACAACGATAAAAGGCTTATTGTTAAATCGGCCTGTGTTTCCGTGGCGTTTCGGTGACCCAATTAACTGAGCCTAAAACGACTAGATAGCAAGAATTAGCATAGTCATCCGGAGACTATAAAGGCCGCGCACCGTGTACCGCGTCGTATGTCCTCCCTGAATCCCTCTTGTGTAATTTAAGCTTGGCCGGCGGGTGTCGTTTATAGTAGTAAACAGAAGCAGCAGGGAGACTAAATATGACCAAGCTCGACCAAACTGATGGACACATGCCGAAGCGGCAGAAATTCTCTCAGAGTCTCTGTTGGAGTTGCGATCGAACACTTTACTATGGCACATTTTATCCTCGAGGTCTTTCCAAGTCTTCTTTCAGGCTTTATCGACCATTTCGGATTTGCTGTGTTTATTGGCACGCAACAAATCGAAGAACAACGCAGGATCAAGCTGAAGGAGCTTCCAGGGAGCTTCTTTGAATAATCGTCCCCAGAATCGCCCTAGCGTCAACCTCGAGCTCGTGCGCCGCGTGATATCATGCAACAACATCTAATAGCATGCAATTTAAGACTATTGCATTGGGCTTGAAGTCCTGTGGACGATTTCAAATGATCTAGAGGGGATTTCAAGGATAGGTCAGGATTCTATTTTTCGTTGCTCCAGGCCGCTCAATCGGTTTGGGAGTTCGTACGCGAGCAGTCACTCAGAATAAGTTATATTATCCTTTTAACCGCCGGGCCAATGCACTCAACATTCAAACGTTCCTGTTCGATCCATCGCATTACAGACTTTTTGGTTATGTACATCCATGGCACACATCTAGCGCAATGTGTGTAGCATGGACGACCCCGGCTGTTCCTCAATGGGACCGTGTCGGTTTTCCTTTCCTTTCCAGCCTGTCTGAGGTTTCCTTGAGCTCCTTGCTACATAGCCTTCGCTTGGATTGCTTGGATTGGGAAACCCTGAATCAGCTCGCCATCTGCAAAGTTCTCGGTTAATTCCTTCCTTCCTTCCTACGGGCCCTACCGTGCCCTACCAGTTGCTCCTTTCCCGATGGTGTTTAGGATGCGGGATTATAGCCAAGACGAGGGATTTCGATTATTACTGAATCAACTTTTCAAGGGATATCTGAAACTATCAATAGAAGTGCAGCGATATCCGAAAGGTTCTGAGTCAGTGGTGAATCACTGTGCACATATAAAAGGCATACACAGACAGGGAGATTTTCCCCGCAGCTGCTGGTCAGTTCCCCTTCGTGTTACCTGCCTCTCCTAAAAGCCATTTCCACCACTCGTCGCTCTATTGCCTCTGGCTATCTTCCGCCTAAAGTCATTCCTCGTATCCATTGTGCAATGCGCCTCAACTTTGCACATATTGTTGCAGCCCTCCTAGCAACTGCTGCTAGCGTGCATGCCGCACCTTTGACTGTGGGTCGTTGGCCGATTCAATTTTCATAATATTGACTTCCTTTCTCCGTTGACGTAGGCCGCTGGCAGCACTGGTTCCGACCTCAGAATCAGGGGAAGCGACTGGATTGAGACCGAGAATACTAGGCTCGTGAACGTTAGATTTATGAGTCTAAGTGCAGGGGAAAATTTTGACTCGCCAAGACTTCACCTTTGCTATGAAACGATTGAGGAGCGAGTGAAAACCGCGCTCGCAAACCGTTTCTCAGTCCCTCTATACAACATACGATTCAAAAACGACTACAAAAATGATTTTGCGCTGGAACCCAAAGGACCATCCGAGATTCTAGTTTTGGTCACTGAATCTAACAAGAAGTCACTCGGGACTCTCCTCTCTATCAACAGAAATTCCGTCGCCAGTGAACCAAGAGTCCCAGGGTAGCATGAGGTACATCATGTGAGTTGTTCTTCCGCTTCGAGTTGCGCTCTGTTGCACTCTAGGCTTACTCCATACTGTCCTAGGCATTGCACACTCAGTACTATATCATATCCAGTACATAGTTCATTGTAATCGAGATGAGACTTCTGCTTCATGTTTTTTCACCATCACCGTAGCTGAAGGCAATTGCGTCGGATGGCCTTCTATAATTTCCCAAAGTTCGGAAAGGTATGCATCAATATTGGTAACGCCTAAACCTGCTGCTTCAACTCTGAAAGTATCTAGACCTGAGCAGTCCCTGAAAACAATAGTTGTATGTAAATGTACATAAATGTAGCACCTAATGTTCATTGGGAAGGCAACGGCCAGGGTCAGTTCACCTTGAGTTTTGAATTTGAGCAGGCTTCAGCGCCCTCAGCATTTCCTGATACGCACATGACCATTGGAAATGCTTGGGACCGGCTCAAGAAAGGCCTGTCGGTGAAGGCTTATATACATACAGACTTTCTTCGGTATAATCTATAATTTGAAACAACGGGAGGGTGAATCTACATACTACGCTGACCGACCATCGAACACGACGATGATATTTATCACCTTGTTTAGGAACTAAGGAAGGAGAGTTCTTATTACTTTGAATAAAACTACAAGGAGATATTATTATTTATACAAGCGCAAGACGAACTTACAGGGCGGAGCAATGACATTATTACCTCAAAGCAAGAATGGAAAGAGGTATCCGTAGGACCGTACGGAATGAGACGGTATGTACTATGGACTCTTTCTCTTTTCCTTTTTTTGAATCTGCCGAGTTTTATTGCAGGGCTATATATTGATTGATATCAGCTTCTCTTTAAAATATCAAGCTGCGAAACAAAGAATACCAGAACATACCCCTACGTTTTGGGGCATACACATTTATCCGCATTCTCCTTTTGCCCTTGGTGTATTGGAATCGAGTCCAAAATTCGACCGAACATGACCATCGACGACCTCCGCTATTTCACTCAACTGCGAGCGACTCACCCTGAGCTCACGGACTCGATGTTACTCAATTCCAACAACTCATCCCAATTCTCCACCGAACCTGACGTAGTCGTGGCAGGAGCCGGTATCTTAGGTCTCTGTTACGCCATCCATCTTAAAAACATCTCCCCGCACCTGAATATTGCGGTGTACGAAAAGAATCAGGCACCGGTACAAAAGATCGGTGAATCAACCCTTTCGTCCTTCTCCAGATTCACCACTGGGGCCGTGATGGCTCAGGACTACTTCTTTCGCCTGTTTGGGTTAAAGGATGGGTTGCAGTTCTACTGCATAGATCGAGAAGGAGTGGAGGTCTCATCTGAAGATATTGGAGGACTAGATTTGTCCTTCCAACTGGATCGTCGTATGTCAGAATTGTTCTTCACGATGTGGGCGCAAAGGATTGGTATTAATGTATACCATGGCGTCGAAGTTGATTTCGATGTTGCAGGAAGCGTACAAGAGCATTCTGTAAGTACGTTTAACGTCCTACAACAAGCCGAGTGTTAATATGTTTCAGAAGAGTACACACCAGTTCAAAACTCCTCAGGTCAAGTTGAAGAATTTCCCGAAGCCTGGGGTGACAGAGGTCGACGCTAAGATAGTCTGTGACGCTTCTGGATTTTCCAGGAAGCTGACATCCAAGTTCGGGAACAAAGAATTACTCGACGGGTGGAACTGCGATGCTTACTGGGCGTACTTCAAAGAAAAGGAAGGCGGTAAAGCTGAGAATCGCTTGGACCATTGGGACTATCCTGCTACGAAGCACATGTGCTTCCCAGAGGGTTGGGGTTGGTTCATTAAACTCATCTCGTGGCATCATGCTCCTCTTGCTAATCTCATGGACCTCGTTGCCTATATCATCAATAAAGCTAAGAGTGGTGTTCCCGCTCATGCCATCCCACCTACCAAAATTCTTTCCGAGATGTTTAACTGTCCGTTCGAGTTCATCACCTCAATCGGATGGGCGGTCAGGAATGATCACGAATTCCCCGATAACCTTGAGGAGTACGGTGATGGCGAGGGCGAGCGAAAATTTAATTATTTCAAGGTCCGATATCCGACCTTAAACAAGTTGATGAATGGGGTATACGAGCTTCTTCCCAAGTATTACGGAAAACAGACTTACTTTGTGCGCAAGTCAATGACTTACCGCAGCCCTGTTGTCGCTGGCGAAGGATGGTTCGCAATCGGAAACTCTGCGGGTTTCACGAACCCTTTGATCTCACCCGGGATCAACGCCGGTATAGGGACCTCTGTTCTTGCCGCTAACATGTCAAAAGAGATCCTAGACCAACCACCGGAGCATTCTCGTGCGGTAATGAAGAAATGCGCTGCATCGTATCAAACCTATAGCCACGAATTCATGATCCCTCGACTTCATCTAATGAATCGTTACTGGTACAACAGTTTCCGTGATCACAGACTGTTCGAAGTAATGGTTCCATGTTTCTGGACACTAGGAGTTGATGATATAGATAGTCAGTACGTGAATGAGTTCACTGAAGAGGACGTGTATTGGGTCGTTGGAGTTGGACATGATGATTTTGTGGATCTCAGCAGAAAGATCCTGGATATCTTGGAACCTTCAACGAACAGGATGACCGTGAATGAAGACAAAGTAGAACAGGCTCGGGCGTTGGCCAAGCAATGCATGGACTACCGTAAGGAGCGTTTCCCAGGAAACGAGTGGGGAAAGTATCTTCGAAGGCACGACTGCAAGCTCCAGCTAGTTCCGGAGAAACACGAAAGAATGCCTGGAGGTCGTTGCTTCGGAATTCGGTGTATATCATGTAAGGTCTGGAGACATAACAATATGAACGCATGTCCTGTATGTGGGGCATGAGTCAGCCTATACTTAGTAATTAAATCGTTCAAGTTATCACTTCACCATTACGTATGATGTATGCTTGAATCTCACGTTTTTCTTGTTTCTTCCATGTCCTACCGGCGCCGTCTCCTCTTTGGATTTCTGACATTCCTTTCCGTCTGCCTATATCTATTCGTCTTCTCTCATCCAGATAATCATGACTCGTCAATAACGAAATTCGTTGGAGATCAGTTCGGCCTTATGTCCTCCAAGAACCCAACGCCATCCGTGGACGAGATCTACGGCCTGATATCCCTGGTCACGCGTGAAAGTGAAAATAGTCAGCGTGTTCTGACTGCGAAGAGCGTGGATATAACCAATCCGGTGGATATCAACGTATATGCGGCGAAGAGAGGGATGAATTGGAAAAAGGAATTGCAGAGGTTGAATGAGGACTTCCCAGTTGTGGTTTTTAGTAAGGTAAGTGATATCGGAGTTGATAATAATTCGTTTGTCTCACTACCCCTCAGACTTACTGCCCGTATGTATTCGAGCGCTTGGATGAACCACGCGTACTCCTAACATTATTCACCCTTGACTTGGATAGGTACTCCCGGAAAGCTAAACAGCTTCTGCAGGCATATGAACTTTCTCCGCCGCCCAAAATCATTGAGGTCGATTTACGAGGTGTGATAATTCTCTAAATCCCGCAGGCAGCAGTGCTCATCTCCCTGAATATTTGTTCCTCTCTCTCCCGCGGAACCGTGCGGCCTATCTCTCACGCCGTATTCTGTCTATTCCTTCATACCAATAGAAGACGCTGCCCAACTCAAGACGGTGTTGACAAGACTTACTCGCCGGTCTACTTTCCCGAACATACTTCTGCGAGGCAAATCAATCGGCGGTTCGGACGATCTACACGCTTTGCACAACGCAAATGCATTGAGGGACATGTTCCAAGAAGCTGGGGTGGACGTAAACGGAGATTTCATGTAGGATTATAGGGATACTTTGAGTTCTGATTTGATTTGCGAAGACGTTCAATATACAGTATACGCTTTCTGAATCCAACCATGAGCTATAATAGGTGATTGGATTCATACCAAATCACGATTTGCTTGAGCAGCTCGAATGGCCGAACAAAGTGATAACGACCAAACTTTCTTTCGATATATAAACTTCTTGTCTGCCTCGAGGGGCTTTTTAGATTGCGGGACAGATGAAGCTTACACGGTGAATTCTTTACTTATTCTGCGTACTTAGCAAGTCGAAGCACTAATAACCCTTCAAAGTCGTTTGTGTTTGTTTACACAAATTCGACTGTGACGGTACTTCCGCTCTGCGAAACCGACGTCAAAACCGAATTCTGCTCGATGTCGAAGATCGTAGCACCAGCTGGTGTAACGGTGCCCGAGCTAGTGGTCGCCGAAGCTCCCGTAAATTCGACCGTGCCAAAGTTGGCGAAGGGAACCAACTCGCAGTCGTTACCCTCGCATTCTTCGAAATCCTCCACAATCCACTCCGCGTTAGTTTCACAGAGTCTTGCGGTGGATGTAACGGTCTTGCTGGCGGAAGTTCCCTTGCTGTTGTTCTCGATGGTCAAGGTGCCCTCGGTTGTGCTGATAACGGTTGCTGTAACGGTAACAGAGTCACCAGCGGAGACGGAAAAACCAGAGAAGTCGAAAGAGTCAGCGGGCTTTTTTAAACATTTAGGGCACTGCGGAAATTATACAAAACCATATTACTCACGAAGAACTCATACCTGAAAAAAAAGGAGAAAACTCGCATCAGTGTCTTTGGAGACAATGGGAAAAAGATGATATCGGCACAATGACTGACCAGGCATCGAAAGAAACAGCAGATCCAGATACACAGAAGTCGACACCAGTCTGCAAGATCGCAGTCTCACACGTGTCACCGTCAATACCGACCCAAGCAGAGGCACATTGCTCGCCGCTTCCACCTGTAGATTTGGGTGTAGGGACAGTGAAGGTGCCGGTGACGGACTTGTATGTTGCCTACAGACATTAATATTATCAGTATTCAAGTCAGAAGGGGAAGACTAGGAGCATGATATTACTCACGGTGCTAGCAACCAACACGGCGCCAGCCCAATTCGAGCTGAATTCAGGATGAGACGCGTTACCAACAGCAGCGGATACCTGCGGGCTGGTAATGATGTTCACGGGCTTGCTCTGGCGGGTACGTGCGACATCGCCACTGCGGCGAGCTCGGCGGGAAGCCAAGCGGTCTTTGCTCGAAGGGAGAGCAAAAGCAGCGGAGGCAAGAAGGGCCTGTACGAGGAAAGCAGCGGAGAACATCATGTAAAGGGTGTTGAAAATAGGACTCGTGAATGAGCTGAAGAACTGTAAGCTTCAATTTTTATGGCTTTTATACAATTCCTGAATCGGTGTGGAGTCTCTTGAGTCCAAATTGTGTTGTTGGCTTGAAACGGACCGCACGGAAATACATACGCATATTGTTTCTAATTCTGTGGGACGAAACCGACCGGTTTAAGGGATCTTGGTGTTTATTCGCTGACAGGCCACAAGATACGAGATCAAGGAAGGTATATTCCATGATCAGATCCTCGTGCTCGTCCTGATGATTGAAGCTTGCACGACGATGGATTCGACATGTCTTTTGGATCAATGCATGTGTAACAATGGGAATTTGACGAGTAAAAGAGGAGATAGAAGGGAGAAAACCGATGTTCTAGTACCTTGCAATTCCCTTCACCTAGAGATAGCGATTAAAAATAGTATATCCAACATGCAACATGCCGGAGAAGATAGACTTATGCAATCTGGAGAATGAGCGCCAATAAAAATAAGGATATTATTTAATTACAGAGTTCACTTCAAGACATACATAGGTAGATCCGATAGATAAGAGGAACCGGTGTGATCACTGGGCTACCGTACGCGTCGAAGCAGATTCAAGCCATGGATATCATCACGTACAATTACAGGCTTCCTAGACGTTCAACGTTCAGCCTTTGAATGCCCAGGAAGAGCTAGAAAGGGATTCAACAATGAGATTTGCTTCTGCCGAGGTCTCGGGTTTGGCAAATGATATCTTGTCGAGGAAATGAAGCATAGGCTATAGCTTGATAAGAGTCAAGACCTGATAGTTAGGAGGTTATGTTGACGGAATAGTGAGCCTGACTCCGGGAGAATCATAGTTGGAGAAGGATGTACGGACACAGATGATTTAGCCAATTTTGAGGTTTGCGACCGGTGCCGGCGAAAAGAGTTCGAAAAGCAAAGGAAATCTATATGTACAGTACATACGCCTAATACGGCTTGTTCCAAAGATTTTCCCGGTGTCGGCCCCGCATCACCTCTGGATAAAGAGCGAGATGTCACCGGATACTACATAACAAGGAAAGAAGGTCATCATAAGACATCATCATATCACCCACACCAGATAAGAGGCCTGGATCCTTCAAAAAATACACACACACTACGCATAATCTCTTAAAATAATCAGTAGGTTTATTAGCTTCAAAGCAGCTTACCGTCACATAAATTCGCCATCGCACTGGCAGCGATCCGGAGAGAAAAAGTGGTCGATGAAAAGACTGCATTAGATCAAGCATTGATTGGATGCCTCTACCAGATACTGACAATTGTAGGCATGTCGTTCCTTGTCGTTCGTCTAGAGATTTGCACGAACGCTTCCAGAACGACAATTAGTGTACGACAGACGAAGTCCATTTCTGCAGCAGAAGCAATCAACGAAAAGAGTTTTGAAGAAAGTCAACTCCGGATTAATCTCGCAAGCGAAATTGTTCGTAGTGAAGAATCACCAATGCAGAGATTGCACCGCGCATATTCAAGTTTATGATTTCGATTGCCTAAGTACACATCTCTACCTTGACAATGGGAAGGCGAGAACGTAAATCCTACGCCAGAGATCCGATACATAGCCAATGTTGAAGACTGAGTCAGCTAAGTCTTCAGGAGATATGCCAAATGTTTGATGTATATCATCTCTATCACTTTTCAAGTTGGATGTGAGAACAAGCGCAACCTTACGCCCATCCTGGTCGGTGGCGAGGAATGAGGAGGAATGGACAGTCTCAAAAGCAATTGTACTGGACAAATCATGGCTTACGACATGATACCAATCATAATTCACAGATCTTTCGACAGACCTTGATCTTTCAATCCAAGGGTGAAGAAGGAATTCGAAAGCAACCTGTGCCCACGTAGGAGAGATAGTGGTCAATGGTTTGAGAGTTGTTCGTGGTAAATATTGCGCAATGGAAATACAGATTTCTGCTGGGAGCGATTCTATTATCGAACCGGATGCCAACTTATGACAAACATAGTTTCTGTCGAGGACATCCTGTCGAAGATGTTTTTCAAAGACCAGTTGGCCGAGGCGAGATAGCGCTTCGAGCCCGGGCGTGAAAGAACTTGTTGGGTGCTCCGTTGGGAGAAATCGGAGATGGTTTGTATGTGTCAATTCGAAGGCTTTCGTCCCATCATGTTCAATTACCTTGAGACGGACAATAGAAACATGGTACAAAGACATGATAGCGGCATGAAACATAGTACCGACGGCATGGACTTCGATTTGAAAGTGGTTTTCAATGTGCTGCATCAGGTGAACAATTGCAGCTTGTACAAGGAGGTCTTCATCGAGACGCGGCACAGCAAGTATGCAAAGGACGTCTTTGACTACCCATTGGAAGGGTGAAGTGTCCAGCGATTTTTGATCCACAGAAGCAATAGAGTTCGAAAAGACAAGAGGACCAGACAGGGTATCAACTATGACACGAAGTCTAGTAACAACGTTGTCGGATACTTTATCGGAAAGCACAGCGTTGATTCCCAATCCAATAGAATTATACAACGTTCGCATTGAGGATGCAATGAAAACTTGCATGAATTTGAACCTGATCTCCTCTATGCCTCGCAATTCAGGTGGAACATGAAGCACTTCATGTGTAGAGGTGCAGGCAGGATGGAGGCCTTCGTAAATATCATGAATCTCAGGCGCCACCGGAAGTGATGGCGGGAGTTTATAGCGGTGCTCTTCGGGAGTGTTTACATTGAAAGAACGACATCCGTAGCTGTTTGTTCCTAGAAATCCAAGTTGAAGATACAAAGAAATACTTTTACTATAACACTCACCGATGTAAGAAGCAAAGTCATCAATACGAGGCATGTTTCGTATGTCAAACAACGGTTCTCCGTCGACATGAAATATGTAGTTGTCCAAATCAATTTCGTACATCCACTCAATGAAGATATCGTTTTGTGGGGGAGTCTTTGTAATTTCCGGATCCGACCCCTCGTCCCTTTCCTTCGATTCCGAAAACAGTCGAAGGAGATACTTTTTGGTTGACGCCACATAACTCTCGAACTCGGTCGGATCCGAGGGAATTTCATTAGCAACCTGAACACCTAGCCCCTCTGGATAAGAGTCATATTGGTTAAAAAAGACATAGTAAAAGCCTTTGTAGCGATAGACATAGAATCCGCGTGTGCCCATGGGAGAACAAGAACAAGTCGGTGTACGCGCTTATTTAATGATGTAGGATGCTTATCCAGATCACCTCTTCTATCACCTATATTTCAAATCCAAAACAAGTCCAAAATGTCCTTCTCAAAGGGAATAGAATATGTGCTCTTTGATATGGATGGTGAGCAGCATCTTCTACGCATCTTCATTGCATCTAAATTCTGGCAGGTTTAATGATTGACTCTGAAAAAATATACACTGACGTTACTAGTATGCTGCAGTCTGTATACAATGATCAGATTTAAACTGCTGTACAGACGAAATACTGGCTAAGTATGGTAAAGAAATGACATGGGATATCAAAGCTGGCTGTATGGGCAAACGTACGTTCGACTGTTATTTTTTGCGTATGTTTCGAGACTCAACGCAAGGGGTATCTTTATTATGATCAGCTGAAAAAGAAGCTGCACTATATCTACTCTCATTCTTCCCTGAAATATCGCTCCGACTAGAAGACTATCTAACTCAACGCAATACTCTACAAGATCTTGCTTGGCCGACAGTTCCTCTCCTCCCAGGCGTACGGAAACTCGTTCTTCATCTCAAGAAACACAACATTCCCATAGCTGTTGCCACCGGTTCGCGTAGAAGGAATTACGAAATGAAGACCAGCCATCTTAGTGAAGTTTTTGGTTGCTTTGAAGGCAATGTCGTCTGCGGTGATGATCCGAGGTCTGGTATGAGGTCAAAGCCGGATCCAGATATCTTTTTGGTTGCAGCAAAAGAGACCCTTGGCAGGGACGTTGGACCCTTGAAAGGCGAGGATGAAAAAGGTGTAGAGGTGACTGACGCGCAAAGGATAGAAAGAGGAAAGGGTTTGGTATTGGAGGATGGATTGCCGGGGATGCAAGCAGGAAAAAGAGCGGGAATGGCTGGTATGTTTGATTCTTCTCTGCCTTAATCTGATCCTGACTTTTTCATTCTAGTTGTATGGGTTCCGGATGCCAATCTTTTGGATGTGAACTACTCGGGCAATGAAAAGGCGGATCAGATTTTGAAATCGCTGGAAGATTTCGTACCGGAGGAATGGGGATTACCACCATATGATCCATAGTTGCTACAGACAGCAGCTATATAGGCTTGGATTATGGATCATTGCGACCAGTTACTTTTGCTCTTCTTGCTCGTTATAATTAATCAAGAACGGCACTCAAGAACGGCGGAAATCGATGAGCCTTTAGGAATACCTGCTTCTTCCTTTCATGATGATTTCCAAGCACCTTCCACACTTTCCAGCACTTTCCCTCACTTTCCCCGCTCGTTCCGTTTCACATCCAAAATTTGATTGTTCCTATCCATTTTTATGTAGATCAATAGCTCCTCGTCAGCTCTTTGGACCCTATCCGCGTGTCCGCCACAATGTCCTTTCCCTCTGATTAAACATTGATTGGACTCTCATCGCAATTTTTACACGCGTTACACAACTCTATCATTTAGTATTCCCGGAACTCTCAAGGATTACTTCGAGCCGTGATAAATTGTCTTGTCATCGAGTGGCATGAACGCCTGTGCCATTTGACAGCCCATATCAAGCTAGAATGGTGCTTTCAAAGCGGCAAGGATAACGTCTGACTTGGAGTGGCGCTAGCTGCCTCGGATTTTGTGCGAGTTCCAGTATCTGATATTAATGGTCCGAAACAGTCTCAACGAAAACGAAAGAGCTTGAAGCTTGATTGCAACCTTCTTCATCCTGTCTCGCACTTCACTCGACCAGCAACAATTGCTGCCACGAAATGTCCTCGGAACCTGCCTCTGCGTTCCCCCCAGGCGTTGATATTTCGGAATTGTGAGTACAATACTTGCGCAACCGGATTAGTTCGAAATTTTGACATTTTTGTGGCCTGTAGATCTGGCCCACTGGTGCGAAAATGCCTTCCAATTGCATTGGCAAATTTGTTAAATTATATATTGTATGCCAGATTATCGCCTATATCTTGCACTGGGGTCTTTTCGGAACACTTTCAATACAAATATGTGTGTTTTCATATATTTCCCTTTCAACTCTTAGTGACTCTTCACCGTCCGGCGATTGTTTCTAGACCTCTATTATCTCGCCTTTCCCTCAGATCGTACCGTCATCAAGTCCGTAGTATATGGAATCTTCCTCATTGAGATCATTCAGACCATTCTAGTCACTCACGATGCATTCGCGATTTTTGGTTATGGGTTTGGAAGCTTCGAGAGTTTGACGAAAATGTATTTTGATTGGTTCACTGTACCCGTCATGAGTGGTATCGGTGAGTGTAATCACTGAGATCCCTGGCTTTCCCTGCCGTTACGAATTAATTTTCCCCTCTTAGTGGCTTTCATTGGACAAACCTTTTATGCCTACCGTATTCGAGCAATATCCCAATCCAACCTTGTGCCGGCGTTCATAATCATTGTGCATTTTCAGTTCTACTCGCGTCAGAAGAACGATGCATTTGTTAACACTTTGTTTGTCAGGTTTCGCTTACCAGTTCGATAGCTGCTTTCATGACTGGTGCTTATAGTTATCAAGGTAAATCGTTCTTCTCAAGAATGTTGCATACTTTTTGCTGAGGTAGATTATGAAGCTGGCAATGTGCTTACTCTGCGTCAGAGCATAAAGACTTCGACTGTCGTTGGTGTTAGTCATCTTTCCCGGATTTCCTGTCACTGTCAGTCAAGTTCTGATAGCAGTTGTAGATCTGGTGTGCAGGAGCTGCGTTGGGGGATATTGTTATTGCAGTGTGCATGACTTATTATGTAGCTGTTCTTCGTCATTCCCCAAAAATTCATCGATGCTAAGATTATTCCCATAGCTTTCCCAAAAAGATTCTGGTCTCGCAGGAACACACGCTATAGTGACCAAGTTTATACGTTTGACTATTGAAACTGGTTCTGTGACAGGTGAGTATTCCAAGACATGGAAAAAGTATGTATATAAGCCTGATTAATAAAATCATAGCAATTGTCGCTCTCCTGAACTTCATATTTTTCTTTGTATTCCCCGACACAGGCTACTATGGTGTCCCTGCTCTTATTATGCCCAAACTTTACGCCAACTCCGTGCTCATGGTGCTCAATGCTCGAATCAAAATCATCGGTGGACGTGCAACCTATATCTCGACTTTTGACGCCGGACACGGACCCCGCAATGCTCACAACGGCGCAACAGAATTCAATGTGCATGAGTCGAGCATGCATTTCAGAGTAATCACTTCTAGTAGAACGGGCGAGAATACGGAGGACACGGAGCTTAGCATGAATGAACTGATATTTGCAGGAGCAGGCGGTAACGAAGTGCCGAAAATTCTCGATGGTGCGGGGAACATCAAATGAATTCTCGCATTATACATATTTCCGTACCACCGTATATTCTCTCTAATGATGATCGAGTTGTCTTGAACCATTGTACGTGTACTTGATGAGTTAGTAGTCGTAAGTCATATAGGGGGGGATTGTCACGCGTCACAAAGCATCACGCTTCCGTGACTTGAGCACGCAATAAGGCGCAATAGCGGCACCATCGATCTGGGGGAGTATAAACATTGGTCGGAAAATTCAAGTGTCATTTTTCTTCTCTCCTTTCTGTGCATGGAGAAATCATTTAATCTTTTGCTTTATGCTCGATGAAGACCAAATCAAGTCACGAACGACCAAGCATATAATCGGACCGATTCTCCGAGGACCAGGAAACAAGCAAAAATACTGTTAAAAGCTTCAAAGGACTAGTGAACAATGCGAGAGGCAGAAGTTATCACTGGGATGGAATGGGTAGGCGGTCAAACAGAGAACATAATACGGTTTTCGGTAGCTGGTGGGTACCTCGCTCTTGGCGTCAATTGATAACGCTAATCTCTCCCCTCTTATCGTTTACTCTTCAACGTCAAGGTTTTCACCCCATTTTACCCTGGCGACATTCCATATTTTTTTTTAGATTTCCACCATTTGTTCCCAAGATCAAACTATCGTCCACTTAGAGCTCGCCACGTCTTCTCTGTGCGATGTTCGCGTACTGCCGCCACGTTCCATTGGTCGGCTCCATCGGATCTTTCTATCTATTCACTCCTTCACTGCCTGCAGCATCATGCGTGCTAGATTTCCAATAACTTTTTCCGATATCTTCTAATTTTGGTCCTCATGATCAGTATCGGTCAATACGTTGCGTTGTTTTGGCTTTACATGGGCTTCTGGGATCGTCGAACGGCTTCTCAGGCTGGCAAATATTCGAACCACCTTTATTACACCGGATGAGAGAAGTCCTACCTTGGATCGGCTGGGTTAACGCGTGTTGGTTTTGTCGCTATCAAGTGGACACGTTCATTCGACGCCGCATTTATTGTACATAAATTCTACCTGTACAGATCGGATCCGGTGTCCGCTTGTATTGTCCTGCGGTACACCGTACAACCGTACACGGAACCACTTTGGTAGCAAAAAAACCTGTACCGGATTTTGTCGCATTTAGCTGGTTTTTGTCGGTATCTCTCACAATATAAAGTGTCTCTGTTTTGCTCTCCCTGTCGCCTCATTTTTAATTCCCTCCTGTGCGATGGCAACTCCAGCTTCCACTGCGATTACTGGACAAATTGATCGTTTCGTCTCAGATTCTTTCTCAAAGCATTTAAACTTGATGCGTACTGAGTCGACATCCTCAAGTTCGTCTTTGGATAGTCCTCGTTCGTCTTCTCCATTTTCCGATCATGATTCGTCCTCCTCCGCCTCCAATTCAGAACTTGAGTTGGATTTGCTGGACCCTTCCACTTATGTCTGTTTCCCTTCCCTCGCTTCTGCTTCGTCCATAGTGCCGGTCGAACACTTAGCTCACATTTTGAGCCATTTGTTCGACTTGCATGCTGTCGATGGAGTGTTGGGTTTGGTTTTGGCTGACGACAAAAATTTCACCACCAAAGAAGAAATGGACGGGGTTAAGTACTCTGTTTCGAAAAGCAATTCAACAACACACAAGCCTGTTACCGAATTCGAAGTGAGGCCATTAAACTAGAATTATAATAATAAGCCTTCTAACTCAAACTATATTACTAGATCTGTACACTCAGAGCTCCTGCCAACCACGCCATTCTTCTGAATGTTTTCTCCCTCGCAGGGCTACGCTCTATCGTTTCTTTCCCATCCTCGAAACCGAATGCTTATACCTACATCCTTGAACGACCACCTGTCGTTTTCCCTTCGATGTCTCATACGCCTTCGTATGAACCTGCTTACGTTTCTAAGCGCTCTTCCTTCTCCAAAACAAGTGTTGACAGCACTCCAAATATCCCGACCTTGGCTGAATGGAACACCCTCTGGTCTGCTTGGGATCTCGTTACCCTTCGTATGATTCCCTCCGAAATGTTATTACAGAAACCAATCGACTTGAGGCACAAGTGTCTCTTCTACATCGGACATATTCCTACATTTTTGGATATGCTTATTTCAAAGGCGGTCGGTGGAGAGCCGACCGAGCCGAAGTATTTCTGGAACATTTTTGAGGTTCGACCCATCCATCCTCTTTTTGTCATTCGAAATTTAACGAGACTGATTGTTTTCAGCGAGGAATTGATCCGCATGTCGACGATCCGGACCATTGCCACGTATGTTTCGCTCTGCTTTCTTCCTCGATTTTATCGACTTAACGATCCCTTCGCAGAACCATTCGGTCGTTCCCGAATCCGATTCTGACTGGCCTTCCCTCTCCACCATCATCCATTTTCGTGACGGGGTTCGTTCGCGTCTAGAAAACCTTTATGCTGAACTGGATAGCGGAGAGCGAGTGCTTACCAGACGGATAGCCCGGATGTTGGTCATGTGCATCGAGCACGAGGGATGGCATGTCGAGACGCTATTGTACATGCTGATACAACGCTCCCCCGGAGCCCTCCCTTCCAATCTTCCTACTACGTTGCTCCCTCCAGGATTCGCTCTACCTCCTTGGGATTCGCTTGCTGCTCAGTGGGACACTACTTGGGCTTCATTCAATATCCTCGAATCTGATTCCGATGTCAAAAGCAAGACCATCTTGCTCGGCCCAGCAACAGTCGTGTTGGGACACAACGACAGCGAAGGCGACGACCCTCATTTCGAGGGAGGTAACACGGAAGAAGTCATCAACCATGAATACGGCTGGGACAACGAGTCCCCTTCTCGCTCCCTCGCGGTAGGCAAATTCAAAGCTGAATTGCGACCAGTAAGCAACGGCGAATTCGCCCAATACTGGCGACGAGGCAAAGGCAAAGTCCCCGCGCCAAAAAGTTGGATCATAACCGACGACGAAACAACAGGTAAATCCGAAATTCAAGTGCGCACCATCTACGGCCCCGTCCCTCTCCGAATCGCACATACATGGCCCGTACTGACTGCATACGATGATTTGGAGGCCTACGCAAACTCCAAAGGGGGGAGAATGCCGACAGAGGGAGAACTGAGGCTGTTTTTGGATACGTTTGAGGTTGGATATGAAGGTGGAGGAAATTCCGGATTCAGGAATTGGCATCCCGTATGCCCAACCGCAGGCTCTGCGTCGCCTTCTAGTAAAGGAACTAATGGTGGGATTTGGGAGTGGACTTCGACACCTTTCCAAGGTCACGCAGGATTTGTCGGTACGAATCTGTTCACGGGGTATTCAGAGGATTTCTGGGATGGGAAACATCATGTTGTTGTGAGTACTGCCGCAGTTTCTTATTTATTCATCGATCTGATTGCCTTCTTTTCCACAGCTCGGAGCGTCCTACGCCACAATTCCACGCCTTTCCTCTCGGAGGACTGTACGCAACTTTTGGCAACATAATTATCCATATGCTTGGGTCGGGGGAAGAGTTGTTTATAATGTCGATCATTGAGTGTGTGGATGCTAAAATCAAAGTATGAGAATGAGGTGCATGCTACTATTAGGTGTATACACTGTATACTTATGTATGTGTTGAAGCAATAGCGAAAACATTCACAATCTTCACAATGTATTCCTAAAATCATATCTATGCACACCCATAGGTGTCGCAGCTTATTCTATATCGGTTCATTTTACAACTATTGCAGCCGTCATTTGCAAATTGCAATGCGAAACATGGCGGCCCGAATGTCTTCTATCCTCGTATAGGAAGAGCCTACTTCCTCTCTATCACACAACGGTCGCATTGGCAGTGCATAATCTCCGTCTGCGCAAGGGGTTAGGACTGCGAATACGTCTCAGTTCTGATATGTTCTCATATTCCATCATCCAGTAGAAGCTTCCGCTTCCCCGCTTTTCCCTCAAAACGACTATATAGATATTCGAGTCATATACCTGCTCCATTCAAGGATTGCTTACAAACGGTTTCGCCATTTGAACGCTCTAACTCTGGAACATTCATATTTACGTTTACAAATCCAGTTTTGACTCGTGTCCACAGCGAGATCAAGCATATATAAACTATGGTAGGTCATAATCCACGAATATTCAACGCAGCTTGTCCTAGTGCAGACTCTCGTCCGCTCTCATCCGACTCTATTCATGCCATCGATGGAATCCCTCCCGTGTTATACGTCTTCCCCTCCCCCGTTCTACTCGGAGCGAGTAAACGAAGGGGAGGAAGTTCTGGCCGCTACTCGCGTTTATCAAACACCTACAGGATCTTTTACCGCACGGTGTCACTGCGGTGATTTGGTAGTAACGGTGAAGGAGCAAAACGAGGACATTGAAATTCCCCTCTACCATCAGCGAGGCCTTATATTGGGAACATTCTCACATAAAGATACAGAGAATTTTTTGCAGGTGATTTTAAAGGTATGTTTGAATAGACAAGATGATTCCTTTATCATGCCCACTCTGAGATCTGAATTATGTCAGGTCGAAGGCAAGCTCAAGCTCAGTGTTTTCGGCAAGAATTCAGCTTCGGTTTCTATCAAACTCGTCGATGAAAGTTACGAGCTGTGGTCCAAGAAACGTGACGGCGCAAAGTGTCCAGGTGCAATCGACTTTGCAACCGTACTTCCATCTACATTCAAGGAAGGGAACACTGAATTCCCACTCCCCCCCTCGCATAAAATATCTCTTGCTGGACTTCCTGGTCTATATTCTGAATGTGCGCTCTGTACGTTTTTCCAATGTCTAGCACTGACGTTCATGGTAGGCTCTTATGCCATGAAAGTGAGCATGTTAGTTCGCAGCCCACTTTGGAATAGGACTAGAACGTCAGTCGCAATAAAATGATACTTCTGCTTATAATGCTGAGGATATCATCAGATTCTCCATTCCTTTCAAATATTGGCCTCGAGAACGGCCCTCAATGCCTCTCATCTCGTACACAAGTGTTCCCCCGGGATGCGAGTTATTCCGGCAGACAATCAAAACTGCACCGGAAGTCTGGGTCGAAAAAAGCTCCACCTTGCACACTCGACCTTCTCTAAAGCTGGACCCCATCGAAGTCCAGGTCAGCCTTATTTCTCCCTTCGTCGAAGGAAGTTGATCTAATCGTAGCCCATCTTCGAACAGTTTTTTGTACCATCAGAGCGAAAATTTGGACTGGTTGACAAAATACCTTTCCACGTCCAACTTACTGGATCCGAATCTTCACTACTCAAATTGTACTCACATCTTTTAACCGAGCAGTCTTCGTCATCTTCCGCGCTACCCGTGCGACCGCGAGTGTTTAATCCAGATTCCGAACGTTTTCTCTCTTTGAATGTCACGCTGAACCGTCAGGTCTGTGTAGACGTCAGAAATCAAGCCGTCTGGAGAAACTTCGTCATCGGTGAAGGGCGAGTCCATCCTCTTCCTCCCCACTTTGAGCCAGACAGTAATACACAAAAGGCCTCCGGTAAAATCGATTCAGAGTCTATTGCACGATCTGTGCGCGATGCAGGGAGGACGGGATACCTTGATGTCGTAGGCGATATAAAATGTTCACCAGAAGTGGAACACGGTTCCTTCGATGTCGGAAGGGTGAAGGCACAGGCAAGCTAATTCCTGCTTTATATATCCATGAAACTCAGGAATTGATCTGAGAACTTAGGACTTCTTACTTCTTCAAATTGCGCCTGTGATCCCAAGCGACAACGCTAAGTCTCCGTTCTTTCCACTCAAGATCGCTATTCCCATATCTCTTGTATCAGAAAGTTGGAGCGAGACAATGATCATCTGATACCCGCACAATCTGTTATAACATTTCACGACGCATAGAAAACTCATAGAAAACTTGAAGTTTCGCACGCGTCACTCCAACGATTCAACGATTCTTTGTTAGAATAAATACTTATGCAATAATGGCACTCTTACTACCATATATTAGAAGGGTCACTATAACTATAGAGTAACCACGAATATTTGACCAACTTTGACTTCTCTTGAATTCAGAAACTTGGAACTTGGGAAACGCGGTAGAGCATCATCACGTGTCCGTGTTAGATTCGCATTTATACAGCTTTGGCCTTCTAACTTCAAGCTTCACCGGCTCACCCATCGATGAAACGCGCGAAGACAATTTCTGCGTTTGCGATTCTGTTAACAGCTCTGTGGCGCATATATACAACAATCCAGGATCTTTCTTTCAACAATCCTCACTCGTTGGATGTCTATCTTTCAGCCAAATGTCTTCCGTTTCTCAAGAACGAAATTGTCAAATATATTCCCACTCAACCTGAAACAGTATATCTAGAGCGGTATAAAACTGTTCAAGAGATGATTTTGTGCCGACTAGCGAAGAGGTCACGGGAAGAGGACAATGGGCGACCGCAAGCCAATGGTACAACAAGTTCGAGAGACCACCCAAAATTTGTGTCCTCCAATTCAGCTGAATTTTTTTCAGACACCTTATGTCCAGATGCGAACCTAGATTCCCTTCGCGTTGACACCTTATGTCCACTGATTCGCCGGAAGAAAATTCTCTTTGCAGGACCAGACACAACGTTCTATTTGCACGCCAACCTGCTACAAGCATTTGAGCTACATGAAAACAGATCACACAGCTGCCTTGGTACCGAATTCTGCACATTTCATCAAATCTGTCGCGTACCTCGCTCGTCAAATTCGGCAGAGCCATTCTTTCCGCCCGGTGGATTTAAGAAATATCCAAGCAACCGCGAACTCGATGCGTCTCAATCAGGTATCCTCAAATACATCTTGTCGAATTCGCTCTATGTAGGCTCTGATATGCAAGACCCGAGATATACCGATCCCCTCGCGCAAGTCGATCAAGACACAGGTGTGCGACAGAAAGAACGGTATTGGTTAGGACAGGCAAGAAAGGCGGACGTGCTCGTTCTCAACCGAGGCCCGCTTCCTGCTCCTGCGTGGACATATGACGGAACACTCCAAGGCAATTGGTCGTTTGTGCAGAAGCCACTTAGAATCATGCGCGGTAGAGAAATTGAACGAGACGGTAGAGTGGGTGAAAACACGTTGGAGTCCAGGAATTTGTACGGAGAGGGCATATTGGATATTGCACTACGTGTGACAGTGGCTAAATTTCTGCCAGAAATTGTGGAAACGCTGAAGGCGCTGTCTAAGGAAGCACAACAACATAGGCAAGTGGTACTGTGGCATGGAAGCTGGATCATGGAACCGGAGTGTGCGGGGAAAGATGCTAGAGGTTTGAGTACACTCGATTCCAAGATGGATTCATGGACATTGTTTTATAATGCGCAAGGTAAGATGATTGTCTATCATGGTAGGGAGTAGCCTGACCGTTGCGATGCTTAGTTCACATGCAGAACTACGTGCTTCGAGCTCTGCTTCCGCATTACAAAGTGTTGTTCGTCCCCATGATGGTGCCTTCATGGTTTTCAAGCGGGATAGATATGGGGTACTCGAAAAAAAAGATAATGGGTCGAAAGGATTGTCTGAGATACCCGTTTGGATCGATCCTCGAAGAGATGACGAGGGAAGCGCTGCTTCAAGGCATATCGCTGGCACTGGAGTGAATTACACTCGATCTCTAGTGTATCATTTCTTCTTCTGGCCTTTCTTCTTGGGGCGTTCACTGACTCTATCGGCCTCGTGTCTCATCCCGCAAAACCCTCCCTTATCCAACGCTTCTTTCGCTACATGGGTAATTCGCCTCCACCTGTCACCCCCCAACTGCACACCTCCATACCATCTTGAACAGACGACTACAGTGTTTTCACAACCTGTCACGTCGAGAAGTCGAGCTAGGTGGTTCCCGCTGCCGCTCTCTCCTCCATCATGTTGTCCAGTAACCAATTTCGATTTTGAATGGGATGTTGAAGATTGTGGCTCGGAAGTACGGTAAGCGTACATACAGTGTGTGGCTTTCTTAAGCTTCGGGGAAGCTGTCAGGACTTCCAGGAACAAAGGAAACAGACTGTCGCTAGGTAATCTTGAAGCATGTGCCACGAAGATTGATTTTCGATCATGAAGCCGTTCGGAAGCGTAGATGGGGTATGGCCAGCTGCTAGAATCTAAAAAAACCACGTTCAGGAAGGGAAAGCTAAGCACACTTGGGACCATCTCTTACTGGCAATTTCGGTGTATAATTTACGTCGCTGAATGATGAAAGTTAGTCTCTGTCGAGCGAAGAAAAGCATGGACTAGTAAGTTACAGTTAAGAATTCGGAAGGTTCATGATCAATGAACGCTTTGCGGCCCGTGAGACAGTTTTAGAATTGTGAGTGCCATGTGCTACGTTCAAAACCTTCATGCAACAGTGCTGGCCGATGAAGATCCGCAAGGTGAAAGAGCCAGCTGAAAACCCAAGTAGACAAGAAGGGGAAATCATGGACCATAGAACTATTAGGAGAAAATGAGAACGTGCACGTTGGTCAATTAGTATTCGAATTATTTGTTCAATAGGCTCGCTGAGACCACCCAGAACAGTCCAAATTACAGAAAATTTTGATCCATCTGGCCCGAATTGCGCATGATTATCAAGTAGATCGCAAGTGAGCAAGAAAAAGATGTATATAAGACCAGCACATGAATCAGAACGGGTTCGCTCCCGATTCTTTCTTACCCATCCTCTACCACCGCTGTCCATCTGCACTTTACTTTCTCGTCGTTATGCGTATGTCGTAGAACAGCAGGACATGTCTTGCTTTTCATGCTCATGATGAACCAGGTTTGATCATACGTGAAACTCCTCCCTCTGTTGGCGACTATATCGCCCATTACATCTGTAGACGGTGTGTTGAATTTGCTGTTTCATTACCGTCTTCCTTGACTGTGCATTATGCAGCATAAACGATTTCGCCCCTACTGCCGAGAAACCTTTTGTCCTTGGCCTGCCGACAGGCTCTTCGCCTATACCTACATACAAGGCCCTTATCAAGCTTGTCAAAGACGGAAAATTATCGTAGGCTCATCTGACAACATTTATGTCGGAAGGTTACGAACTACCTTTCTATAGCTTCAAACATGTCGTGACTTTCAACATGGACGAGTACGTTGGCCTTCCCAAAGACCATCCGGAGTCATACCACACCTTCATGTTCCGTGAATTCTTCTCTCATGGTGTGTATAATGTTATATTGATGCTGTATGATTTCTGAAGATCATCCTTGCAGTCGACATACCTCCTGCGCAAGTCCACATCCTGAACGGAAATGCCATAGACCTCATTGCCGAGTGCAACTCTTATGAAGAGAAAATCAAAAAATACGGTGGTATTGAACTGTTCCTTGGTGGTATCGGAGAGGATGGCCATATCGCTTTCAATGTAAGCAGTCTCCGTCTACTGCCATGGGACTCTAGAAAGTTTGAATAATTTGATACAACATAGGAACCTGGTACGCAAATCATTGGTTAAAAAAATACATATGGAAGGAACCTCATGATGTCCATTCACAGGATCTTCCCTCGCGTCCCGAACTCGTATCAAGACGCTTGCGTACGACACTATCCTCGCTAATGCACGTTTCTTCAACAACGATATCAGTGCTGTGCCGCACATGGCTTTGACTGTTGGCGTCGCCACAGTCCTAGATTCTAGAGAGATCGTTGTTGTCGTTACCGGACAGCGGAAGGCTTTGGCTCTGAGCAAAGCAATTGGTGGGCTCCATTTATTTCTTGTAAAATTCTAAGTACTCACAGAGCACGACTCGGATTCTTTCTGTAGAGGGGGGTGTAAACCACTTGGTATGCTTCGTCTTCACAAGAATATCAATCTCAGCTCACATCCATCTTTTATCTTTCACAGTGGACCCTCTCCGCGCTTCAATTGCACCCCTGGGCTCTTATCGTTGTGGATGAGGATGCGACCGCTGGTACGTCATAGATATTCACGTTCACCCCAATACCTTACCTCACCTTTTCAATCTTCCAGAGCTCCGCGTGAAGACCGTCAAGTACTTTAAATCTATCGAACGTGTGCAAGACGAAGTAGAGGCTACTCAGCGTGAGCTCAAAGCCAAGGGCAACGTCCCAGTGCCCCAAGTTGGTAGCATGGAGTGAGGTGGACCTCCCCTCGTACTCTATCTATGTACACCGATTCCCCCCAAAGAAAATGCAAACTGCAAACGGGGCAGGAATCAGCCACTGATACTAAAGTGCCTATTCCTCTGTAAGACGATACAATGATTCACCGGGTTTTCTGTCTAAAATGTGTGCTACATACTTGTCGTTTTTCGTCTTGTAATTACATAGAATTTTACTGTTGCATGTGCATATTGCTGTCTGGAAACCAAATGTTCAAAACCGTTACCTATATTATCATGTATTTCTAGATTATAGCGTTCTTCCGACGTTCCGTTGTATTTTTGCTATTTGTGTATCTATGTACTACATAGTTGTGTATCTGTGTCTTTGTGTATCGTCCTGTATATTATGTTGTGACTGATGTATATTATGATCCCTTCCGTATACATGCATGATGAATTATCCTACAATTTTGGCTTCTTTCCTTGTGGGAGATAGCTATGTTAATTGGTCCTTTGAGGTATCGTGATATAGATGATTGTGTTCAGATGAGCACCATAGGCACTTGAGGATGACACGTGCTTGAGGATAATACAGACTACCTCCAAGTGTCATTCGTAGCGTATGTTCCATTAGCGGGAGTTGTAATCTCCATGTTCGGATCAGACTCCCAGGTGACAGTACCCGATCCATCCTTCTTTATGTACTTGTATTGAACATCGGTGCTTCCAGGAAGATCCACCGTGACTTGAATCATAAAGTGTTAGATACTACTACATAGAATTCGACGTAGACTTGGGCTTACCGCTCCAAGTGGGATAATTTGCGGAGCTCAAAAGGATAGCATTATCAGTCGACCAGTCTTCAAGAGCGTCAACTGCGCCAGTCAGATAGACATTTTCTGTACGGAACCATAACTTGTTAGTCCGGGTCTGGTACGAGAGAAAACAGCTTACGGCCTTCAAGAGTAGAAGCATCGACATTGAAAGTCACAGACACCGTTTGAGCGACAGGACCCCCACCACAGTTCAGCGATAGGCCTTGTGCACCCCAACTACCAGGGATGACACCCGCTCGAGCATCAAACGCCGTCAACGCAGATGCATAACTCCATGTCAGATCCACTGCGCTCACGGGAGCCCCGTTGCTCCTGCTGATTTGCTCGGCCAGTCCCCCTGATGATGGTGTATATTTGGCCACGAGCGCGACAAAACCGTCAGAAAAGGTTTTTACTGCTGCAGTAAGGGTACTGAATTCGGGCGATGAAGAGGTATATGTGCCTGCAGTGATCGTCGAGTCAAACTGCTTGAAGAAGGGAAGAGAGATGTTGGTGACGTCGAGCGATCCTTGACTATTCCAAACGATTAAAGAGTCGTACAGTTGTTCCGCTACAGCTAGTGTGGTAAGATACCAGGGCTATCCATGTCTAGTGAGTTTGGTACAGGTTGAAGAAGCAGAAACCGACTGACATTCCCACCCATGTAAACATCTTCCGGATACCGTCCGGTAAGGACAGCCTCATTCGTAGAGATGCCAGAATTGATTTCATATGTATTCCGGAAGGCGTTCACGTAGGTAAAGAGATTCAGGAGCGCAACGTCAGAGCATGGTTGAAAGGTGATGGCGTCACAGCCAGCAGCCGCGTCGAACGTGTGAATACTCGCAAGAACGCTGTTAGCATCAATGCCAGATCGTCCACCTCCCGTGTTAGCGGTCATGTATCCTGTAGGATTCCAGTAAGACTGGAGGAAACAAAGTAAAAAGTCCGCTTGATTTCCATAGCTGGAAGCGAGCGATGTTTGACCAATGGCTCTAGCGAGCGTGATTCCTTGACGCAGGGCACGGTGTTGGACGGCAGTAGAGAAGAACGAAGACGAATAAATTTCCTCCCAGAGATCATAACTGAAGTGAAAAGTTCAACGGAAAAACCACACAAAAATTGTGCCAGATACATACGTGCTTTGGTTCCAATTGGAAGATACATAGTTCAAATCGTTCTCAATGATTGGCCACAAGGTATCCGTCACGTAAGATGTATTGCCTTCAGATAAAAGATAGTTTGCCCATGTTATGAGGGCAGTAGAACGAAGGGCAGGACCATCTAAGTCGCGTCAAAAACATAGTGGGTCAGAGAAATGAATGTATACCTCGCTGTGGGCGACTAAAAAAAGAATTAGAGAAGTGCAAGTCGAATAGTCATCAAACATACCCCCAGGGTCCAGTGAACGCAGTCTCGTTGACATAGAACTTGGGCTCGCCAAGGCCACCGGTAGTGATATCACCCGAAGGATTGGGAATCTGTTGAACGATAGCCTGAGCTCCGACATAGTTATCGATCTCTCCTCGAAGCGTGGTGTCAAAACCGAGTGTAAACCTGACCATTTCGTTACTTTTGTTCCAGCCAAAATATAGTCAATCACTCACTGGTCGATGATGGTCTGAAATGTCAAGGCTGAGTCTCTTGTCCACGTATAAAGGTAGTCTGGATTTTCTGTAGATGGCGAGGCAATAACGATTCCAGAAAAGGCACCTGATGATTTGCTGCCAGATGGACCAATGTTGGCGAGCATGGATGCTTTGGCGATGGGCGATTCAGAGGCTACATATGCATCAATGACGCTGGATTGTGCCCAGACGCTGGGAGCAAATAAGGCGAGGAATACAGCAGAGAGCAACATTGCTGAGTTCACTTGAAAGTCGATGGCAAAGGAGTGTTTGTGGAAACATATAGGGACCTGCTTTTAAGCTCGGTTCCGATCAGGTGTTTGAATGTATGTATGTAACCCGGATACATATGCCCCTACTTATGCCATTCGAATTTTGCGAACCATTCTATGCGTCGCGGTCATGTGTAGATCAGCCTATCGCATGGGGCGCTCCCTTTCCGAAATGGCGTACTGGAAGATTATCATTCGCTTTCAAATCGTCATTGGCATTGAGTGAACGCACTTTGTCTTCCCTCTCGTGAATTCTGGCCCGCGAGACTACATTGGTGTGGCAAAGAGTGTAATAGCTGCAACGGAATAACGGAGTCTTCCAAAAGAGACTCATTATGTAATCAACTTCTTGACTATATGTGGCATAACCCGCTACTCTCCGCTACTCCATACGGAAGCCGGCCGGCCACTTACAGCCTCGTTTTTACGTGATCATTGAGTACTTGACCCCCCAAGACCGACTGCAATGAGCCGCAATGGCCGTCCCATTTCACAAGAATGATTACTGATATCAATTCCAGGTTGAAGTACTTCTACCTGCCTTGCACAATATAACTGCAATCAATGCTCTGACAAGTCCTGAAGCTAATGCCTACCATTTGCACCATTATCCAAATCTCCATGTGCCATCTGGCCTTGGCTCAGTGCAATGTGTAATGGAACTGTGTAGATATGTCTCTCTTAAATAGCATATATTGATATGGTGGGGTGATCAAGTAGCACAACCGGAAAATTCAGGTGTAAGGTGCATAGCAAAAAAATCTGAACTGTCATCGAACTAATTACGGAGGAAGATGGACAGGTTACAACAAGTCCATCAGCAATGACTCGTGTGATGCACATTGAGCAACTCAGTTCTACTGGCACTAGCTCATCTAATGAGCAATGGGCACTCAATCATATGTCTAAGAATGGTCGCATTTCGTATCGTCGACGAAGAAACAAGGTGGTGTATATAGGAATAAACAAAGGATCCAATGAAAGTGAGCGAACTGAAAAATACAAAATATCGAAAAGGTGGATTTTTGGTCGTTCAGACACTCAGGATATCCCCTCCACTCATCGCCAAGTGTCGTTCTCGATGTACGTACCACTTGCAGGAGTTGTAATCTCCATGTTCGGGTCTGATTCCCAGGTGATGCTAGAGCCGTCAATACGAACATACTTGTATTGTATGTCCGTGCTCGCAGGAAGATTAACCGTAACTAGTGAACAAGTGAGTAAGCGACATGGCGACACGAACGATGTCATTTTTGACGAGATGGACGTACTGCTCCAGATGGGGTAGTCCGCAGAACTCAACAGCAAAGCGGTGTTCGGGTCCCAGTTTTGAAGGGCGTCCACGGACCTACATTTTTTATGTTAAGCCATGGAAGGTACGGGCATTCCAGTTAGGCTATCCTATACATACCCGCAAATATAAATGTTTTCTGCGGCATAGTGAGATATGAGTTCGTTAAACGGACTGGGTCACCCGACGTACCTCCGAAAACAGTGGTAGCATCGACGTTGAATGTGACAGCAACGGTACCTGCTCCTCCTCCTCCTCCTCCAGTGGAAATCCCACATGTACTGGTTAAGCCTTTTGCGCCCCAGCTGGCCGGGATGACTCCCGCTCTAGCGTCGAAGGCAGTCAGAGCGGAGGCATAGCTCCAGGTCAGGTCTACAGCACTCAGTTGGGACCCGTCAGTTTTGGAATACCTAGGAACAACTTGAGATTGAGATACGACTCTATGAAAATGACGCGAACTTACTGTTCTGATAATTCACCGTCTGAGGGCGTATATTTTGCCACAATTTCCACGAACGCGTCAGCATAGTCTTGAATGCCAGCAGTAAGGGTAGTAAAGGTACTAGTGCTCGAGGCGTAGCTGCCTACAGTTACGGAAGAGTCGAAAACTTGGAAAAATGGAAGGGAAAGGGAAGTGACATTGAGAGATCCTTGTGCATTCCAGACTGTGAGGGAGTCATAGAGCAGCTCGGCGACAGCAAGTGTAGTCAGATACCAAGGCTATTCAGGTTATTGAATCGTCAACCAGAGCGAATTGAACGATGAACATCCATTCCTACTCACATTTCCACCTTGGTACGAGTCCTCTGGGTATCGTCCAGTGGCAACACCTGAATTTTCAGCTATTCCAGAATTGATAGAGTAGACGGATCGGAAAGCGTCGACGTATGTTAGCAAGTTCGATAAAGCGACGTCGGAGCAAGGTTGGAAAGTAAGAGCATCACAGCCAGCAGCGGCGTCGAAAGTATGGATGCTGGCAAGAACTGTGTTCGCGTCCTTGCCTGATCTACCGCCTCCAGTGTTGGCTGTGATATAGCCTGCAGTATTCCAGAAGGACTGAAGGAAGCAAAGCAGGTTTTCGGCCTGTGCAGTCCAGCTCGATACAACAGACGTCTGACTGATAGCATTTGCTAGTTGAACACCCTGTCGCAAGCTGCGATGCTGGACGGCCGTGGTAAAGAACGAGGACGAATCAACTTCCTCCCAAAGGTCATACCTAGTTGAACGCGGTTGATGACGAAAATTTTCAAATATAGCAATCAGACACAAACGTAGATTGATTCCAATTTTCCGCGACATAGTTGAGATCATTCTGAATGATGGGCCACAGAGTATTGGTGACATAAGTGGTGTTGTCCTCAGTCAAGAGATAATTCGCCCATGTTATCAGGGCATTCGAACGCAGGGCGGGGCCATCTAATATACAGAATAACTGCGGTCAAAACTAGATATTTAATGTTGATGAATTCATAGTGTACCTCTTTGCGGACGTCTGGAATATACCACGTCAACAAATATTCGAACACGGACAACGACGTTTTCAAACTTACCCCCAGGCTCCGGTAAAAGCAGTTTCATCAATATTGAACTTGGGTTCACCTGAGCGTACATCAGAAAATATCAGAAACTTGACACCCGACGTGTCGGACAATAAGAGCTTGAACCTACCAAGACCGCCAGTGGTAATAGTGCCGGATGGGTTGGAAACCTGTTGAATGATAGCCTGAGCTCCGACGTAGTTGTCGATCTCGCTACGCAAAGTCGTATCAAGACCAAGGGTGAATCTAGAAGCAGCACAGACTTTTAGTCAGTAGAGGATAGTTGAAAGGCAAGGAAGTAATTCACTGGTCAATGATAGTTTGGAAAACAAGAGCAGAGTCTCGGGTCCATGTATACAGATAGTCGGGGTTCACGTTTGACGGCGAGGCGATTACTATTCCCGACAGAGCTCCCGAAGACTTGGATCCCGAAGGACCAATGTTAGCGAGTAAACCTGCTTTTGCAAGCGGCGATTCTGTGGAGATATACGCGTCGACCGTGCTGGACTGAGCCCAAGCGTTGTGAACAACGAGGAAGCTGTACAAGACGGTTAACAACATGCTGAAGACAGACGTAGGGAACTGGGGGAGCTCTGGTCTTTTGTTGATGAATTTTTGAAGCTTTTATGCATAGACGTATTACCCTTCCCTTGCGAAAACATGACGCGACATGTCATTACGCGACTTAGAATTCCCCAAAGTAGACTGGTATAAAGAAAACATCCATAGAGCTGCTGCTTTGGTAACTCCGAGTCGGAAATTCAGAGCCATGAGCCTAATAAAGGTACCCGAAAAAAAAGTTGTAAACCCTAAGAAATATAGAAGCTTACGCGTAGTTCATCGCGGTATAGAAAACCAAAAGCAGATGAAAGTAAGGGGACGAGTCATATGTTGAGGGGGACGCGTGGACGCCGAAGAATCGTGCTAATTTTGAACTCGCCCACATGGTAGGAGATAAATCGATCGAAATTGAAGTCAGAAGTCGTTCTTCTGGACAAATGACGACGTAGCCTATTTTGACATAGATACATCCACTGATCCTTTGTCCCAAATTGGTGGTTCGGAAAGCTGTGAATAGGACTTGTGGGGCAGTGGGAAAGTTGGCTAGATTTGACTCCTGTTACTGTAGCGCATTCGTTGTAGATGGTCCACATCACACCGAAGCATCTGACCGCGGACATAAGAGGGAAGCGCTTAGTCACGTACACACAACTGTCATTCAAGATATTTGTTTCCAATGCGAACGAGGACTCGCCGACAAGAGATGATAAGACTCAAAATGTGGACAGCAACAACTCAAACTCGAGAAACCCCACATGTAAAGCCATTTCTGTCACGCTGAGATTCACTTTGAGATAGCTACGGAATAAACATATAATCTGACGGTAGGATTCTACTCTAGATAGTATTTGCCTGGATAGGATAGAGATATTACTCCATTTCATCCGACCACATGGTTAGCGTGAGAGGAAACGACATCCTCCGTTGTGCTGCATTGGGGACTTGCACTAGTGATTGCGAGGTCGTGATGGAACTTTTTCTTGAAATCTTGGAAATGATGCTAAGACGTGCTTCCGAATCGGCTATTGACGTGCGGCGAGCTCGAGTAATGCCTTCTGAGTTCAATGGAATAGTTGATAATGTTGATATCTGGTCTTCAGTTTTGCTTAGACTTGATACTTGTTGTGAAACTGGTTTCTCGGGACATCCACAGGTACCTGGAAAATTACACGGAGGTCGAATCACAGGTGAAGCATCGGCAGGACCAGACGGGAAAGGTGGAAGAGTCAGATCAGGACGACGCAAGAAGCAAGGAAGAAGGATCGAGACGATGATCGCGAAGGGAAACGGAGCAGGCGAAGAGTCGATGTCGCGCTTCCATACGTTTTTGTCGAACGAGAAGTGAGTCAACATAGCTAAAATAACTAGAATGATCGTGTAGCTGAACTCTTTCAGAATGTACAGTTAAATGAGTTATATTGTATGTACTACAAAAAACTCCAACAACTCACGAGTGAATACGACGGCGAGTACGATACGAATCCAGACATGGATCGCGCGACCCATATTCAAACGCGCCATTTCTCTGTCGTTGACCTCAAGCGATACAACGAGCAGAGATAGCACTGAGTAATCGGTTAAAGTAGAATCGGTCATATACTGAACAACGACGGACCTGAATTCAATGCGAAAGTAGCAAAGCTGCTACAGAGCTCTTGCAATACGGAGGTAGTATGTTTGAACAACGGCTTGGCGACAGCTCTGGGATGAAGAATTTGGAGCGGCATTGTTTGTAATAGTATATTCACGTACGAGTTTACAAAGAGAAGTACCAGTGCGACTTCTAGAAACCCGATGATCCAGATAGTGTTACGAGACATGAATGAGCGACAGAGATAGATAGCTAAGGCTAGACAAGAGATATGAATAAAAGCGAGGTTGACTGTGAAACAGATTATTGTTGTTGCAGAGGCACACATGAAGTTGGCGAGGAAAGCTTGCCGGATAAAAATCGCCTGATAGTAGAGAACCTAAAAGCCATGTTGTGGCAGCCGGATAGTTGAAGACGCCCTGTATGTTAATAGATCTTCTGGTGGTTGTCCTGGTGAGATGAGAAATTCAAATTTCGATGTCACTGCATTGCCACCGCCTGTGTGATACGGTAGCACGTGGCCCGTGTTTGTGACATCAACCTCATTGCTTTCAACAACTTGTACCCGCTCTGTCTTTACCTTTCAAGTGGCTCTTGACGCGTAGACCAAAGCGCTCTTGTGCCCTGAGCTATGAAGAACAGATATATTAGGGTTCTACACTCTGTATCTCCTGCACAAACCTACGTTCTTTCTCGTTCACCATCTCCCGTACAGATTTATCCTATAAACGAAAATTCTATCGGAAACTCGACCCAGTTTGCCAGCACTTCTCTTAAGAGCTGTATCGATATCATATATAACTCCAGTCCTGAACTCTTCAATAACAGCAAGAAAGACTTCTCGGTGTACTCCCTAGATCCCTTGGAATCGCTGGCTTCAGTGGCTAGCACTAGTACTTCATTGCAGACAGTTTCAGTAGCATGTGGTCGTATATCTGCTATACGGGCATCAAATGGGCATTCCACTGTGACTGGGACGTTAGTGAAGGACAGGGTAGGACAAGAGGCCTTACAAGTGGTTTTTGTGCTTTGCGAGGTGCGTTGACAAGAATGTTCTCCGACAATCACCTTCTGATCCCTATTTTGCTCAGACTCCTGCTATCTACAAAGGTAAGACCTCAAACAAATGGGTGAAGTAATGCGTTCGTATTGACTTATCATACAAAGTGCCTGACTCTGCGGCAGCTGGCAGAATCAGCGCTGCTCTTGCGCGTCAAATGGAAGAGAGTGATAGGGCGCAAAGGCGTAAACAGAGAGAAATGGAACGACTCAATAGTAAACCTGCTCCTACTCTAAAGACTGAAGCAGATCGCATATTGGAGGCGTCTGGCGATTTGTGCTTAATTCAACCTGCAGGTCCCTCATTGGCTCTACCAAAACCATTTGCTTACCGGTACTCTTATTCACAAACGTCCCATTCAACATCCGCCTCAAATGTACTACCCATTCAGAATACACATGCGCCTCTGAATTCTCAGTCTGCTCAAGCATCCTCGTCGTCTGTTCAGGAAATTTCCTCACAAAACCTATCCTCGGAACTTCTCTCCATATTGGAAGCAGCGAAAAATAATCCGCAGGTCAATCGTGAAGCTTTGTTACGTGTTATAAGCTTCATCGATTCCGCCACTAAGACGAATACAGAACTCACAATCGCAGACGCTCTCAGAAAACTAGCGCCTTCACAAGCTCCTGTAACATTACCCCAAGCACCACAAACACCGCCGCGGACCCCTCCTGCTCCTACTGCCCCTACGTCACCTGATGATACCATTGTAATTCTTGACAAAGAGAATGTTAATCCGTCTGCATTTCGCAGGCGTGCAGAACGTGGTGCAGAGGAGGGAAAATCCCTTGCAACTCTCTCCATAGATATTCCTCCATTGCCGCAGCAGCAGGTCCTCCTAGCTTCCGGCGTTAATCAGTATCTACGACCCACTACTACTTTCACCAACGAAGCCATTCCTTCTGTTCCGAGCACTAGAAAGCGGACCCTGAGTGAAGCTCTAGATGACACTCATTCCTTCAAACGAAATCAAGAGCGAAATGGCACATTTTCCTCACCTCCCCGGTCCAACAGGACCATCATGAGCCCTGGGTTTTCGAAGGATCAACCTATTGTCATACCTGATTCTCCCTCCATGCCGAAACCAGGCGGTCAGAGAACACAATCTCGGGCACGACTAAAGATGCCATACGTGGTTCCCGATTGGGCTCGGACACAGACAGCCCTGCAACCGAGATTGTCAGAAGAGGCCCTGTCAATGATGAAGGAGATGGAACAGCGCAAGCAGGAAGAAAAGTTGGCGAAGAGAATGAAATGGTCGCAACAAAGAAAATCAGGACTAATGCATAGAACCATGAGCACACCTGCGGTATTCTCAAGCGGGGCCGATGAGCCTGTCGCATCCGGCTCTGGGCTCTCTTCGTTTTCAAAGAAAGGGCCGATCGCGGGTCCTTCGCTGCATCCCGTACCGGATCTACTGCCTCCTGTCATCGCTGCTGCCGGCACCTCTATATCATTTCCATCTTCTCCTCAGCGCACACCCTCTCCTTCTCCTATGCAGCCTGCCCCTCCACAAACTCCTCCACGTAGACGCTTTGCTTCTTCAAGCTCGTCCCCTGAAGAAGAAGAGTTCTCATTGTTCACCCCTCGTAGAATGGCTACACCACAGAAAGGCCCGTCTGTATTCGAAAGCCTGACTATTACCCAATCTCCCAGCATTCGACCTATTCACAGGCGCGAGGCTACGCCCCCACCTTCCAGTGAACCCGTAGCAGCAGAAGATGATACTGCGAGCTGTCAGGGAGATGACTCGGATGATGAAAATTTCCTTACTCAGGAGTTGAACAGCGCTATGGAAGAGACAGAGATTTCCGCAATCTTGCCAGTCAAGCGATCCGACAAAGAGATGACAGATTCTCGTGATGATGTCGATGCTCATATTCAGGACGAAGATGAGGAAGATGAGGAAGGGTCTGACAAACCATTCTGGCCAGGGCTTCCTCCGTCGTCTCCACCGCCTCAGAGTAGTCCTATGCTTCAACCAACTGATGACCTGGAAGACGATTTCGAGTTGCCTACCGTTTCTTCGGACTTTGACATTGAAGACTTTCCGCCCAAAACTGAGCAGATAATTGACTCGGAAAATGTAGAGAACACGTTCTCTGATGTGGACCATGAAGTAAACCATTTTGATGATACCGCACTTGCTGCCATACTGGAAATGTTAACTAACTCCAATAACGTCAACTCAGGTTCACCTTTTATCGCAGATAATTCTGACGACATATTCAAAGACTTGGGAGCCGTCGTCGACGAAACGGGACAGAGTCAACACGTTGATACTGCACATAGAGATAGCCTCTTAGGATTCCCTTCTGATATCACTCTCGACAATCCCGGATTTTGGAGTGCAGTAGGACCTCTGCTCGACCAAATCCCTAATACCGATACCGTTATCGAGGGATCTGATCCAATCAAGAACCTCTTGAGTGGTTGTGTGCTCTAATTCCCGCAATTTGCGCTTACTCCAACATTGCGTTCTGTAATCTTATGATGAAATCATCGCTCTTCGAATTCTTTCTGTTATCTTGCTCGCTTTCAGTCCCTTTGCATACACACATTGTACAACGTTTCATTATTATTCAAGGAAAGACCGTTTGCTGTTCACTTAGTTTTTGTAAAGGCGGATTGACCGCTGACCAGTAGTGCTAATATACTACATATTGTAATCGATGCTGATGGTTTATGTAAATAACCACAACATCTTCGACAACTGCTAGGTACTCGATGTCTTGGCATATGAGGTTGAAATATTCGTTCCATCTGAGATGAATACTGGGTGACTGTATGCATTACAAGGAGGACCTGACCATGCACTTTTCACAAGGTTTTTCCCATCAAGAGTGATATTAGGAGTCAACCCCCACAATAGAAATGTGTTTTCCATTACTGTGATCTAAGTAGAGGATGTGGGCAGTGTATGTACATAGTTCAGCAATTGTTCAGGGATAAACTTAGACTCGAACCAGTCACTACTCGGTCTTCAAAGTGTCGACACCGAAGCTACTGGTTCGGGTCTAGAATCAGACCCATGTAGCCGGTATAATTGCACTATCCTATACCACCAATTGGTTCATATCAGGAAGTGTCCAGTAAAAAGCGCCACATTCCGAACAGCACATTGGCCAAAAAACCTGCTACCAGCCCAAACTGTATCGTCCGCCTAGAACTGTTTAAGAACGTAAAGACAGGAAAGGAAAAGTAACACATACGGAAACACCATACTTTCAGTGGGTCGGTGCTCGATCCCATCTTCCCAAAATATTGGTTGCGCAGGTTTATTGCCATTGATGAATGCAGGTATGAATGGGAAGAAAAAGCCAATAATGATGCCAATCATTGCTGGAGAGTTGGAATTGGAGGAATTAGATAAGGAAACATCGTTATTGTCCAAGTTGTCTATCCACTGCTCTTCGAGCGCACGAGCATGCTCGTCATCTAAAGGCATGATTTAGCTTGAGGTCGATATGTAAAGCAAATTTCATCACAGTCTTCATCCAAGTCGAAGTCTCGGTCGTCTAGAAAGTTGGAAGTCGATTGACTGTGAAACTGACGTCGAATTCCCGCAATATCTTCTTCCGAGAAGCCCAAGGAGGCAAGCCTATCGAATCCCCTCGCAGGCTGGATTTGAGAGATCTGGCGACAGCGTAAGAGTTGTTGCCAGTAGGAAGAGGAAATATCATACTTGTTCTTTACTCTCGTCGTTCTCTAATTCATTCGGCTCTAGTTCTTGCCCCACCGAACAATGCAGCCATGCGACATGTGGACTATCCACTCCCACTTGACGCTCGTCCGGAGGCTTGAGCCATGAGAAAACCAACGTGCCATCGGTTAGCAGTCTTCCTGAGTATCTGAGGCAAAATTTAAGTCAAGTCACAACTCGAGTCGTCGCTAGGTCGCACATGAGCCGCAATCTTCGGTCTTTGAATTCTGGTCTTTGATCCCGAATCTTTGGACCTTGACTAATTAGATTAGTAGATATTCCAAGGTCGATGCTCCTCACATATCTCTTGACATCTCGAATAGTGTCCTGTTCAGTAACAGCTAATTCCAAATCAGGTGCATCCTCTGTGAAGCGGACGATGAATCTTCTTATGTCTTTTGGAGATGTAGCAATGTTTGAGGTCGAGGCTACTCCTGTAGGAGGGTCAGCGGCTTTCTGTTTGCCTTTCGCCTTTTCACTGAGCATCATGGGTATGTGCTACAAGGGTGTTTCCAACACTGAGTACTGACCGGTGACCTGACTTTGCGTACCTTACCGAATATTCTCACGTATCAAAGCCCTTTGATTCTACCTCGTCCTGCCAGCATCAGGACCCAGTCGTAGGACCCGACCTCCCTTACCAGAACATACTCAGCAGTCGTCGGCCCCTGACGCAGAGTTGATTGAAGACGTGCATAGCGTGTATATAAATACAAAAAGCACACTAAAACCAAAATTTCTCGTTGGTAGTAATCGCTATCGCCAGGTATCATTCTCAATGAAGGAACCACCGGAAGGAGTGTTGATCACATCATTGGGGTCAGACTCCCAGGTCAAACTGGAGCCAAATTTACGAATGTACTTGTATTGGACTTGAGTGCTGGCGGGTAGATTAACGGTTACTGAAAGCCAAGTCAGAACGACGCATGAAGGACGTCAGGGAATGGTACTTACTGCTCCAAATAGGATAAGTCGCAGCACTCAGGATAAGGGCAGTATCAGGATCCCAATTTTGAAGTGCGTCCACGGAGCCGCAGATGTATATATTTTCTGCGAGTGAAAGGCAACAGTATTAGTGAATATTTTGTATGGACATTCTTGGCTACCCATACCCCCAAATACTGTCGTAGCGTCGACGTTGAACGTAACAGAAACAGTACCAGAGCTACTTCCGCCCCCGCCTCCAGTAGAAATACCACATGAACTGGTCAAGCCCTTCGCTCCCCAACTTGTAGGAACAAGGCCGGCGCGCGCGTCGAAGGAAGTGAGGGTAGCGGCATAGCTCCACGTTAGATCGGTGGCACTCAAAGGTGAACCGTCAGATTTCGAGTATTGTTCGGAAAGAGAGCCACTGTGTGGATAACATAAGATTTCCCAGTTGCTAAATGAGAACTAGACCCTTACCTAGATGGTGTGTATTTCGCCACTGTGGCGACAAATCCATCAGCAAACGTTTTGACACCAGTCGTAAGAGTGGTAAAAGTAGAGGAAGTGGATGTATATGTTCCCACCGTGACGCTGGCATCGAAGAGCTGGAAGAAGGGAAGAGAAAGACTGGTGACATTGAGGGATTTCTGTTGATTCCATACGATGAGAGAATCATAGAGCTGCTCCGACACTGCAAGCGTTGTAAGGTACCACGGCTATACAAGATTCTTCAACGACAGATCTTTAACCACGAAGCAAATTCGATAACCTACGTTTCCACCCATGTAGCTGTCCTCTGGATATCTACCGGTGGCCGCAGCGGCGTTATTAGCAAGACCGGAGTTAATAGAATAAACGCTTCTGAATGCGTTAACATATGTCAACAAATTCGAGAGAGCAACGTCTGAGCAAGGTTGGAACGTGAGAGCATCACAACCAGCAGCAGCGTCGAAGGTATGGATGCTCGCGAGAACCGTGTTCGCGTCTTTGCCCGAGCGGCCGCCTCCGGTATTTGCTGTGATATAACCGGCAGTGTTCCAGTAGGACTGAAGGAAACAAAGCAGATTTCCTGCTTGTGCAGTCCAGCTGGATACAACGGAGGTCTGCCCTATGGTATTTGCAAGTTGAACACCTTGACGAAGACTGCGATGTTGGATGGCTGTCGTGAAAAAGGACGACGAATCGACTTCTTCCCACAGATCGAACCTAGCGTGAAATCATGAACAACATTCGGAGTTCACTTTGTTTCGAAATACTTACGTGCTTTGATTCCAGTTTTGTGCTACGTAGTTCAAGTCGTTTTGTATCAGAGGCCATAGCGTATTCGTGACATATGATGTGTTGCCTTCTGTCAACAAAAAGTTCGCCCAGGTGATCAAAGCAATGGATCGAAGGGCAGGTCCATCTGAAACACCTGAAATGAGTGACTACATTTTCATTACGGAGAGCGCACCTCGTTGAGGGCGACTAGAGTAAATTTGTCAGCCACAGTGTTAGTAAGGACTAGCAATTATACTTGCCCCCAAGCACCCGTGAAGGCAGTCTCGTCAATGTTGAATTTTGGTTCCCCTGAGTCCATGCATACGTCGGCTTTCGGCGTGGTTTCTGACGAATATATGCACTTACCAAGACCTCCGGTAGTAATAGTGCCAGAGGGGTTGGAAACTTGTTGGATGATAGCTTGCGCAGCAACATAATTGTCAATTTCCCCTCTTGTGTTAGTGTCTATGCTCAGAGAAAACCTGACAGACAGTCAGATTTTTAGCACGGACATTCAAGTTTCCAAACGACAAATCCTTACTGGTCGATGATGGTTTGAAATACTAGTGCGGAGTCGCGAGTCCAGGTATACAAGTAGTCAGGGTTCACATTAGAGGGCGAAGCGACCACAATCCCTGATTTCGCGCCCATTGATTTAGATCCTGAAGGACCAATGTTGGCGAGTAGTCCAGCTTTGGCTAACGGTGATTGAGAGGCAACATACGCGTCCACTGTGTTGGACTGAGCCAAGGTCTTTCCAACGACAAGAAATCCACACAAGGTAGAGAATAACATGGTGAAACCAACGATGGAGAACGAAAAATCGCTGCCCTTGAAGGCAAAGATTATACGGTCTGATATAGGCCACAAAGATGCATTGGCTCAAAATAGAATATAAGAGCTATGTTGGCGACCATCGATTTCTTGAATGGAAGTGCCCATTCAGGCGAAATAAACTGAGCTTACACGGATTTAACAGCAAAGACAAGGAGTCAACCCTTGGCTTTTGGTCAGCAGCCTGAAATTTACAACAGACCACATGTGCTGACTATGATATTTTCGCTGCAAAACGCCAAAAAATATGTACACGAATTTTCGCGCAAAGCCAAGGCGCAGTATCTTGTTCGGTGATCTCGGGATATTGTAACGTGGTGTTGAGGATTTTACCCAGGACAAGAAGGTCATTGAGCTGTCGAAAATTGACTAGTTCGTCTAAATCAGTATCTTTGTTCGGTCGTTTCCGAAGAGGGACGGTTTACTCACCATATGATTCTCCCTTCAAACAGAGACACACAGTGAGAGAAAGACGGGACCTTGAAAGTTAAACTCCGAAACTTTCGAACTTGAATGCAAGAGAGAAAAAAAATATGATGACTGTGAAGCCAAGGAATATCGACGTGTCGAGTGGCCTGAATTCGATATTTGAAGACTCGTGGTCCTGAAGCACCTGCTTCTTGCAACTTCTTGACTTGACTCGGAATATGAGGGAATATGACGATCAATTCGAATAGAGATACCGAGATTATGTGTATCTACTCGATGAAGATAAGCTATACAAATAGAAATTCAGAGGGTAGAGTTAGTCAGAGTTAGTCCAAGCACTGACCGATGAGTACGATCCTGTACTATCATGACAATGTGCAATGGGAGGTGCCCCGAGTTAAATAAATCCTCTGAAGGTGATCATGATACAAGATTGACATTTTATGGGCTTCCACACGAGGTTGTTTCCAGATAGAAGGGCGATATCTTGCAGACGTATGAGGCGTGTTGAGGATAACAAATGATGACAACTTGCAAGCAAGTCGGCGGACGTGACTTGGTTGAGTAGATTGTAAGCTAAATTATTCATTCCCACGATGTGATCACCTTTCCTCCCTCCCTCTTCGCGTGCTTCTGATACGAGTCAATGGGTCTCTCAGGTCGTAAAATCAAACAACGCATCGGTCCAGACCCTAGAAACCTCACCTGGGCTGATGGTCAGTACATTGTGGCTCTCAAATGAATTCAAAATCAATAAGAGCGTTCGCTTTTCACTTCAGATGCGTCAAAATTCGGTGCCAATTACCTTGCTAAATTCGGATGGGACTCTTCCAAAGGCCTGGGCGTCGAGGGTCAAGGCCGTACGTCGCATATCAAGGTCTCCCAAAAACTGGATATGCTAGGTATTGGCGCGGCCCAGTCTAAAGATCCTAATGGGATTGCGTGGAAGCAGAGTAAAGACTTCGAGAGTTTGCTCAGACGGTTGAACGAAAGTAATGCAGCTTCCTCTGATTCTGGGGCTCAAGTAATCGATGGAAATACAGAGAATATCCGAGAGGAAGAGGGAATTAATGGAGACGACGATCTCGAAAAAGATGGGAAGAAGGAGAATAGGGAGGATAGGAAGAAGCGCAAGAAGGAGGAGAAGGAGGCGAAAAAAGAAAGAAAAGAACAGAAGAAAAGAAAACGAGCTGAAAGCGTTGGTGAAGAGGTAGAACAGCCGAAGCCGAAGAAGAAAGCAAAGTCAGATACAAAAGTGAAAGAGGAACCTCCCAAAGTAGAGAAGGCCGAAGAACCAAAACGGATTATACCCCGTCACCGAGCGTCAGTCCTTTTCTTCGAGAATAATACCCTGACTGTTCTAATTTCATAATACAGACATCGTGCACGAGCCATCGCAGCCAAAAACATTTCATCAAAATCAGCGGTGCACATATCCGAAATTCTAGGCATCGCATCCTCGTCCTCATCCTCATTTGCGACACCAATGACTGCTGCCACGCCCTCTGGCACGTTGACACCTTTAGATCAAGACGTCTTGGGCCTGGTGAAACTCACGACGTCAACGAAAAGTGTCTCCGAATACTTCAAAGAGAGATTACTGGTGAAGACCTCCGGAAATTCTTCACCTTTGTCCTCAACAGTCACGCCCGAGACAAATGCACGCGCAGCAGATGAGAGCGAAAGCGAAGATGCGCCACGAGCCGGCCTAGGTTCTTACCGTAACTTGACCGGGGATAATGGTGATCTCGATGATACACCCCGTGGAGGCCTTGGATCTACTCGGACATTTACTTCTGCTGCATCCACTTTCCAATCAGGGATGTCTAAATTCGCATCGATGTTTACTTCGGCCTCTGTCATTGCCAAAGAAGAGACCATAGTACAAGTTGATGTCAAAAGCGTGGATAACATTAGCAGAGACACTAACACGCGAGAAGATCGCAAGAGAAGGCGGAAAGAAGCTCAGAAGAAAGAGAAGGAAAGCAGTAATGGTGTAGCAGAAGTAGTTGGCGAGCCAGGAGCTGTAGATGTTGAAGATAAAGCAAGAAAGATAGCCAAGGATGAACGAAGACGGGAAAAGGCGGAGAAGAAGGAGAAGAAGCAGAGACACAAAGGTGAACTTGCGGAGACGATTTAGAATAGTACTATGTAACCAATTCCATCAATTCGTCAAGTCCTGATCGACAAATGACTGATTACCAGGTGGCTGTGTATGGCCTTTCTCAGGACCCCCCAAAGTACTATAAGATCCTGGGTACCGATCCGGACAAATTTTTTTGATTTTTGAGCTTCAACAGGACCCCCCAAAGTACTATAAGAACCTGGGTACCAAATTTTTTGAAATTTCGCGAAATTTGTCCGGACAGCAGTAGAAAATTTGTCCGGATTTTCCCTCAGGTCAGTCAGAAATTTGGGCGTTTTGTCCGGACAAGGTATCAAGGTTGGTATTTTCGAAAAAAAACTTCTCTGTGTAGCGCTAGAGGTGTATTTGGGAACGAACTATCTACTCAAAATCTATAAATCCTCGGTTGCATCCTTCTTGGACCGCTTTTTGAACAATGCAATTGCTTGAAAAACATTAGTCTTGTCCCTTTGTATATCAATGAAGATTTCATCATCTTCTGCACAAAGTCGGGCTTGAAGGTTAGTATCACTACCAGTGATGGTTGGCTGCTGAACACGCGAAAGCACTTGGATTGATGGGAGAAGAGCATACGACACCGATTCAAGAAGGGCTGCTGCCTCGGTGATGGACTTGAAGGCTCCGTCACAAGACCGCTCAAATAATTGAACTGCAATGTTAGAAAACGCCGAAATGTTTGACTTGCTGTCAATAACAGCATCGTGTTTTCCATACTTGCCACCACCCTTTGCATAAGAAGTCAAGACTATTGGGAGGTGGTATGAGGGCTGAGGAGGACCGAGGTAGGAAGAGAAGAATAAGAACCACATACCTTTGCCAAGGTAGATGTCATTATTTCCGGCGGGACTAGCTGCTACCAGAACGTAGTCTCCAGCTTTTAATGGAGCTAAAGCATTCACTCGGGCATTGACTATTTCGTTCAGTCGGTTGAGTTTGGCTTTTGTAAAAGTTTCACGGCGCTTTCGTGCTATCTATTCGAAGTATTCAAATTAGTTGTTTTGTTCAAGATAGAGATGAAAACTCCGAACCGCATTTGCATCGGAAGACGCAACCGCTGCTGCATTTGCAGAATTCCCCATTTGAATTGGGACATCTGCCTTCGAGCCCAAAGCCTTGGTTCTGAATGAACGGCCAAGACCTGTCGTTAATCCGCGCTCCTGGGTTTCCTTCAAGATGTCCCGCATTGCCTTGATGATCTTCATGTGAGCAGAATCCTTATTTGGTACTTGTACTGATTGGGTCGTGCGCACTCCATGTTCTGCCTGGTATGTCTGATGCGCACGACGCAGATCAACAAGGATGGAATAATCAAAAGACGACGCAGTGACAGGAATCCCTTGTTGACCAAAAATGCTCGGCATGGTGACAACTGGATGGAGAGGTGGGGCTGTAACATTTGCCGTCCAGTAGTGATGAAGTTCGAGGCATTCTTCGTCCACTTCATCATCATCTTCAACTTGATCTGCAAAGGCTTGCCTTCAAATTTGAATGGGAGAAATCAGATAATCAAAACGGGCATAAATCCAGGAGACTCCTCACACTTTCATATGTTCATCGACATGGAGAGCAGCTGCGGCGTAATTCAGACTCTGGATAATTTCCAGCTGTTTTTGTGTCCCTGCTGATTGTACTTCATCGGATTCGCTGCGTTGAAGTAACTGTTGAAGCTCATCAGCCTCACTCAAAGGATCAAAGATCGAGCTGTCATCCTCATCGAATTCCATTTCCTCGTCTAGCTGTCTCTCTTTATACCAAAAGGAAATGGTAGGAAGCTGTACTGTTCCCCGTTGCCTTAGGGAATGAAGACTTCGAAGCCGACTGGGCTGGATGCCCAATGCTACAAAGAGTTGGTCAGCCTCGTCAAAAGCAATGGGAACTATCCGGGTGTGTATTTGATCGTCATCAGGAAAAACTGCGAGGAGAAGTGGGTCCAGGCCAGAGTTATCAAAGTACGTGTGACAGTAGCCACTAGCTCGTGCTTTTCCATTTGCTGCCCGTGCACGCAGATTTGCTTGTCGCACGGCTACATGAAGTTTCGGAATCATGTAAAGAAAATCGGCATAGCAGAAATCTTTCACAATTTTCCGAGATTCTCCAATGCAGTGCTCACAAGTTTCACTGGAATGGAGATGAGGAATGAGAGGAACTTGTTCCGACATATGATCACGGTAGATAACCAGTAGTGAAACATATCCCTCAATAAGAATCCTTGTAATATCTAAGCATTCACGAGAAAGAAGATATTCCTTCTTGTAACCGGCAGTGTCCAAGAAGGTGTCCCACAATTTCAAGAAGTACCAAGCGCGAAGAACCATAGCAAGGCGCTCAGCATGGTTGATTCGACGGCTCTGGTATGCATCCACCAATTCACCAAAGATGAACAAATACACAGCGAGCCCCACCCATTCAGGATTCTGGTTACCCAGAAACTGTAGAGTGTCAGCGGAGAATAAACGCATCGCGGCATTATCATCCTGACGGTCAAGTTTTTCAACATCCCGGCGATAAAGAGGGGTACCTGGTGTCATGCCTTGCCTGATTTTGCTTCCTTACCTATCATATTCCTCCTTACTACCTCCCTATATCTCCCCACTGTATACCCAGAGCTCCCCTTGTCCGCTTTTACCATTATGTAATATGCCACATGGCTGTCACATGTATAGTATTTAGGCTGGGGACTCCCCTCGGAGCTCCCCAGCGTGTTATTGTCAAATCTTATCTGGAAACTCTTCCAACCTGGCTTGGTCCCTGTTAGTACAGTCTACTTGTACTTGCTAACAGGGCCTGACACGTCTCACCTGTCATACATTTCCTCTTTATCTGTTTCCCTCAACTCTGTTTCCTTCACCTCTGTTTCACTCAACTCTGTTTCTCTTCTCTGTCTCACCTCTCTGAACACCTCTCTCAACTTCCTGAGCCTCTCCTACGACTTACAGTCTACGTCGAGGCTCCACACCCCCAACCACCTCCATCCTCACCAACTACACCTCCTTCCCCCACTCCAGGACCTTTGGCTAGGTCCACCCAAGCTCCGCAACCACCACTGGTCAGGCTCCCTACACCAGTAGCGGCACTTATCCCACCTCCCCTTGTACGGCCTAGGCAGCTGTCCTGCTTGCTTAGGCCCAGTCCAGATAGGACGAGAGCAGGCCTTTTGTGCCAGGCCTCACACCTGGATCATGAGCAAGTTTATGAATCTGAGCATAGAAAAGACTGTGATTTCCTAGGACAAGGAGGCGTGCGCCTGAGTAGAGATTATTCCGGAAGGTTTTGAGAGCATGTTTGGAGTCTTGAATCATAGCAACAGGTTGACTGTCGAAAATGGGCACGACACATTTGAGCACATCACCAGAGCTTTTAGGCGGGGCAATGGCATATTCAATTCTGCTATCGCCATTCGTCACAAGTAATGCTTGAATTTTGCGCTCGATTTCGGTGCCATCACATGCATAGGAGACGACCTGTATCTTGGAATTGATAAGCCCGCGAATAAGGCGTTGAGAGTAAGGCTCCAGCTTTTCTGCAGTAAGACTAGTACCAAGAGGCATTGCATAAAGCACAATCGGTCCTGACTTCGGAGCCTGGAGCATTAAGCACCAAATACGAATCTGAAATATTGAAACTAATCAGGAGAGAACAGAATGTTATGAACTCTGTCAACACACCTTTGTAGCCTTCTGGATCTTTGCATCTCTTATAACCTGTTCAACGGAGTCGGGATCGCTAACTTCCACTGCACCATCACTTCCCCCGATGAGAAAATGCTTCTTCTTGCCAGAATCCCAGTAGAGACGAAGACTTGCGAATAGCTTTGCATCATCGCAACAGAGACCTACGGGCCCCTTATAGCCTAAGCTTTGAAGATGCGCTACTGCCATTTCAAACGTGTGGTCGCAGATTTCCATGGGAAAGCGAGGCTTCCGTGATTCTTTCTGTCTAGGGGGGCGGGTGTATGTTTAGAATTAACACACCTTGGATAACATTAATGGCTCACCGAAAGCTCTCGCTAGTTCTAGCAGGAAACCACTCACGTAGGACCCGGAATGCGGAAGGACTGGTGATTCTCATAATGTTCGTAAACTCGTCATAGGCAGGTGAATATTTGAAGTTTTGCAATCCAATACCATTCTCTTCCTTTTCGTTCCGAATGAGCATGGCCTTCGTCAAGCCTTCAAAGACTTTATCATCATATTTCCCTTGGAGTACACCGAGCGCATAGCGGACAAATGGTGACTTTTTGGACTGCTCTTCTATGAGCTCCTTTGTCCCAACACTAAGAGCGTAAATTTCACCCAGTACTTTAGGCCGAAATCTGTGGTTGGTATGAATATAATTCTTGGCAGATGGCTTCTGTCGACGAATAGCATTCTTGAAGGCACGCGATTTGTAGACAGTCAAACATTCATTGCAAGGGAGAGGAAGATGAGGCGAAAGGTCAAGAGTTTCTTTGGTACATCTCCGGGAATAGACTGCAGGTGGGACAAGATGGTGTTTGTTTTCCCAAGTTTGGGATAACTCCTGGGTAGTTATCACCTTCTGGCGCTGCTCTTCGTCCAAGGTACTGAATGTCATATTGAACAAAGTTTTTGCGATCTCTGCAACGTTTGTCCCACCACTACCAGAGTAGCCAGTACGGCTCAGATATGTCTCAATGCGTGGATCGTAACTTGCTGTGAGGCCACAACATGCGACCATTTTGGGAAGTAGGTTGGGTTTTGATGTCTTCATGCTGGGAAGAGGTGCGGAAGACTTTTGGAAGAAAGCGGTGATTTTGTGACTGGAGAGGATGGCCTGTGTGGTTTTTGACTTGGTCGAAGATAAAGAACATGTCTTCATGTGAGCGCGGGCACGGGTAAGATCATAAGCCTGCTTTGCCTTGTACCATTTTCTGCACTTAGAATGGCAGAAATCAATGCCATTGTCTCTACACTCAACGCCCGAATCCATCTCTTGCAGTCCGTTTTTCCAACTAGCAAGCCGTGCATTGGTCACAACAAAGGTACCATCCCTTTGTGACTGACGAATTTTCATAGAATGAACAGCAGAACGACTCTCTCCTTTCTGATGTTCAGTCTCAGTCTCAGTCTCCGAGTCTGTTGGCTCAGGACTGCAACTTTGACTGCGTTTTGAGCCAAAGAAACTCTTCAGAAGGGACGTCGTTGGACCAGTTAATGATTTCGGTGATGTGTGTATAGTGGTTACAGGATAACAGTCGTTGTCAGATTCTGAGTCATCATCCGATTCGCTCGAGCCTGAAAGTTCTGCAGTAGAGCCGATATTGGAAGGAATTGATGCAATTGGATTTAAAAGGTCTACAAGACATAAACGTCGACTGGGCTTTGCTAGGTCAAGCTCGGGAAATGGTTCACGTTCAGTACATTCAGTGGCGGTAGTGTCTGAAATAGGACATGGAGAGTCAAATGACAAATCGATAAACCACTGCATTCGCTGAGACAGGGCAAGATCCGAAGTCCATAGAGGATCACCAAAAACTGCATGGGAGATGGCATTTGCAACACAGATTCCACAGTTAAAGGTATCACGCTGCACTCCGCACTCGAGTCTGAATCCTTTATCAACCAAACGTCGGTTGAAACGTTTACGAAGCCACAAATCTAACCTCTGAAGGAAGACGCGGGGTGGGGACATTTGGGAAAGAGAATCACCTGGATAAGTGAATTCGATTATACAACTGAAATATATGAATAAGTGTCAAACTCACCATAATACACCTCACCCCGCCCGAAGTCCACTGCTACAGCAATCCAATGATTTCCGTTGACATGAACTGGGGCATACAGGACCTCAATCCTATCCTCTACGATCACTGTCTCAAAGTGTTTCAGTACAGTATCTTGAACCTCTCCAACTTTCCGAAGAGAATTTTGAATGAATGGGTTCTGTATCTTGTTCGCAAATGCAAGAGGCGCTATCACGACACGTCGGCGAGACTTTGAGCCTTGGGCCTCAAGACGCATGCTCATATGCCCCACCATCAAGTCTATCTGGTCTCCTGAAAGCCAACCAGATCCAAGAAAACCAATCAAAGCTGTCGTATACATGTTATAATGAGGCAAACACTCATTCCAACCGATAGCATGCAGCATCTCCCATGCCTTAGCAAGAACTGCTTTTGGGCCAGTATCAGACACCTTCTCCTTTTGTCGTTCAACGTATTGGATAGCTTTACCCCAACTTTCCTGCATTTTGGTAGTTTCTTCAACCTGAGTCCAAAATTCGAGAACATAAAATGGAAATTGTTCAGTCGCCCCATTCCGTGGGTCTGTGATAGACTGGTATCCTGAAAGCCAATAAGATCCAAGCTCAGCCTTCATCTGATTTACCAGGCTCTTCGGAGGTGCAGAACGCGTCAATAGCCGCTGTACCTCAGTAGCTGGAGGCTCACGACTGAACCAGAAATCAACGCTTCCAGTAATGATATCGGATGACCGCGGTGGGAGAGATGAGTTTGCGAAATGATAGGCTGAGATTGCAGGACTGATGGGAAAGAGTGGGGAAAACACGTCTGGTGGAATGACAAGAAGCTCTGCTCGAGCAAGAACGAGACTTGGGGGAGGAGTCATAGGCCATTTCTTGCCACAATTGAGCCAATCTGCAGGTCGAAATTTACTCTCGTCAAGATCTATAACTGGGCTATTCCAATTGTCCATTGATTTTTAGAACAGGTTTGGTTGAAAAAATATTTTTTTGCTTCAATGTCAATGCGTAGTTAAACTTTACATAAGTGATCGTAACATGTCCGTGTCCGGACATTGCATCAAGGACGGTTCAAATTTCATTCATTTTGTCCGTACATGGTACCAAAATGTTTGCAAATTTCCTCAAAAAATGTCCGGATTTTGCCCGGGTTGAAGCTCAAAAATCAAAAAAATTTGTCCGGATCGGTACCCAGGATCGGTACCCAGGATCTTATAGTACTTTGGGGGGTCCTGCTTCAACCCGGGCAAAATCCGGACATTTTTTGAGGAAATTTGCAAACATTTTGGTACCATGTACGGACAAAATGAATGAAATTTGAACCGTCCTTGATGCAATGTCCGGACACGGACATGTTACGATCACTTATGTAAAGTTTAACTACGCATTGACATTGAAGCAAAAAAATATTTTTTCAACCAAACCTGTTCTAAAAATCAATGGACAATTGGAATAGCCCAGTTATAGATCTTGACGAGAGTAAATTTCGACCTGCAGATTGGCTCAATTGTGGCAAGAAATGGCCTATGACTCCTCCCCCAAGTCTCGTTCTTGCTCGAGCAGAGCTTCTTGTCATTCCACCAGACGTGTTTTCCCCACTCTTTCCCATCAGTCCTGCAATCTCAGCCTATCATTTCGCAAACTCATCTCTCCCACCGCGGTCATCCGATATCATTACTGGAAGCGTTGATTTCTGGTTCAGTCGTGAGCCTCCAGCTACTGAGGTACAGCGGCTATTGACGCGTTCTGCACCTCCGAAGAGCCTGGTAAATCAGATGAAGGCTGAGCTTGGATCTTATTGGCTTTCAGGATACCAGTCTATCACAGACCCACGGAATGGGGCGACTGAACAATTTCCATTTTATGTTCTCGAATTTTGGACTCAGGTTGAAGAAACTACCAAAATGCAGGAAAGTTGGGGTAAAGCTATCCAATACGTTGAACGACAAAAGGAGAAGGTGTCTGATACTGGCCCAAAAGCAGTTCTTGCTAAGGCATGGGAGATGCTGCATGCTATCGGTTGGAATGAGTGTTTGCCTCATTATAACATGTATACGACAGCTTTGATTGGTTTTCTTGGATCTGGTTGGCTTTCAGGAGACCAGATAGACTTGATGGTGGGGCATATGAGCATGCGTCTTGAGGCCCAAGGCTCAAAGTCTCGCCGACGTGTCGTGATAGCGCCTCTTGCATTTGCGAACAAGATACAGAACCCATTCATTCAAAATTCTCTTCGGAAAGTTGGAGAGGTTCAAGATACTGTACTGAAACACTTTGAGACAGTGATCGTAGAGGATAGGATTGAGGTCCTGTATGCCCCAGTTCATGTCAACGGAAATCATTGGATTGCTGTAGCAGTGGACTTCGGGCGGGGTGAGGTGTATTATGGTGAGTTTGACACTTATTCATATATTTCAGTTGTATAATCGAATTCACTTATCCAGGTGATTCTCTTTCCCAAATGTCCCCACCCCGCGTCTTCCTTCAGAGGTTAGATTTGTGGCTTCGTAAACGTTTCAACCGACGTTTGGTTGATAAAGGATTCAGACTCGAGTGCGGAGTGCAGCGTGATACCTTTAACTGTGGAATCTGTGTTGCAAATGCCATCTCCCATGCAGTTTTTGGTGATCCTCTATGGACTTCGGATCTTGCCCTGTCTCAGCGAATGCAGTGGTTTATCGATTTGTCATTTGACTCTCCATGTCCTATTTCAGACACTACCGCCACTGAATGTACTGAACGTGAACCATTTCCCGAGCTTGACCTAGCAAAGCCCAGTCGACGTTTATGTCTTGTAGACCTTTTAAATCCAATTGCATCAATTCCTTCCAATATCGGCTCTACTGCAGAACTTTCAGGCTCGAGCGAATCGGATGATGACTCAGAATCTGACAACGACTGTTATCCTGTAACCACTATACACACATCACCGAAATCATTAACTGGTCCAACGACGTCCCTTCTGAAGAGTTTCTTTGGCTCAAAACGCAGTCAAAGTTGCAGTCCTGAGCCAACAGACTCGGAGACTGAGACTGAGACTGAACATCAGAAAGGAGAGAGTCGTTCTGCTGTTCATTCTATGAAAATTCGTCAGTCACAAAGGGATGGTACCTTTGTTGTGACCAATGCACGGCTTGCTAGTTGGAAAAACGGACTGCAAGAGATGGATTCGGGCGTTGAGTGTAGAGACAATGGCATTGATTTCTGCCATTCTAAGTGCAGAAAATGGTACAAGGCAAAGCAGGCTTATGATCTTACCTGTGCCCGCGCTCACATGAAGACATGTTCTTTATCTTCGACCAAGTCAAAAACCACACAGGCCATCCTCTCCAGTCACAAAATCACCGCTTTCTTCCAAAAGTCTTCCGCACCTCTTCCCAGCATGAAGACATCAAAACCCAACCTACTTCCCAAAATGGTCGCATGTTGTGGCCTCACAGCAAGTTACGATCCACGCATTGAGACATATCTGAGCCGTACTGGCTACTCTGGTGGTGGTGGGACAAATGTTGCAGAGATCGCAAAAACTTTGTTCAATATGACATTCAGTACCTTGGACGAAGAGCAGCGCCAGAAGGTGATAACTACCCAGGAGTTATCCCAAACTTGGGAAAACAAACACCATCTTGTCCCACCTGCAGTCTATTCCCGGAGATGTACCAAAGAAACTCTTGACCTTTCGCCTCATCTTCCTCTCCCTTGCAATGAATGTTTGACTGTCTACAAATCGCGTGCCTTCAAGAATGCTATTCGTCGACAGAAGCCATCTGCCAAGAATTATATTCATACCAACCACAGATTTCGGCCTAAAGTACTGGGTGAAATTTACGCTCTTAGTGTTGGGACAAAGGAGCTCATAGAAGAGCAGTCCAAAAAGTCACCATTTGTCCGCTATGCGCTCGGTGTACTCCAAGGGAAATATGATGATAAAGTCTTTGAAGGCTTGACGAAGGCCATGCTCATTCGGAACGAAAAGGAAGAGAATGGTATTGGATTGCAAAACTTCAAATATTCACCTGCCTATGACGAGTTTACGAACATTATGAGAATCACCAGTCCTTCCGCATTCCGGGTCCTACGTGAGTGGTTTCCTGCTAGAACTAGCGAGAGCTTTCGGTGAGCCATTAATGTTATCCAAGGTGTGTTAATTCTAAACATACACCCGCCCCCCTAGACAGAAAGAATCACGGAAGCCTCGCTTTCCCATGGAAATCTGCGACCACACGTTTGAAATGGCAGTAGCGCATCTTCAAAGCTTAGGCTATAAGGGGCCCGTAGGTCTCTGTTGCGATGATGCAAAGCTATTCGCAAGTCTTCGTCTCTACTGGGATTCTGGCAAGAAGAAGCATTTTCTCATCGGGGGAAGTGATGGTGCAGTGGAAGTTAGCGATCCCGACTCCGTTGAACAGGTTATAAGAGATGCAAAGATCCAGAAGGCTACAAAGGTGTGTTGACAGAGTTCATAACATTCTGTTCTCTCCTGATTAGTTTCAATATTTCAGATTCGTATTTGGTGCTTAATGCTCCAGGCTCCGAAGTCAGGACCGATTGTGCTTTATGCAATGCCTCTTGGTACTAGTCTTACTGCAGAAAAGCTGGAGCCTTACTCTCAACGCCTTATTCGCGGGCTTATCAATTCCAAGATACAGGTCGTCTCCTATGCATGTGATGGCACCGAAATCGAGCGCAAAATTCAAGCATTACTTGTGACGAATGGCGATAGCAGAATTGAATATGCCATTGCCCCGCCTAAAAGCTCTGGTGATGTGCTCAAATGTGTCGTGCCCATTTTCGACAGTCAACCTGTTGCTATGATTCAAGACTCCAAACATGCTCTCAAAACCTTCCGGAATAATCTCTACTCAGGCGCACGCCTCCTTGTCCTAGGAAATCACAGTCTTTTCTATGCTCAGATTCATAAACTTGCTCATGATCCAGGTACCCCTCTTTATCGCCGGGATGTTGAAAAACTTGACCGTCAGGATGATAATGCCGCGATGCGTTTATTCTCCGCTGACACTCTACAGTTTCTGGGTAACCAGAATCCTGAATGGGTGGGGCTCGCTGTGTATTTGTTCATCTTTGGTGAATTGGTGGATGCATACCAGAGCCGTCGAATCAACCATGCTGAGCGCCTTGCTATGGTTCTTCGCGCTTGGTACTTCTTGAAATTGTGGGACACCTTCTTGGACACTGCCGGTTACAAGAAGGAATATCTTCTTTCTCGCGAATGCTTAGATATTACAAGGATTCTTATTGAGGGATATGTTTCACTACTGGTTATCTACCGTGATCATATGTCGGAACAAGTTCCTCTCATTCCTCATCTCCATTCCAGTGAAACTTGTGAGCACTGCATTGGAGAATCTCGGAAAATTGTGAAAGATTTCTGCTATGCCGATTTTCTTTACATGATTCCGAAACTTCATGTAGCCGTGCGACAAGCAAATCTGCATGCACGGGCAGCAAATGGAAAAGCACGAGCTAGTGGCTACTGTCACACGTACTTTGATAACTCTGGCCTGGACCCACTTCTCCTCGCAGTTTTTCCTGATGACGATCAAATACACACCCGGATAGTTCCCATTGCTTTTGACGAGGCTGACCAACTCTTTGTAGCATTGGGCATCCAGCCCAGTCGGCTTCGAAGTCTTCATTCCCTAAGGCAACGGGGAACAGTACAGCTTCCTACCATTTCCTTTTGGTATAAAGAGAGACAGCTAGACGAGGAAATGGAATTCGATGAGGATGACAGCTCGATCTTTGATCCTTTGAGTGAGGCTGATGAGCTTCAACAGTTACTTCAACGCAGCGAATCCGATGAAGTACAATCAGCAGGGACACAAAAACAGCTGGAAATTATCCAGAGTCTGAATTACGCCGCAGCTGCTCTCCATGTCGATGAACATATGAAAGTGTGAGGAGTCTCCTGGATTTATGCCCGTTTTGATTATCTGATTTCTCCCATTCAAATTTGAAGGCAAGCCTTTGCAGATCAAGTTGAAGATGATGATGAAGTGGACGAAGAATGCCTCGAACTTCATCACTACTGGACGGCAAATGTTACAGCCCCACCTCTCCATCCAGTTGTCACCATGCCGAGCATTTTTGGTCAACAAGGGATTCCTGTCACTGCGTCGTCTTTTGATTATTCCATCCTTGTTGATCTGCGTCGTGCGCATCAGACATACCAGGCAGAACATGGAGTGCGCACGACCCAATCAGTACAAGTACCAAATAAGGATTCTGCTCACATGAAGATCATCAAGGCAATGCGGGACATCTTGAAGGAAACCCAGGAGCGCGGATTAACGACAGGTCTTGGCCGTTCATTCAGAACCAAGGCTTTGGGCTCGAAGGCAGATGTCCCAATTCAAATGGGGAATTCTGCAAATGCAGCAGCGGTTGCGTCTTCCGATGCAAATGCGGTTCGGAGTTTTCATCTCTATCTTGAACAAAACAACTAATTTGAATACTTCGAATAGATAGCACGAAAGCGCCGTGAAACTTTTACAAAAGCCAAACTCAACCGACTGAACGAAATAGTCAATGCCCGAGTGAATGCTTTAGCTCCATTAAAAGCTGGAGACTACGTTCTGGTAGCAGCTAGTCCCGCCGGAAATAATGACATCTACCTTGGCAAAGGTATGTGGTTCTTATTCTTCTCTTCCTACCTCGGTCCTCCTCAGCCCTCATACCACCTCCCAATAGTCTTGACTTCTTATGCAAAGGGTGGTGGCAAGTATGGAAAACACGATGCTGTTATTGACAGCAAGTCAAACATTTCGGCGTTTTCTAACATTGCAGTTCAATTATTTGAGCGGTCTTGTGACGGAGCCTTCAAGTCCATCACCGAGGCAGCAGCCCTTCTTGAATCGGTGTCGTATGCTCTTCTCCCATCAATCCAAGTGCTTTCGCGTGTTCAGCAGCCAACCATCACTGGTAGTGATACTAACCTTCAAGCCCGACTTTGTGCAGAAGATGATGAAATCTTCATTGATATACAAAGGGACAAGACTAATGTTTTTCAAGCAATTGCATTGTTCAAAAAGCGGTCCAAGAAGGATGCAACCGAGGATTTATAGATTTTGAGTAGATAGTTCGTTCCCAAATACACCTCTAGCGCTACACAGAGAAGTTTTTTTTCGAAAATACCAACCTTGATACCTTGTCCGGACAAAACGCCCAAATTTCTGACTGACCTGAGGGAAAATCCGGACAAATTTTCTACTGCTGTCCGGACAAATTTCGCGAAATTTCAAAAAATTTGGTACCCAGGTTCTTATAGTACTTTGGGGGGTCCTCCTTTCTCCGGTGTGATTTTAGAGGAAAACGAGAATCCACTTCGCGTGGTGGACTGCGGTGAGTCGAAACGGCTAATCAAGCAGCAGATGTTATGGCCGTCTAACAGCCTCAGAGAGAGGCATCGGACTGACAGGTAAGGGTTAATCTATGCAGTCCCCTTCTTGAAATTCCTCTCATTTGGTACCAGAAGTGTCTGTGGACCAGCTAATACGATCTACTGTTAAAACTTAGAGAAACGTCGACGCTGCTTTTGCGTCATAGGCTCCGGCGGTCTCCTCAGGAGTCAAGGAATGGACGAAACGCTCACATATGCGTAAGTATGGGGCAAAGGGCTGTGCATGTGAGTTGTTTCGCGGCGGGCGAAGTTGAAAAGAAAAATTATATAAACCAATTTGTTCGTTAGGATATGGAGCAGGTACCCTCCTTGCTACGTTGTTCTCTGCCGGTCAGGGATCCATGCTCCTACGCCAATAGTGTTTTATCGTCAAAATCATTTTCGAAGTTTATTATTCCTCACTTACGAGATGTGGCTCCGCAGCATCTTTCTGCAGCTGGTCATCAGTCCCGCTTTCTGGATTCTTGATGCCAATGCGCTTCCGCTCAACTCTTCATTGGGATCTAGCGCTTCCTCGCACACATTGGATAATTCAGAACAAACGGTAGAAGATCCATGGGATACAATAAGAAAATGGAATTTGAGGAGGAACATCGAAGTAAGTACTTCTTGAGTTGCATCAGATAAATATTGACACATAGGTACCAATTTCCTGTTGGAACTCGTAGCAGTCATGGATTAAATACCAGGAAAAATGTCCAGGATTTGGAGAGAACGAGAAATACTTCCGTAAGTACGTGCGTACCTTTCTGCGGGTGCTTATCGCTGACATAAGTTACCTGGGACAAGAACATGACATTACTGGCCTGTCAATGAAACCTCTACATTTGAATCTTGGAGGATTCAATGGGGGAATTTACAAACTCTCTGCTTTAGACTCCGAATTTGAAGATGAGAATCGTGCAGGACCGGGGCATGTCATTAAGCTGGTAGATCTCCACCAAGAATATGCGTCGTGCGAGCCATATGCTCTTCAGGCGCATAAAATCTGGGTTCAAACTGGATTTTTGATGGATTCGGTGGGGACAAAATGGGGTGCTCTTCAGATGGAAGAGATTCCTGGTCAACCATTGTATAGATACCAGCTCTGGCTTAGGAGGCCCTCTTTGGAGGAAAAGAAGAATATACTCGTAGAGGTTCGGAATCAGCTTTTCGAAATCATTTACTCGAAGGCTAAAGAGACTCACCATCTCCTTCATACGTGAGATTTAATCCCCAGTTTTGAATCACTTCAAATTTTGTTGACCGGGTTCTTAGTGATTTCAACCCTAACAACGTTCACGTTGTACTCAAGCTCGAGAATAAGCGTATAACGGTCGTTGGGGTACGCCTGTTGGACTTTGGATATCCAGGAATTTATACTACGACGGAGCTTCCACCACAGAAGAAATTCGTGAGTGTCTCTAGTTTCGTGTAAGATTTATGCTCATGAGCACTTACGAATTATACAGAGGGCATGGTTTGACTTACGATTTGACCTTTTGTGGGATTATGTCTATGAATTGCTTGGTGAAGAGCCGCCTCATTATATGAAATACGTGGCTTTGATTGAGGGGGAGGTAGTCGAGGTGAACGACCCCTAACGTGAAAGGAAAGGAGATGTAGCTTAAAGTTTGAAGGGGGTACCCATATACGTCGAGCGCTATACCTACACACTGGCACTCTCTGGCATTACACTTCCACATGACTCATGGCTACACCACCGACCTATATTCTTGCTCACCTTTGCGGTTAATGAAGAGGGGGAACACACATCTGCAAAACATGGATATTCGGCTAAGGGCTGAGAGCAGATCCCAGCAGATCCCAGTACCGAAAGCACTGAGAGCAGGCTGCTCTGAGTGCTTTCACTGCTGGGAAATGCTTTCAACTGCTTTCGGACCCTTAGCCGAATATCCAGGTTTTGCAGATGCAGAACATTTAGGACACAGATGAATATCATCTTGTAAACTTGTAAACATTCTTTATCTTATCTTATCTTATACAGTATATGGAAATGACGTAAATTGATCGCACCTTCACTTTTACCAACATGGCGCGAGTTCCTCTAATCGGGCGACTCTCCTTCAGAGAATACGTAGCACTTGTTTTTGGCTTAATCTTTATCGCATTCGAGGGCCTAATTCGCCTGGTTATTATTCTCTTGCTTCCACGAATCCTCATCAACTGGTTTTATGACCGCTCACGATCTCTTTTCCATTTTCTCGGAGGGCGAGGACTCAAGAAGCAAAATTCTCGCGATCCAAAGGCGACTCCTCGAGTAAACGCACAGCGGCAAATCAAACGTTCAATGGCGGACCAGATCTTGCATGCTCGAGACTTCGGCGAGCTATGTGCACTGCATGGTTATATGCCAGAAGAGCATGTCGTTTTGACGAAAGACGGGTACTTGTTGGGCCTGCATCGTATCTCGTCAAAGAAGGGTCAACAGAATTCAAGGCCTGGTATAAGTACTGGGAAGCCGGTGGTTTACCTTCACCATGGCTTGTTGATGAATAGCGAGGTGTGGGTTTGTTTGACTGATGCGGAGCGGGCGTTACCTTTTGTGTTAGTGGAGCAGGGTTTTGATGTTTGGCTGGGGAATAACAGGTACGCTATCGATAGCGTTTTAAGTCTATTGTTTTCCGACCTCCATGTAGAGGAAACAAGTATTCCAAGAAGAGCATTCACCATGGCCCCAATTCCACGAAATTCTGGGATTTTAGGTCAGTCTCGCGTCAGCCAGCCATAATTGAAAGAACTCGCCTTTCTCATCTCCTTTCAGTATTGATGATTTTGCATGGCACGATATTCCAGACTCGATACAATACATATTAGACATTACCAAAGCCCCCAAGCTAAGCTATGTCGGTTTCAGCCAGGGAACGGCACAGGCTTTTGCCGCTCTCAGCATCCATCCTCAGCTCAACGAAAAGATCAACGTGTTTATTGCGCTAGCCCCAGCCTTGAGTCCTGCGGGTCTATCTGCCTCAATCGTTGACGGGCTCATGAAATCATCGTAAGTGACAGTGTTCTTGCCCCCATCCGAAGGTCGTTTTGCTGAACCATTATCCATTTAGGCCTACTTTGATGTTCCTTTTCTTCGGCCGTAAATCAATTCTGTCTTCCGCTACGATGTGGCAGTCAATTCTATACCCACCTATCTTTGCCAAAGTCATCGACGTCTCCCTTATCTGGATGTTCAACTGGCACAATCGTAATATAACTCCTTCTCAGAAGATTGCCGCGTATGCCCATCTATATTCCTTCGCTTCGACCAAGTCCGTGGTTCATTGGTTCCAGATCATGCGCAATGGTGCATTTTTGATGTACGATGATGAGGTGATGTCTCCAGTCGTTCGTACGTCCGTGAGCTCCTACCGACCCGCACGCTTCCCAACCAAAAACATTGCGACTCCAATTGTTTTGTTATATGGTGACCGCGACAGTCTTGTAGACATTGACGCCATGATGAGCCAACTCCCTGAACACACGGAGGCTCGACGTCTTCACTCGTATGAACATATAGACATTCTGTGGGGCAAGGATGTGGATAGAGATGTTATTCCGGAAGTTTTGGATGCACTGAAGAGGTACTGCGAAGATAAGGACAAGTTATCAGGGATAGTAAATGGAGTAAAAAGAACAGGAGATGGGACAGAGACTGATGGACTTTCGGATTCCTTCTAGTCTAACTTCAAGTGCATTATTCATTTCTATAGTATACCCATATGCTGTATCACCCACATACTGTAGCACCAGATTATATAAATGCCAATAAAGTACCTTCTCACCATTCGACCGATGCGAGTCCAGTGAGAAGTCCGTCGATACAGAGCAATGCTGAACATTTGATGCTGAATTGACACGAATTATGTTCCTTGCGAAAAAGGAGAACACATGTTTTTTTTCAACCAGATCGATTCAGTGCAATGTACATGTCTGCTGCTGTCATTCGATTCATGTCTCTACATTTCATGGACAGTGGCATAAATCCACTCTCCCTCTCCTAGTCAAATTAAAATGGATTCAATCGCACAGAATTTGGGTCAAAAACATCATCATACTACTGGATTACATAGATATATATATACCGCAATAGTAAAGAGAAACCATTGTTACAGCTAACTTAACACACCCACACAGTAGCACACCTGAAACGGACTGATTTTGTTGGAAGGTTGAAAGGCGTGTTGAGAGAACGAGCTTACTGAAGAATTGCACCAGACAAAAGTAATTTTCACACCCTCAATCAACATAGAGTCATTCTCAATTGCTCTAAATTGGCAGACTTTTCACTGGGCCTTCAGGACGAACGGAATACAAGGGTATACATAACCGGGGTTTCATTTCATTTCAAAATGAAGTTCAATGTAGCATTTGCGTATTCCCTCCTCTCCCCTCTCCTGCCATTCGACTTGCTTAACTTTACCATGTCCAATCCAGAAAATCACACTTTCTACAGGTTGTATGGGTTCCCCGTCGCTCATTCAGCCTCTCCTTCGTTCCACAATCACATATTCAACCAACTAGGTGGAAACAAAGAATATTCACTATTCTCTACTAGCAAAGTCATCCCTGAGTTGCTCGAAGAGATCCGCAATGAAAGTTTTGGTGGGTCAAGGTATGCCCGATACAAGTTTCGAGCGTTACGTGTTCATATATTCATGAATCGCAATGAAGTGTTACCATGCCTATCAAATCCGCGATAATCCCTTACCTCGATGGCCTCTCACCGGAATCAGAAGCTTCTGGCGCGGTGAACACCATTGTCAAGGTCCCTTCACCAGACGGCCCCAAACTCATAGGGACAAACACAGACATCCTCGGCATACAAAACGCGTTACTCAATCAACTTCGTTTACAACACCCAATGATCTCGATTTCCTCACAAGCATCATATTCAGAAGGCCTCGGTGCTGGTGCTATCTTCGGAGGAGGGGCGACGACTCGTAGCGCAGTTTACGCTCTCACGAAACTTGGATTATATCCCATATACCTTGTCAACAGAGACGCAGATGAGGTCAAAGCTGGTGCATCTTTTTCCTTTTTCGCCCAAACGGTTTTTCACATGTGTGGTCGCTGTTCCAGTACAAGATGCATATCCTGAATTGGTCAAAAAAGGATCATTGATACGTCTTGACCACCCCGACGCGGTCGAGAATCTCCTTGCGCAACCAGATTCCCCTCGTATTCTTATGATTGTCGGAGCCATACCAGCGATACCCCCTATCACCAAAGCCGAACGCATGGTATATACCGTTGCGTCTGCCTTGTTCACATTACCTTATCATCCTCTGACTGTCGATGCGTCAACAAGGAAATCTTTACCTATTCCCACAAAGAGGTTATTCTTGGAAATGGCTTACAAGCCGAGACTCACGCCCATGGTGAGCCGGTTTTTTTCCTTTTCCGTAGATAAAATTGAGGTGACATTCATCCCTGCCAGCTCAAAGTCGCAATTGCACACAATTGGGATGGTATCGACGGGACGCACGCTGTTGTCGAGCAAGGTTTTGCACAGCAGAGGATGTGGCTTCGCGGAGATGTCAGTGCGGAGACCGGAAGTGATACAACCATACTTGGTCCAATCATCGAGCAGAAGGCCCGGAATCTCATAGCGAAGATGGGAGAGTGAGTATATAAGATACAATATTCAGATCACTTCTTATCTAACCAGTCACATTTTTCGTCAGTGTCGTAGTCAAAGACACTGAAGTCGATAGGGCTGCAAGCATAGAGGCCACCCCGATACCGAAGACACACAGTCAGTAACCACCGAAGATGTGCAAGCGTTCCAGTTGATTGTTGTGTTCACTGCAAGGAATCGAAAGAGTGGACCCTTTTCCTTTCATAATCATGTAACCAGCATACATAGAGCCGCCCGTGTAGACATACACACAAGTCTATTTCTGTAAAACTCTACTTCATGAACTTATCGGTGTCTTACATGCAAATCACCATTATTCCTTCGCCTTCCCTTTACCTTTGACTTTACCAGTTTCAGCTTCGAGTTCCTCGCTTTCTTTCAACGTCTCTAAATCTCCGCCCTTCTTTTGAGTTGTGGGTCGCGAGGACTTTGAACTTGGTCCTGGGCCTGTTCTTCCCACACCTGAGTGACTACTTGGCCCCCCCTTTTCCATGCCCGTTCCCTGCTTGACGATAGCAGGTGGCGGCAGAGTAAGCAGCGGTATATCGTTGTTCTCTGTGCCCTGGAGAAATAGATAGGTAGGTAAGTCGAATGGAAAAAACAACCTCAAGGAGCGTACGAACCACGGGAGAAATAACCTTATCATTCATAATGGTCACTAGCCTCGCGTTCGATTCATCACTCAGTTGCCCAAAAATGATGTTATATTTTTTCTTTCGCAAATAACAACTGGGACACCGCTGACTTGGGACGAGCCTGAGAGTCCCTTGGAATGTGCTGGGCCTCCGACCCCAAAGCCAGCGTGGTCCAGTCTTCCCGGGCCAATTCGTGACTTTGACCGTGAAGCTAAACTCTGGAGGCGCTGCAGCGTACTTATGTTGGGCCCATTCAACATTCAACTTGGTTGATGTTGATTTATGACGATTACTAGCGGAGTCGCTGCCATCCAGATATTTCAAAGTGGCATCCAAAGCGAAGTTCAGCAACTCTTTAACGGCGGCTCGGGCATCATTCTCCCATGGGTAGACCTTCTTATCGCTGTTCAGTGTTACTTTGGCAGTTACTTCTTGAGTAACCTCTGGTGCCGCAACTGCACTCGCGACGCTGGCGTCAGCAGAAGTGGGAGCGGGAGTATCTGAGGTCGAGGTGTGACTAATACCTGCGGAAGTACTGACCGCATTGGCAGACTATATCGAGTGGAGAGCATCAACAAAAGATCAGCCAAGAATCAAAGCAATGGGCTCACTGTGGGGGGAGGAGGGGAAAGAGGTACGGCCACCACCATCATTATTGCCGTGACGAAGAGGAGTAGCAGCATATCGAAGATCGTGCGCATCGCGATATGTCGTACGAAAGAGTGTTCTGGGGATAGTATTGTAGGGGGTCCTTTTGGCTTTTGGAAAGTTTTAGAACAGAAGATCTTTCTGACCAGCAGAAGGGAAGAAATCTAGGTTGTGAACTTGAAGGGAAAGCTTGGGCGAGTCTTTTAAACTTTCTTGAATCATCTTGTGCAAAGACTAGGAGACTGACAGGGTACCCGGTTGTGAGCGGTATTTATTTTGTGATTTACGAAACCAGATCAGAGAGGTGCGGGCATGGCATTTAGCATGCATATGACTCGAAAGGTACCCTTCCACGTCTATTTGAGGAAATGTTTTCTTCAAAATTATGAGTTACTTCTGTAACAGTGCGTGCCAAGCTGTGTCCTAACCGCAACAGCTACAGCATGCATCGATGAACCCTCATTGAGTATCTCGACAACCGTATCTTACTAACCGAGCCAATGAGAAGCCGATTATTTCATCCCCTTGAAGTCCAGCATCGCAGTGCGCACCAACAACGAATGAGCTTGTTCAAAGGTCTATGTACGCACGTTATGCACGTCCTATTCGATGCAACAATGCTGCTCATTTTCAACTTGTGTTCTGATTCGTGTGCGGAGGCCGAATGCGTTGCATGGTAGATATGAGTTTCATGCATGGGTCCAAAGTTGGGGCGATTACAAGAACGGACACTGAAGGATTAATACTGGGATATGACAAGCAAGACTGATTATACATTTGTTGGACATACCCTACATACACTTCCAAGCCTTTTCATCTGTAACCATGCCATTGCCAATATATCGGTTTTTCTTGGGCCATTTGCAATGTGCTCTCCAATATTCTACTTGCGAACCATCAGCAGAAAGTTTCGCACCTCGCAGTGTATCCGGCGGAATCCCTTCTTCAACCCAGCGAACCATTGCCATGAGAGCATTTTCGTTAGGGTCTCTCCCAGCGGATGATCCAACATCTTGTCCGATAGCTGATGCCCCGTCTCCATCTCGACAGTGATCCATACCGCTGACGTAGAACAAACGATAGAAGCTATCTAACTCACGAGGTGGCAAGTTCATGGTTCGTGAAACATGGGCATAATACAGTTGAGATATCTCAGAACTGCAAACAAAATCTTGCAGTCCATGATAGGTGAGTATCTTCCCACCGTTTTCGGCGAACGCGCTGAGATCTCCCTCCCATGTCTGGATGTTGAAAGGATTCTGGGATGCAGCGTTCATCGCGTTGGCTAACGAAAAGTTTCTTCCGTCCCACGTTGTGTCATTGTAGACTACATACCGGAACCAATCCTGAACGAAACACGTCAGAGGTGATAAGTAAGAAGTTCGAGAGATTACCTCAGTCAAGTCCCAAGGAATTCCCTGAAAGTAGAAGGGGACTTGTTTTTTGGTGTTGATTCCTGGCTGCATACGCGGGTACAACAGCTGACCATCCGAACCATAGAGCGGACTGTATATTGACCTCACGGTCTGCGCTTGTAAACCAGTCAAACACCGTGAAGTTTGTCCCTTGGAACAAATTAAAGTCTCTGGAGTGAATTGACACGTGCTAGGATCCTCCAAGAGGCCGTCTGAGGCTCCATCCAGTGCGTCACATTGTCGAAGAACCTCGTCGTAAACAACAGCCCACAATTCTGGCGAAAGGAATGATTCTGACTCAGGATCCCCAGTAGCCTTATATAACGCGCCACCCCACGACATGATATTGGGGAGTGCAAGTGCAGGGGCGCCTGCAACGATACCATCGAAGTCCTCCGGAAAATCCTGTGCCTCTTTCAAACCTTGTCGACCACCGGAAGAGCATCCAAGAAAATAAGATTTGTGGAACGGAAACCCGTAGAACTTCTTGGTCAACTCTTTCCCAGCTACCACACCTGTATGCAAGGAGCGATATGTATAGTCTGCGAGCGCATCTGTGTTGTTTAGGAATGCATATCCACTTGTCCCATTGTGACCATTATTGGCACCAATGGACGCAAAACCTAATGAAGTTGCAAACTCAAGCTCATTGTAAAGGATACCTGAAGTTGACATCAATCTCTGGCATGGATATAAGCAATTGTATGCGCACATCCTGAAAACCCTTTTGATAGATTGACCCAATTAGTAACTGAGAATAGAAGATTTCTGATCCCTACACACCTCTATTTGCAGTACTCAGGAAACGGCCAGAGTAGTCCAAGGGAAACCATGCCTCCAGTGAGATTTCACTCGATTTCGAAGTTGGAACCGCCATTACGACGCGACAAAGGTCAGAAGAAACAACATGATACGGAATACCACACGTGGGGTGATTTTCAGGAAATGATAAATTTGTTCCCCCATGAACATATTGCGTGAAGTGTAGCTTGATACCAGGAATATCGACTTCCGAGGCGAAACGACTACAATTGGCAACAAAATCAAGATTGTCTGTTGTTGTTGTTAACAAGGAAGATGGTGATTGAGAACTGAAATTTAGTAGTGTCGGGTCGCTGATGAGATTCGACGTTATATTGAGAACTTGGTTCATCCATAGGACTACGTTTTGCAGAGGTTGATACATGATGGAAGCTGACCGTTCAGTTCGTCGCGGTGCTGCTGTGGAGCAATCAATTCTATAATCAAAGCCCGTGTTCTGATTATGGTTTATGATCGGTGTACTGTACTGTGGGAGCGAATAACTCGGTACTCAGGTAATTAATCAATCTTCCTTTCAACCTCTTTCAACGCTAACGACGGGCTTGTGCGAAGGCTTGATTTAATGATGTTCTCTCTTCCTGTCATAGTCATCCAAGGTTGGTCACTGTTGTTAAATTCCCCGATTGCCTTGGACGGCAAATCATTACAATCTTCCTCCACCAGAATGAAGATGCGCATAGATGTACAGCTTGTATCTCGAAGAACACCAAGTGTACCGATCCGAAAGGTGGGGTGTTGGAGCATCGTAAGTGTGAATGATCTGAATCTAAAAAAATGCTTCGAGTTTTACCAACGTGTTCACTACTGTTCACTGATGCTCAATTTATTCGTTAGTTACATATTTGTGGTTATTCAGTGTTTGAATTCCTTACTCAGTACATATAAGGAGGATATTAGTACACTTGACTACGTTTTGCCCCACCAATCATCATTCCGAGAAAAAAAGGAAAACAATGACGCTGAGCTACTCAAAGTCATGTCTCATAGGCGCAGTCATGGAATCCATGGCTTATGGTGAGTTTCGAGGCGCAAATAAATTGTACGAAATTTGATCTTGTTCTGATAATGTTAGGAATTTACTTTCTCTTGTTTTGTCGCTGCGTGCGGATCCTCTGGCAAAGACATATCAAAGGGAGGATATCACTTTATCTAATCACTGCGACGACAACTCTCTTTGTCCTGATCACGATTGTAAGATTGGCGCATGAGAGCCAAATGTAAGTTGCTTGCTGACGATTTCATTAGCGAATGGCTTTGGACAACTATGCTTCCGTGACGGCATTTACTTACGCTCCATTGACACCAGATGCAGCAGAAATCTATCTTGGTAGCTTTGGTAATGGTGCTATGTTTAGGACTGGGACATATGTTGCTTTGACAATTGTTGCGGACATATTCATTGTATGTTTCAAATATTTACACACACATCCGAGCCTGTTTAATGTTAACATTTTTTATATTTTTAGGTTTTCCGTGTATATGCAGTGTGGGGAAGTAGCATTTATGCAGCAACTGTCCCAGCATTGCTAGCAATTGCGGACATTAGTATAAATCAAGTCTTCTCATGATATTGCTGCATGTACTAATTTTCATTTTAGTCACTGGTGCATTGACCATTCAGACCATTCACCAATTGACTGCGGGAGAAAGCCCAGATGGTTCGACTCTCGCAACTCACCTTCTGATTTTCTATGGATTCACGCTAAGTGTCAATGTCCTCTCAACATGTAAATAAGTATATGGATTGCTCGTGTTATTGCCTACTCATTTACCTGTTTTTAGTCATGATTGCATCCAGAATCTACTGGGCGCAGCGTCAAACAAGGCTCATCAAATCCTCCATGAATTTGAACATGGCAATCGAGGTTGTGGTAGAATCTGGTGAACAGGGAGCCAATCTTATACTAATGACTTGCTAAATTTTGACATAATCTACAGCTGCATTATATTCTAGCTCCCTTGTAGCCATGATTGCTCCGACAGCAACAGGAAGCAATGTTCAATATTGTATGCTTAGTGTGGTGAGTAGTCAGTCACTCGAAAGAAACACAGAAGAAACATCCTAACTATGGTTATTGAACATTTCCTTTCAGATGTCCCCGATTGTGGTCAGATAATCTGCTAGTATTTTCTATCTACCGCGAATAACTCATATGACTTGTTTTTCTTTTTCAACTCATTTTTGATTCAGGGGATTGCAGTATGTGCATGTCATTGACTTACTATGGCTTTATACTAACATTTACGGGGAAATTGGTAATAGTTCACTTTGATCATTGTGCGAGTGGGGTCTGGATTGAGCCCAGACACCAATGCTGCTCCGCCCACTAGGTCACTACGTTTTGTGACACCGCGCAGTGAATTTACGTCTGAGGTGGAACGGTCCCAATTCCAAGCAACCGACCCGCTGCATGCAATGGAAAACAATGAGTTCCAGCTGCATCTCACTGAAGCATCTCACAGCCAACATACCGATCACTCAGATGGTGGCTTGGGACGGGAGTTGTCCAAATAAAACAATTTCTGCACTCGCAAGTGAGTGACTTGAACTACAGGAGAAGGAGGGGAAGGGGAAGGCATTTAGTGTTAATATCCGTGCTTATCCTGTTTAATCTACTACTTAATTGCCCGAGCCTTGAAACTTGAAGCACCAGCGCATCAAAGAGCAGCCAGTAATTTCCAAGATTGTGTACATCTTTGGTCTTGGAGGGGGCACGAGGGATGGTGTAAGTACACTGGTTGACTACGTGTCATGCTATAGTAGCACTCACATAGATAGTATACATACATGTACATGGTCTAAGCAAAAATGAAACCAACCAAGACTAAAGAGGAGATAGCAGTGAGATGCATAGAATACGGATATAAGATCGCAAACACGCGAAATGATAGATTAACGAAGACAAGAAGAACGGAGTGCTCGATGTAGATGTGAGCACATCTGTAAACGGCACCCCTTGTACCCGACGAAGATATTGCAAGTGGAGAAAGATCGATGGTATTAGTATGACAAACACAACGGCTCAAAAACCCGGAACGGAGATAGATCACAGCAAAAAAAAAAACAAGACGACGTAGATGAGGAAGTTTAGTTATCCTCACACCAGATTTCTAATTTCCCTTCTGGCTTTCCCTTCGAGCTTTCGCGTGCAGTCTCAATGGCAAGGTCATAGTCAGACTCGTCCTGCAACGTGACCTTACCACCATCCTCATCTTTGAACTTCAGTCCGAGCCCACCAAAGCCCTTGCCGAATTTGCTGGTGATTTTGTCCATAAAGTCCTCAAACGAAGTGTCGGGTGTCAGTGCCATACCACGTACGTCGTCTTTGTAGTGTAGCTACAATGGTGAAAAAGAAGCTGAGTGAACGAAGGAAATATACTTTGAAACCCACTGACCTTCACACGAATCTTGACCAATTCAAATGGGCCGTCGTCATAATCACCACTTGCATAGCCCTCTTCCTCCTCTTCATAGGAGCTTTGGATGCGACTATTCGCAGTACGAGCGGTGTTCCGCCTTGTTACTCTTCTCCTGACGCTGCCTCCACCGAAAGAACTTGGAGCATAATTACTAGCAGGTGCACTTCGAGAACCTGATCTTGCAATTGGAGGAAGATTATTGGGGTTTGCGTTCGAACGCGCCCATGCAGCGATGCGGTCGGGAGGTCCATTTGCAGCTGCACCCGCACTGGCAAGGGGCAAAGGTGGAGATGGTCCGTCATTCCCGTAGCTATCAAGATAGTCGTCATAAAATTCCGTGAGACGGTTGTCTTCTGCGAAAAAAATTAGCGCAAGGTTCTTGAACAAGAGCGTCTTATCAACGGACCTTTGAGAGGTGGCGGGGGTGGTGCAGTATTGCCTGCCGGCGTTTTCCTTACGCTGAGCCCACGAACGGGACCTCCCATACCCATGCCCATAGTGGCATTGACGCTTGGCTTGATCGGAGATATAGTAGTGTTGCTCCTAGTAACGCTAGCGGTGGGTTCTGGCGAAGAGTCTGAACCAGTGATTCGTTCACGAGCATTAGAAGGAACGTTTAACGTAGTGTTTGCTCTGCCCAAGGCAGGAGCTCGTCCCACTTCAGTATCTAATTCTACGAACAGATGTCAGAACACATCGATCAATACGTTTGAGGAACGTACTAGGTAAAGAAGGTGCAGGGGCAGTAGCGCTCCTGGTGAGATCAGGCGCTGTCTCAACGAACACGCCAGAAGGAGATATACCCTGCTTCAGATTGGTGGAACCTGTGAAGCCCGTGAAAGCATCTCGAGAATCCGCAGCAGCAATCAGAACCTGGCGGAATTCTAGTCAATATGAAAGTGGTTTAGAAAGAACAAATACATACAGCTTTGCCCATATAGTTCTTGCTAACGGCATTCTTGAGTTTCTTCTCCGATGGACGGTAGAGGACACCAACAGGCTGTAATGTTGTCAATGATGTGATGTACAACATGAGAACGAAAAGGAAACCTACAATACTGAACACCGTGTATCCCTCTCCGCGATCAGCAATAGCATCATCAATAACATTATGTTCGTCTGTGGCTTTGTCTTTCCTTGCCTCCTGCATGTCCGCCAATCCTGCGTCCACACTGCCCAAGTAAATTTGAGACAGCCCTTTGTTAAATAGTACTTCTGCTGAGAACAATTTAAACTTGAGCCCGAGCTGTTCGTAATTTCTGGTAACCATCGATCAATATCATTCCAATGACGACCAGAACGCGGAAAGAATCATACATGGCTTGGTTCCCTCTCAAATATAGAAGCGCCTCCTCGAAGTCTTTCAACGCCAGATCGTACCGAGCGAGCAGGAAATTAGAGACCCCACATTGGAAATATCTACAGAGAATAAGACGGAGCAGATGCTATATTTAACTGACTATAAACTCACGCAACTGCCAAAAAACTATCCAACCCAGTCGCTTCGATAAACTTATCCACAGCAGCTTCATGCTCGCCCAGCGTCGCGTATATCAAGCCCATATTCGTCAAAATTTTAGACGAATCAGCGATACGCTGTAGTTCTGATGATTAGCGTGAAGACTAACAACAAAAGTGGACCAAACGAACAGAGAAAAGATCAAGAGACTTTTCGAAATCTTCTTCATCGTATGCCTTGAGTGCAGCAGACCAGGTTTCAAGTTCAGCTTTGAGAGACATAATGTTAAACGGGAAGAAGCGAGCCGGTCGCGATTAATGATTGCCTGGATTCGGAATAAAGGAGTGGTTGGTAGTGTGGCAGTAACAGAGAATTAGGAGGGAGAAAAAATGAAAAGTCGAGACCCAGTCCCAAGCGGCGAGGAAAGAATTCGTCTCAAGCAAAGAGCAACCTGGATATTTAACAGTCTGCGATGGCGTTGTCAAGGACGAGTTTGGCATCTGCCATTGCAAGTAATCACCTGTAATCACACGGTATTGAATTGATACCCGTTTGTCCGTTCCGATATTTCGCTCGGCGCGTCCCTTCCACTTTGTTCCTCATTAAGTAGTCCTCCAGTCAGCCTCCAGTCTCCCAAATCTCATCTTTCTCATCTTGCACTTTGTTCCTAGTGAACGAATGTTCCATAGATCATGGTTCGTCGCCTTTCATCAACGCGATAAACATCAATCTTTCGTCAATGGAAACACCTTTGTCGACGCGCTACTGCGGGAATGCCTTCCTTCAGCCCATTGATTGTTATAAGGGGTTATCTCGCCGTAGCGGTGCAGCTTCTCGATTTGGGCTGGACGTGGCTGGATTTCCAAGACTTCATTGTCGGGACGTATATCATCAATCAAGTCAACACTGCCCATTCTAAGCACCGAAGTAACGGTAGCTCTAGAAGTTTGGGGTGCATCAAAGTGCACCAGTTGTGTTATGGAAAATCTCTAAGCGTCTGGAGGAACAAAAGACAAAGAAAAATAATAAGATAAGAGCGAAGATGTATGCTATGTACCTATGTACTCAAAAAAATACAATTGTCCCTTCCGATGACGGAGAATAATGGCACGTAAGTAACAGAAATGGGAACAAGGAGTGTGAGGTTATGCTGCTCAGTAGCCTGAAGGTTTAGCATCCGATTTTGAGGTATCGTATGCCCTGATCAGCTTTGCCTGGTCCTGCTTGCCATTCTCTGTCTGACTGAACGCAAATCCACGGTTGCGACGCATACGTTGGACCGCACGAACTTTCTTGATTGCCTTTTGAAATCTGAGATATTCCCATTAGAAGCTTTAAAAAAACAAAGGAAATGGGTATGACGCACTGTTCTTGTCGAGGGCGATAATCGGGAATGTTGTACTTCTGTAACTCCTGAGCGATGTGGTAAGAGGAGGGCATGTACGTTCTCTTGTAGCTGCGTATCATGAGAATGTTGAGCAACCCGAATGAACGAATGAAAATGTCCTAAAACGTACTATTTCCAAGCTAAGTCACGGCTGAGACAGAATATTGGAATCAAAAGAAGGACAAAATAGAAAACAGCATCCGTCCAGAGACGAGGAGCAATATTTTCGTACTCCCTAGAGAACCCTATTGCGGGAGCAACCACAGCGTAGATAGGAAGGAAGACCATAGTGAAAGCAAAGGATCCTGGTATTGCTGCGAAAATATTAATATTCGGTAAGATCTTTGATAACGCAAGCGATGGAAGTGCTTACCTGCAACCGTGTACTTCGTCCAGATACTATAGAATGGTCAGAGGATACCCTTTGGTCAAATGAACGTGGAATCGTACTCGGAAATGAGGGCCGCCTTTCCAAGCACTGTGAGAAGGACCGCAAGGTATAGTGTTGTACCCCAGAACCAATGGCCAGTGTCATAGCCGGTAGCCTGTTTGATATCCCCCCACCAGAGTATGACAGAGAATCCGAACAGAATCTTTCTCAAAGTTGATTACTATTGCATGATGAAACCCAAGGAGAGAAATCCTTACGACAGAGTGATATAGGGCGTTGATAACCCACATCCAAAATGCCTTGCTTGTGAAAAACTCGTTCTTCTGACCGAGTATATAGAGCTGCGGGTATCTGTCCAGTATTCGCGCGGAGACGAACTGATCAAAGACGCCGATCACCAATGGGGGTAACAATGTGAATACAACATTGTATAGCGACAAGGTCCAGGACTCGTATGCAATTTGGCCAGAGAAATTGTTGAAGAACGAAAACTTTCAAGATATGTCAATTTTTACGTAGTTCAGAAAGAAAATGGAAACTTAGACCCACCCAAAACTGAGTCATATATAAGGTAATGTTCTTGTAGAACGAATCTATTCGGCATTTAGTGTTGCTACGCCCAGAAAAGATTAAAATCACGAACATAAGATCAATTTAGAGAGCCTTCGGTAACTCCATGAACCGTGGACTAGTAATAATTTCTTCAGATATCTGAATTGGGATATCGCTACATCTGCGGAACGCGCCGCTTGCAAGCCCTGAGTAGATACATATTAGTAGGAGAGATGGATTCATCAACGTTTGCGAACCTCAACGCCAGAAATACCGACGCCAACGTGTGCCGCCTGGATCATGCTGACATCATTGGCACCATCACCGATAGCTAGTAGGATGGCCTTTTGGTTCTTTTTCACAAGTTTGACGACAAGGGCCTTCTGCAATGGAGAAACACGACCTGATTTTATTCATGGTCAGCAACTACTCGTCGGCGCAGGAGGCTCCCAACTCACAGCAGATGACAGCCTTGCACATGATAGCCAGTTCCAGGAACACTTTCGATATTGGTTTTTCAAGAGCGAAAGCCAAACTTTTTCCATCTAATAATGAGATCGATGAAATCATGATTCCAATAGCCAGAACAAGGTATACTTACCGATGACAAGTGCTAAATCCTCAAGCTCGAGCTCCCCAGTACTGCGCTGATTCTTGATGGCAGCCAATCGTTTTGACAAGAACTCTTCAGTGCCTTGAGCCGTTTCCTCGTTGACAATGACCTAATTTGGAACTCAGCAGGACAGCTACGCAGTCATGTTTAAAAAATTACTGACGAGGTTCATTGACTCGGATATCAGCCTACATGACATCCCGATATTGATAGCTGTCTCTTGTCGGTCGCCAGTCAGAACCCAAACCTACCAACGAGTCAACGAGTTGAAAAACAGTATTCAGTCGTGGTCTATCAGGAAATATAGAAACACACCTTGATACCAGCCTGTTGTAGTGTGTGAATAGTATCCGGAACACCCTCTTGAAGTTTATCTTCAATTGCTGTAGCGCCAAGAAGGAATAAATCTTTCTCGATTAGTTCGGCTGCCTGATCAAGAGCATCACCACGACCATTGATGGTTGAGGCAGCTTGATCGTATATCGTGGACCATTGGCGATATTCCTGTTCGGATATGTCCCGGGAAGCAAGGCAGAGAGTCCGGAGACCATCAGTAGCGTATTCCTGATCAAACGGTCATTAAATATATGGTACAGGTTGAAGTGCTTGTCACCTCGAGATGGGCCAGCGTTTTCTCGGTGTAAGGTTGATTTTTGCTTAATCGCTCCAAGATGACGGTGTCGGCGCCTTTGGTGAACAACTTGATCGTTCCATCGGGCATTCGTATAACTGTTGACATTCTTTTCCGAGTAGAGTTAAACTCGCAAACATTGAGAATCTGGAATTCCTGTGACACGCCTAAAACATTGACAAAGACGGACTTGGGCTTCCGAATCTTTGGACAGACATATGAACGTCGATAGCAGGTTGATTGTCGGAGAACACGTACATGAAACTGGTACCCCAACAACTCAGCTCCAGCGACTAAAGCGGCTTCATCAGGACTACTAGCTTGATACTGGAGCTTTCCATCCTTTTCCTCGGGTATCACAGTATGACAAACCGCCAATAGCGTCAGGAATTCTCTTATGACCTCTTTCTCCCTATCCGCATCCGACGTTAATGATCCTGACGCAGACGGATCCACGAACGGATTGGCATTGGCATTGTCCTCAAGCATCGCCTTCATCTCTGCAAATGTCCTCCAAACGTCCTCGTTACCTTTACCGTCTTCGCCGTCACCTCTCCGATTTTCATCTACCACGTCAGCATACGCAGTTCCCGCTATACTGCACATTCGAAACTCCATCTCATTTCGGGTCAGAGTGCCGGTTTTGTCACTGAAAACGTATTCGATTTGACCTAGTTCTTCAACAAGGGAAGATGTTCGACATAGGGCCGGGGTATCGGTACGGGCGTAGTACATATCAAGATCGGAATTGATGAGCTGGGCTTGTTGAAACTTGACTACCTCCATTGTGACAATCAGGGAAATTGGAATGAGATTGTTGTACAGAATGATAAACGTCAGGATATCTGCAAATATCGGTCAGTGATTAAGCAGTTGGGAGTAGGCAGAAAGCATATCCAACCTTCGATGAATGTTTTCGCTATATTATTAAGGAGCTAAAGTTAGTATTTTGAATGTGGTGAAAGTAAACGACACCACCTCTTGCGCTCAACGTTGTGGTCTCGACGAGATACCATTGGGCACTAGATAAAAACCAAGTCCGAATACTGCTTCCGATCGTACTGCCAATGGACAAAAGCAAAAGCAAAATGAACAGATACACGATTTGCACATTGACCTGTCTTTCAACAGCCGTGCGCTTGATCGGAGCAGCGCTGAGAGCTCTTGGTCAATGATGCGCAATTGTAGTATCAGAACGCACTCACGTAGCATTTCTCATCAATTTAGTTTCATGCCCAGTGAACACGACAAGGCCATACAGCCAAGGTGTATTCCGAATCTGAGCTCCACGAAGCAGTAGTTGATCAGGGCCCAAAGGCACTTGCTTCGGTGTTCCCATACTTGTTAAAAGCTCCACGGTACCCTCGAAGGTGTACAAGGAGTTATTGGGATGTTCAGAGCGTAAAGATCCGCGTAAAGATGTGACCATGTGAGGCGATGTCATTGAAGAAGTTTGAGGAGAACCCTGCTTGATTTTGAGGTTGGTTTCACTGTAAGACAGAGTTAAGCATTCCAGGTGTTTTGTAAAAGCATGTACAATCTAACCCGTCTAGATTCGAAGTCTCGATGTAGCATAACCCTTCCGGTTCGCTTGAACTGAGGAGGACCATGTCGGCAGGAATGAATTCGTTGCTTTCTAACCGCACCACGTCGCCCACGGATATATCCTTCCACTTCTTTTCCTCGAAGGTGCCTTGAGATTCAAGGACTTTGGCCTTCCGTGCGTTGAGCTCGGAGTCTGATTGGTGTCGTTTCTAGCAAAGGATAAGATAGTGAATTTACACACACAAAGTTTGCTACAAACCAAATCTTCCTGCACCTCCTTGAATGCAGAAGCTAATAGGACAACCGCCAGCGGTACAATCGTAGTATACTGATTAGTAGGTGATACATCGGGTATCTGCTGTATACAAGCGGTAAAGAGGAAGAAAAGATTGGCGTATTTGGAGAATTGTTCTACCCCGCAGAAATAGTTATTAGTACGGATTGGTCCAAGTATAGATTCTGAACGCACCTGCCAAGAACTTGGGGACAAACGTTATCATATTATACTTGCTCGTAGACACATAGTTCGAGATGAATTCCGCGTTCGCAGCTCTATTATTGAGGGCAATTACTCGCTCGCCCTCTAGCACCTTCTCCCGTTGCCAGGGCCATCTCCAAGCCCGCTTCTTTGATTTTCTTGAGCTTTTTTCAAGAGCAGAGGAAGCCTGTCCGGGAAAGGAATGCGAGCCTTGGAAGGGCCGCTGATTTGAAGTTTGCAGATCGTCGTCATCAAAGTTCCAGCCCTGAGGAACGCCGTCTCCGAGCATGACTTTGGATACACCGGCCGGCGGTGCAGCAGAACGAGCTAACGGCAGGCCGCTCTCTTGAGACTCCATTGGCATCGGCCTTCCAAAGGCAGAATCGGGCATGTCATCATCATCGTCGAAAAAGGGATCCAATAGCTGCGGGTCGGACGAGTTGGCATAAGGACCGGATACAGAAGTTGAAGGGGGGTAGCCGTTGTTATTATTGTTGGCTGGTTGGTATTCTCTTGAAGCTGGGTTCGCCTGCGAGACTAGCCGTAGGAAATCGTCGCTCATTTTCGTGGACGACGTCGACGTCGACGAAAGGAAGTACTAAGTAGAAGGGTACGGTGGGAATTATTTACCGGAGTCGGTCAAACTTCTCACTTTCTGTGGATAACAGGTGTATAATAAGCTATCATCTTTTTCTACGAACCAACGATAATGTTGGCCACTGTCTCGGTGCTCGGAAAACGAAAAGCATCAGTCTCTGAAAACAAGGGCTATGTTCTGCATCTTAATTCAAGCCCAGAGCCCCAGACCGCACTCTCCGAGTCGGACTACGAGCCCGAAGCATCATCTAGTAAAAAACCGGTCACCATCAGTGGCAAGCTCATATCAGGGACAACAAAACGGTATCAGTGCACTGTTGATGGCTGCGGAAAAGCATATTCGAAGCCGTCGCGTTTAGAAGAGCATTCACGCTCGCACACGGGTATAGTGAGTGTCCACAACCATTTTTGACTTTCCATTATACTCATACTACTTAGCGTCCGTTTGTATGCAGCACTTGCCAGAAATCCTACCTTAGGGAGACTCATCTGCAGGCCCATGCGCGTGTCCATCTTCCTACATCTGAGCGACCTTACGTTTGCTCATTGCCAAACTGTGAAAAACGTTTTTGGACTCAACAACACCTACGCGCTCATGTCGACTGGCATAAGGGCCTGAAAACATTCCCAGTACATTGTTCACTCCTAAATGCGCTGAAACAGGTTCTTACATGTATCCTAGTGTACAGAACCAGATTGTAATGATATGTTTGGAAAACATCATCAACTCCGTTCTCATATCTGCAGTGCACACTCTCCTCCCGGCACCAAACCTTATTCTTGCACTCACGCAGGATGCACAAAGTCTTTCGATACTAATCAACATCTACGTACCCATTCACGAGTGCACAATGGCAAGTAAAATGTATGCCCTTTCTACTATAACTTATTACAAAAGAATCTCTATAGACAAACGCTACACTTGTGTCAATGAAACGTGCCTGCCCACTGCTGAACTTCCCATCGTTTTCTATCCCACTTGGACGGCGCTTCAGCACCATACGCGCATGGCCCATCCGCCTACTTGTACGGATTCGTCCTGCAATGGGCGTGTTTTTGCGTCCCAGAAAGGCCTGCGAGCGCACCAAAAAACCCACGAGCAGCGCGATGAAGAAATCCAGTTGAATGCAGTCGTCGCTGAATCTGACCGGGATGACGAACAACCGCCAAAAAAACGTCGTAGGGGGGGTGAACATGGAAGAGACTGGAAATGTGAAGTCGAAGGTTGCGAAAAGGACTTCAAATCTGTGGGTATCTATAATTTGCTCGAAAAGCTATTAAATTTCTTCCTCCTCCAGAGTAAAGCTCTGAATGTGCACCACAAAGTCACTCATTTAGGCCGTAAAGACTTCGTTTGCTCTCACGAAAGTTGTGGCGCCAGTTTTGGCTACAAGCACCTTCTTCAACGTCACGTCGTCAGGCTTCATTTCAAACATTCCGATAATTCCTCTGTTGACAAGAGGGATGCTTACCAAGACGCTAGCTCTAGCTCAGGTTCTGACGTTGCAACTAAGCCGCTTATGGGTATCGAAGATATAACCGGCAGTGCCTACTCCAGTCGCGCTCAAGAGCTTCTAGGCACTACTCAAGCCATACGATGTCCTTATCCTCATCTCCAGGATATCTCTCTTGTCCTTTGTTCGAGAGATGATGAAACCGCTACCGAACAGCTCGGGGGAACGGAAAGCACACTAGCTGGTCCAAATTGCGCCTACGTCTTCCGCCGCGCGTATGATTTGCGTCGACATTTGCGTGCGATTCATAAGGTGGAGGTTGAGAAAGAGAGTACTGATTCGTGGGTGAGCAAAATGAAGCTGAAAAAAATTGGTACATAAAATAGAATTCTGTATTCCCCTATGTAGTACATCCTAGTACATCCCTACACAATTGCAATGTACATATGTACGTTAGTTATTCTTATGTCCTTCTTTAGCCCGCAGCAATCAAAAAGGGCTGTGCTTGAGCCTTGGAAAAATCGTTGAAGCGAATTCAGTTTTTCCACACTCTGACTGCTTCAGCGTTCATACATTGGGGTTACAACATTGCAAGTTTCTTGTCCTTGCACTCTTTGGAGCCGGATTAGATGTCACACATCCATCTCCGGGCCCCGTCTTCTGCCTCAGGTCGAAGGTCCAGTCGTGCTTCAGATGCTTTACCAAAATTTTACTCCGACAAACCTGTTTATCACACCCGGGGCTCAACACCTTGGATTATACCCTTTTCCGTCGTGATCCCTGGTGCCAGGCGGAAACTACGACTCTGGATACCCAACATACGAGGCTTACATCGCGCCAGCCTTTCGAGATTCGGGAAGAAAACTGGTTCTCTTTTTATTATCCTCGTATATTTACTGTTCATATTTTCGGTATTCGCTGTCGCGCATCGGTTTGGGTCAAAGAAGAAGACGTGGCCAGGAGTTCCAAGCACGACGCTGGTGTATGAGAAAGAAGATTTACAGAGAATCTGGGAGTGGGAGATTGCCAATGGTCATCATCCTTCTACTCGGCCCAGTGAGTTGTCTACGAATTCTTGGAGTCATAAGTCTTATGGACAAGTTCAGTACCGGCTGAGTTCAATCTCGAATTCCAGCCTAAAAATCCCTCCCTTCCACATGCAGGCGTAGACCGTGTCTACCTCGATGGACAAAGTCGCGTTCCTAGTAACAATGTCGCGTATCCTTCACGGCCCAAGGCCGGAAGCATTGCCGACCTTGATGTTCTTATGCGCCACTGTGATTTCAACACGAATAGCGTGCGGAATCTTTTCATTCGTTCCTGTCTCGCATACTTACAAGTTTACAGTACGTTCGTGACTGTCTAGAGGTCCTCCGGATCGGTGGAGGGCTAGACAACGGCAAACGGGTCCGCAGAGTAATTCCTGACGAGTGGAAATATGTATTCATTGAAGATGGCAATAACTCTGGAAGGAGTACCACTTCATCACCCACACCTCAGGTCCCAGATTCCAAACGGCAAGGCGTCTTACGCGGTGACAATGATGCAGAAGGCGACAGCGCATTTACGAAGAGCAGGCACGCTGTATGGGAAATCCCTCCAATATCCCTTCCCTCGATTAAAAACCCTCGCACACCCTACTGTAGTCCCGAGGATCCCCGCATCTTCCATATGTTCTGGTCTGGCGACTTCACAGACAAGCCTTACCTAGCTTTATTGTCCTTCCTCTACACACAGAACATTGGCCTTCACGACACACAATCATCGAAAGATGTCTGTTCACCCAAACTCTGGCTTTGGATCAACCCAGGTTTCATGCTCACTCTCAAAAATCCAGCCCTAAGCCGGGAGAAGTTCGAGAAAATCATACAAAACCAGTGGGCAGCTCCTTTCCTGCATCCTCGGTTCAAAGGCATCATCGAGTTCAAGTTTTGGAATACAACTGAGCAGCTCGACGGTGTCTCGGAACTCCGGGATGTTTGGCGGTTTGCTCCTACGCTCTTCAATTCCGGTGGGCACCATATTCCTGGAATGCCTAAGACATGGGGAGTACAGGATGAGGGAACTACAAGCGTTGTCGAAGGCCACCCGAATGCAACTTCTGTTCCTGTCAGCTACAGTGAACCCGAAAAAGTTGCGGTCGTTCTTTCGGATATGGCGCGATTCCTACTTTGTCACAGATTTGGTGGTGTGTATCTTGACGCCGACACCCTTTTCCTTCGAGATTGGGAAGAGCTATGGGGATGGAAAGGTGCATTTGCGTATAGGTGGTCGTGGCATGATAACTACAATACTGCCGCACTCAAGATGAGCAAGGGTTCCGCATTGGGCTCATTCATACTTCGAACGGCGTTCAAGAACGATTTTGACTTTCATCCAATGACGATCACGAATTATTTGAAGGACGCACATATGGAAGATCTTCTTTTCAGGCTACCTGATGCGATGTTCGATTCGGCGTGGCTGAACATGGAAGGATACCAGCGCGAGAGACCGCCACAACCATATTTCTCAAGGTAATAATGACGCTCACTACAAGCCTTAACTTAACTTGGCACATAGATTCGAAGAGTTCTTCGAGACTCCTCAACAAAATAGTGCCGCGCCTTCTGTAGTTGGCTTCGATGGCTTTTTCAGAGGTGCATTTTCGTACCATTTCCACAATTCATGGTACGTAGTTACTTGCCTGCGAGTTTGATCCGTCGTTCGATCTTTGCTCACAACTTTCCCTCGCTCACAGGTCAAGATTGAACGATCCTTCACGAAATTTCCCTGATCTAGGGCCGCGCTTTGCTCGCGATGTCGACATATTCATACACAAACCAGATCCACAAGATTTTAACTGGTCAACGGTTCTGAAACGGACTTTCGAGGCGTATCTTCGTGGAGAAATCCCCAATATGTATGGAGAATGGATAAAATACTGATCGTATGATCGTATGTAGACTCAAACACACCACTATACTTAAGTACAGGTCCGCATTGTACCTAGGGAGAGCATGATTCATGGGTACATATTTGCTTCGATAAGCTGTACTCAAGCCTCACGCCCACGCTTGAGAAAGAGATATGAGCGAGTCTACTTCGAAGTTATTTCACCAATGTCGAACCTAATTCAAAACTACAACTACAGAAAGACAACTGATCGTCAAATCATGTTACCTATCGACGATACCTATAGCTAGGGTAAGGTTGCATGCTGCGAGAGCGGAACTTCTGCGTTCGTCGATTGGTGCTGGGAACATAGGAGATAATCACTTCTGAAATCCACGGGAACAACGGGGAACGATTTCGTAAATTCTTAGCTAGTAGTCACATGTGCCTCGATTCAAAGCTAAGTGTGCCGTCAATGCATTTTGCCCACTGACATCTAACTTCCCATTCCATTCCGTCTTTCAAACAGCAAATAAATATATGACACGTCCGATGACTAGATCCCAGGACGTACATACATGGATTGCTGTACTCAACCATACATAGCCCTGCCCAGGCGTAGCACTGACCTGGTGAACGAAAATGTCGAGCTTCTATCAAATGAAGTTTCTATGGATCTGTCACTGGAAATGAAGAGGCATTCTAAAGTTTCGTCGATAATAAATACTCCAAATCGTCCTTCTTTCCCTTTGTCTACTGCGAGTGCCGCCGAGTCACTAGCCACTGCTTGAAGATGTCTGCCTCATTATCTCAGCCCAAGGCGTATTTTGTTTCGCTGTTCTGTGAGGCGATCTTTGCAGGTGCGCCTACCGCCTTGTTTTGCCTCCTCCGTCTGGATTCAGTGGTTGGTGTGCAGGCTTATACACTGTACTGTTCTGCGCTGCGATGTATCTTCTGTTGTGAGTAGTTCTACACGGTGATCGTTATTCGAAGGTTCGAATGGTCGACCTGTGCCTACCTGTGCTGACCATGAAATTATCGTCAGGCATCACCGCAAACGGCATGAAAACAGAACAAAGAACGTCATGACAGCGATGACGGTCATCATGTACTGCCTATCGATGCTACATCTAGCATTCTCATTCCAGATCAACCTGGTAGCGCTGTTCGACCAAAAAGCTTCTGCCCCACTGGACGGAGTCCCAAAAAGTGTTGAAAACACAGAAAATGTATCGGCTTGTACCCCAATTGCAGCCGAAACTCTGAATGTGATGACGTTCTATTATGCACGTATACATACTAATCGATCATCTTTCCAGTGTATCGTTGGGGACTCTATAGTGATATGGCGTACATGGACTCTTTGGAATCGCAGTTGGAAGGTCATATTCTTACCTTGCGCTCTTTTGTTAGGCGGCATCGGTAAGAGGACTCGACCGAATCGGAACTCGTTGCAATTTTATTCAATGATTCATAATTAGTTTCCGCTGGGTTCTTGGTTCATGCTATATTTATCTCCCTAGTCGGGCAGACTTTATTCAATCCAAAGACTATTGGTGCTATGGTGGCTTTCGGAATCCTTACTACTATGATAAATTTCTATGCTATCATCGTCATTGGCTATCGCGCATGGTGAGTCTGGCTTCCACTCTCGTTCTTTCAATCATGAACGACCTTTTGTATGCAGGTCTCATGATCGACAAATGAAAGTTTTTACTAGCTCAGGAAGCCTTATCATGGGTAGATTCGGAGGTCAATACCTTCGCATCTTCCTTATTTTCATCGAGTCGGGTTTCATTTACTGCATCATTCCGGTGTGTTTCGCAAGGCTGTGATAATTGCGTTCACTGAATCTATCCATCATTTGTATAGGTCCTGATGGTGATTCTCTTTGGCGTGGCAAATAATGGCGTTTATATAGTCATAGGCGTGCTCGCTCAAATGACGGTGAGTGACTGCTCAACAGTATCAAAAGGCAAGACGTCTTTTGACGAAGCTTTAACCATATGCAGGGTATCTACCCGACCGCGATCATTGTCCTCATCTGCTTACAGCTTACTCAACGTGACATTATAACTCAGACAGAACTTGCCGCTAGCAACATGACCGTTCGTTTGCAGCAGATGGACCATGATAGCCAGCCTGAGTATACTCTCACTATTCCGGCATCAGTCAGCACCGTATCTTCAAGTGGTAGTCAATCCTACGGGACACAACCAATTAGGATTCATGTCATGAAAGATATCAAAGACTCTCGAAGTAATCCGGGGCCTATGAACATTGATAAATCCAGCTCAATGGTTTGAGTAAGCATACAAGTAAAGTGAGATGTACCGCGTCATCATAATCTTTGGCCCTTGAATTCTTTGTATTTTATGTATGCACTCTACCCAAAAAATGCTCATATTTGATCAAAGCAACTTTACTGGCAAAAGAGGAGATCACACCAACTGTACACGGCGACCCGAATTCGGTCCAGTCGCATCTCCATTTTCGTACTGTACCGACATTTTCCCGCACCCACTGCTCCCTACATTGTATGGAGGAGCAGCACTAACAAACCCTCGAACTAAACTTTCGAAATGAGCCCCCCATGTTACCAGTTCGGAATAGCGTGCTCGCAAAAGGAAGGATACGCTAAAGTTTGTAGGTTCATGCAATAAAAATAAACAAGATTCATAGGAAAGAGTTGTGAATATAACACTTTCACCTTGATTTAACCACTGTTGACTAGTATGAAGGAACCACCTCGGCCACACGACATACACAAGTTCACGAAAACACAGGACATACATATGTACAAGGCATGGAGTTTTCGTTCAAGAGTGCCATAGAAATCTGAGCCTCTCAAATACATAGATTACCTTTTATTAAAGACCAATGAAAATACAGCGGGTTGAAAGAAATAAATATAAGATCCAAACTAAGCAGCGCAATGACGGATTGAAAATAAGATGGTATCCACACAGGCATAATGCCCAGAGTGCACCATCGTCCGTTTGTACGCTGTCATCACGTATCACAGTCTTATCGACCTGCGGTGGTTCGAAAATGGGGAGTAACAGAGGAGAGGGAAGGATGTTGGGGAGATCCAGATTCAACGAATCAGCTAAATCGGTCAATCTATCGGTCGCTAATATGCGCACCAGCCAACTCTCGTTCCAGCATTTCGCTGGGATCATCCATGACGGGACTAGGTGGTCGCTGGTTTTGAGGAGGCGCAGTGAAGTTGGACGTAGTCCCCTCTTGTCCCTGCATCGGGGAATTGAGAATTTCCTCTCGGGAGGGGATGGGTAGGCTAGGGGATATGAGTGCCGAAAGGAAGGAACAGAAATAACTGTTTTACCTGTCCTGCCTACGGATCTGGCTCGCAGCACGAGCCTGAGCCCGCACCTCCGCACGAAATGCGTTGACTTCCTCGACGATCAACTTCTTCATTCCGTCAATACTGTCCTCCTCTTCAAAGCTGAAATCAAATTTCTGAATCAAGGACTTTAGCAATACGAATTGGGTTGAAATCATAGAGGCATACTGAGTGACACGTGGGCTCATCAGTGGGATCATGCCAGACTTGCAAGTACGGGTGGTTAAGTGCTTGATCACAACTGATACGCTTAGCCGGGTCAAAACGCAGCATCTGCGACAGCAGATCGATGGCAAGGGGATTTGCATGCGGATACAGCGTAGAAAATGGGACACGCGGCTTGATGGGCAGAGAACGAATGTAATCTTGAGCCTGCAAAAGCGATGAGAACACAGCGAATTGGCCGGGAAATAATGAACGCACTCGAGGAGAACCAACGCGTCGAAGGGTTTCCTCCGAAGGTGTGCCAAGGTAATGTAGAATTTGATTCAATTGGTCGACGTAACTGGTTGAGTTTGAACGGATGTCGGTGATATAATTGCAGCGGATAGAATCAATGGAGAGGCACATACTCTCGGCCTTTAAAAATGGGTTTCCCGCCCAAAAGCTCAGCAAGTATGCATCCAACTGACCAAACATCAATGGCAGTGGTCTGTCAAAAGAGATCAACGACCGAAGTGAAGTGATATTCATAAAGCCCGGAACGCACATAGTTGGCGAAGCTTAACATGATCTCCGGGGCTCGGTACCATCTCGTAGCGACGTATTCGGTCATGAATCCTTGATTACCCGCTACTTTAGAGGTTCCACTCCCTGGAGTGTATCCTCGCGCAAGACCGAAATCACAGATTTTGAGCTCGCAATCCGCATTGACAAGTAGGTTACCAGGCTTCAAATCCCGGTGCAGGACATTGGCGGAATGAATATATTTCAAGCCGCAAAGAGTTTGGTAAAGGAATGACTGGAAGTGGGCATCAGTGAGAGGTTGGCCTGAACGAATCTGTGTATTATGAGTGAGTTGTCAACTTTCGTAATCGGGCCAGTCTTACAATAGCGTGCAGATCGGCCTCCATCAACTCTTCCTACGGGCATTGTCAGTGAAATCCTTTAATCCGTAACAAGTACACATACATAAAGATACACTTCATCAAAATTGCCGTTTGGTTGGAATACGATATCCATATCGTAGAGGCTAGTAATCTGCAAAAGAAAGTTAGATCGGTGCGTATTGCGGCGCTGGTCATGTAAACATATAAATTTCCGATATTGGACGGTTGGGCCCCGTCTCCGAGTCCATGTTAGAATGAAGATTGAAAGATATGGACGTTGGCTGGATACGACAACGAATGTTAGATAACGAACATTTTTGTGACCCCTAAAGTGGTGCAATAACCTGGGTAGTCTGATGAGTCTACGAATAATGGATTCATGCCAATAGCACTTAGGAACACATACCTGATTTCCCTCAAGCACCGCTTCGTGAGGATGCGCTGTATGTCCGATAAAATATCAGATCGATGAGGGGGCAAATGAAATATCGGACGAACTTTAGTATTGATATTAGTGATTTTCTTGATTGCACATCCATCCCCAGTTCGTCGATGTCTGGCAGCTACGACGCAACCATAAGCACCTTGGCCGAGCTCCTTGACAAATTGATATTCAGAGTCAACTACAAAAGTGGAGTTCAAGGCAGTAAAACTATGTCTCTGCATTATTCACGGCGATAAGAAAGGTGAAGAAATCCAGAGTGAAAGTGGATGGGAGGAAGACAGATGGATAAAACAATATTTTGATTGACATCAACGCGCGCTTATCATCGCCACAGCAGGCGCCTAGCAAAACCGGCGCTTGCCCCTCAAACGCGTTTCCACCGACAGCAAGCTGAGCGATCAGCTTCCACAATAGAAAAGATTATCTGAAACGGTTTTGTAAGTATACAATTATACTTGTACCCTTGCCTTCATCATGACAATGTCCCGGGTAACCAGCCTAAGACCGACGCTATGCTCAACATCTGCAGGTGTCTATCTCCACAACTATAGATAATTCATTACATGTGTACAGATACTTACTGGTCTATGTAAGTCCTTGCGCAATACTCAAAGCCTAAGGGTTTTTGAAAAGTCGTTATACATACATAAGCGCAATTTTTTTAATGTAACATGAAAAAAACTGATCACCAGTTACTGAGCATCATTTGTGCACATTCCTGATCATTGTCATCAGAATGAGAGACACAATTCAAAGGATAATTTTCACCTTCAATCTGTTCATGTTATGAACAATTGCTACATTGACTACAGTCTTCAATTTTCTCTTCACCTCCGCCTTTCCGATTGTCAACTGATAGCTTCCGGAGCAATGACACCACCGGCTGACATAGTCCCCTTGAATCTGTTTGCACTTGCTACACTTCAGGTCTTGTCCTGCGAAATTCCGTTCCATGGCCCACACCACACGAATGAGTGAGAACTCAATCAAAGTCCGATCATATTCGCCTTTGCAATTGAAACATACCCACTTTGGAGGGCCAGTCTCGCCCTGAGCGGGTAGTAGCTCGGGATCCCGACAGAAGTCAAAATCTTTGAGCGCATCACAGTGCTTGCAAGGGACATTGAACAATTTGAGTGGCTCGCAAGGGTTTCGGAAAATAGCTTCAGATGCAAACTCTTTAACACCGATCAGGTCGAGAGCGTTCCGTTTGACCAAGCCTATTTCAACGTGATATTCCTTTGCCAACTGGAATATCGCACAAGCAAATTTGATAAATTCGAGCGGGGGGTTTGACATATGTAGATGTGATCCAGGAAGAACGGGAAATTGCCATTCTACTGCAGTTTCTTCATTCATCATTGCTTCCCGATACTGTTCTTGAATGTTTCCGACAGTTCTGAGCATCCGCCGTGTAAGCTTCCCAGCAATGAACTGTCGAACATTCTCTACCTCATCCTTCATCTGAAAATCATGCTGCGTCGCACCTGGTGGATCGCCATTTTGAAGAGGCCGAAGAGGCACGCGGGCCGTTTCATTTGTCTTTTGACAAATTTTGAAGAGGGAGACAACGAAGTACTGTATTATGGATGTAATTTCTTTTTGGGCTGGTTGCGGAAGGAATTCGGCGATGTTCAATTTCATCATAATTGACAACTCTTCGGGTGGTTCTAGTGCCAGAGGATTCTCACATACAATCCCACCCCAATTGGCCTGGTCCATGAACAGAAGATAATCATAGAAGCAATCGTTACGGAGGTATATATGCTGAAAGAGTTCATGCGAAGTAACAGCGGTATTGATATATGTGGCATATGCGTGGGCAGTACCCGGAGGCTTTGAGGTCGCTAACAGGATTTTGCTAAAATCAGCATAAATAACATGGGACCCTAGTCGTTTGAACTCGGCCAGCAGTTGCACGAATGTTTTCCGCATAAGACCGTGCACAAAGCGATGGAGGCTAGGATCGTACATATTTGACGCACTTGAGCTAATCCAGCGCCAAAAATGGTCTACGGTGAGGACGGAAGGGCATTCCACCCCTTCGAGTTCACCTTGTAGTCGATCTGTCAGCCATGCCTTCACCATAGCTTTTAGGATACTGAAGGTCTGAACAGGAACATTGGATTCGCCCAGCGAGATGTCTTTCTGTCCGTCTCCTTGAGCGTACTCGTCCAAGGTGCGTGAAACAGAATCGAATGCAGTGGAACCGCCACTGCCCTCAAGTTCATTGATTACTAGAGAATGCACGACAGAGTTGATCGCCAAATTCCGCACCGCGATCTCGAGACAGACATGAGAGTAAGCTCCTGGCATGGTGAACTCTGTCTTCGGAAGGTCATCCGTCGGCCGTTTGTCAGTTTCCATTCCTCCAAGATCAGGAAGTTCGCTCGAAGACCACCACAACACCATGTCTTGTTGAACCAGCCGACGAGCAAAAGTAATATCCGACAGTTGGAGAGGCTGGTCGCCTTCGATATGCCCAAGAGGTATGTCATAGTATTCCGATAGTGCCATCGACCTATCTAACCAGCCTCCCATGGCAAGATAACGGTTCAACATTTTTCCCACGACGTGAGACTGCCAAGGGAAAACGTCCAAAGTGTGAGCGGATTTTGCTTTTGCCATAGAGAGCACAGGGAACCTGGCAAGTTTTGGGACATTCATTTCAAAATAAGAGTTGTCTTTACTAGACGATAAGACAATGATATAATTTTGGTCTTCGGCAACACCTAGCTCCCGAGAAATGGCTTTGAGAGCCGTTATATCAGTTGAATGGTAGGTGGTGGTGAAATCTCTCGTGTCAGGGTATACGAACGAACTGCTGCCGAAATGCTCGTCGCGCTTTTTCTTGATCTCTGTGTAGCCCTCTCGTAAACGAGGGATGGCCTGCCTTCGAGTAGCAGGATCAACAATATGAAGTTTGACCAGTCCAGAAGGGAAAAAAACGGCGAAGACGTGAAGAGGGGCATTCGCAGAACAGGCGTGGTAGATAAATATGTACTTTTGATTTTTGCCACTCCTCAGGTATTTGTGTTTAGAGTTTCCAGATACAGAAGGTGCTTCGAGTTGATGTAAGTCAAACCCGATAGCTTCCGCGCGATTCAAAGTCATGCTGCTGTCCGTAGACTTACAAATACGACCGAGTTTTAGTAAAGCGCGCACTACTAATGGAACCTAGAAATGGTAAGTGCACAATAGGGGGGATCTTTTGAGGCACTCACTTGCAGTTCAAAAACTCCATCAACGTTCGGATCGTTAGTAAGATCTATGAAGTGTTCGCTGATCTCCCGATAAAGGTCCTCTCGAACGGTGATTTTGTACAGATTAATGCAAGGAAGGTCTCGAGGCAAATTGCGTGAAACCTTCTCATAGGAATAGAAGTCCGTACGAAATATCTCCTCTTTCGGGGTGCGGAGGTGCACATAGAATTGTCGCGCTATGCGCAGAGGCAGCGGGATAAGTTCTGAGTCGACCGATAGCCACAGCATGTATCTACCCAAGGTCCCTGTAGGTCGAATTTGCACAATGTCCCATCTTCGGTCGGCGCGCACCTTCACATTGCTGAACATAGAAGGTACTACGACAGATCTAGGGTCTGGTACTTGGCGCCTACGTTTCCAGCGAGGTCGCATCGCTTTCAACCAGGCAGAATAACTAATCATGGGATCAGGAAGCGCTTTGTCTTCTTCGGCAACGCCTGGCTCAGGGATGTCTTGCCGGACGATGTGAGGCTCGGACGGAGCGAGAAGTATTTGAGTAGATGGACCTTCACCACCCCAGTCCTCAATGTCCATCAGTTGCGACTCTTCTTCCTGGGCTTCTACATCGGTGGCTAGTCTGAAGAAGTCTGTCAGCTTGTTCTGCTTCATTTTATCAATGGTTCCTGCGACTCGACGATGTAGCCAGTCTGGGTGATGAATTCGAGGCACGGGGTTGGAAACCTTCTGCATCGCAGCGGGGATAGTGATTAATTTCTGAATCACAGAGCCCAGTCGCTCAATGTAGTAGTTCCAATCAAGAATGGAACGAAGGTCAAAATCGATGAGACTGCTATCCTTGAGCCATTTGCGGAGGTACACCCGCTTGATGCTTTCCTCTGCAGAGAAAATAGCAACTGGAACGGCACGATCTGTGACAGGGGCACCAATCGGTTTGGCAGATATGATGAACTTGCAAGCCAGCCCTTTGTCCTTGACCATCTGGTCACCTAAGAATTCCGCCAAACGTCTGGCAGTACTGATAGAAGTAGATTTTTGACCGCCATACTCCGCCAGAGTTTTCGACATGCTACGATTCTCAGCAATAAGCTCCACCAACTCCTCGTCTGTAAGTGCTGCCGCCTTGCTGAACAGGACATCCAGCCACTGGTCTGCAACCTGCGCAACAGCTTTGTAACATTCCTCCGTGGTCGACCCAAGAAGGAATTTCTCAAAGATCTGAGACTGGAAATGTTTTATCAGCTGTAGTTCACCACGACGCTTCACTTCAAACCCTTTGAGTTCAGCCAAAGAACCATCATCGTTGAACACGGCGTAACGCTTCTTCAAAAGCTTATCTTCTTCCTTCGAAGAGGGTAAGATCATTGCCTTGTAAGGTCCATCCAGCTCGAAGAAGATAGAGTTTTCGCTGTGGATTTTGTATTCCCCAGTCTCGAGATCAAGATCGTGATATTGATGGTTGGTGAATTTGGCGTGGACGAGGTGATTGAGCATTGTACAAGGATAAGAGAATCCAATTGATTTACCATTGTCTAACTTGAACTTGAAGTTTTCGGGGAAGACTCCTGGGAGCATACACCAAATACCATCGGTATCTAGTTCTAGTGGTCGCCCAATCTGCTCCACCAGCGCTCGAGCCATCTGAATAATGGTAGCACCAGTTAAACAAGTAATTCCAGCCATCTCCATCGAGTGCCAGCGAGCACCCTTCCGCATTACGTATCCGTAAAAGGAATTCAGAATGCACTTGTGTGCCAGTTGAAGGGAGTCATACAACACGATCATCTTTTTTGCCTCATCGACCTCTGCAAGGGAGCGCCCTTCATTGATAACGGTATCGAGGTTTTTCTTCCACGTTTTATGCAGACCTTTATACTCGTATCGTCGATCTCGGAACCTCCTTACAGTGTCGACATAGAACGGGTTTTCCCGTTGGCAGACGATAGACTCCCGGTTTTCCACCTTCGTGTCCTTGGTTTTTTTGTAAACCTTTCGCGAATAATCGCCCAATCGTTTATGCAATAACGCAGTCTGCTCAGCAGGCGAAAGATCGGCGTATCGGCGTTGAGGACCATTCGGACGTTTGGAAGGGAAAATCTCTTGGTTGAGCGCATGTCGGATCATATTATACTCGTCACGGTGGGATGGAAAGAATTCTCCTCGCCATGCCCATTCCAATCTGCGGTCGCAAGTTTTTCCCGGTCGATTGTAGTCGCAGACGGCGCAAATAGATTCGTCAACCATTGAATCGGGCTGGAGACGATTAGACAACATGATGTTGGGATACATGGCAGCCACATCCAAGTGGTAGATCAAGGGATTGTCGATACGCTTTGGATTATCGCGCATGGCTTCGAGGGCAGATTGGATGGCAGCTTTGACTTCTTCATAGTTGGTGACTTTTTCTATTGAACATTTAGACTCCTCCACGATGCAAAACGTCAGGGCGGCATCAAGGTCGTTGATTAGCTAAAAATCATTAGCCCAGGACCATGCTGCCACAAGAAGTGTACCCTACCTCTTGAACAGCAGAAGGCGTGATTTTAAAGTCTGTGGGGATATCACTACGGAAAACTCCTGCTTCAAGAGCTTCTACATGACCGCCGACATACGTCTCCGATGCCAAGAGGTGTCCATCGTAGAAGTTTCCATGCTCCTCCTCGTGCCTGTTCGGCATTATGATGTGACCTCGATACGCTTCAACCTATCTCACACGGAGGTTGAGTGAGGCCCTAGGGAACAGCCAGTGGACGTACCATCAACAAAGTTTCGCAAAGAGTGCCACTTCCTTTCCTCAAAACTTCGTCGGGGTTCAGCGGAATGATGTTACAAAGAGAGAAGATGAAAGGGTGCACGTATTTCATATACAGATAGTAAGTTGCGACTGCATCTGACACAGAGTACTGCGCTAGTGTCTGAGGTTGTTCTAGCGCGTAACTATTAGGAAGATCAGGTCACTGAAGAAATGAACAACGAGCTGTACCCACGGAGTCATGAGTTCAGGATCTAATTCTATAGGGTTGTAGCCCAACTTTGAGGCAGTTACAGCCTTCAAGCCCTGACTCCCCTGAGGTAGGTAGGAATCACGCTTCACCCAACGGAAGCAATCCATATGTACACAAGTTCTCGATTTGTATTCATCGTCAGAGTCCTTTGCGAAACCGGTTTCAAGGTATAGGTCTATTCCGTTGACTTTTGCGCGCGCGTCTAGGAACGGAAAATCAAAGAAATCGCCGTTGAAAGTGGCTATCACGGTGGGTTTGACGTCTTGAATATGGGAAAAGAAGCGTCTGATGGTCTCAGCCTAAACACGCCATGAACACAGATGGTCGAGGAAGTAAAAATGTGTACGCACTTCATTTGGTTCATTGAATATTATGAAAGGACCCTCATAACCTTCCATTGGAGTATACTCAAAATCTTCGATGTCCTCGCTAACGATCTCCCGGTTGGTGATGAGATATCCCTGACCATCTACCATATATGAAATCATCATGACTTGATCTGTCGCTTGGTCAGGAAATTTGAGCGGAGCCTTGGTGGTTTCGATATCGTAGGCCATAACCACTGGGTCCGCACGTTTTACACGCTCAGCAATGTGACGGAAATCGGGCTGACCAGCAGTAAAGCTTACTGCATACCAGAGCCCGACACGAATGTCATTGTCGATGGCCACTCGTAGATAATAAGGAACGTCGTATTCACGAATATCAATGATAGCCTCTCGGGCGTCTTCACGAAATGTCGCATTCCTGGAAAAGCCAGCGTTACCCCATCCTTCTTCTTCGAACGCGATATCCATGTTAGCAAGACCCGTGGAAGTCGCGTTGACGACCTCTGCATACGCGTCTACAGCGTCGCGTTTGGCGCCGTTGGCAAGAGCCAAGGGGAGAAGTTCACGACGGACATTGAGCAAGTCTGAAACGTTCCGAAAGCAGAGCTGAAGATAGAGGCGACGGTGGCCCATGAGATGGTTGGGAAGTTTAAGATCTTCTTTACGATCGCGAACAATGCGACAGATGAGGCCTTCATACTTTTTCTTCAGCCATTCTTCGACTGAATTTTCCATACCGCTCTGAGAGAATATGAATATTGAGTAAATGTTTATAAAATGAGCTGACCTTGCAAGCAATATAAAAATAAGGCTCATACTGATACGTGCACTTGAACATTTGTCCATCGTCTTGAATAAAGTAATAGTCCACAGCTGCCTTCCCAGATGGCCAATCCGCGTCTTTGACAAGAGTCTAGGCGTAATCTCAGAGTTGGATTCGAACGACCAACAAAATGCTACGCACCGGATGCATGTTCACCAACCAGCCTTCTTTGACTACGCCTTCTTGTACCAATCCGAATCCGAGTTTTTCATCAATCTCATCACTAACTTTGACCGCCTCGAATCTCTCCGCCAGTTGTGTGCCGTCATCTTCGCGTTTCGGAGCGTCTTCTGGCTTTCCTTTGCCTTTTCCTCGTCCCCTGCCTCTCCAAGAACCTCCTCGATAGCTTGAAGCGCGAAAAGCGCCACGATTTCCGCCTCGCGCAGAGGAGAGACCAAAGCCGCGACCTCTCGCCATAGCAATTAATACAAAGGGATCGCGTTTAAGGCTGGTAGAGAAACGCGTCACGACCCACGTGGCTCTTTGTGCCGCTCGGCGCTTATTGTTGTAGCCTCTGTAAAGACTCCCGAAATAGTGCACATATGTACTGTCTCAAGCCTTTAAAATTCGTGTATAGGATTTTGCAAGGGGGCCTTAAAATGCAAGGTTAAAACGCCACGCTCCCTAACTGACGAAACAAGACGAATCGGTATACCCGACCGAAACTACCGCGAACGAACGCTTGGGCACGTGCGAAAAATTACATCGAACCTGAAACATGTTCGCGTACCTTTTTCGCCTGCCATGCAATTTCGGAATTTCCAAAAATGGGTAATTCTCGCTCTGGTTCTTCATTTACTGCCACTCCAATGATTTCTGACTCTTCGGACGACGATGTGAATGAACAAGATACTCATGCCAACGGATTTGACTCTGCTTCTCGCCTTGGCTCACCCTCGATTTCTTCAGTTCACGACTCACGGGCAGAGGTCGACGATGACAGCGTCACTTGCCTTTGGGATGACTGTGGACTTGTATTTACGGATCTCCAAGTATTCATTGATCACATTCATAACGGTGCGAACTGCTTCATTGGTTGCTACGATGATGCTCAACCTTGAATAAAACCTTAGGACATATCGGTGTCAACAAATCAAATTACACATGTGAATGGGCCACCTGCCATCGAAGAGGCCTCTCTCAGACTTCGCGCTTTGCTCTTATATCTCACATCCGGTCACATACTGGAGAAAAACCATTTGTATGCTCGTTACCAGGCGCGTCTTGTTCCATTCCTTGGAATCATAGTTCTAAGCAATCCTCCGCACAGAGTGTGACAAGTCCTTTACCCGATCCGATGCTCTAGCAAAGCACATGCGCTTACAGCACAGTATCGAACCACCAGCGCCTGGTCGCGGTGGAACCCGTAAACGAAAACGAGACGAGACCTCTCCCCCGCCAACCAATGGTGCAGCACTAGCGAGTGGAAGCGGTTTTAGAACATTCAAGGTGGAACAGCCTTGGTCAAACTCAGAAACCATGGATGAAGCCGATTTAGACTATGAAAACTATACTCGTGCGGAGGCCGCTCATCGTAGGCCCCCAGTTGATGAAGAAGAGGAATCTGCATTAGATGTTCTCCCAGCCCATCTCAAATCTCAATTCGACTCATCTTCGAGGCGGGTTATGGGACGTTCACCAGAAATGGTTATGTATATCTTGACGAAGGCGAAACACAAGTATGCGCTGCAACGGCAGGAGGCTTTGCTAGCCGAACTGACGTTGGCCAGCGCAGAGTTAAACAGGGTGAGGGGTGAAAAAGATGCGATGATGGATCGAGTATTGCATGCTACATTTGGGTGTGTTGTATACCTGCTTCGTTATGGACTTCTGCTCACTCCTTACCCGCAGCTCTCAGGCCGAAGTTTTCACAAAACCCATACAGAAACCTGCAGCAATGATTTTGGATCAGAAAGCTATTCTTACTTATGCGAATGGTGCTGAGTCTGGACATTGAAGCAATTTTTGTTTCATCTTGCCTTATATCTTATGACTCAACTATAATCTATAATCACCATCTCGACTTCATTCTGTATTCTTTCTGTATGTATGGCGACGTACTTCATCCTATCCTATTCCCTCCAACATGTTCAGTCATTTAAATTGTGTCAGAGCATGTAGCGTTGCCAACAATTTCAAAGACACAGGGCCCTTCATCAGCGCGAAATTATGGCGCTTTCGGCGTCGTCGGATTTTTCTCCATTGCCAGTAAGTAGTGCTATTCTACTCTACCCCATTTTTAGAGCCTCTCACATAAACCTAATCGTGAGCTTGTCGAATCGTTGTTTGGAAACCGTACTGACAATTCTCTGGTTCTGGCAAAGAAAGACAAGAGAATTGAAAGTGACACTATTTTCCCTGCGTGAACGGTTTTGCGCAAGAAATGAGTGAACCAAGAACAACCAAACCCATTTTCGCCGAGACACTAAAGAAAACTTGGCCGGGGCGCTCAATGCAATATTATCATGTTCCGCTCAAGAGTCAAAGGATCGTGATCGTCAAAATCTAGGCCTATAAAAGCATGAGCTTGTGTTGGCTCCAAAGAGTATCTCCTTCATTCTCTCAGGCATCAGGTTAGAACTCGATACAGGACATGGCTCGACACCACTTCCTTTGCTGTCTTCCTATCCGGGTCTGTTTCCCTAACTACGTTGGATTTATCAAATGTCATACTCATTCGTTGGTTTTGACGTTAGCTTGGAGCCTTTGTGATATCGTTGCTGACAATGGCTTACTCTGGATTCCTAACCTTCATCTCCATCTGCGTTATCATCGATGTTCGTAAAGGTGGGCTCCAATTTGAAGTTAGTTTTCCAGAAACTAATAGTTTTATGAAGGTCTGGTTTCGACAGGACAGACGCGAGGCATGACGACAGGGATAGAAATTATGTTTGGTGTCTTAGCAGTCTCCTATGGTTTGCTATTCATGTCGGCTCTGTTCGGGTAGGTGACTCCAACTACCTCAAAACCTTACTAAGATCAAACAACTGGCTTCCTACGACAGGCTCATTGGTGTTCTTAGTCATCGAATTAGTTGGATCCACACCTTTAATAGCTTCATGAAGACCATACTGTTCCTGAACCTCTCCGCGGGAGTCACTGCGATTGTGCTGTTTGCAATTGACAAGAAGAATATATGCGTCAATGGCAATAGCTCGTCAAATGCAAACTCGTGCCCAAGTTTTCTTGGGACTGCTTCAAGAGATTTGATTATAGTTATCGCATCTTTGATTCTAGCAGTTGTCCTACTCTTGCAAGGATGTGCGTGTATTTCTCCTCTAATTCCTCGGGTTTTTGATTCCTAATTCCAACCACATATCTTTACCCACTCTGAACTGTGATGCTGCATTTTTAGATGGTATTTGGATTGTATCAGATTGCATTGATGATCTTGAAACTAAACAAGTGGCGGAATATCCCTTTGCTACGCGATATGCTGGCGTCGCTCCAGTGCCTCCGTCCGAAGACAGCATTCCTTTGACAAACGGGAAGGGATATTAGCCTCAATCAGAACAGGATCTTACATTTATTATCATCGCCGCCTTCTCCATTGAAGTATATACATCGTGATGCTTTACAAAGTTATCTTCAATGGAATGCTTCCGTTCGATCATGAACTTTGCCCAGGATTTGGTATGGTCTGAAGTGGTATTTCGACTTGAATTTTTAAGACTTTTCAAAGCATGCTGAATGTCACATAACCTACTTATTACAAGAACGCATGCCAGTAAGGTCTTTGAAAGCCCTGAGGAAAGCTCTATCCACTGCAAATTTTGACTGCGAAATTCTATGTGAAAGCATGCCTAGGATTGAACAAGTCAGTGTCCTAATGCCTCAGGCTTCCATTAAAAAGAAGGGTAGATCCAATCCAATGTCACAGTACTGGTAAGGGTAAAAGATTTCCGATGATTATACTCTCAGGAGCATGCTCTTCAGAGATGATGATAGATTTCAAAAAATTCAATATGCAACTTCAAGCTTCCCCAGCAGTTTCACAGTGGTGATCTTTCATTTTTCAGAATGTTTTCTATGTTCTGTCCTAATCTTCTTCCATCAACTGTCACGTCACATTAGGAATAGCTGAATAGCCCCAAATCTAAAGGTAGCTTAGAAATAGCTGTAATTCAATGACAAAAGGCTTACTGAGGTCAGAGTAACATGCAGGTTGGTCAACCAGTGGTTTGCGAGAAAGACCAGATAGATCAAGAGAAAGCAATAGCCCCATCCAAGTAGTCTAGCAAGGATACCCTCAGTACGGATACGAGAATGTAAAAGAAAATGTCCCATTAGATACCCAGATCTCATATGATCCTATCCGCATGCCAGTGAAAAGACAAGACAAGTCCTGTAAGGTCATCACAATGATAGTATTAACTCGATTGGGTGAAGTCAAAGAGGCCCTTCATTTACATGGAAATGAGGGACTGCTACGAAAGCGCCAGCGAGACGGAGTTGCAAAATTTAGCTTCACGAAGCTGAAGCGTAGCATGCACTTGACGAGTCTTCTGCGTTTTTCTGAAGGAAATAAATATCTACAGAAGAGGCAGTTCCAGCCATCAAATGCGCTTTGGACAGTAGACACTGCACTCACGAAGATCCATTCTCTTTTCACCAGGTTCGCTAGGATCGAGAAAAGGCCAGCTACCTGGCATATAGTTATGGCTAGGTCCACATTGGCAGTTTGTAAGGCAAGAGTAACGAGACGCGACAAACTAGAGTCTTCGAACGGACACGTGATGCGGTACTCTCTTCTCCTGCCAGTACCGCATCGACACGCGTCCGTCGAAGCAGCATAAGACTAGTCTAGTAGCTCTCCCAGTCTTCTTTCCACATAAACTACTTGCCTAACTCACTCATGGCTGAACGGATGGACTTTGACCCCGCTAAGATACTGGCCCCTGACTTTGCAAGTGAAGCCTATGCCTTCATGCGAGCGGCTCTCGTTGCAGACGCAAACACTCCCGAAATAACCACGAATGAGCTGGCAGCCCAACGCCTCAAAGACTAGTGGGAAGGGCATATCGAGGGACTCAGAGCACAATACCAAGTACAGTTACAACAAGCAGAAACCCTGAGAGAACAGAGGAGACAAGAAGAAGCAGAAGCTGAGAGGCAGGAGAAAGAGAGGGAGCTAACGAAGGAGGCTGAAAAGAAACGCCTCCCCATATATGACTTCCAGAAAGGCCTCGGCGTAGACTCCATCCCACTACAACTACACCCATACGCAAGGAAGATGATGATGGCATGCAAGTATGTACCCTTATGGTACTTCCTCCCTGACGCAGCAGTCGAAGCCAAGGAGAGGAGCAAGGAATCCCTAGACACCAACCACCTCCAATTCGCTGTAGAGGACGGTGACTCCCTCTCAGGCTCCACCGTCTCCTTAGTCGGGTCCCATTCAGTCCGCACATCACCGAATGCCATCCCCGACTCACAGCTATCCTGGCCACAAGTCATGCGTGCCAAAAGTGCTTTCCTCAATGCGTTACGTCTAGGAACCTGGCCAGACCATTTCATTGCCATGTTTGCCGGATTCTACAGCAACATGGACATGCATCGTGAATTACAAGAGCAGGACGGAGACCAGGTAATGGCGCACTACCATGCAGAAATGCGGCTGGCGTGGTACGACGCAATGGAAAGGAAAGCCCCCTTTGACCTTTCCATAATTTCGGACAGAGTCCTCGGGGAAAGTCGTCAGCAGATTGTCAAACAGAAACAGGAAAAGAGTCTCAAAGGTAAGCAATCCTCCCCTTCAAGGGAATGAATACACCACATCTAATGGTCTCATTTCGCCTCCTCCACAACTAAACAACCCTTTCCACACAACAACAATTCCCCCCCCCAACAACGCTAATAACCTCCCGGTGCATCCTCCAATTCAATCGCTAACATCAACCCTGCTGCTAACACCGACCATGCTAACACTAAATCCCGCTGCCGATGCTCGCTGCACTAATGCTAAAACATTACCCGCTTAACTAAATCTATCACCAACATCGCAACAATCGAATGCACCAACAGACTTTCAGACTGCCACAGCACAGATGGAAGCAAGGGTTGCAGCCAGGCTACAACAATTGTCTCAGGCGACCTCAAACCCTTTCCAGAACACACGGCAATCCTCCAATAGAACGCGCCAAGCTCCCTATCCCTCCACATCCCCCCGCAAAGCTAGCAGACAAGCTGAAAACCGTCAACCAGACCCCCCTAGCTTTCAACGTTCCTTTCGGGACTCAAACCAACCACCGCTCTCACGATGTCACCGATGTCTCAGACGGGACAAACATGACATACGCCGCTGCTCACAAACATCAATCTGGAACGGAAAACGCGATGTCACCTGCAACTGGAACAAGCACGGATATCTCGAAATTGCTAAAGGAGCTAACGCAGGTCTGGAACTCTGTGCGGACTGGCAGAGACCAAACGGATGCACCAGTCGTGCCCACCCTGAAAAGCATCTTTGCTCAGGATGCTCTAACAGCGGACACGGAGCTAGCAGCTGCCCTGATGGAGAATAAGTTCGCAGTACGCACCCCTCTACAAGCTAAGGAATGGAAACTTGCTATCACTAGTCTCAACCTCACACACAAATACCCCACCCTTGCTGAATCCATACAACACTGCTTCAATGTCGGAATCCCCAGAATAAAACATACATTCTCACCGCCTAATAAACTTAATAATCCCGAATCAATAGCTGCTTTTCATGAAATAATGAGGAACGAAATCAACACTGGGCGATGGCTTGGCCCATATTCCAAGGAAACCATCGAAAAGACTATCGGACCATTCCAAACATCACCAATCTCAATGATTCCAAAATCCGGAAAACCCGGCAAGTTCAGATTACTCGAAAACCTCTCGTACCCATATCGACCAACACTCATCCCATCAATTCCTGCTGTCATCTCCTCCATCAACTCCCACATCGACTCCACCCTTTACCCTTGCCTATGGGGAACCTTTGCCACCACCTGTTGGCTAATATGGACTCTGCCCCCCAATTCACAGGGAGCAGTAAGGGACATCTCGGAGGCATACTGATTGATTCCCTTACATCCGTCGCAATGGGCGGGAGTCGTTGTTAGAACATCTCAGGAGGAATACTGCATAGACACCCGAGACATGTTCGGTCTCAAGTCGGCAGGAGGATCTTTTGGCCACTTAGCAGACTGCAGTAACGAGCTTGCCTCGTTTTTGTGTGAAAGAGAAAGGAAGGAATCTAATGGGCACTCCAACCAACCAATCTAATACACAATATGCGAGTTCACTGCTATCAAATTTATTTAATAGCAAGGGGTAGCGTTGGCAAAGGTTCCGCAAAGCTTTGAGAGATAAGTAAGAAGCTTTAATCAATCAATTTGAATCGTTTTAAGAATTCGATATATTCCTTTGATTAAGGTAGATTCAGCACGATTTGTGCTTTAGTTTGTATTGATATGGGTATATCAAGAATTGGGGTTTTTGAATCAAAGTAAATTAAAACCGAAACACACAGACCCCTACGGAGGGCTAGAACTATGTGCTGGCACAACCACACAGCGTGATTTGCCCTTAAGACCAATGACTGATCCTAAGTTCGAAGAATACCCAACAACTGGATATACTTCTCGTAGTCACAAGGAGCAGAACACAACGTTCCTATACTCACAAGTGCCGGGCCCAAATGGCTGCTAGCGAAGAGGTTTCAGTCTGGCGGGAGTGTGTCTTTCCTTTTTACGGATTGGCACTGCAACGTCGTCCCAAAATCACTTGTATTCCAGATACATTGGATCGCTATTTATACATACAGAATATAGAGTCGCACAGTACAATTAATTTAATACAATAAATGTTCGGAACCGCAAGGAAACTTCTACACTCGGTCTGATACCATTTAATTTGAATCTACATGTCCTTATTTGGTCCATAATGGTTCCAAGATTCAAGTATACCTCCAAACATAGGTAGGTACTTCATTATTCATTTAATTTAATTGTTTTGAAGAATGACTCGAATGGTGTTCAACTGTCATTGCTGTTCAACACTTACTTCGATCGTTTGTCACCTCGTCCGGAGGCAAATCAGCTCTCCTCGATTCTAATCCTATCAATCTGATTCATCTGGATTAAACTAATTGCTTCTCTCTTTCAATAGACACCCATTGTGCCTATACTCTATCAAGGGAGTTACGCATAGTATTCATTTAATTGCATTCTTCAATATTTTCTACGTCAGGACTCTTTGACATTCATTTGATATGTCTTCGGAGCCTCGCAGTACTTCGATCGTTCTTCTAGTCATTTTCCTCAACCATGCAATCTGATTGGTCTATTAGACTAAATCGCAGTCTTTTTAGATTAATGCATGATCTCGTTCTAGAAAGAGTATTTGATAATTTCTGAGTTCTAGAAAGTCATTTCGAGTCAATCCTCGGCTCATGGTCACTTGAGTAAGTTCTTCCAAACTCCGGCCAGTGTAAGGTCCAATAGGAATACCCTTGGTATGTCATACGTGAATGGTCATCCTTCGGATGTAGTCCGAGTCTGGTATAATCCTGCCTGACCAACAGGTAGACTGCTATCCGAAGGTAGTATCGGGGATGGGTAAACTAACCACTTGTGGT